CATCAATTAACGTTTCGATTCCACGGCCTAGTAATAACATTAAAATGTCGATTTGAATTTTCAACATTATCATAGCATAAGGTAGGATGGGTGCGGTATAAAATCGTGGTGATAAGCCCAGTTGAGTCAGAATCGTTTTAGACATGTCGTACACTCAATGTCCCGTCTTAATGAAAAGTAGGCAATATGGAATTATAGTTGGAATATGGATGGATATATGGTCCGGATCACCATTTGAATGTAATCTTATGTAGAGAGTTATTGCGCTGCAATATTGGTCTTGGTTTAATCACTGCCAATCCGTATTATTTACTGATATTAGATGAAATTTTCAATATGTGAGATATAGTATGCTGGTACTTTACAAAACGGGGTCTGAGAATCATGTCACATATTGACTCATTAATCTGTTCGCATTATGATCTTAAAGATAATCTATGTATGTATACCGTGTACAATCTGCACATCACGATAATATTTTCGTCGATATGTAGATTTTGTGAAATCGTAATAAAAAAGATGGTGGATGATAACAAGAGTTGAAATGTTAGTATCCTGTACGCAACTATAACTGAATGTTAAAATACCATGCGTTGTTTGTATACGTGAATCCATGACCATATCTATGTAATAATCTATCTTATTTTCACTTAAATATGGCCGGGGGCGAATGTCCCCACCGCGGCATGCACGTCATCAACATGCAGAATATTCTAGACTAGAAGATATGCATCAAAATCGTACCTAGGTAAGGAACGGTAAATTAACTTTTGCAGAAAATGAAACTCTAGCTGCATGTCGGAACGCCCAATATGGGTCCTTTACAAATCTTATTCTAATAAATGAAATGCTATGCAATTCACTGCCACTGTTTTAATACAGAATTGAACTTGCAGAATGTAGCAGGCAGTTAAACGTGCAATGGTTTATTATTATTAATCATGTTGTAACGGAGTCCTACAATGCAGGATTTGGAAATATATATACCTTAATAAATGCCTTTGCTAAAATCGAGCATCCATCCAGTTTTATGTAGTCCTAAGGACTCTAAATAAAATCATTTCAAATTTAAATCATCTTATCAGTTAGTACAGAATTTCAGTAACTTTCTTCAATTCAAAAATGCAACGCTCGTCCAAATAGAAAATATTAAGTAGGTCAGTTAGTATCAGATAGATTAGTAGCCTACGATATTTGTTAAGACAGGTGCTTAACTTCAAGTGGTCTTGTCAGCAACGATATGTCATTTTCAATAGATTGAAGTCTTTCTTAAGATATTATGTTTACCGGATTAGGAGCTCTTTGAAGTATAACAAGTAGTCATAAGTAACGAGACTGATCAGTTGAGTTCGGTGACTGAGAAATGTTGGATCCATTCGTGTAAGTCAACAAAGGTAATACACTGATAAGCAGAAACAAAAGACAAATACCACAGGGATGGCCACCAATACAGATGCATTCTGAGAAAATATTTTTTAATTTGGAATATGAGATGTTTATTACCAGTATGTACGTTTAAATCTACTTGTGTGACGAAAAATTCCTAATTTTTTTAATACGATTGTTTTAAATTAATCCTAGACTTATTATATCGAATATAATTTATTTTAAATGAATTCGAATCGTTTTGGACATCTATGCAAATACGTTTTCAATCAAAGGATACAGCCAATACTAGTAAAGATAAAATTAGTCGACAATTTGGTAAAAGGTCACAGGTGCTATTACAAGGAACCATTTATGAAAATCATTGTTTCAATCGAAGTGATGAGGAATAGCTAGCGAATTTGTTATTCCTACTTTGACAATTTAAGTAAGATTGGGAAAAGTAGGAAATCGTATCGTAGCTCGGTAGATATACGGGCATCAATTTTGAGGGCCGGCATATGGCTATTGATGCCTATTGACCACTCTGGCAAATAAGGGTGATTGTTGCGACGGTGACGTAATGATAAACTCGACAGAACCGACGCTGATGTTGTTGTATCAGCAAATGAAACTAAACACTTGAATACGCTCATTGGTGATTGAACACCACTCTCGAAAAGGACTCTAATAAGAGAAAACGCAAGTTTTTTAGAAAAGATTTAGGGCAGAAAGTATAAATTGGGATCGAGTTTGAAAAAATGATAACTCATATCTTGACGCACAAGGGTTGAGCTTTGTTGTGATTTTGTCATTATTGCCATTCTTAGATCGAAAGACTACTTTGAGGCAAATTGTGGCAAATGATATCTATTTTCTTTTGTTTCTTTGCAACGAAGCGATAAAATGAAAGTATATTCCGCCTTTCATTAATGTGTGGTGAATTCAATATAGCATAATGATAAACTCCGAAATGGAACAAAATGAAAATTGTGAATTTTTTCAAATGAATTTGATAAAATGATAGTAGAACCACAATCAAATTTGTATATTTAAGAGTAATGCGACATAAACTGGTATGAAACGAAGGAGTGTTGTACTTGTACACGATATTACTTGTGTAACAAATTGCAGTGAGGAGAATGTTGTGATATAGAGGAGAAGCATTACTAGAAATTGATTTTTTTACATGTATTTCAGGTGTTAAATAACGCCTAACGCCAAACGTTTGTGACCCACGAATGTGTAAGTGTTGAGAACCAACTATTGAGAAAGTGTATGCATTTGCAGTAATATTTATTTGTTGATCGCCAGGCTGTGCCAGAGAATTTAGTATAAACACGTGCGTAACTCGAGAAGGTTGTGGTGAAAGGTTTAAATCAATGCGGTCGTGCCGGCAAATCCTTTGTCAGATAAACTAAAAGAGCCATCGCACGCGATTCCGAGAATGACACATCCGAATGATATTGCTGGGAATTATGGTCCTGATCGTAATCTATTGTTAAACATCAATAAGGTAAACTAACTTTAATGTGTGATAACCGAGGTTATAGAATTAGGACTGGTGAAAAAGCAGTGTATACTCATTCAAATTTGAAATTTCCATTTTAGTCTGAAATGTGACGAGAAGAATGGCTATTTTTATGGTTATTATGAATCTTGCCAATTTTTTTTCCGCCAAAACTAACATATCGTGTAACAACAAAATCAAAGAAAAAGTTTTCACCGAATTTATAAATACGGGTATATTTCTGATTAGCCGTAGTGGTATGTTATGTTACTCGTGTGCTCGACGACTATTTAACTGGTCGAATCGAAAAGCTTCAGAAATTGAGATCAACCATGAAGAAACAGTGCATCATATAGTATATAACAATTTCGCTGTAACTTGGTTATAAAATATTAGTCTGTAAAACACATGGAGTGCGACGGCATATTTAACACATTCAAACAAAAGAAGCTTAAATTTTCGTCAGTCTGTGAGAAAAAACCTGGCCACCACGACTATTTGATTTGGGGAAGATAAACACTCGTGTTAGTTTGTTTACTTTTGATTGCAAACGATGTCCGAAGACAATGACCCAATTCACAGCATGTCTGTAAATTCACGATAGTTTGTGGGAATCGTCAAAGGTGATTCAATGCGTTTTACTACTAACTGGAAGTCACAAAAATAAGCAGAGTGAGAAATATTTGTTATGTGGCGAGAATAGCATGTCTTATTACAATATTTTACGATTTTACAATGTCGTATGTTTGTCGGAAAATAAAATTACTAGAAAGACAAATATTTTATATTTGTCGGCTATTTTGCCAGAAAAATAGTAGCAAGGAACAGCTTCTTAGATGGTGTTGTCGCGCAATCTTTCAAGAGCATGTTCTTATCAAGTGGATATGTTGTTATACTTGGAATAATAGCGTAGCTCAAGTGGCCTTAAGATCAAATTAAAATTGCTCTTTTGATAAAAAAAATAGATGAGAAGGTTAACTGTTATCGGTGAATAATAGCACAAATTACATATATAGATAGGCAGTATATTAGGTAAATAGGAATACGATAACACCGTAATGTCGTCATCAACGCACACGTGTATAGAGGTAAAATTACATGACTGTGTATACAGTACTGAAATCTAATAAGTATAATTAACATGAATGAAATTAGACATTACACAACGACGTCCTTTGTATTGCACACTGATAGTAGGCCGGTTGGCGCCAATGTATCTTTGTATTTGCCAAACCATAATGCTGGACAAAGTATATTCTATATTTGTGCACAGGCTACCTACCGTATATGAAGAAGACTATTGAAAACTATTGAAAATTTCAAATATAAGACAGCAGACTATGTATTCGCAGAGGTCATGACCGACTAGTTCAATTTGTGATGGCAAAGGTTGAACGGAATCACGTTACCAAAAATTGAGACCCATGAGACACTGTAGCTTGAATTCTGCAATACAAGTCATAGAAGTATTCAGAATAAGCCCCTGCCCTGCAGCTTATCAGGTTATTTATACTCGAATAGGGTTAAAATGTCAGCACTGTTTACGGTGGTCGTTAGGTAAGCTCATATGAGAACAAGAAAAGACAGGGTAAAAACCGACACAAAAGTAGGCAATATCGTGCGATAACGTTAGTCTGTAACTAAAAAAGAAAAAGAACGCAAGAAAGCAATCGCCATAGCTACACGCCCGAGGTTTCATCGGAAATTCAAATAATAGAGATACGAGCAGAGGCAAGCAACGTACGAAGAAGAGAAGATATCAACAATTACCGCAGGCAAAGTGGTTCACCTTCGCCGATTCCGACGTAATTAGGCGCGGATTGAGCCTTGCCGTGCGTGCAGTGAAAATTTTAGATGAAAGTAGATGAATGTAAACTGTTGCATTCATTCAGAATTCCTGTCAGAAATAGTTAGTTTTTTTTCTGCAACTAAAATATTTTAATAAATATAAAATTGTTTTCGTTGATTTGATTTCGGCCATATTTGAAACGATGGCGATGCAATAAAATTCATGCTCTACTTTGAAGTAGACTAGCATAAGATGATCGCAAGTTATATTCAATGAAATCAGTTTCAGTTTTTATTGATCTCAAAGGTGTAAAGGTGTTATTATTCCGTACATTATTGCAACCTTTTCATTATTTTCAGGTGTAAATAATAACAGTTCCAACTTAGTGCAAAATGGTGTAAATAACGAGTCAACCCTACAACTAGAAGTTGGAAATTTCAACTCGAGTGTACTTCCTAAGTTGGTATTCCGGTGACTGAGCAGTAAATGTTGATTGGTCGAGCAGAATCCCATTATATTGATCGGATTCCCGTTAAAGAACTGATAAAACCGGAATTTTAGTTATCAGTAATATATTTGGGATATAAACACCATGGACGAATTGGATTACTATCTTCGAGTTGTCATTGGAAAAGATGCTGGACTTATATTTCTATGTGTGTTTGGAGCAGTTTTAAACAGCGTCATGCTGTATATGCTTTTGTCGAAAAAACAGGTACGTATTTGCGGCGTACTTCGAACGCATCCCCGGTGTTCATTTTTTCTGATTGGTAAAATATCAAAAAATATGTTTAAATTTTGTGAAAATGATTTGAAATCAATTTTGTAGCAGTTCAATTTATTGGCAGTTACAGAGTTTAACATGGCGAAATTACCGCCAAACGATACTGATAAGCATGTTGATAAGCATCCGACCTGACGTATCGAGCTGTAAGGTGAAAATCAGTTCAACGTTTTAAGACTAACAATTTATCACAGTTTGGTTTGATCATCACCAGACTAATATTAACATGAGGCGGGAATTTCGATAAGCAGAAACTAACTAACTTTGGATCAGCTAAAATGTATGAAAGAAATACAGATATGAAGTTTGGAGCAAAAATAAGGATAGATTGGGATAATTCAGAAAACAAACGTTAATCCGCGAACCGCAAAACGATACGTTAATCCGAAAAACATGCTACGCATCATCGTAAGTCGTCATCAAAGGTGGATTTTCGTAATACCTTCGAAGGAAGCTATAAGTAAGAAAAACAATAACAGTTCGAACATAAAATGCATTTACGACTCGATGACTATATAAATAGGCCACACACGAATAATACAAGAATTAATATAAATTGTTGCTGTAAGCTGTATACTAGCTCAAATGTGTTATCAAAACGACAGAAGACAAGTAGAATATTTTTTTTGAAAACCAAACTAAAGTTCGTCATTAAAATTGAATAACAAGATGATATGGGCCAGTTGCCTGAAGTTATATATACATGAATTATAACGATCCCAAGAATCAAAATTAAAAACAATTTTTCAACATCAGAACTTTAAAAATTCCTAGTTACCAAATTCGTGGCATCTGAAAGTGATAATGAGGTACAATTTGGTCAAATTAAGATAATTCGTTAAAAGAGAAATACCCACAATTCAGCTAAATATTTAAACATTTTTGAGATTACCACTGGCAAGCTAGCAGTAATGACCTCGGGCATCATTTTGGGAATTATAATAATAATAATATCAAGATTATATACAGAATGAAAGTAGGTTCAAAACTACGGATGGCATGAATTAAGACAGCGTTATTGTGATTGTTTTAATTTAACTGGAATTAGAAGCAAATGAAGCAAAATCTATGTCCTGCCAACCTTTGGATGTCACTCCTATATGTCAAGTAAATGTCAAGTTTCAAATCCACGAATACCATAAATAGTCGCGGTATCGGGAGATTATTTTATCAATATATATCAATATTTTGATTTTTGAATCAACGAAAAATTTCGATTTCGATTCGGTTAGGACATAATTAGACGAGATTATTTTGATTAAGATTTTTATGTATAGCATAACAGCTTCAACAGCACATCATTTACCTGCAAGAAGGCATGAAGGGTACGGCCCCATGATCTTTCGAACGTCATGCTCGGAGTTGTTTAACGGACAAGATAATCTTATTAACGCAAATTAGGGTATGGTGAGTAAAATACCTCTCATACCCTATGTGCATTTTATTACGAATGAAAACATATAAATTAAACAGCAAACTAGACATAAAATTTGACACTAAAACCAATCTTAAAAAGTATGGATTGTATACGGAGAGCTTTGGTCACTTTATCAAGATAGTGCGAATCCGACAATTGTGGAAATATACACATGAGGTCCGAGTAAAAAGTTTGAGCACATGTTGAAACAACTACCACTGGTGCATGACATTTAAGGTGGGACGATGAAAACAGGGGAGTACATTGTACTGTACATTATATCTGCTCTCCAGCTGAGAAGTGATTAGCAACCAGTCAAAATATGTGTTCTGTTGCTATCTAGATCAAACAATTTGCCCACTTTCAAAATCGTTCGTCAATTCGGTAACTGACGTAATGCATTTTTGGGCAGCTTCAAAATTAATTATCCTGTTAATTTAATTTATCTCGGAAGAAAAATGCCATTACTCTCAATGACAATAAAGAGGTATCTTCAATCGAAATATGCATATTTCCGTATGAATTTTGAAAAGAGATTTAAAGTGGCAAAAATATTTCCAGAAAAATTCCACATTTATAGACTCATTGTAATTGCTGGCTTATTAACCGATTAGAAAAACTGTCATACAAAGAAAAATAATTTTACGTTGCTGTTTATCTATTATCTTTAATCAATAATGTCGTCAAAATCTATAGGGTCCATACAAAATAATTGCTAAGATTATCAATCAAATTTAAGTAAGAATGACATTATTCGTAACGCCCACACAAAACCTTTTTGATACCCAACAACTGATCAATGAAATTCCACGCATTAGCACAAGAAATTTTTTTCCCATGATTCCAATTTTATGGTAAAATATAATCTGAAGGCGTCATGGGCGGGCTTTACGTAGACGGGCTGTCTGAAAGTGCCTCCATACAAAGTCAAAATGCGCGACCAAATTCAACTATAGGGACACAAAAGAATTTCAGCTGGAAGTTCATTATCCCGTAACACAATAGAATTCATTAAATGTTATGAAATCACAAGGTCGCGGGATTATTTCTTAAGACTTTGTCGGTCCGTATCAGATCAAACACAAACTGCCATTGTGTTGACAAAGGTTGAAAATGTCACACGAAATATTATTTTGCATCTGACGCCAAAAGACAAAAATGTAAATATAAATATTATCCGAGATTTGATATTAAATTTTGATGAAAGATGGTGGTGTTATAACACGAAAAGAGAACAGAAAAAAGTTGTTCGAGAACTGCGATCTTGCTATATTTCTGTAGTCAATTTATATAGTTTGGTCCACAAGTTTTAATCAACAATAAACTTGAGAAATATATTATAGTTTAACTAGAATTAACATAACCAGCATGATAAGACTCTGAATACTGAATGCATTGCAAATTGCGTCATCGCACCAACTACACAATATTACACAACACTATTTATTAAGTAGTAGGTATTTTTCAAATATTGTTTTGTTTAAATGTTTTTGTTATCTTGACGTCATTATGATGTCATAACCCGCTGTTGTTTGTCTCGAATTAGTTTCCCAACCATTCTCCATTCTCGAAGATCCGCTTGCCTGAAGCGTTTTTTATGTTTATTGATTTTCTGCGAACAGCAGCAAATTTCAAAAAATATATTCGGTCGTTTTTATAAGCAACATAGAGTGAATGACATCCCAAACATTTTAGGAATGGAATCACAAGTTTAAATATATTCTATACACTAAATTTACTGTGAGCAATATTTTGTTCATAATGTACCATGTCGTTGGAGACAGGTGATAAAATATTCGAAAGGAAATTAGCAAATATCATATTAATGTCTTGGAAAAAGTCGTTAGAAATGAATATACTACTAATTCAGAAATAAAAATTCTTGGTTTACATAGAGTATCAGGCTTCTCCATAATATATCAATCACATATTCGAAACCCATACACTATGCGACCCTTAAATTCCATCCAATGATAAAAGGATGAGTTTTAATCTTGTTATAATTGATCACCATCGGAATGCACAACAGGAAAGTAATAAAACTGCTTCCACTCCATTTGGGTAATTCGTTTTAGTTCGATCGCAATATTGAGATGATTTCTAATATAATGTGTCCATTAAGTCTGATGTTTGTCAAGAAGAACAATCTAATAAAGAAAAGCTGAAAACATGCGACGGTCTGCGTTTCGTGGAATCGCAATTTCATTGGAAAATAAATTGATGACGTATTACACAACACTGGTGTTTCCATGTTTCGACATAAAAACAAACTACTTTTAGGAAACCGGATGACAGAAAACATCCAAGAAAAGCGATCAATTGTAAATCAGTATTGGTATTGAATATAACAGAAGAATAGGATTTAAGCATTATACCCAACAAGTATATATATTCAGTACATCAACTCATACTAATTCCCAACTTTAATTGCAGATACGATCGTCGGTTCACACGGTATATATGGTACAAATTGCATTGACGGATCTCTTGGTGTGCGCAGTATGGTTGGTCCTAACAAGCGTCATCATACACAACCTACTACTAGAGACACGCGATTCTCCATCTTATGGTAAGTAATATCAATCTCAACAACACTGATATGTTTATTTGCGTTGCGTTTACGTTTGGCCTTTTTGTACCAAGAAGTGTTTACGTCAGGAATACAATACGATTGTTTGATAACCACACCAAAACATTTATATAGCAATACTGTGTGATATTCTCCATCAAAAGATTCAATAGGGGCACACCCATGAACGCGCAAAAGTAAGATAACGATTTTGAAGCGTTGTGTGATAAGAGCTTGCTAGAGTCTTACAGAGCATATGGCGCATTCATTTCTGGCGTGGACAAATCAACAAACGTGATGTAACCACCAATATTAAATGTCAGCTAGAAATATATTAAGTATTAGCAATACCTGATAAACTAAAGAGCAGCGGGGCCTTTAGCAATTGTTACTCACACATTGGACAAAAAAGAATCGTGGGAAACCCAAGGCAAAATATACCCAAAATGCGCAACTGCTTTATTTAGAGAAAGTTTCGCATACAAGAATGATATATCATATGAATAAAACAATGAAATTGGGGAAAGCTAACGAGGTGTATCTATGCGTAACGGCATTTGAAATACCGATATAGTGCACGTATTCGTAAGGGGCATATAGTGATCATTATTTTTAATTTTCGAGTAAATGAAGAAATGAGATTTGCAATGGATCAACGCAGTGAATTTTTTTTATTTTTGAAATAACGATCGCTTACCCTTACTCTATTTGCAATTGGGGATGGGTTACAACCCCATAAGTTTCCATCCTGCTATCATATGATATCGGAGATTACGATTCCGCGATAAAAGTTAAAAATCGGTTTTAATATTTACTGAGACAGAGGCCATTTTGGCATTGGTCAATAGTTTGTGCAAACAGTACCCGTGCGTGCAGAATACGTTGGTCGAAGATAGCTTTACTTTCTCTTCCTCACGCTATCAAAGCAGGCTTTGTCACGCAGGTAGAAAGCATGTCAAAACTTTAGCGAAACCAGGTTTCAAAATAAAATATCGAATCACGGGTGAACGAGAAGGTGAGCTACATCACGTGCATTCGACGATCAGATAAAAGGGGGTGGAGTTTGTTGCGAACTTGGTTTAAACACCATAAAATCGAATAATTAATTTACAATTAATCACATACACCAATCATTCAGGAATAAAATAGGTAAAAATGATTGTACTCCCATTAATTTCTCTTTCAACTTAATACTACAAAACAAGCCGTAAGTTATTGGGACGACCAAGAACGTGTTGGGGTACATTCCAATCGTGGTATATGGGTCATGTGTACATCAACCTTTTTGTAATATAATGCCAAATCCACTCGTGGGAACACACTTCGAGAAAACCAGAAAAAGGTGATAGGAACGAACCAAATACATCGTCCAAGGTGGCAAATTTCTCATTACAAAATAGTTCACTGTGACGTAAAAAAGCTTTACATTGTGCAATTCACAACCTCTGTGTTCATCGAAATATCAAACCTTCGTGAGCCAAATCAAATTTGTAGAATATCACATTGGTTTGAATTTTGTACACCATGGTAAAGCCAGCCTGGAAATCTCAAGAACTAAGTTTGAGGTGTTCTTTTACAAAACTAAGGCCCCAGAAGTCGAGTTAATCTCTTGCGCGCGGCTAAAAAGAGATTCTTGATGTGATTTGTTTACATACGCACAAAGAGCTTTTATCTACGCCTAACCCGTCACGCGATTGTCGATGAATTGGGAAGATGAGATAGGTTTACGATTACGTGGCTAAAATGGACAGTATCTCCCTTTCGGCGCACGCTAACCTTGTATGTATGTCTTTTTGTGATGGTTGTGGCCAGCTGAAAAAGTTACAGACTATTAATACTATTTTTTCTATAAGAAAATCAGTTTTAAAAATCGACTTTCCGGAAGACTATTTGATACATGCATATTGTTAAGAAAAAATAAAACGGGAAACGGAGGAGGCGGTTTTCCATAACCCTGTATTTAGCCGTAAGTCTTGATGGCAATGAAAAATTTATGAAAATATCAATCATTATTTAAAGATACCATGTGTGATATATAGGCGTATTGGATCATTCGATCGAGATTCGTATAAAATATAAACTCTTATTATAAGGATAATAATGTTAGGTCGGGCAGAACAGCCCAAATCCGATAACGCTGGTCTACGCTTCGGCGAGCAAGACGACATAATACTTTAATTTCTAGTTTAGAGCCGAGTGTAGTGAATCACCTTGTCGACACGCGGAATGCATAAACATATATGAATCCTGAGATGGTACAAAAAAAGATAACAGTTTCATAGGTGATCGTGTTTTTGAAGAATGAAAAATCTAAAACCTAATCATAATGTTGCCCGAGGCTATTTGAAGCAAATAAATAGTTTTTTTCATGTCAACTTCAAACTCAAATCTATTTGGCGCTTATAACTTTGCATTACGTGCGCCAAATATATTAAATGACAACATGCTCGGGAGGATAATTAAAGCATTTATCTGTTAATAGTGTTAGTGACGTGGTTTGTCAACCCAGCGCGAAGAAGATGAATTGAGATTATCCCTAGAGATTCGCCGGGTGGTATAGTAATAATAATAAAAACAATATGCAACGACGACTATTTGCGGCATACCTGCATCCTGGTTTTAATCTAGTTGAATGTTAACTAACAATTTCTAGGAAAAACTTATCAACTCGCAATAGGCTACGGATTATGGCCTATAACCTATCGAGTACGTAGACAGTAATTAAGTACAAGATATTAAGGGGCAAGGGATCTACTGAAATGGTGATTCCACCAACAATACGAAAAATTCATTTTTCACACTCGCAATTGTAAAGAAAAAGAAAACTGTGAACCAGTAGTAGTTTGTGAAAAACTACTGAATAAAAATCAAGTTCGACTGGGACACAGTGGTTCTCGAACTTCATCGTAAGGCTTAGCCCCGAAAGTTTTAGTACCGTTAGACGCTGAACCACATACAGTCGTATGCAATGGTCACACAGTTAATAAATACGAAACTTCTGCTCTCTGATGGCTAACAAAAGTGAAGACAATAACTATATACATATAAAGTATATAAATTAACGTGACAATTCTACTTTTAGAACCGAACCACACGGAAGAAGTGGAAACAAATGAATCCTCTGAATACGCCACAATCACTGAGGATCCTCAGGCTGGTCCAATTCAATATCGGACATGGAGAATAATGTATACATGGTACAATTTTCACTATTACACGAACATATTCCTGTTGGCAAGCATGAGCGTGGAGCGTTGCGCAGCTGTCTGGAAGTCAATGAGATGTCAAAGATATCAGTACAACGTAAGTCATATACTCATTAATAAAAGATTTGTGGATGTGATTTCGTCATCATCTCCACAACAACGACCCACTATTTCGACCCCGTTCCTTGACTTGTTCGTTTATGATGAAATCCTTCGAACAGATTATCACCCAGGGATGAACAATTCAAAATAGGTTCATCTCGTATTCAAAATGGTGTACACCGCAAAATGAAAAATAATTTTTTTCTGCCGTGTGTTCCTGGTGCAGTGATTATATCTCAAAATCACCAATTTTGACTTAGCGGATTTGGGTATCAGATTTCAAGGTAAAAAAACGGTGTCAAGTTTCCTTGTATGACCTAGTTGTTTAGCAGATATATCTCAGAATGATTTAACCTCAAATTTAGCTAACCACTGCGGTTAGCTGCGTTTTGACATTATTGCGATTGGCATTCATTTTGGCTTCTCAAGATAATGATTTTGGCTATAGCAGATATATCTCAGAATGATTTAACCTCAAATTTAGCTAACTACTGCGGTTAGCTGCGTTTTGACATTATTGTGATTGGCATTCATTTTGGCACCTCAAGATAATGATTTTGGCTAATTACTGAATGAAATGGCCCCGACACATACTGGGATCTACAAAAGCCAGTATAATATTCAAACACAGTATTCATTTTACGAAGAATAATTTCAATTATAGCACCAATATAAATGCAATTGTTAGAATCATGATTTATCATTTCGATTTTAAACAGAGAAAAATCATCATCGGCGTCAGTATTTTAATGTGGATTCTGGCGTTTGTTTTTGTACTACCAAATCTGATTGATCCTGATTTGATGGTAAGCGACAGTGACTCTCCGAGTAGCGTAAGTCGAACGATCAAGTCAGAAGAAATTCCTTCAGTAAGTCCCCAGGAATGGGACGAAAAAACTTCAGATGCACTACAGCAAGTTTTTCGCGATCGCGCTTTAAAGCACAACGAATTGATCGGAGTACCGAGAAGGTTAGTTCACACATTGCTTTCATTACAAGATAACTTACGTTGCTATTCCATTCCTAGTAAATGTACTTTACTTGGGGAGATTAAAATCGAACTGTACCATTAATATCAATTCACATTTTCTTATTTTTATTTCAGTGGAAAGATCAAAGTTGACGAAATCGGCACAGGTAATTTTATTACTGTTACTAGTTAATCATATTAAATTGAGAGAAATAAATAATCTATGAATATATTTCTCGAGTAAAAAAGGAGTTATGTAGCAGCGGATTAAGCTGTTCGCCGCTCGGCATCAACGACTAATCAGAATCAATTTTTCAGTAAATCCAATCCTTGTCCAGTGTTTGAGGTCACTAACTAAATTAAAAACTAACAAAATAATTTTTTGCCCGATACAGACCCTTTGGAGAGACCTTTTGATGCTGAAGTGAAAATATACAAGGCAGATTTGGAAACACTTTATGAATGTTACACTCTGATGCTACATGCGTACAACAATAACAGAGACTATGTACGTGATCACGGAGCAATAACGATCGAAGGTTGTCTGACAAGCATAGTGGGAATTATGCATGCCTACTCCGCGGAGTTCAGAAACGCATCAGCAAATAGGGGAGACGATGGGCCAATCCTTGATTATTCAAGTGAGTAACAAACATAGCCTACTGCATAACTAAATCAAACGAATTCAGCTATGTCAATATACTTGTGTCACTTAATGAAAAATATGACGCAAACTTCAAACCAAATTCAACGCATTTGACACAATTATTTTGATTCATATCCATCTGTCGATTGTAATCGAGAATTAACATGGAAATTCCATTTCCAGCTGACTACTATCAACCATTTAATGACCTTTACGAAAATTATGGCACTGATCCATACGATGAAATGGGCAACAGGGAACCACCACTAATCCCCGGAGACGACTCGATGATTAAACCAGAAATATATAACAACGAAACTGGAGTTCTGGTGAGTGATATTATATATGGCTGGTTGTCAAGACGTGACAATATCGTACCAAATATATAAAATAAAAAGTATTATAATTGCATTTATAATATTCGGCATTGCGTCATTACATTACCGAAACCAAATTGAACAACTGGCTTGCAAAAGCAATAGTGAGAAATTAAGTAACAAGATTATTCTATCTTGTCCACAGGAAGCAGTAGAAAAGCACTTTTATCAAGAGCTATTGGCTGACGCTGTCAAGACTCTATTGGAACATCATCACAATGCAAGCCAGAATGAAGCCTGCGATCCAAATTTGTCAGACGCGGCAAGAGTATACGTTCTTGTCGTAAATTTGGTGCTGGGTTTCTTTGTTCCATTCTCCATCATCGTTTTCAGTTATGTCTCTATTGCATATATGATAGGAAAGCGAGCACGCAGTCGAATGAATCCCGGCATTAGTGAAACCTCTACAACACATTTCGCGCACAACTACCTCCAAAACCAATCGACCACAAACATCCCACTGGGACCGATTAATATGAGAGAAAAGCATTCCCGCACACGAAGAGATTCAATGGGACGTCGCATGTCTGACTTTATGAGATACGTTGTTTTACGAAAACCACAAGGTGGTGCAGACAATCGTACGTATTGGACTGAAAGCGATCGCGGAGAGACACCTTCTGGAAGTATGCACAAATCGCCATATTCCGCTTCTTCCAGGCCGTACGAAGACTCGAGCAGTGCAAACGGTAAATCTGACGGCTTCAGTCCATCCGGGAAGTTGTCCGCAAAAACGCCAGAAGAAACCAAATCTTCGTCTTCGTCGCCTGAAGACGATCCATTATACGACGAAGAACTTCAAGAAGCTATAAGGCAATTGAGATCAGTACAAATGCGGGGCACTGCCGGAAATGACACAAACACAAAAGTGAATCCGAGGATCAAAAAATATTCTTTTTGTTTTGATGCAACTAACGAAAATATACCTCAGACGATCGAAGAACATCCCTATGAAATGGAAGAAAATGATGACGACGAAAGCTTTCTCACTACGAGTAACAGATCGAGCGCCAACGAAGTTTTGCAATCAGGGGCAACCAATCACGCTTCACTGTTGTTAATGCAGCGAAACCCCAGGCGGGAAAGTGGAGGATCCTACGGGAGCTCAATGGATAGTATGGCTACTGATCAAACGTCTTTGCACACCAGTCTTCATGATAAGCGTTATTCTGCAGCGACAACAATGTCTGCGCTTACGCCACCCACACCTATAGAGCCGAGCAACCCGAATGCAAATGCATTTTTCCCACCTGATGAAAAGTTACCATACAATCGATCACAAAGTGCCGAATCAGGGTATCCATTATTGGGAGATAGAACAGATGGACATCACTCTGGGGACCAACGATCTCCAAGACCCAACAAACCCGGCTCGCAACTCAACGACATAAAATTAAAATTATATCGAAACTCACTAAGAAAACAAGGAGATGATACAGATATTGGAGCGCTACTTTCAAAAGAAAATGACGGTCATTCTTCACCTGATATAAGCAAAACTGACCAAGGTTAGTTGTAAAACATCGATGATCGCCTTTTAGAGTTTATATTATTGTATAGGGCAAAAAGTGTTTGGACTCGTTGTCGAGCGGAAACATTTTTATCACCGGTGGGATGTTGAGAAAAATCTCAGTGCTCATTTGTTACGATTTTACAAACATTTTTTCGACAATACTTAAAAATATTTGTTTTCTTTTCGCCACAGCCTCTACCTCATCAACTGTTACTAAACCTACAGCGCGTGAGCGATATTCTTATCCGAGAATGACCAGAAGTAAGTCTGCTCCAGGAGACCATATTCATTCTGTGAAACATGGAAAAAGATCAGGCGATGATCATGGACAAAGTAGCATATCACAGTATCCTAAATACCACAGGCAAAATTCGTCAACGTCGACAGTATACTTTCAGCGGGGTCGAACTTATTCTACAACATCAAGAGGTAGTGTCGGAGGTAGGCATATTACAATCAACATTGTTTTTCTTTTTTACAATAACAACAACTCATATTTCTAATGAAAATGACACATTTATTCTAATGATAATGACACATTTTCCCAGGTACCAGTATTTTGCACAAAACCATGGCACGAAAAAATGCAGAACGTCATCTTCGGGTTTCTCGCACTGTACTCGCCTACGTCATCGTTTTTGCCATTTGCTGGCTGCCTCAGCGTATCACTTATCTTCTCTACGTCATAGAGGTAAGAGATTCAAGATTAAATTTGAAATAAATATCTTACAGAGCCACTATAACCAAGCGCTATGGTAAAGTAACAATTACCAGTAAGAAAACGGTACTTTCTTTTTGGAAGTTCTCTGATTATATAATTTATTTTGCAGGCATTAATGGGAGCTACAGACGATATTTGCATCAAGCTAATATCGGGGACCAGATTGCTGAGTTTCATAAGCGTGCTTCTCAACCCTGCGGTATACATCATGACACAACGGGATATACGAGCTTATATTCGTAATAGTTATTGCGTGACTAAACTGCGTCACTGGTACACAAAGTGCACACGCAAACGACACGTCAGAGCGGAGTACAACACAGCTAGAAGTCGTGATAATGAAGAAACCACCGATCGAAAACACGACATTGAACTTCAGATTAGACATGACCAGGAAATAGAGAAAGAATTATCAAGTAATCGTCAAACAAATGTTGCTCGGCCAAATTTCCGCGTGGCGAGTCCACAACGTATGTCCAGCCCACAGCGACCTGCAATACATGCGAGGAAAAACCAAAGTGGTACAACTCATGAAACATTTGCACCCACAACTGCAATTTTGCGACGTGGTGCCACAACGATTGATGAGATGAAAGAAGAGGAAGAAGCTGCGGAAGAAAGCCTCGAAAAGGAAATGAAAAGAATCGCAGCGGAAGAGGAAAATTGCCGCAAAGATGATATAAATAAAAACTGGTTGGAATCCTCAGAGGACGATATTATATCTGCAAAAAATACTTCAGGCAGTGGGAATAAAACATCAAGTTCTAGCTCAAAATCAGAAAACTTTGAAGAATTTTGGATGCGTTGGTTGAAAAGTGGGGGAGCTGAACTTTTGTCACCAGCCAATGGAAATTTATCAAGCACTGACACCCCAAGTAGAATAGACCCTAGTCTTGCAGAACTGGATGACATTGTACAAACAAAAATACCAAATGGCACAAATAATGAAATAAGTGAAACGATGATATTGAAATAGCAAAAACAATGCAATCTACAAGTAAGAAGTGAAATTATCCCCTGGCCATATTTGGGTTCAAAAAATAGGTACGTCAGCTATGCTTCAAAACCCAATATATATTTACGAACAACCGAAGGTGTATGTTCCGCATTTTCATCTTGACAATGCTATGTTTTTGCTGCTATGGGTTTACCTGTCAGGTACGAACCAGTTCCATTTGACTAATCACTAATTCCTTTCAGAACTTTTTTTTAATATCGAGTTCAATCGATTTCTGACTGGAAAATATACTCATCAATAACGCTAAAATTATTTGTTTCATCATTGTAAGCCACCGTTTTGTCCACTGTGCAATTGCAAAACATAGCTTTATCTGTTTTGCTTTTCAACATCTTAATTATTGTATTTTTTTATTATTATCAACTGCCTTGTTTTGCTCTACATGACTAAGGATTTTGTTCTTGTTCAATCAGTGAAATATATTTTGTTGTCCAACTTTCTGTCAAGCAACATCAAGCGCAATAAACTAACTGATATATTTGGACAATACTTGGTGTTTTTTCCATGAAGTCAGTGGGATCGGGATGGGGGTTGTTGACAAGTTAATTAAGGAAAGTGACATATATTACTTCATATTTTGGGAATGATTTTAAAAGTAAAAACCAAATCGCTACACCCAATGAGTGAGCTAAACAACAATTCGACCAACCATAACAAAGATAATACAACAATGAATTTATTCTAGTTAGTTTTAACTAGGTTGATAACTTCACTAGTAACTGTATAGCAGATTGATATGCTAATGATAAGTCAGTTTTAAGCAGAATACAAGCATATATTAGATGGGCTATACAAGTTTGTGTTTGTGGAAAAATGCTCAACTTCGTTCAAATGGTAACATGATTTTCCGAGATCTGATGTATAACCTTTCCTTAGGGGTTTTGCATCTCCATTTCAATGAGTAAATTTGTGTTAGATTTGTTTCAGATTGTGTTACATACCTTTACAGCAGATTTTGTTAACATTGAGATAAATTTCTTAGTCGAAAGGCTGGTGCCAGGAGAATAAATGAACTACCAAATAACAAGACAGCAGCATTCAGCTTTCTCGATAGTATTGATAATGATCCTAATATGTTCTACATGCCCGGATGTTCTTTATTAAATTCACCAAATAAAGAGTACCAAATTTACCAAATAAAAACTACCAGCAAATACATAAATTTTGAAGCTATGTTATTCTCAACTGCCTCATGTTGTCAGTTGTCACATGGCCTATCACAATGTCATTTTAAGGCCTTATTTGAATGAATGAGATACAATCTTAAATCAATGTGCATGGGAAAAAGAATTTAATCCCATGTCTAGCGCTAGCTCCTACTGACTCTAGTTTAGCATTACTGAATAATAAGAAATGACTCACAGTGTCTGCAATAACAGGACCTGTAATATAGATAAAAAAAAAATAAGAATATTTTGCACCCAAATTGAAGATCAGCTTAAATCAGAGCCTGAATCAACCTTAATTAAAGAAGAAAAGATTAAGTTGTACATGAAGTGCATCATATGAAAATTGCTTCAACTAAAGTGAAATATCAACATTTTTGAGCGTTTATGGCCTTTCATTGAAAAAGCATGAAAAATAAAAGCTGAAACAAATTTTGACTTACATTCCTCAAATTCATCATCTGACACCAAGACTGGAACATCCTAAAATAGTTAGAATAAAAATAATCATCCAATAATAATATAGTCTGAAATCAGTCCATAGAATTTGGATTAAACAAAATTTGAAATTATTGCTACATTAAAAAGAATGATTCAAAATTATTTATTTTTCATAAAATTTGCTATTTTGTAGTTAATTTATAATTCATGTTAAACTTTATTGGACACCCTACTAAATTGGACTACTGGATTATTTTGGTAATATTTTGACGTGATTAGTCTTGTTGTTATTGCTGGAGAGATTGTTATTGTGAAAAAATCGCTTTTATTCGCAACTAATAGACCAATTGATTACGAATACTTTGATTTTTTTTCATTTCTCGCTGTGTCTCATGGGAACAGACAATTCACCAAAAATGTTGCTATTTTTTTTTCAATTACGGAAACACTTGTTATTCCTAGGTATTGCTTTCCCTCCTGTCAACATATTGATTAAAAGCTTACTGTATTTTATTTCTGATATTTCACTAGAAACTTTGTTAGATATATTTTTGTGCTTAAAATCTTTGATATAAACAATTTCATGCTTTCACTATATTTAGGGACCCAAAATAAACACTCAGCGACTATTTTGTAAATGACAGTTTGAAACCTACATCTTCATCTGCTTCTTTTTGAAAAGGCTTCCTTTTCTTTTTACCCTTCTTTTTTGGTTTACTGAACTTCTCTTTTCGGATTTCACTTCTATTCACTTCCATGCCGACTCCTTTGTCATGAGTTTCTAAAAAAATTGATAGTAGAAAAAGTAAAAAACATGAAAGAGGTATTGTCAATCAACAAATAAGAAAATTGATAAAGAAATGATCCTAGCTATAATGCATAAGATATTGATGCACAAAATTATTGCACGAAAATTAGATTTGCGGCTTTGCGCAATACAATATCTTTTTTAGCATCATCATGGAATAGAAGATGTAAACATTTGTCAGCCATGTCTTTCTCCAAAAGCTATAAAATGCTATGGGAAGTAATTGAATTAGCTAACTAATTCAATATTATACTAGCACAAACTGGACAAGGAGGTATTGTCCAATAACTGCACAGCTTCCCTCGCTCAAGTGTAAACATGAAATTGTATTTCACACACAGTTTTCTTCACCCTATAGTAATGCTTTAGGACAAAGGATAAGATATCATGTTTATCCCAGGGGAGAGGGAAGCTTATAAGACAGCGTAATGATATGACGCACCAAGACTTATCCACACAATTGGTCACCAATCCATGTCAGGTATGTGATTATTTAGCCAGTTATTTATTCTTTTCAGATGCATGGACTTGTGGTGGAGAAAGCCATAACCGACCAGCTGTAACGTGAACCTTTATGTGGTAGTTAGAGTTAGCGATCATCTTGCACAAAATGATCACCCACAGGATTCGAACCTGAAACCCATACAGGGTAATCAGAGTTGCAATGGCAAGTGTATTCCAGATGTTTGGCATGATGTGCCACCCCTGCCATTTGCTTTTTATCCATTGAAGAACCAAGCACAAAAAATAGTCTTTTTATAAGTGCAAACATCATCCAACTAGTCAACTACTATACCCAAACTGACCTAGTGTCTCGCTTTTCATCTTTTCTATAAGTATATTCAGATTCTTTTGAATCTCAGCATCATCTTTTTTGCATTTTATAAGCCCAGCATGTGCCCAAACCATTGCTTCTTGTATATGTCCAAGTTCATAAATACAAATGGCAATCTTCAAATATCCCTTTGACCATTCTGGATTCAAAATTAGACAACGATATGCATCAACATATCCTGACCTGATAATAAAAATATGAAATTTAAGAGTGATGAAATAGCAGCATAGAAGAACCTCTATTGAATGTATTACAATCATAAAATTAAATTATTAACAGCGCCACATGGCTAAAACTGTCGTCATATTTTTTCAGAAACTACATGAAAAGAAATCAACTTTGTTTGTCCCAGCTGGAAGTGACAGAAACAAAAATTATTATATTGTATAAAGATGTATTGGTTCTTTATTCATAATTGGTATTTTCATCTCAATTACAGTAATCAATCCATAGTTTTTAGGCCGAGAAGAAATCAAACTCAAAATTCTATTTGTCATATAAGATCAGAACAAATTTTCTGATATTGCGAGCTTACAACTCAACAAATTTCACAATTATTCATAATATACAATACTTCATTGTCAGTTTAAAACAGATATAAAGAAATAAATATTACTGGTAATCTTCTTTGCGAATCGCAACTTGGCAACGATTACTGTACAACAAGTAGTGGAAAGGAGCTCTATCAATGGCATAAGTATATTCTTCAAATGCTTCATCAAACTTCCCTTTTTTATAGAATTCGTTTCCATTTTTCCTGCCTTCCTCTGAAATCTTAATTTAAAAAAATAACAAAGAAGATAATTTGAGAAATTGACAATATAGTTGGTGGGTGATAATGTATTGTACAGACTTCAAATCTTGGTTTATGCTATTTTATAACTATATTTTACTGAATGACATAAAAAACAGAACCCAGATAATTCGAAAAATATTCCATAGGGAACATAACTTTTGTGTAAACACTACAGTCCTAGATTAGTGAAACTTATGGGCACAACCATATACTAATAGAAGTTCAGGTGTTTAATTTTCTTCATTTTGGTAGAAGTTGGAGAAGTTAAATTTTAGTAAAAGTTTTGTAGAACCCAGACTATATAAAAAAGGGATAAATCTTATTTTTGGTCAAACATTGGTACTCTCAAATTAAACTAAAATTTCAAACACTGGACATGTAAAATTTCAGAGTCCGTGCATATGGACGGGTCGGCCACCTTTAGCACGGAAAGAGACATTTGCCATCCTTTTCATGTAACTCAAACCTACTGAGCCGCAACATCTAATCTAATGTCAGCGGCTATTAAAAATCTCGGAAAACCACGGCACTTATGATGCAATATTCTAGTTTTTACCAAGAAAAAGCCAAATAAATGATGAATGATGCAATAATTCAGTTCACGACAAATTGAGAACTTGGAAAATGAAAAGAAAATGCTTGTTTAGACAGATATGAATTACCTTAATGCGACCCCCTAACTTTCATTGAATCCCTACAGCTTCCCACAAAAAACTATTGTAGCCGCTTTGATTAACGCGAGCCAGAGCTCCAAAAAACAAAATGCCACATGCAGTTCCAGAACCACAGGTTGCTGATTATTGCACTACGGAAATGTTTTCTAGCAGACATACCTCCGATAAATAATAATATTTTTCACTGTAGTGATGAGCCACTTCCCTGTAAATATTTCGAGCTTCGCATGCAACGATGTGAACTGTTTCTGCGAATTGACGGAAGCACAAAAGTGCAATAAGTACAACACGATCCACAACTTTGAAGAATACTTTATCATAATCCGGATAATCTTGAATGATCGAATAGATGAAATCACTGAAAAAAAAAATAGGAATTTTTCGTTAGGGTTTCGTTGAGTTGCAAATTCATGTTAAGCGAAACAAATACTATTAATAAATAACAAAATCAAAGACAGCATTCAAATTTGTTTGTTGGTGTTATTGATCAGTAATCCGTCAATTAGTAGTTTATTTTTCCACCCTGGAGAAAATACATACTAAACACACAGATCTGGGGTGAAGGGAAAATTGGAAAACCAACACTGGTTATTAAATAGTGACATCTTTCAGAAAGTCTAACAGGAAATAGTATGAGGAGTAGTATGAGGAGTCGCGAAGGACATAGTGTGTCATCTATTCAGTAACACCTTATTGCTGAATTCAAGCAACAAATATAGCAAAGAAACAATATTTTGAAGAAATACTTAAACTACACAATCGTGAATAGAACAACAGATTAATGACAGGAACTAGAGCAGTGGTTCTCAACCTTTTACTGACCGCGTACCACTTTTGTGTTTTTTACCATGGCCGCGTACCACCGACGAAACCGCTTTTGTGGCGGGGAACAATGGCACAAGAAACGCTCTATGGTAGTATTTTATGTGGAACTACATCCATTTTTAGAGCTTCTTTTGTAGAAGAGCAAAGTTTCAATGTATTAATTATATGCAGTAACAACGTAATAATTGCGTGCAAAATCACGAGAGAATTTTGCGTCGTTTACCGTCGGCTGTAACCCGCATACCACACAGGTTAAGAACCACTGAACTAGAGGAATGAGAAAAACCATTGGGAACAGCAGAGCTGGGACGCATAGTAGAACTGGCACATAGTTCGTTGAAGAGCATTGTTTCGCATAGCACAGGGTTTAGGGAAAAACAGAATTTCCTGAGTACACAGCCTACCAAGTTGTTGTTGAGTAGGTTATGAACACAGTTGGTCAAGTACCAAACAATGAACAAATTGACATATTTGGGAAGAAAAAAGATAATATTGAATGTACTCACAAAGCAATACTCAACTGCCCAACTTGTTAGAAGGCCATGCTGCCAATGATATATATTGTCAAAGAAAATCATTAAAATGAAGTTAATGAATCAGCATTAAAATTATAGCTGATGTAAGTACTTACACCACCACTTTCATAAGTTCGTTCTGCTTTGTCTCATTCAGTGCTCTGTCTACTTCAGTAGAAGGAATCTGTCAATGTTTTATTCTAATTTAATAGACACCTTCAAATAGGTATTAAATTGGTATTAGGACCAAATAGCAGATAGGTAAATTAGAAATTTAGTGAATTGGGTATGCTATGAAGAACTGCCAATTTTAATCAGGGTGAGTAAATGACAACAATTGGTTGTCGGTTGTCGGTTATACCGCTTTATTGCTTTAAAGACATAAAAAAGAAAGATTGCATCATTTTCTGATTATATCAAAATAAAACGAAACATTTTAAAGCCAATACAGTTGCTCCATTATCAATATGAAGAATTCGGAAAATTCATAAAATTGAGAAATCGCAATACCAAATGCTATCAATTCAATCGATTCATTTTATTATCAGTCAGTTTTACAGATATAAATTTGCTATAGTAGCAACTACTAATCATTGTGCAGTGTGCACAATAACTTGATTCTATAAATTGCAAGCGAGTTTTAATCATCCACCATGTTGCAGCATCAGCTCAATATGGTATATCCAACAATGTAGGCTTCTAGAATAAATTTGGTGTCAATTCGAAATTTATTTGTCAAAGCGTAAGATAGATGTATACAGAATGTTCTCGAAAGTTTAAAAAAATGGCATGAAAAATCCAAGAGTATGTATAGATGTATATACTGACAGATGGTATAACACACTACTAGGGCTGCGCATCTCAAATCGAAAATTATCCAAATCAGTTCACATTATGAATCGCCTCCATCTTGTTTTTTCTTTCCACCAAAGGTGGGTCAATTTATTTATTGAAGACATATTTTATTAATGCAATTTTACAATATGACTCTTTTCTGTGTGGATGCTCAGCAAACCATCTGAGTGATGAATTTTATGTTTCAATGATTGACAAAAAAGTCCCATACAATTCGATATCTCGAAAGTTTTCTAGATTAGATTCTCAAAGTATAGCCTATAAAAGGATTCGATTCTGAAATCATCGAGTATTCGAAAATGCCCAGCCCTACACTCTACAGATCATGTCCCAGGCAAATGTTTGCTCAGCTCAATGTTCCGAATATAAAACTGCGGGCACCATTGTAAAACAATAAATCTATCGAGTTTACATACAGTACACTTGTACTTATTCAAACATACACAACACATATACTTACATTTCTAATAGAATGCATCATCTTCAAGATGGCTTTAACATTCTTCCTCTTTTCTGCAAGACGTTGTATTCTCTTTATACCAACTTGAAGCAATCTTGTTACAAGATAATGCTCACGAGAAATAGCTCCCGATGGTAGTTTTCTACAAATATATTGAAACCTTAAATAAACTAACATTAGATCTATTACATCTGGCATTCGTACATAAAAGGCAAATATTGGCAGAAGGTCGTTCCACTAGTGAGTGGTGAGACATTTTGAACATTAAATTAAAAAATATATCAAGTACAATCTATTAGTCCACGTGACTTGCAAATAAACTCAACCCATCAATTTATAACTGAATCTACTCAGTGAGCCACAACAATTATTAAACACGAAGTGGACCTATGTAACATTTGTTATTGAATTGTTGTTCTTGTTGGTATTTTTCTTCTTATTGTAATGAAAAAAATCGCTTTTCTCTTCAATCATCGGACCAATTGCTGAGGGATTCTCAGTGGTTAAAGATTGTATTTTTCACTTTGTGTTACTTTTTAATTTTTTTTTTTGGAAGTGAAAGGCATGACTCACCTGATTTTAAAATCAAAATTTATTATCTTCTTCAAGCTTGCCCATCTGATCCACTTTTCAGGAATAAGCAGTGTTTGAAACAAAAAAGGCGAATAGATAATTCTCTCTATTGCATTAAAAGTGTTAACCTCCATTTCAATGTATCTTTCCCATCTTTCACTTTGTAAGCCTGAAAGTGAGAATGTTGGAATGATTGTTTAAACTTTCAATCAAGGATGGCAAATAACAAAAAAACATATAAAATGATATAAAATTAACATTTAAAATTAAAAATAGCCAAAAAGAAGTTAAAGAACATCAAAACATGGTATCTGTGAAAATATTATAAAGCTCAGAACAGTACTGGCTCCATCTAGCATCCTGCTAACAACATCAAGAAGACAACAAACCAAATGTGCAGAAGAAGATATCTATAACCTTGTCTGACTTAAACTAGCGATGATGTGAGAAGGTAAGATCCACCAAATAATTGGGGTACAGTGGAAACTCCACCTACGTACGAAAATTATTACAATTTATACAAATATAATGTCCAAGTTTTGTGTGGTCTTGGAACGGATTAGAGCATTTACATGTAAAATAAAATATGCGTCCCTACTTAAGGAATTTTCTACCTACGAAGGGGCTTCCGGAACAAATGAATTTCGCAGATAGAGTTTCTACTGTATTATATTTTCTTCATTTAATACAACCATATCCTTAATTTAGTCTATGACAAGTTCCAAGTAAAGCAGACAGCAAAAATTAAAGATCTATGAAATTAAAGAAATAGAAAGAGCAAGTAGCGATCCTCTCTGTAAAACTGAATACCTAATAAAGGTTGGAGAAAATATAGATTGATTCTCGAAAAGTAGGGATAGTTTTCCAAAACTTTTTATGTATCAATTGAGATTTTTTACAGAAGCACATCAATCAGTTTTTCACAATTACAGTCCCTAAGTTAAGAGCTTGTGATCTTAATTTGGAAAAAAGTTTTTGTGAAAAAATAATGTAATATTGAATATTGCCATTCAAAATGAGAATTGATATTTCACATGTAGTGTAAAAGGTTAGATTGAAATTGAGCCGTACCAAATAAGATTAGTAGAGAAAACTCACAAAATTTTGTCTGTGTCTGTGGTTCATCATCCCACGGTAACCCTCCACTTATTTTTCCCAATTTCTTTCCCTAAAAAAAGACACACTTGGGAATATAGATAGTCACACAATTCAAATTGCAGATATTCTATTCAGAGTAAACTGGGATAAAAATATTATTCATATGTTGGATTAAATGCAGAAGCTGGTCATCATAGATATAAGAATGCATCTGGTACAAAATAACTGTCTAATTGATCCCATATTCGACATGGACAGAAAACCGGACGAGAGGCCGTGGTTTACCATAGGAATATGTCGTCTCATTGGCTTTCCTCGCTCCTGGAATAAATATGTAGAATAAATCCTTTCGTAAAAATGACACTAAATGGAGAGATGAACTTTGGTATACATTGAACGAACAAAGAATATGAAAACTATGATTCAAGATTTTATATTAAATCTGAATATAGTTTAAACTGAATAAAACATAATGTTATTTAAAAATGAAGTTTTTTCCCCCAATTCAGTTGATAAAAAACTAATGAATGTTTTTCATAAAATTTGCGAATTTCAAAGTTGAATGGTGATTAATGAAACTTTTTGTGTTTTTTATTATTGTTATTGCATATTATTAGAATCTATTCGTATTTATATTCTCAAATTGATAAAATGCTTTTTTATTTTTGTTAGTTTATATTTAACATCCATCGAGATCCATTTTTTCATATTGATAAATTGTAGTCGATCAAAGTTATGGTAAAAAAAATTGATAATCATACAAGTTTTTCATCTTCATCTTCTGTATCTGTTGGAGAATCAGCAAGATCGGGAACATCACAGTCATTCTCCAATCCTCCGCTCACATTGATCACATCCATGTGTTAGATAAGTATTAGAGTTTAACTCGTTGAAATAGCAGTAGGCTTTAATTGCTACAAATTTGTTTCTTTCTATATAAACAAAGTCAAGAGTTCAGGAATCAGGAACACGAAATAATGAGGTTGAATTTTCATTGCTTAATATTTCTGTATTTGTAATTATATTGAAATTGGGTGAAAAGACTACTGGACTTCTCACAGTTGTATGGTGGTTCATGTAACAGCTAGTTGGTTATGGGTTATTCACTACCTGACTAGTGGAAATGCATCGGAAACTAAAAACTGGCCAACTATTCCCATACAGCCATACCTGACCATGGATTGAAGCCGTGGTTTGCAATATGATTAGGTCATATTATAGGCTTTCCTAACCTGCAGAATAAATAAAAAAACCCTATACCATTCAATCCATCATTCGAGTCCACGTCGTTTTTACCGAGTCTATAATCAGTTCTGCTTTTACTAATTTACGCCTATGTTTGCACTTTTATCCCTATAAATCTCACTACATAAATTAACTAGTTGAAATTCAAAGTTAATATTTAACAATATCACTCGTGTGTATTATAAACACTCCTAATAAAAACGACGACAGATATCCAGATAATATAATGCAAGGTAAAAACTATTGATAGCTTATGACAATGATGCCCCAGTCGCTTCAAACTATCTATTCTTTTTGGTATACATGTGGTACACAATAAAATATGTGTTAGAGCAATATTTTTGAGTTTTCGATTCGCGTAAATGAATATAAAACATGCGCAGGATCAACCCAAGGGGGAATCTCATCAATACCTCTTATAAATCGAGTTTATTACGTTCAATCCTTCCTCTAAAAAAAGGGAGCAATGGAAAGCATGGAGCGTTTTAGAACGTTTACATAAACTACTAAATTGCAAGCATTGACGATGAGTGGCATCTCTCTACCATTTGCACACGCGACATAGTAAATTTAAGGTTAGAAATATCTGGAATTATGGGAAAGCATTGTAGTCAAAAGCTTTTTATTTTTCTATTTGACATGTAAGAATTTCTAAATAGCCGCCCAGAATTGACGCAAGGTGGTGGGCTGGAAATCCAGTTCACAGCCAAGGCGCACATTGACCCACGTTTACGATTGTATTATGGCAGCCAAAAAAGAAGAAAAATATATTTTTAAATTGATTCAACAGCTATCTGCGGAACCAATAGACAAAAAATATGAGCTATGATGTGTTTGTGAGCGTGCGATGCTGTAGTATGGTCAAAAACGTGTTTTTTTACTTTTACATTGTGGCGTCACGGACTCGGAGGATTCGATTCGAGTCCTTGACCTATTACTCGGATCCGTCGAATCTCTGTAATACCGGACTCGTCCCATTCCTACTGCCTATAATCGTAATTCATTCAAAAAACATATCTATCTTTGGTATTCCATAAACAGATTAAAGCACAATTATGTCTGTATGTAAAATGGATAAATGTGCCGTACCAAACAGATAAAACCAGGCTTATGAAAATAGGATTAGGATTAGGATTTACATATTTGTCCCGGGGAAGAGGAAAGCCGATAAGACGGCTTATCCATATGGCGAACCACGGCCTCTCGTCCGGTTACCATTCCAAGTCGGGTATGGGATTTCGGGCATGGGATTAGTTATATTGTTTTCGGAAGCATGGACTTGATGGTGGAGGAAGCCGTAACCGACCAGCGGTTACGTGAACCACCCAACGACGGCGAGGAGTCCCGCAATCCTCTCGCACATAATCATCCCTGCATGAGATTCGAACCTGCGAACCCACGCAGAGTAATTAGAGGTGCGGTGGCGAGCGTATTCCTAACGCTTAGCCCGTTGAGCCACACCGCCAGCTCTCTAATAAACTAAACCTTTGACCGATGACAACACACAGGAGTAATATGAAATTGACTCAATGAACAGAATAAAAACTACTGCATCAGTGTATCGGCAGATCGGGGACAACACCGTTTGTACAGCCAGAAATATGATGCATGGCAAATACCGGTACCGTAGGCCTTCAAAATTGTACATTCAAATGCGATATGGTCATACAACCTACCTAATAACGGTACTAAATAACGTTGTGGCATGGTCAAAATACGCAATCAAATTAACAACAACATTAGTGATAACGAAAAATTGAAATAACAGAAAATCAACGCGGACTTGAACTAACTCACCAGCATTCACGGTTCTGAGGTACAGCTCTCTACTACCATCGGTGGTCATTATACTGAAGAACCTATGTTGGCACCAGGGGAATACCCCAGAATAAGTTGAAGGTAAAAGTGCTGACGCGTTCGAAACGATCGATATGGTGTTTGTTGGTTTCATTTAAACATGAGGTACGCGCTAATGGCGTGGCTTATTGCCTGTCATTAGAAGACGATGAAAGTTATGTTTCAGCAACACGTTCCATTCAACAAAATTGCTCATTTCCATCATTTATTAGCTACTGTATTGGGACTATTTCGCTTAAAATTTTCCCAGTTGAATTGTCATCCACGTTACTGCGACTTGCAACTTTTAACTACGAAGTTATTAATTCAGTACGGTACGTAGTTGCCCATTTGCCGAAATTGCATATTTACTTACCCCTTATGGTTTCAAATAGTTCATGTACCTCCAGTTAGATTTTTTTAATCAGTGAGGATATATACTCATTGTTGATTGCTGCTCATTGTAACATACTATTACGCATTCACTTTTATTTGCGTATTGAATCAAAGTGTTAACAAGTTCACCTAACATTTCACTCATACCGGTCTATATTGTATAGTCTGATTTCTCAAGTATTTGGAGCCACGAATGCTTGTAATTTTCTGACTAAACCCTTTTATTAGTTGGTTTATATACCAAATTCAGTAAAATATTTTTTAAATAAAACATGAAATATTGGATTTATTAGCTTTTCCATTCTGAATCATATAGACTGCTTTATTTATTCTTAACGGAAATTAATAAATCTCCTCTCTTTCTTCAGATGTGAAAGTTGTGGACAAACCTGTCTAAGCATTGTGAGACTCTTGCAGCACAAGAGGCAATAGCAGAAATAGTAAGTATATCAATCAAGAAATTAAGCCGACATAAAGCAAAACTTTCAACTATTCGTCTAATCCCAATAGGCCGCGAGCCGAGGCAATTTATCTTTCAGTTTCGTAGCGCACATCAGGTAACTACCTGAAAATGATTTTAAAATGTTCCTTAGAAATTTAGTAACAAATATTGCCTTGTTCCCACTTCCAAAAGTTGCACGTTTTACAGAAAAGACGCTTTTACTACAATAAATATGTGTTACCATCTGTCCTATTTTCTCTGCTTTTCCGGTATCATGGGCCAATGAACGCAGACTTCTGCACGACGTAACAGTCAAGTTAGTCAGCTGTAGGTGGATCCCCAGTTATCGGATGAATATCAGATGTACTCAACTGCTCGCTTTTGCGTTGAGTAGCCTTTCCATAGTTTTTTTCAGTTACCGGTAATATTAGTCCAGTTATTCTAAGGAGGTGTTGAAAAGTATAGGTAAGATATTAAACACTTGTATATCCTTGCCATAAATAGCAATTTTAGTTGAGCACTAGCTCATAAGACGTTGTTAAATAGGTACGGTGCGGTAACTCCAAGGAAGGCTAGACCTAGAATAATATGTCACAAACAATGATATTTTCTGGCTTGCATGAAATGTTTATGATTAATTTAATGACTCTTCTTGACTATTCAGCAGACTTATACTACTATATAGGCCACAGCATATTTGGAAATAGAAATGAATGGCTGTTTCTGTAATGCACGGTTGTGTGAAAGAGAAGAAATTAATCAATTTTACTAATGTCGGTTGGTCTAAATCTAAATTCATAGAGTCGACAAGAACCTGGGAAGCAATGATAAGTTATGCCGGAGTGGAAAGAAAGGTAGCATTGAAATGATTGAGAGGTGAGAAATGAAGTTGTAGACAAACAGTTGATGTTTCAAAATATAGTCTATAGTCCATACTGGTACTCATACTGTCATAGGACATTTCAGACTGTGATATATCAAAATTTAGTGGTTATTACATAAAATTTATTCTCAAATGTGAATCAGTGTTGTTGGTGTCGCTGCTTTCGAGGTCACTCCCGACTCCTGTCACACAATTAAAGTATTTTTTGTTGTTGGTTACATGTATGTCATATTTTTCGTAATCTACCTAATAAATTATGATTGACTGAGGAAGTCCGATTTTGGTCAGGCAAAACATTACAGGAATACATTTGTGTTAGTGTGCTGTAGGGCTCTCGAATTGTATAGTTCTTATGTATGCGTTGTAAACTTATGGTTATTGAATTTCCGGGAACCTCTTATATTCAATTTCGCACCAGGATTGTGGAACAAGCTGTAATGCGTTCATTATGTTCGTTTTCACACAAAACTGAAGAATTTATTTAGTTACCAGATGTGCGCTACGAAACTCATTTTCTGGGCGTTTTCATGGTTTCGTCTCACGGCCCATATCCGTGGTAAGGATCTACAAGTGTTTAATAATTTACTTATACATTTTTCAACAACGTCTTAGCATAACTTAACTAATAATAACTAAACAGGGCTATGGAAAGCCTGCCCAACTCAGCGCAAGGTCGAGCAGAAATAACTAATATTTATCCGCTCGCTAACAGCTGGTTTAATTCAATTGTTACGTCATGCAGAAGTCATTGTTCAGTGCCGAAAATGTAGAGAATATAGGACAGATCGTAGCACATATTTCTTGTAGTAAAAGCATCTTTTCCGTAAAACGTGCAACTTTTGGAAGTGGGAACAAGGCAATATTTGTTACTAAATTTTTAAAGAACATTTTAAAATCATTTTCAGGTAGTTACCTGATGTGCGCTACGAAACTCACTTTCTAGGCGTTTTTCAGGGCCTCGGCTCGCGGCCTACAATTTCCTATTATTTATTCACAGGACAACTATAGCAGACGGGGAGATATCAGTAGTCTGGCGACATATCAGTGACAGTGTGATTCCAAGAAATATAATGCAATTGAAAATAGAAAATTGCAATAGAAAAACAACCTATGGAGGCATGCAAAGACATTTGACCCTCCGGTAGAGTTGTGTATGGCCCCCACATCCTGCAGGGCTTGAGGAAAATAACTAAAAATTCCAAAGCGTAAGATTGCTTAGGCGGTCTTATTTGTAAAAAGGCACAAAACACGCCAGACATACTTAAAACAGCTTTGGAAATGAGGATTACGGGTACCTCACTGCACCTGTGTTATATTTGGTTCATCAACTTTTGGTAGTACTATAGAAGAAATTCCGGAAGGGGTATAATCATCATTCATGATAAAATACTATCATATATTTTTTGAACAACTTCAATCTAGACCAGGGATCTTTTTATCTAAATGTAATAGATTTTTCAAACCTTCTAAAGTGAAATTGATTATTCACACAGAAAACAATTTACTGAAAGTAGTTTTGGAATATTGATTTTTTTTGTCCACATTTTGACCCAATTAAGAATACACATCAAGCTAGCAAAAGAATACTTGAATAAAACACTTGAGTAATTAAATTAAACGCAAAGTACATGAAGAAGGTGGCATTTTCGAAGAAAATGGGAGTTGTAACATTTCTGCTCTTCACAAAATTCTGAAGCACATTGTTTAATTTGTCATATTTCCATCAATACAATCAAAAAACACAATAAGCTCAGCAGTCAATATGACAAATTCGAAGAACAACTTCGAACAGAAAATTTTCATGTGTTTGTATATTAATATAATTACACAACGACTTAGTTACTAAAAATCAATATCAATAATAATTCAAGCAATCCTATGCCACGCAATGTAGTGCGAAATGTCTTGTCGAAAAAATCTGTCATTTGTTTTTTTACTGATCTATACATGAAATGATAAAAGTAACTTTTTTGCATTACTGGAATTAATTAAACATTCGTAATGATCCAGATAAACCCATGATCATGTGGCCTCGTTAGTTAGAGTTGGTACTATAAAATCATTTCAGACTGGCCTTAGTATGCTGGTGACACAAAAAAGATGCCAAACGCCAGGACAAATGTAATTATTAAAACATTGAGTTTATACTGTAGTATTTTTGTTAATTTTAGGTTCATATATTTAGATTAAGTTATTTTTAGTGTATGTATTATTCTTTCCTTATTCAAAGCTTGTTCAAAAATGATTTTGATGGTTGTACATAGAATTTTACGATTTTTTATAATAAATACTGTAACTTGCAAATGTTGCAATAATAGTGGAATGCAAATATTAATATGTAATTGCCTTTGAAATTGAAGAAAATAATAAAACTTAATCCAACTGTTTAGTTGCATCACAATATATGTCACAAACTAAAACTATCTTAAAAATATCTTTTAAGTATACATTATCAAAAACTGTTTGCGGCTCTTTTTACAATTTTCAAAATGCAATGCGGCTCTCGAAAACCCATGAGTTTGACACCACTGATCTATTCTAGACGATTCAAGCATTGCTTTGGGAAATTATATCACTTCAATTAAATTGAAATAATTTCGCTATATTAAATACAAAATCGTTGCTATCATAAAGGTAAACCAATTCAGCCACTCGAAATATATTGGCCTTCACAAAGCAATGGAGGCAAAATTGAGAGTTCATGGGCTATGAACATTTGTTCTTTTCTTTGTCTTGAACTTTCCATACTCCACAGCCCCTATTAATTTTTTTTAATTTTAATTACCATGTGATGGTCATACATATCTTTAACTTGTATTTTCTGTCATGATGTATTATCTCAATGTGCCAAACTATTAATTAGTGTGCATATTTTGCTTCCAGATGACATAAATATATTGTCATGTTTATTACCTCAGCTTGGAGTATTGACAAGAAAAAGGTGCCAGTAAATTAGGTAAAAAAATTTTCAACTCATTGTTATAATCAGAATTCACAATCAATAGGAATTATAAACAGCCAACAATCAGTGAGAATTATATGCAAAATCCCTCAGAATAAATTTGTCTAAAATCGGAGGAAGGCAAAAAATATAGGTAGTTTCCATCCACACAAGCATTTCAAGAAGACTTGCTCGAGCCAAACTAAATGAGCATCGTCAGGTGATCGGTAAGGCTGCAAGTTGAATTCAGCCCTGCAACCTTCTGCATAGAAGATAATATTAATTAGTGGGCTATGAGCTAAATTTAAACAAACCTATCTACGATGCATTATGTACCAGCAATGTTACCTACGATTAACTGAATATGTAATATGTCTAATAAATTCACCTACAAAAGCAAGTTCGATAGGTGCAAACTTTGTGTTATGGAATTGTATCGCAGCACAGTTTTGTATGACACCCTCTTTAAATGAAATTTCAATTAAGCGCAAACATTAAAATTACTAACTTTGAACTTTGTCATTATCTGCTATCCGCTATCGCGTTTGTAATCTTCTCTGATAAATAAAAAAACGTCTATGATGTCCAGAATTGCTCTTTACAGCTTGCCTGTTATTCCAGCTTTCCAAGTAAGCAAAACTTCTTAGATATAGAGATTATTTTGTTTCGTTACAGGCGCAAAAAGGCAGGTACTACACGTAAAAAAGACGCCGAGTAGCAAAAGCGAGCGGAAAACGGACGCGAAAGGTGACGAGAAATATGTGCATTGGAGCGTATCATGAAATACAATGTTTTGCCTGTAGTCTTATGGAGTGACGTCAGAGTTGCCTATCATGTTGTTTAATGTCATTGGTCAGACCAAAGGTCAGACCAGTCGGCCATCTGTTCAACAAAGTTCATTGCTCAGCTGCGCCCTTACAGTCGGATAGGGTACGCAACGGGTAATGCGTTAGCCTATCCGGCAGTCATTGGATCTTCGTATGCATACTTTAAATATGGCCCAATGTTCTTTTATTTGTGACATAACTTTGGTTTTTTGCAGACTTATATATGTGAATGAAGAAGTGTATAGCCGATTAACACTAATCCCATTTCTACAGGGATAATTTCTACGCCTGGCACCGAAAAATTCAAGTCAGCTTTTTTTTAAAATTTTGCATTCAATACTGTTACAAGAGGGTAAAGGCCTACTCAAACATACCACGCATCGGTACATTAAGGCCTTAGCTGTTCAGCTGAGAACCGAGTGACAAATGAAGCGTTGTTGTGTATAACGGCTCAGCACCATACGATGGCGATGTGCTCGTTAGGGTGATTGGAATAAATAGATCGTACAGGCACTTTATTTTTGATGACGCGGTTCTGTCTGAGTTCCTTTCAAAGTTCGAAACGATTGTCCAAATATGTTTATTGTTGAGTCAAAATAGTAGTCAAATAATGATGAAATAGTTGTCAAACGGTAATCCGGTAAAATACAGTGCTATTACACAGGAGGGACCAATAATAACTATATGAAACAGGAAAATAGAATTATATGATGTAAATTTAAACTACGCCTAATTAATAATACCAAAAGTCCCCCGATTGATTAAGATACAAATTTATACGTCCTACCTCCAAGCGGCTCACGCCGAAAGAGATCCCGCCAACACCAAAATGGTCAGGGTTCAATGCCCTAAGTTACCGTTGCCAGTTTAGTTACAATAATAGCGGTCACCGTTTAGAATCATGGCCGCTACATTGTGAATTAAAAACTAAAACAGCAAGTATGGGGTCGGAGTGGAATAAAAATTATAGCCTACATAAGTCGTTATTTCATACTTTTAAATAGGAGGTGTAAGAGTAACATTTCTCAAACATAAACTAAACAGTCACGCATACGAGCAGGTTTCATTGGTCGAAATTTGGTTATCTTAGAGTCGGGAGCTAGATTCATAGTCATACTTGTTTGAACTCGGAGCAAAATGCCGCCATGGCAGTAAGAAATTTGTAAACGGCTTGAGAGACGGCGTACATCAATTTTTTTTGAACGGTTAATAGTCAGATGGAGCCTTGCTCCAACTCAACGGCCAGCAACCCTGGTTTATATATTATTAGGCTGAACAATTCTATTTTATGAAATCTATTTGCCGATAATAAGTGATAATTTTAGTACGATAATATATTTTATAAATAAAAAGAATCATTTGTTCTGATGCACATGTAATCATTCAATCATTCTTTTGCTTGTTTGCAAAATAAGCTGCAAGTAATGCCACAGTGTTTTTATCGTTGAAAAAATTAAAGTAATCTGTAGTGGCCGAAGTACTAGTATTTAATAAGAAGCCGAAACTACAAATAGACGTAGTGAAGTATAAAAAACAAATAAATGCATTGACGAGAAATAATCCAATTGTTTCCGCCTTTCTTGGTATTGTACATAACATACATACATTTTCGTGATAAAGAACGTCGCATCTGCAAAATACAAAAATGAACAATATCGATAATTTTTTGTAGTGTAGAATATTATGCTACATTGAATAAGAAAAGTGGCGGATTCTTGCTGCAAACCTTGCCAATATCATTAGCAAATTTCAGACAATCTGATCGCACGCAATATTCAAAAGTGGTAATTGCATCAATTGTTTTACTGTGTAAAAAGCTAATATATATATACGTGTGCTTTGTTAAAATCAACACTGTATCTTGTACCAATTTTTTTATGGCTAATCGCGCCATCAAAAAAATTCATTATTACGGTATTGGAAAAATTGTAGACTTCTCTAATGACAGCCAAACAAACAATTAGTTTCCAGGAAAAACATAGAATCTTATATTTTAAACGGAAATGGTTTAAAGTGAATACTCACAGAAAACTTTCCGTATTCCAACCGCTGTTAACCAGGTAGACTAGGACAACAGTCACTAAGCAGCACGATATTACAGCAACTAAGATTCCGATTATTCGACTTATAAAATATTCTTTAACGATAACACTTTTATTGAAGTTATTTTTATGGCACCAATGTCGAAGTAAAGCACTCTTCATTGGCAATTCATTGTTTTTCCCAATTGTGTCATACTGCGATATTGCAAGTTGAAAAATCGATGCGACATATGGATGTTGAGAGAAAGATGACAGGTTTTCGTGACAAAGAGTGGAAAATAAATCTCTATCTGAAATTCCGAGGAAACGTGCCGGTGAGTTCTAAAAACAATGTTACATGATAACGATACTTAATTTCGGATATGTAAGAGTAGAGTTCCCTTTAGAAATTGTTGAATATTGAAATACCTACAATCTTTTCAGACAAAGCACTTTTATAAAATGCAAAAAGATCACAATAAAAAGTATTGAAGTATTTTAGTGGTTTTTGAAAACAAAAGAACAAATTAAAAATGAATACTTCATCATTGCAATCTTTCTGGGCCTTGATATTTTTCGTGCAACATCCACAATTTCCCTTCTCTGGATCCGGTTGTTGTGCTCTGTTTTCACTGCTTCTCATCAATCCCACATTTTCGCTGTATGATTCACTGAAGAAATTTGTTTTAAAACTCATTTTCTTCCAATATGGAAAAACAATAAAACAGAAAAACATCGAATTGTAATGCAAGACACACGGACCTCGAAGTGCAACACCTCACAGTAGCGTTCGCCCCTCTACCTAACATAACTGCTGGTGGTATTCAAAGCAAAGTGCAGAAAACACACACGCGAGCTTCTATTGGGTGACTGTGCATATCGTCACGCTAATAGCCGAATTGCGTAAGTCATTTTTGGCGATTTTGAGTTTTTTTTATAAAATAGGTATTTATGTAATGCTGCGCACCTGTCTGTTAACTCAGATTTTATTTTAAGAATTCCGAAACTCATAAAAATGGAGATTTAGTATGACATGCACATTTGAGCAATTGTTTCGTCATAAAGAATTATCATTGTCGCCGCAGGACTATTGTGACGCCGCAACGGCAAAATAACCTCGGCGAAGTATTTTCGAGTTTTTGCATCTCGGATTCTAGCTTAGCGCGTATTAATTTGAATTCATACTACAGTGTAGGAAGACGTGCACTTGTGATATTCACTGTCCGAGTGCAATTCACCTTGGTTGGCTTTCATATTGAGTGCATTGCTGTTTTATTCTTTATATTTAATCTTAATCTAATTTCGGGGGGTGTGCAGAACGTGTTATATTGATGAAATATATATTTTTAAACATAAAAAATTATGTAATTGAAACTGATTAGCTATTTTGGGGATTGGACATTGCAGATAACGAGAATCACATTCGTTTTTGAAATGTGTAGTGTTCAGGACTTCTGCATATAGTGAAGTTGCAAAATTGCGTATGTCCCCAAGTCATAGACACATTTCTGCCTAAGTCACAGTGCGCCATTATGACGTCACTTAACTGCGTCATACAAATTAACTTAAATCCGGCTACGATCAAAAAATTGACCATGGCAAATTATTGACTCTCAATGGCACAACAATATCATTAGGAAGATTTTTACGTTTTTCTCTAAACTGCTAAAAATGACTTACGCAATTCGGTTATTAGCGTGACGATATTACATTCACTATTTTTATCACAATTTTCAACAACGCCAAATGCATAATTCGAAATAATTATTATTCAATTAATGAAAAAATATTGATAAAGCGTTCTCTCTAATACTTCATGTCTCTTCGTTGTAAACATCCTCGATCCGTTCAATTTCACCATCAACACGTTTACAATTTAAAATTGTTCGTTTATAAAAACTATTATCTCTATATTATGTATCAGCATAAAACGAATAATAGTCTTGAGTCTTACTTCATGTAGATTCCTCCGGGAATATTCATCAAATTCTCATAAACATCTTGTAAAAGTAATTTGACAAACTTCAAATGTCCCATCATTCTTGCACCAACTCTAAAATGCCACCAAGCAGAAGGTAGAGCAAACGCAAATGCCTGCAACGTGGATAGAAAAATTAATACACATGATTAAAAAGAAAATACACATAAAAAGAGTTATTGCCATACCCTGCTATCAGAGGCATCCTTAATAAATAAAAATACAAGGCACAGAATATATAGATATATTTTTTGAGATAAGCAATACCAAAACTGCTTCAATGTCAGCAAAATTGGCCGATAATGATGATTCTGATGACGTTTCAAATTACGTATATATAGCGTAACACGTGTAAATTGCGTTATTTTCTATATATCACTGTATTTGTAGAGAACTGGGAGTGGAACCATTCTCGTAACGTTGAAATCTGGAATTTCAATAATGCCAGTTCCTTACATTCAAATTAAAATAGGAAATTAATTCTTGATCTTTACAATATTCTGAAATATTGGCCAAAGTAACTTTCAAAATTTCTGATTGGATACTAATATCAATGAAATGATGTTCATAATACCCGATGCGATAAAATGAATCGAATAGTACAAATACTAAATTAGAATCACGAAAAATATAGTTAGAATTTCTCACATTCCTGGTATTCCATACTATTGTTCATCTTATGATAATAAATAACCACAATTGACTAATATATTGTACCAAACCTCTAAGAGCATGCAGTAAGGAAGCCATTGGATAAATCTTTTGATGAAAGTTGGATTTGATAAAAACATGTTATCAGTTATTTTAAGTTGATCTTCGAGTATAATACATGATCCAACGTCGTTGGATGTGTTGTTCGACACATGCAAGATACTGGAAATGAATGAAAAATTGTAGAAATATATGAAAATCATAAGTTTCGTAAGTGCCATATTATACTCCCACTAGTTGTTCGTTTAAAAAACATTTGGCTTCATTCATAAGATAAAAGTCATAGATGAGGTAAATGTGCTTATTAACAACAAGATGATCATCCACGATCTTTTGTACTATTGCTAATTGCTATTATCAATGTATTTACATTGTCAATCGAGAGCAAGTGTCTCATCTAACGGTATTCGTACAATAAACATAATAAATCGTTACAACCAACGAAGCTTTATTAAAATCACAGTATATACAGAAAATAAAACTTACGTGTTTGAAGATTCCCAGCAATAAACGTTCGCATATTTTATAAAACTTCCTTTCACGTTATGAGTGTTTGTCACGGGGAAACATGACAACTTTGCACCTGAAAAACATTCGAATCAACCTCAAATCACTATGTAAGAATTCAAGTATCATTACAATTTGGTTCGCTCTAAAAGTAATTCATTGTTTTCTTATTTTATTATATACACAATAATATTTATTATAGTTTGTTAGAGTTGCATAAAAAAAATTTCATTCCGTTCTGTATTCAAGAACTATTTGAATTGTGTTGGTCTGCTATACTTAAACAGTTGTGAACCTTACAACATTAGATATATGAATATCCAATTTTACCAGCCACTTCCGAAATTTTCGTTACAATTGCCAGCAGAACCAAAAAATAAACTCCCAAAAAATGTAGAAATCGATCAGATGGAAGTTCAATAACAATTTCCTTTTCGTGCTTTTGTGAAGCCTTTTCTAGTCCTAAAAATATTTCTGCATGGCTCATATTGTGGAATAAGTAGATATAATATGTTCCGATATTAAAGAGGCTAAAAAACAGAATAAAATAATCAACATTAATATATTTGTACATAAAAATCAAACATATTTTTCATTTGCATTAGTTGGTTTATTTTCAGACACAACTCATGATTATTTTTGCATTGTGAGATAAATTTTTCTCCGGCTGTGATATTGAACATATATTGTGCAATGTGGTCGTTTGTTTGAAATGAATAACAAATTATATAAACAAAAACTGCTTTTTCAGCACTCCAGTACAGTGTTTCTTATATAATCAATTGGTAGTAGAAAAACACACAGTAATTGTTTACAGCAAGTTTTTTCATTATTTTGGTAAGTTGGCAATCATGAATTATAAAATCCAGCTGTTATATGAAATTGCTTACTGCAATTTTTACCATGGGCTAACTGATTTTAATAAAATAGTAGATGAAGGAATTAGATTTTCTTAAAGTTGCAATGAATTATATATATGCTGCATACTCAACAAAAATTAATTAGGTAATGACAAAAAATTAATGTCTTGTTACGTTAGTATTAATCGTGAATGTCTCCGTTATGAACTCCGAAATAAAATTGAATGTTACGTTGAACACGGTGACTGAAAATTATGGATACGTTAGGGCCCATTCACATCTGTTCACACCACTGCGCTATTCTCTGATTGTTCAAGTAAACGTCCTGCACCCGAAAATTATGACCTTTTGACTCGACATGCGTTGCTGCACCGCAGTGTGAACAAGTTCAACGCATTGCGTTTGCGTCTACGTAAAAATATAACGCAACGCACTGCGTTGGTGTGAATGGGCCCTTAGCCATGTAGCATAACCAAAAAGAACATCTATATACTTTTACATTTTGCCGTGAAAAGTGAGACATGGTTTATCATGAATGAAAGTAACATTTGAAACTATACTGACTGAATGAATGTCGGATGATAAATTCGAACATGCCATAAACCATAAAAGCAGTGCTGGCTTTTCTGTTAAAATTCCTAACTCACGGATAACGTGATCGACTACTTATTTTGAATCTTTACTCCATTTACACCCAGTTCAAAGTGTTTAAAATAAAATAAGATTGCGTTGATACATATATAATATCAAATTGTTCATATATTTATGAGTTATTTTTCTCTTTGTCCTGCATTTCACGTAGTGCTGCCAACATCACTAGGCTTCCTCGATTTTTGATATGTTCAAAAAATAAGCTCGTTTGCCGATTGCGACTTCTTGAAGTAAAATATAAGTGACTTGAAGATATAATCAGATATATAGTAATAATTATGAAATTAATGACAAGAAACGCCAGCATTTCGGTCTTTCTGTGGAGAGTGCAGACAATGTGTTCATTTTCATAGTATAACACATTGCACCTGAAAATATAGTTTGAAATATATTGATGATGTGAGAGATTACAAATTATATACTAACACACGACAAAAAAATTATTGAAAAACTATAAAACATACACGTATGGATGTATCTATGTAGATTTATCTATGTAGCATTAAATTTACAATGTTTTGGTGGAAATTGTACTCATTCCCGTTGCCTATGTTCCGAATGCTCACAATTCTTTATGTTTTTAATTTCTTGGTTTTTGCGGTTATTGGATTTTAGAACCATGCTCCTCAATGTGTTGTTGAGTGAACCAGATCTTGCTTAGCGCAAACTTAGTACAAAATATAAATAAAGCAGTGGAGAAAATCAATATACTTACAGAAAGTTTTCTGATTCCCATATGTCAGATCCCAGAATTTCAAAAACAAAAGCTGTTGCTCTAATTATCGCCAATGATATGATAATTGAAAATACGTGTTTCAAGTAATATCTGATAACCAGAAATCGACTGCTGAAATTTTCTTTGTGACACCACTGGTGTAATATTGCGTCATCCATTGGATAGACACCTTCTTGGTCTTCAAAGTGTTTTAAGAAAGTCAGTCGAAATATAGACAGTAGGTATGGATAACATTCCAGGGAAGAAAAATTCTCGTAACACAGCATTGAAAATAAGTGTCTGTCAAGCATTTTGGATTCATCACTCTGTGTAATTCCTTGTGTCGAATTTATTGATTTCGTTGTTTCATTTTCGGGATCTTCATGATTAATCTCTTTCTGTTATATATTTTGAAATATTAGATATGTATTCATATCAATTTTGAAACACCATATTAGATTTTGTGTAGTACAAGAGAGCAATGCTGAAATGAAACTTTTTACTTACAATTCCCCCCAAAATCATATCCAGAATAAAGCTCGAACTGTGGCACAGCTACCGTAACTTAGCCCACCAGTACTGGGGTACCGGTACCCAGATTGTCCTAGATCAGGGGTGGGCAACCCCTGGCACGCGTGCCAAACTTGGCACGCGAGCTCATTTATTTGGCACGCGAGGGATTCCTCGAAAGCGAAATCATTAGACTTCAGATAAAAAGTTTCAAGACTCTGAATTATCTGATGAAACTCGGTGTTCGTTTATTCATTATCGTTTGTTAACAATCCGCTATTTATTCAAACTCGTTTTGTCTTTTCATGACATATGGCTGCAAAGAAATACATTATGACGTAACAAATGAGTGAGCTATCGTGCAATTTTGCCGAGAAGAGCGCAGCATTCATTTGGCTACATTCTTATGTAATATAGTTCGTCCGTGCCACCCTTTTCGTTCATTTCTGCTCGATTTATAAAGTGTAGAGCTCATGTTGGTTAGAGTTACTTGCTAATTTACTGTTATAATTTGATTTCGAAGAAAATATAAGCGATTAGGGAACGGAATACAAGAGAGAAGTGCAGAAAACAAACTATTGCGCGATTAGTATGCCATTCCCGAAATTTTTCGTGTCTTAAAAACTTTGCAACTGCATTACTCTCCGTGTTTTCATCTACATATGCTTGTGAATCTCCGTTCTCAGTTATGATCTTTATTAAGTCTTGTAATAGTAGTAGCCTGAATAGAATAAGAAAAGTAATCAAATCTAGTTGTGGACTGATATTTTCCCGAATAGCGAATATGTCGGTACATTTTCAAACGGTTTATTATTGTGTGGTTCTGCGATGAAAAATTCTGCGATGAAAAATTCTGCAAAAAATTGTTTTTAAGTTTGGTCGGCACGCAGTAGCATTTTGTCGTTAAATTCAGCCGATTTTGGCACGCGAGCCAAAAAAGGTTGTCCACCCCTGTCCTAGATGCATGAAAGCAGGCCACGTGACAAAGATTGTTCCAGGCTGGATGTGAATCAGAATATTAAATGATTCGAATCACTGCAGTATCAGATCTTCTACAATCTACAGTACCGGTAGCGTACGGACACTCGCAAAACATTGCGGAACAGTCACGCGGTGTGCAATTTTCATGACGTCATCACACAGAACTTCGGAGTGAAAAACGAATCCAATACAGCCAAAAGAATATTCTGAAACAAATAAATGTAATAGCCTCCTAGCGACAATAACAATTTTTAAACACTAAAAATTTCAAAGCAATTGGTTGAAGGGGAAGGTGATTTTAACAACAACATAATAATACTAACTAAACTATGCATGGGTCGACTTCGAGTTTAATAAATGTAAAATATTGTAGAAGTATTCATATAAAATAATGTTTCAGCATCTTGAATTCAGCCATTACTCACGTCATTTTCCCGGGTTAAAGTGTGTCCTCTGACCTTCCCCAGTAATTCATTGACTTCATCCCTAATACCCGGGGTATCATTGTTAACCAGAACTACTTCGCCGTCTTGATGTCGTGAAGAATGTTCCCAACCGTTAACATGTAGACTACCATCATAGTATTCCCTCCTATAGATATATAAGAAACTACTTTAGTAAATAGAAGAGGTTTATTGCACACAAAAGGGGGCTGAAATCGTATCGAAAACATTGGTCGTTGCTGCAACAAAAATTATTTTTTTAACTAATGGGTCATCTGCTCGTATATAGTTTCCTAGAAGGTGATTATACTGTTATGTTTTTAATTTTTTTTAATATTTAGAACTCGGTTTCAGATCGAATTTAAGTAATTTTAAAAAATGCGTCATCGGATAGATCAGTCCACTGGGCTCAATAATTCTAAACAAAAACATATCGCGATACTGCGATAGCGTACTTACTTCTTGTGCAATTATTTCAGCGGTTCTGTATTATCTACTAACTAGTTATTGAAATTGCTCATAAGGGTGTTACACGACCCGTGTACCGATAAAATATTAACTCAATTATTAATAATTAAATAGGCATCATTTTCTATATATAATACAATATGTCCCCCGTTTTCCTAAAATTATACGATTAGAGGTGTAAACACGTGTGTGTTCCTGACGCTATAACCCTATAGTGACTTGAGTCTAGTCACTTACTTTCCCGGAAATTTTTCTGAATATCTAGTCCATAAGATTATAGTAATATAATAAAACTCACGAATGGTATACTCCTGCAGGAACATCTTTGACTTTCTCATACATTCTTTCAATAAATAGTTTCATAAATTTCAAATGTCCCATCAATCGCCCCCCAACTCTTAAGTGCCACCATGCAGAGGGAAGAGAAAGCAAAAACGCCTACAATAAATAAATAAATACTCTAGTGAGGAAGCCATTGCTTCCGTATAAAAATGTTTATGAAATATTGTACTTTTTAAAAAACGAATCTAGAATTTGTACTTTGGGCTTTAATTGTACGGTCACGCAATTTGGATACAGTGACACAATGGAATAACTCAAAACCACTCATGGCATAACGGTAGCGAGAACGTAAGATATATTTAAAAAACGGTTTAAGCAGTCTTTGAATTATGCTTATTTATTGTGGCCTAACTGCTAATGGCATTACATTTTAGCAGGCAATTGGTGCACATATGAATCATTCAATTGGACGGATGACCAAGCAATAAGTACAATGTTTAGACTACCTGAAAAAGCATTGCATAAGGCATCCATCTCATCACATTTATTGCTTCATTTGGTTGTTTCAGAAGTTCTCCATCGTTTACATTAAAATTGTTTTTGCACAAGTTCTGGATGTTATTATCTTGGACATATTTTATCACTGGTGATTCCCAGCAATAAGTTTCACAATATTTGATGAAATCTGAGGAATATCCAGTTTCGTTTTTCACTGGATGACACGTGATATTTCCGACTGTAAAATTATATATATATATAAATTATAAGTCGATAGTATCGAAATATTTCAGATTGGAAACAAAATACAACATTTTAAACGCTCAAAACAGTTTCATATTTCAAGTAGAACTGTAACTCTATAATTATTACTCACCGATCAGTTCAGTCAATTTGACAGCGATTGCTAGAATAATAACCAGACGAACACCAATGAACTGCAATATGCGATCCGGTCCAAGTTCTATTACTGTCTCACTTTCATGCAGTTGAAACGCTTCATCTAAAGCTGTCAAAATCGTATTTTGACCTGACATCCTAACACTGCCTTGAAAATTTCGTACCAAAGAATGTGCTTACCAGCTTTAATAAAATGTTCTTTCAGTCTGACTTACACAATGGCAGTCAGTTCTGCAACGGTCTGTGATTTTGAATGCCTCGATTTACTCATAGTTTCTTAACGGTGAATATGGTAAATAGAATACAAAATTTCAACTTAATTTTTCGTTTTTGTCTATTATTAAGTTGATAGCGCGTAGGGTAAATCAGTAAACGCATATTTGTCCGTATGTTTTTAATTTACTTTCGTGATTTAAGCAAGGACGTAAAATTGCGATTTAAGTAATGCGTCGACACTCTAAATAAAACTACAGCATAAATGTGAGTAAAATCGTGCGACTCTGAGGATTCCCAGCAGTGAACGTTCGCATACTTTATAAACGATTTTTAACTTTGTGAGTATTTGTCACAGGACAACATGACATTTGCACCCCATAAACACTGATTTCAACGTCAAGTATCAATATACTCTGGTATATTCGTTTTTTCGCATATTTTGTCGGCATACACACAAGCGTGGCATGTTTATAAAACTGCACAAGAAATTTCTCTCTACGAAGGTTTGAATTTTGTTGGTGTGTTCCAGTAAACGTTATTGGACCTTATGCCTTTAGTTTTGTGAATATTCAGATTTACCGGCCACTTTTGACATTTTCACAACAACAGTCAGCAATTCCAAAAAATAAACTTCCAGAAAATGTAGAAATTGCTCAGATGGAACCTCCATAACCATTTTCTCATCGCGCGTTAGGGAAGCTTGTTCCAGTTCTTCGAATATTCCTGTTTGACTCGTGTTGTAGCATAGCTATTAATGAATAAAAACGCCTTGGGCAGTGGTTCCCATCCTTTTTCGTTATATTCCTTCCTTCGCCTATTTTAGAATTCTTTATTCTCCTTCACTATGCAAAAAACTGCTTTATTTATTTAATCTTTATAGTAATAGTAATTCATATCTATAATAGGAAACTAAAGACTATTATTGACGCTACTGAAAATACAAACTACAATTTTTTTCAGGAGAGGGATTTCTTTATCATTGGGAAACATGGCTATAAATTTTTTGAACCAATGATCAAATACTATTGCTTATGCGCGTATACCACTCTTCCCACTATATATATCTGCTAGTCTCTCTGCTCATCATGATTCATGACATGATCGTTTTCCGAAAAAGAAATTCAGAAACGTGGGAAAACTGTAAATATTGTTCATGAGATATAACTTTTCACGTCTTATGTTGCCCGCTAGTCTTGGTGGACAATATTTATGACCCCTGGTCAAAAAACCTTGCCCAACCCTGCTCTAGATGACAGTTAAATATTATATTTTTTCGCAGTCATCAATTCTGGTTAAAACTTGCCATTGGTGTTCTGTTAAACAGATACAAAGCAATTGATAAGAAGACAGCAATTAAATTGCAAAGCATTTCATTACTTTGAAAATAAATTGGCAACCATGAATATTAAAATCCGCTGTTATGAAATTGCTTCGTGCATAGTCTACCATTAAAATTTTAGATGGAGGCATTGGATTTATTTAAAATTGCGATAATTTTATGCTGTATACTTAAGATGGAACTAATTCAATTAATGACGAAAAAGTCCTGTTTCTCTACTATTAATCGTGAATGTCTCCGCCAAGAACTCCAAAAAAAAATGGAAGGTTATACGTTAAAAATTAGTAAATATAGTACAAAATTTCTACTTAATCTTCGGTTATTCGCGATTATTAAGTTAATAGCGCATATAGGGTAAATCAGTAAACGCATATTTGTCCGTAAGTTTTCTATTTACTTTCATAATTCAAGCAATGATATAAAATTGCAATATAAGCAATTAAAAACATGCAAACAAACTCTTGATTGATAGAGTGCACAAAGACGATTATTTAGTTTCAGTACACAAGGGCCCGATTTACCCATCACACCTAAAACGTAATTGTCGTCAATCTTGTATGCAATCGTGTATGCAATTGTTTTAGGAAAGAATTATGACTTAGGAGTTCAGGTAAAATACTGGCCTTGGGTACACTTTATATTCAGATACGCTGTTGCTCTATCGGATGTTGTGGGAACATCGAAACTCCAGTGTTTTTTATAATCTATTAAATCAAACAAATTGTGTATTCTCTGTGTATATCGAAACTTCAAAATGTAATGATCTAAATTATGCATTGTGCAAATATTATAATGTCAGTTCGTTCATAGTACTATTTTGTGAAACTTACATGGGGTGCCTCATCAAAAACTGCTTAACACGAAAAGTTCTTCAGTTCTCATCAAGCATTTGAAGTTTCGAAAGACGGGAATGCTCGCATTATTCGTCTTTGTTATGATATAACAAAGCTTTGTACTAGGCTCACCTTTACTATCATTGTATTTAAATTGACAACTGGCTAGAGGTGTCTCACATACCGATATTCTTCCATTGAACGTTGTTTAAATTGTAACATTCGACGACAGTTCAATTTGAAATTATATTATAAATGTGAATACAACAAACCGTGCGTGTCTGAGGATTCCCAGCAGTAAATAATCGTATACTTCATAAAAGATTTTTAACATTGTGGGTATTTTTCACATGACAACATCGATTGAACCCAATCCCAACCCAGCCTCATGTTCACCATACCTATACGATTCCTTTACGCCAACGACACTGATGGGTGCTGCGGTGATTAAAGTATTAATAACATAATTAACAGGTTTTTATCAACGCAAAATTGACTATATCTGACGAAGTCGATGAGAAACAGACGTTTTCCGCTAGTATATAGTGTAGGCTATGCATAACATGTTCAGATAAATTTCCCCTTTGCGTGTTTTGAAACCTTTCCCAACTTTGCATGAAAACTCTGTTTCCATTATTTGTTCAATCCTATATTGATCCTTAGTGATACAAGCAACTCACACTATGGCTTTTGTACAGTTTAATTATTTGGAGTATGTATTACAATAATTGCAAATAAGTGAACAAGATTTGTGAAACTACGCTAAATATTAAATGATATTTCCTCCCCAGGAACATGAAAATTCCTCAAAATTTCTCCCCGGTCGGAAAACTATGGTATAACCAAAGGAATAAAAAGTAAATCAACAATAACATATCTTGTACATGAAATTCAAGTATATATTATATTTATTTGCAGTCATCAATCCTGTATATATAACTTGCTAAAATTATATGAACAAACTATTACCTAGCGAGGGTAAAGCCATGTTATTTCAACACACAAATATAAACTTGAATATTTACGCAATTAATAACAAGAAATGAATGTTTAGAGAATATAAATTACTGATATGATAACCATTACATCCCAATGATCCCATAATCTATCATGAATGCGAGCAACATTAGAAACGATAGCGACTGAAGAAATGTCGAAATTCAAACAGAACGTTGAGCCGACAAATATCTGATTCTTCAGACCATTCATATCCGATTTTGAAGTGTTCAAATATTAATATAATTACACGAGGTTTTGGTTTATAACATTATATCAAATTCTTGTCTTATTTTACTTTTTGTCTTGCATTTCACGCAGTGCTGCCATCATCGATATGCTTCCCAGATTTTGGATATGTTCCAAAAACACGCACGCTTGTCGATGACGACTCTTTGAAGTAGAATATAGGTGGCTCGAAGAAATAATCAGATATATAACAATATTTATGAAATTGATAACAAGAAACGCCAACATTTCGGTCTTTCTGTGAAGAGTGCAGACAATGTATTCGTTTTCATAATATAAGACATTGCACCTGAAAATATTGAAATTTATTTCAAAATAGTGGTTGGCGAGACAGTTGTCGATAAATATACATACATATTTGCAATACGTTTTTCACGTCTATTCCCTTTCATCAAGATTTTTCTCAAATAATGTGGATGATTAGGGATTTTTTCAACAAGACTTTATCGAAACAATTGTTTTAAATCAAGTTTTTTTTTACCTGTTTTGTTGAAATCAATGTCCTAATTGTTTCTATTGTATTGAATGTATTACAGCAAAAATATCGATGTAAAAACTCGACTTATTCTTATCGTCAATATAGCTAGCTGACGAAATGCATCATCTTGCCGTAGTTTCACGGCGATGCGAATGGGAGACAAAACAATTTCTGACTCAATAGCCCTTGATTTAAAACGGGCTATTAATGATGATGTCCATAATGATTCAAATCCCATGTCAACCCGAATCTACTGATCATACAATTAGGTCACATAGTCAGCGTGTATAAGGAACCGGAGGTCGATTGCTACACTTCGTTTGTTACCATTTATCTTGGTTGTTCAGTGACTTTGCTTAGCTCAAGCTTGAATACAAAATGAAAAGAAAGAAGTTGAGCGACTTACAGAAAGCTTTCTGATTCCCATATGTCAGATCCCAAAATTTCAAAAACAAAAGCTATTCCTCTAATTATCGTTAGCGATATGATTATTGCAAATACGTGTTTCAAGTAGTATCTGATAACCAGAAATCGACTGCTGAAATTTTCTTTGTGACACCACTGGTGCAATATTGCATCTTCCATGGGATACCCTGGTCTTCAAAGTGTTTTATGAAAGTCAGTTGGGATATAGACAGTAGGTATGGGTAACATTCCAAAGAAGAAAAATTCTCGTAACACAGCATTGAAAATAAGTGTCTGTCAAGCATTTTGGATTCATCACTCTGTGTAATTCCATGTGCCGTATTTCTTGATTTCGTTGTTTTCTTTTTTGGGATCTTCAAGATCATGGTCGTTCCGCTATATTAAAATAAGTGTTCATATAAACACGTGTGCTCTTTACATACCGAACGTAAAATAAATTCAAAACTGTAATAAGAACGATTCATATTAAGTGTGTATTAATTCATATTAACTATACATAGTGTTTTAACAACATCAATTAAACCATAACCCACGTGAATTTCCATGTCTACCGTTTGTCCTCTGGCTTTCTCAACTGCTTTATCGAGGTCATTCCTTATACCCGGGGTATCATTGTTAACTACTTCGCCGTTTAGATGTGGTGAACGTTGTTTACAACCGCTAACATGTAAGCTACCATCGTAGTATTCACTCCTATAGATATATTATAATCTACGGTATATACTTTGTTAAATAAATAGATTGAATATTGTTTATTTAACACAAAAGGGGCCTGGAATCATTTCATAATATTGTATTTGTTGTTGCAACCATAAATTGGCATTCGCTGTTACTGATGAACAAACTGCTTCAATTCTATAATCGTTTAAAGATTTTTCCCCCAAAGGCTATCGCGTTCACTTGCTTTAAAATTTTCGTTTGATTATTTGAGGCCTCAGTTTCACAAAGAGTATTAGCACTTTGAAATATTGCGCCACAAAATGGAGCGGTCGACTACGACTATGAATGTTCGACCAAAAGAGCACGAAAGGAGCGTGTCAATTTCGTGTCTAATTATTTGAGCAGTTCTCTCTTATCTAGTAACAACTATTTGCAAGTGGTACAAATGACATATTGCGATATATACCGATAAAAGAAAAAAGGCCCAGTGTTATCTACATATATATACAGTACACATACAATTGAGCAACCCATGTTACATTCAAGTGAAAATAGTAGTGTCCCAGGCTAACCTTCGAGATCTATCATCCGAAGAGTTTTGTAATATATTTAATGAAATTAGAGTAGCTTTACAAAACTATGCAACTCACTCATCGTATATTCCTGCAGGAACATCTTTGACTTTCTCATAAATTTGTTTGATAAATAGTTTCATAAATTTCAAATGCTTCATCAATGGTACCCGAACTCGCAGGTTCCACCACGCAGAAGGAAGAGATAGCAAAAACGCCTAAAATAAATTTGAGCACAGAAGGCATTGTTATTGCACAAAACGTTAATATTGAGCAGTCAGAGCAAATGATCTGATTTTGAACAATATCATAATCAATTTGCATATTTAAAATTATGTTTATTTATACTGACGTATGTGATAGAAACATTGTACTTTATCAAACCATTGGAGCACATATATATATGGTTCATTTTATTTGAGGGGTGACCCAACAATAATCATATAGTGTCCGAATAGACTACCTGAAAAATCATTACATAGGGCATCCATATCATCACATTTATTGCTCTTTTTGGTTGTTGCAGGAGCTTTCCACCGTTTGCCTCGTTAAATTCGACATTGCACAAGTTCTGGATGGTATTATCATCGACATCTTTTATCACTGGTGATTCCCAACAATAAGTTTCACAATACTCGATGAAATCTGAGGAATATTCAGTTTCGTTTTTGACCGGATGACAGCTGATATTTCCCACTGCAAAATTATATGCAAGGTATCGTCATAACCAGTTATAGGCGATAGTATTGAAATGTAGCTTTAAAATACTCACCGACTAGTTCATTTAACTTGGCAGCGATTGCTAGAACAAGAACCAAACGAACGCCGATGAACTGTAAAATGCGATCTGGTACAAGTTCTGTCACTACCTCACTTTCATACCGATGTTGAAACACTTCCGCTAAAAACAAGTAATCAATTGTGTTTCATTCTTCAAATTGGAACAGGTTAAATTAAAGTATGTAGATATACATTCATGTGTTTAACCGATGCCGTATAAAATAGTAGTGGGAAATAGTGCTATGAAGCATATACAAAAGAGCACAATAGCTATTCTGTTTTCAATATAAGCATACGTCAGAAAAAGAGCAAAAGATAGCGCTGAGAAATCTTTTGTTACTGCTCGTATGGTGAGAGTCAGAATATTGTTGTAAGTTTTGTATTCTGTGAATGAGTAATGGTTGGTTGTATGTGATGACAAACGGTAGATAAATCTTGTATGGCTTACTAAATTCGATTCAAACTTATTTATATATTACTCGATGTATCGTATTTTCATGCCTGACTAACTGGTTACCGGTCAATTGAACCAGAATGGTTGTTTATTCCCCCAAGTAATGTACAGACTAATACAGCAATAGATGAATGATGTAGTGATGAATGAATAGTTAGTGTCTCGAATTCGGAAAGTAATGGCGATGTTTCATTTAAGTCTAAAAATATATATATTAGGTCATGGAAGCGTCAACATTTTTGCAAACAGTTGAGGTAAATACGTACGACCTTACTCGTTTATTTCGTAGATCCCGGCTGTAAATGTGAATATCCTTGCGAGTGAAAAATATCACAAACGTGGAGAATGCATGCTTCACTGCGATTCTTTAACGTCGCTTTTGAATAGAATAACATTCTATCAAACCTCATAGCGATTCGTTACCGTGTTCAATAACTTAGACGACCGAAACTTGGCGTGTTGACTTAGGTTAGAAGGCTGTAAGAAAGTCAATAGGGCTTGTTTGTCGAAACTTGGTTCTAGATTTATTAAAGAACAAAGTATAAAAGGAAAGAAATTAATGTCAGTGAACAGTGAGTTTTAATAATTGTGAGAATCAAGTTTAAATGTAACTGTTGAATTTTCATGGGTATCATCAATAAAAAGCGTTCATAAAATTTTAAGCTTGTCGTTTGGGATTTGCACGTTAACGATAGTGTTACACAATCATTTTATACGAACTCTCGTGTCATGAATATAATTCCTTGATTACATTTTCTAGCAGTAAATCATGTTGGAAATAAATAACAATACAGAATAATTTGTTTAATTCCCGGTGAAATACACTGTATTTGTAATATACAATGCCGCAACGCTAATCTCATACAGGAAAAGAATTACGTGCATAGTTTTTTCAGTATCAAATCTTATTACATCACTCTCTTCTCTATAATTCTATTGAAAAAAAATAAAATGAAAGATGCAATAATATCAGTAAAATAACGTTTACTTTTACAGTGATATATACATAACAGCAATAGAATGAGTCAAGCTGAAACATTACAAGGTTTAGATACAGCATCTCAGAAACATGAGCAGGAGCTTGTTATTGAGCTGTCATCTGACCGAATTCTACATTTTCTTGGAGTATCATTACCAATACTTCTAGCGGTAGTTACCAAAATTACAGAAATAACAGGTAATATATTTTACTTAATCTCTTTACCTCAAGTATTTCGGGTTCTATGTTAGTATTTATCAAAAAAATTGATAACTGACTATTGACTACGGCGCACTTCGTGAATGAAGCGTGTTTGATTGATGCTGTTTGCTTTTTATTGCACTATTCCTAAGATCTGAGTTTTGATAAAAAAAAATGGACAATAGTCACCCTGGGTGGTGAGCTCAGATCAACTAATAAAACGAGAATATCGGTCGGAGACGGAAGACTTATCGATCGGAGGTTAGGGGATCCCCAAAACAGCGCTCTTACTCCATAGTGACACCGTGTGTCCCATCACTAATTAATTAACAACTCGCTAATAATTAAATTACATAATTATTAATTATACGACATAATTTATCGAAAATCAATAGGCTTCTGTTCCGAACTATGATGAATGCACATGCAAAATTTGGAGCAGATTCAACCTCGCTTTCGTGAGATATCGCGTGCATCTAACAGACAGACAGACAAATACCTATCAACATACTTACCGATCTTAAGATCGATAAGTAAAGAAAGTAAAACATTTGAGCAACTTTTCAATAGATAGCACTTTGTGCATGAAATATGTGTCAAAATACGTATTCAATTTATAGGGCTTACCTTATTTTTTGTTATGCCTCCATTAATTTCTGATTAAAATCATTCAGAATCAGGTGGTGCAACATTGTATTTTTCACAGGCATAGATATTTTATGCAATTATGTTCTAAAGGGGAATATATAACGAATAAAATTGGTTTATTTTTGTCGTATAAGAACTTTCTATTTTCCCGTTAATCTCATTCCAAATTAAAAAGCTGGTCTTTATTGAATATTTTTCAGGTAATAATCTTTCGTGTTTTACTATTAATGAACAATCAGCATCTGCAAGCTATGTCAAACATGCTACAACATATTGTTGGGAAGAATCGCAAACCTTGCACACGGTTAATATATCATTTTATGGACAAAATGTATCTTCGTGTGAAAAAGCGTTTGGCGAGAATAATTTGAGCCATTCATACAATCCTTCAGATTATCTTGATTGCTCTACAAGAGTTAAAAGATTCATACAATGGATGCCATACGCAATGCTCCTGGAGGTAAGAATTACTTGCTTTGTTCGTGCATATACTCAAACCCATGACTATAGATAAGACAAAATCCGAAAATCTCTACCCTACTTGTCCATATATAAATGAAGAGATAAATATATAGGAGGATCATTTAAGTTTACATTTTTTCGATCGCCGAGCACGCTAATCAATACCAATATTACAATGTAGAATGAAAAATTCGATTCAAGAATCAACAAACAGTCGTAAGCAAAATAAAATATTTTAATTTTAAAACAGAAATGTTCAGAGCAATATTACTTGCATAGTTAACGATTAGTTATTGATTTCTTTTTAGCTTATCATTTTCTTCTTAATAATTTATCTCATATTTTCAACACAGGCGTTTTTATTTGCTCTTCCAATGGCATGGTGGCATTTTAAAGTTGGAGCAAGAATGATGGGACATTTAAAATTTATGCAAAAACTACTCGAAGATATATACGAAAGCGTCAAACAAATTCCCGCGGGAATATATAGATGGTACAGTTTAAGATAGATTTTATGTTATCGTAAATTTAGATTGGCGGTAATTTTGGAACAAAACCAGAATTGCTATTAATTTATCACTGCTGTTCGAATTTGTACAAAATATTTGCCATCGTGTGAATAGAATTACCGATAAAATATACAAAAATGTGTCCAGAGTCATCGTGTGCACGTCAAAACCTATTTCTGAAAATTAAAGTAATGTACATTGCTACATCAGATATAATGTGGAGAGAACCTCGAAGTAACGTCATTTCACTGACTATTTTTGCGTCAATTTTCTACTATTTTCTTTACAGTGAACCATATGACCAAGACGGGGATTTACTCAATTGTTGGGGTAAAGTTAAAATAGAACAAAGCGAGGCAACTTCGAAACAGTCAATCACAGCTTCATCCACACGTCCAGGCCCAAGTATTCAAGACCAACCTTCAGCAGGTGTGACATACAAAAAAGACGGTTCCAAAGTATCCATACTATCATCTGAAAACGATAGCAGCAGCAACGATGTACAACACTCAAATAATGATATGAATGCCTCGGTGAGTAGAGTATCATCTAGCTCTCAGCCAACGATAACTCCCAAAGCAGACTCTAAAATTGTTACTGCACAAATAGAATCAGTACCAACTTTACAAGCAAAGAATGGACAAAGAGATGGTGAAAAGTCAAAGGATGATCACATCAAAAATTGCCCAAAAGATGATTCGAAAACTGAAAAAACGGAAAGTTCTGTTTCAGCAAAAGAGACTACCACCGCAATGAATTTGTCTACTTCGCAAGAATCTCTTACCCAACGAAACGCCGAGGATAAAGAAAAGTCTGTTTCGTCACAGACAAAAACGGCCAAAATAGGCAAAACTCGTAAACCTTCTAATAGTTCATCAGAAGAAAACGGGAATTTTGATCATGACGAAAACAAACCACTTCTTACTCAAGAGAATACAAGTTCTGATAGCATCAAAAAGGCCATTGTTAGTGAAAAGCCATCGATAACACAAAAAGATGAAAATATGGGTAAATCTTCTACCCAAAATAGCTCCGGCTCACAAAATCGTACAGACGTGTCCAATGTTGTTGGAACTTCAAATGAAGAGGGAGAAAATGTATTTGATGCGAAGAAAAGAAGTATAAAAACAGTTATAGAGCATATTACAAAACCGGATTTTCACAGATGTGAGGATTCAAAAAAAAAAGGTGAGTTTTTAGTTGGATTATCTTGAACGTACAAAATGTTATTTCGTGCAGTTTGATAAGAATTTAAATTACAACCAATCTAGAAATCAGAGGCGTAATCGCAACTCCACTTATACTTATATTTTTGAAGCCTATTTAAACACAAATTTATTTATATAACTATAGCCCAAAAACTGATATTTCAAGTCTGTTAAGGATGATAAATGTATTCACACATATGTAAATATCATGAGTGCCTGTAATTCCAGTGATAAACTTCAATATTCACATAAAAACCTCTTATTTTCATGAGAAGCTCAAAATTTAAATATTTCTGTTCACTTTGATATATACCAAAATGAACTTCAATGTCTAATTTCATTTTAATGATTTATCAACTATTATTTCATATTATTCAAAATCTTTATATAAATATTTTAAATTTCAGATGATGATCTTTCCTCATCCTCATTTGAAGAAAAACTTTTCAATGGAATGGAAGATCGTCACATATTTTCAATGCTTTGCTTTGAAAATTTTGCCTCCTTACAACATCAACCTTACCTAAAATCAGTTCATCAGTTACTGACTGTTCCAGAATACGAAGAAGATAAATTACGAATACTGCCGTTAAAAGATGGCGTCATGCGTCAATTTTGTCACGAAAACAATTTCAGAAGTCGCAGCATTATCAAGATTTACCTATTAAAGTGCATTATGAGCATCACTATTGCTTTATCAATTTTCATATCATTGTGTTTTTCGTTCGTCTACGTGATATTGCCTACTCTTCAAAAAACTACATTCCTGTAAGTATTACAGTTTTATATACTCACTTTTGTAGGCTTTTAATAAATAACTTACTATTAGTTTTGTTTGATTCCAATATGGCTAATGTGATGCAAGCACATACTCTTTACAATGGTAAATGACACAGTTATTATTACTTGGTGAATTCGGAGTTATTTGTAATAAACCTGGCCTGTATGTATCTTGTGTATATTTCAGCTGTTACAATTAAATAGTGATTAATTAGCGCTATACCACTGCAAATAACTTTTGTACAATATGATATAGCAATTGCTGGTCGCTGATGCCTGGTAAGGCTGTAGTTTTGAATCATTTAGACCTACAGTGCCGGTAACCTTCATATCGCTTAAATGCTGTCTCGGAATCGCCACTTAGTGCGCAATCTTTTTTTTATTTCGTTGACGTCATCGCGCAAAATGGAAAACGAATCCAAAGAACTCACAGAAATCTCTGAAATAACTAAATAATAATAGCGTTTCAGCGAAAACAACAATCTTTTATCACTAAAAGTTCTAAGCAATTGGTCCAGAAAAATACCAATAATATTACAAACAAAACAAATAATCAACACAACAATCCATAAGGTTCATTTCGTGCCCTATAAACGGACTATCTTCCATTTTCAATACCACCCTGTGATTTACTGCTTGTGTAGCTTGTGAGTTTAATCGTACATAACCATTTTCTTTATAGATGCGAGCTACCATACCATGCCGAATGCTTCAGCTGTACCTTATCTGGATTAATCAACGTTCATGCAGCTTTCTTTGCGAATTGCATTGTCGTGACAATTTACTTCGTCCTCTCCTGTTGTCAACTGTATTACATACGCTCAGGTTCTAAGTTGAAAATGAGCCAATTCTTTGAAGATATACGGACGCTCAGTTCAGTTGCTCTCGTTGCTGCTCACAAGGTTCCCCAGGATAAATAATGAACACAGCTTTTACATAACTTATTATTATATTGATAAGCAATTTCATTTGTGTGAAACGCTTTATTGTGATTAAAAAACGATTAATATAAATCAGGAGTGGCCAATCCGCGACTCGCGAGCCGCATGTGGCTCTTGAACCGCTTTTATGTGGCTCTTTTCGCCTTTGGTTATTGACGGAAAAAATAAATTGCAAACTACGATTTATCATTTACGATTAAACATTATGATTCATCGTGCATTTTTCTTTTACGTCGAAGATACGCCTTCATTCACTTTACCATGCAACTTCCATTATTACGTCACAATTAAATTATTTTAAATAGTTTCCCTCTAGTCTCAGATGAGGCTGCAACTGAGTTGAAGATGATCGATCTTTATGAGGAAGACCAATTGAAATTCCATTATTACGTTATAATAAGTCCCACTAAGTAGCATGCATGATATTAATAAATGGCTTTTAAATTTCTGGCAATAATCATTTCGGTTAGTGATATTTAAAACAGCATTCCAGCACAGCTGAATAAAGGTATATATATCTGATGTTCATGTCTATTCTTGTTTATAATGTGGCTCTTCGCGGTATCAAAGTACGAAATGCGGCTCTAGGTCCCTGACTGGTTGGCCACCCCTGATATAAATGATAAATATTGTACGAAATCAATTGTCAGAACAATGACTGAAAATTATTTTCCATTATAAGAAAATTTATATTATTGATTGAACAAATATCTAAATGATTTTTGTCTTAAATTAAAATACGTTTCTTACAAAATTCCATTTGACGAAGTAAATTTCACAATCCACTACGGCAAGACATGGTACATATGTAAAGGTTCATGAACTACGAAATCAATTTGGTCATTGATCTACTCGACATTGAGTGGTTGCGTGATACCGAAACTTTGCAAATACGAATATCAATATATATTTAAAGTGTCCTAGTTGCTTCTGTTTTTGTGTCTTTGGCACAAAATAGTTTACTACGTTGGGCGTGAAGCTTTTTCAAATGATTTATTAAACGCAGGTTCCTATTTGCAACAATCACTATTGCTGTAATCCTTGTAAATAATGCAATTAATGATTAATAGTGTCCATGCTTATTCGTTTATCAGGACAATACTTCAGTCGTTGGTACCTGGCGAAACCAGCACAAAGCATAATTCATATACGGTAAGCTATAAAACACGCATGCTATTGATAAAACAGACACTGACACACAGTGTAGTTGACTATTTCACTTTGCCTTATTCAATGCCACACTTCCTGTGTCGCACATTTCTTCAAAGTAATAACTTGATGCTCGATCTTTACTTTTCCGAATGAAAATCCAATGGGAAAATGAAATAATGAGATAAAAGACATTTACAACGATATTTGCTGTAAGATAGGCAATCAAATCTGTCTTCCTATTTATAGTACAAACCATACACTTCTCTTCGTGGTAGATGACATCGCATCTGAAACAAGGGAGAAATGCTCAAAACTTGGACACGAAACTTACACATTGTTACCAACGCTGTAAGACTGGTAACCCAGCTGACAGAAAAAGATCTGCGAACAAGTGGAAAGCTATAAAAAGTATTTGCGCTTAAATAAAACAAATCATCTACATTTTGAGTAAAATAAATCGGGTGCTACAGAAATCGGAGCGGTTTTAAAAGTAAGAGTTATCTATCTAGTGGTTCTATTCATATTTAATTACTGGTCAATACCACCAGAAAAACAGCTATGGAGTAAGTGAATTTCATCAGTTACATCCTGAAATATTATTCATATCCTGGCCTAATACAGAAAATTGATATTGTAGACTTTGTTGTGAACAAGCATGACATAAGATACTATCTTCTAATGATAGAATCTTTGTAAGATTAATGCAAATACATTTGAAATCTGACATGCACTAACCGAAAACTTCCGGAAGTCCAGCCATCCGATCCGAGCACGACAAGTAGCCAGGACGAAACAGCTAGGGACATAACCGAAACCAAAAATCCAAAAGCATGTTTCATCAAATAAGAACGAACAAGAAATATTCCGTTGAAATTTCTGTTGTTACACACGAGGCGTAAGATGCATTTCGTTTTCGAGCCAATATGTCCTTTACTAGAATCTTCTGGAGTTGTCTCTGTGACTTTATACACGGATAAAATGTAGGGAAGTTGTTCGAGTGAAGAGAAATTTTCAAAGCATAGCATTGAGAACAAGTGCCGGTCCAGCATTTCGCCTAAGATTAATTTCCTCATGATACCTTGTTGCTGTTTCACCTATATATAACAAAAAGTTAAGTAAAGATAAAATGACTGTAATGGAGAAATGATGAAAATTTTACTTCCAAACACACGAAGTCAACCAAATCAAACTCTGTCTCGTGTTGTATACAGATACATTTACGAGCATAACTCACAGAAACATAATTTACTTACATTCGTCTCCGTGCCCTAATTATGTTATGTCACCTGTTGTAGCCTATATGTTATTTTGCTGGTAGGTGAATTTTGGCATGAGATCGATCGGGTTAAAACTGCCTGTATCCAAGGAGCTTAGCAAATTTAAAGCTAATAAAGTTTCTTTCTGGCGGTGCACTCTCTCCAATCAATACGAATAAACGAATCTTTTCTTATAACAGCGTTAAATATTCACAAATATTTACCTCGTTATCCGAGTTTATAGGAATAACACAATTGTTGTTTGAATTGTTCGAAACATCATTTTTATCTCGTTTGTCAGTTTGTGCGTCGGCGTCGACAGGCGTGTCACCGTCGGCGGGCTTTTCATCGTTGTCGTTTTCAACCTTCGTGTGAGGTATATTGTGACTTTCTTGAACGCTGGTTGCACTTTTAACAGGTTCAGCAGAACGTTTTAGCTCGGCACGTTTGTATTCAGGTCTATACTTCACCCAACCATCAAGAAAATAACTATCAGAGTCATATGCGGAATCTCTGAAATAATTGTAACAAGGAAATAACACATTTTGTGAGGAAATACTTATGTGCATCACATAATAATAAGATGGCGCACAACCTGAACTCAGGTTGTGTACCAGGTTAGGGTTCAGGTTATGCGACATCTTGGTGCGCATACTTCAGGAGTTCCCAGATAATTTGTTTTTTTTTCGAATTTTTTAGAATCCCAGCAATACTCCGTCCTAATTTACGTTTTCGTTTCGTGACGAATGTTAGCGACAATGTTCAAGCCCTCTATTGGTACAGATAGATCATCAAAAAAATATTATAGAGGTTAATACAAATAAAATACTTTTGATACACTCCTCTTTCTTTCGGTTTCACTGCATTATAAATGTCATCAAGCAAAAGTTTCATAAACTTTAAATGACCCATTAATCTTGCACCAACTCGAAAATGCCACCACACAGATGGAAGAGCAAATAGAAAAGCCTGTAAATAGAATAAAATGATTACATTCTTTGGTAAATAGAAGTGCTTGATTGTATTGCGAGGTTACTTTCTTAATGTTAATAAAACTGCAAGTCTAATTAAACAACATTTAAAATCAACGAACAAGTATTTAAATCCGAATAACTTTGATTCCTTCTAACAGCTTATGATAACAACAGCTCAATAAATCGGTCGAAGCGGGTGCCTTCTCAAACTGATAAAGAAGTGTGCTTAGATTAGGGTATATAACAGAGGTGGGCAAGGTATTTGAACCAGGGGCCAAAAATTTTGCCCACTTAGACTGTCGGGCCAATATAGTGTGACGTAAAGAGTTGCATTTTTGAACAATATTTACAGTGTTACAAAAATAAAATTCTTTGAGCTTTCAAAATTTGGTTTCAGTTTGGTTGTGGCAGCATAAGGCGGGCCAGATTGAATAACCCAACTGGTCGAATTTGGCCCGCGGGCCGGGATTTGCCCATGTCTGGTATGTAATATATTTTCATAGTACATGTTACATAGTACTAAATCATTTTTAGCAAACGTTTTGAACATTTTACCTCAAATAACATTCCATAGGGCATCCATTGCAAGAATGATTTAAAAAATGCCGGATTTTGGAGCAAATTTTTCTCATTAAGATCGTTATGTTGTAAATTACAACTGGTTACAATGCTCGGAGTATTCATTTCATTAGTCGAAGAAACAGCGAATGACTCCCAACAGAAACTCTTCGCATAAGCAATGAAACTGACATCAACTGTTATGTTTGACGCTGGGTAACACGAAAGTTTATCGCCTGCAAGATAATGAACTTTTTCAGTGGCAGTTAGCCCGTGTAGAATTTCAAGTTCTCTAGATCAGCTTTATCGATATTTTACGCCATAATACCACGCAAGTAACAATGTATGCGTAATGAAATATCTCAAAATAATAACAATTCATAATAAAACGAAACAAAAATATGAATTTCATATTATTATACAAACTATTCGTTGTGAGTTTAGGTTTTATTGACTGCATCTTGTACCGTTGATCTATAATACACATTTTTGAGTTTTTTTTTTTAATTATTTCTTACTTTTATCATTTTAATCATCAAAATTTTAAATAAATCGAACTTATCCACAGGAATATACCTACGACTTCCGAAAGCTTTGAAAGTATGGCCAGTAGTATAACTACATAAACTCCAATATAATGCAGTATTCGATCTGATCCAAGTTCGATGACAATTTCTTTTTCATGCTTCTGAGACGCCTGTTCCAGACCTTTTGAAGCTTCGTAAGGGTTAGACATGATAAACTTTACTTGAATGCAAAATAACAAATCGCCTAAGTTTCGATTTATATTTCTTTTAAGAAGAATGAGAACCAGAATACCGGATCAGGCAATAGCTTGATCTAAGATTTTTTTGTCACTTCAGAGGAGGTGGTTCTATACTCATACTCTACACTGCTCAAAGTTCTCGGTTGGTGTATTTCATTTCCAGTTGGCCAATCGTAATCCTTCAATATTTATGTTATAAACGTTTGTATAAACGATCTTCTGCCCACTTTGCTACTTTTATTATTCCGGAAATACAGTGCCGATGATTCAATCCTCTCCTACTTGCACAATCATTAAGATTATTCCCAGACTTGTGCCATGTCTATATTTACCAAGAACACTCTTAATGAAAACCGTGTGTTCATACTTGATCGTGGATATATTAAAAATTGACTACTGGAGTCAATGAATAATTCAGAAACCAATGTGTCATGGAAGCATTCGATCGAATGCCCAAGACGAAAGAGAATAGCAACGAAGAAGTAAAGAAAGTGTAAAATACATTAGTTCCTCGTTACATGTTATGTAGATCTTAAGTAATACATATATTCTTTAACCTCATACAAGATTTCTGATTTACTTTATTTTTAAATACTTTTATAAAATTTTCTTCTATTCGAGCTCATGCACCCTATATCATTATACATACGAGGCCCTCTCCTGATAGACAAGAACGAAGCCCATTAAAAAGCAATGTCATGATTGGATTATAACGTGAATTCATTTGCAATATTTAACATGAGACCATTAATTATGTTGCGAAAAGAAAAAATAAATTGACAAATAATGGTCTCCTTTCGAAGTACTGGCATAATTTAAATATCCAAACTTAGCAAACGGAGTTACATGTTTACGACAGACTTTTAGTCTGTGGTGAGAATAACTAAACTAAAAAGTCGTTCCAAGCAGATGAAAAGGCAAAATGAATGATACATTTTAAAACTTTAGCAATGAATTGATATCATACAAATAAAATATTTTTCGTTGTTTTGTAAAGAGTTGACAATTTCTTTTTCATGCTTCTGAGACGCCTGTTCCAGACCTTGTGTAGCTTCGTAAGGGTTAGACATGATAAACTTTACTTGAATGCAAAATAACAAATCGCCTAAGTTTTGATTTATATTTCTTTTAAGAAGAATGAGAACCAGAATACCGGATCAGGCAATAGCTTGATCTAAGATTTTTTTGTCACTTCAGAGGAGGTGGTTCTATACTCATACTCTACACTGCTCAAAGTTCTCGGTTGGTGTATTTCATTTCCAGTTGGCCAATCGTAATCCTTCAATATTTATGTTATAAACGTTTGTATAAACGATCTTCTGCCCACTTTGCTACTTTTATTATTCCGGAAAAACAGTGCCGATGATTCAATCCTCTCCTACTTGCACAATCATTAAGATTATTCTCAGACTTGTGCCATGTCTATATTTACCAAGAACACTCTTAATGAAAACCGTGTGTTCATACTTGATCGTGGATATATTAAAAATTGACTACTGGAGTCAAAGAATAATTCAGAAACCAATGTGTCATGGAAGCATTCGATCGAATGCCCAAGACGAAAGAGAATAGCAACGAAGAAGTAAAGAAAGTGTAAAATACATTAGTTCCTCGTTACATGTTATGTAAATCTTAAGTAATACATATATTCTGATTTACTTTATTTATAAATACTTTTATAAAATTTTCTTTTATTCGAGCTAATGCACCCTATATCATTATACATACAAGGCCTCTCCTAATAGACAAGAACGAAGCCCGTTCAAAAGCAATGTCATGATTGGATTATAACGTGAATTCATTTGCAATATTTAACATGAGACCATTAATTATGTTGCGAAAAGAAAAAATAAATTGACAAATTATGGTCTCCTTTCGAAGTACTGGCATAATTTAAATATCCAAACTTAGCAAACGGAGTTACATGTTTACGACAGCCTTTAGGTCTGTGGTGAGAATAACTGAACTAAAAAGTCGTTCCAAGCAGATGAAAAAGCAAAATGAATGATACATTTTAAAACTTTAGCAATGAATTGATATCATACAAATAAAATATTTTTCGTTGTTTTGTAAAGAGTTGCAATCGAACTCGGAAATTTGCAAACTTTCAACTTCGATTCAGAAGAATAACTTTGAAAGATTAAAAAGAAAAGGTTTGATGGACATAAAATGGCTCCTTGTGTAACACTACAGTCTCGTTACCGTTTGAGGTTTTAAATATTTCATAATAAAGTTTGAAGTCACGTTCGAGCAATAATCAACCTAACATTGCATTATTTTTTTTTTAAATCTTAAAATTGTCTCAGTTTGCTTAATATCTATACATTCTGTGTATTTGATTTTCAACGGACAATCTTACAATCATTTTATCTCCTAATAACAGTCGTAAAATATACCACAACCATTAAACCATTCTTGTTGAAAACAAATGTAATTTAGCTTAAAGCGCAATGTAAAATTATAAGGAATGCCATCTATTTTAAGTTATATAAAACAGATTTTTCTAGCAGTATTTCACAAAAAAAAAATACAATTTAACAAAGTCATTTTAGAGAAGATGTACGGCAAATGTTACATCATCTGTACCGTTTACCACGGCATCCATTACTTTAGGTGAAGTGACGACTTCTTCCTCTTTCTTTTCGCCGGATCTAAATTTTATCGCATACAAAGCACGATCTTGTGTGTATTCGTCTGGAAGCGTCCAACCCCGATCAGTGATACCTAAATGGCATTAGACAATTCCGTGTAATTAAATGTAAATTTTTGTAACTACATTTTCACGCACTCAATGGTTTTCAAGAATCATGTCAGAATGTTTATGAAATCCTGCTTAAATTTTTTAGTATTTATATTTTTTTCGACGATAAACGAGAAACTATTTTTGCACAGAAGCATGTTGATGAATATTATTTGAACTTTGTTATTTATCTAGATTCTAAAATCATTCTGATAAAACGAATTGTTTTCTATCCACAAAAAAAAAAAAATTAAATTGAAAAATATCGATGATGATAAACTTAATTTAGTAAATTGAATCAGTTTTATGCATTAAAATTTCTTTCACAATTACACAGTCTTGTCTGAGCAGGGTCACTCTCTCTGGACAAGCAAATTCTCAAATTATTGCCAAGCGTTTTTTTGCAGATAGCCTAGCCCTAGATGAGAAATTGCTATCGCACTGTCGAGACAAGATTTGAGTAAAAATTGAAAGCAACTAATGGTTAATATAACAATAAAGTGGAAAAATTGAAGTTTGAATCAAAAGTAGATTTGGAATATCAGGAAAATCAATTTAAAATTTATATAAAATCCTCTCGATGTTATTTTATTGAATGTCATGGATATTTACTGAAATCTGAACGTTATATTTTGAAATAAATTACATACAATTCTCTTCCATAGGAATAATCTATGTGAATACTGGTAATGAATATTCAACATACTTTTGACCAACTCCATGTTCCAACCTTTGTTCTCAGCCGGGCAGATTTTATAAAGTCTATAGATTCTGTCCGAAAGATTTTCAGTTTTCAGACAATCGGCCAATGCATCATCGGGAAGCTTGATTTTCTTGTTATCCTTGTTTATCACTATAGGCATGAATTACGGAACCGTAGTTAATATTTGACTTTATGCCGTAAAAAAAGAAATCAGTTGTCTCATGAAAAATTGTCTGGGTCGAAGAATTCCAAACAGATGCTCACATCAAATATTGGTTCATGATCGCCACCAAGAGGCGGTATGCTAAACAGTTTGGATTTATACAAAACAACAGCGTTAAACAACTTTTTTATTTAACAAACTTTTTATCAGACATGAGGTGGAACTTATTGTTGCAGTTTTGTTATCACTTGTCTGAGTAACTACTGGATAAATATCAAATTTTCAATAATCTGGCTATTTTATTTTAATACTTATTCCAGTCTCACGTGACTTAACTTTTCATCCTTTTTGATGATTTGTTTTGATTCATGGGAACACTAGGTTGACTTTCAACTTTTGCGTCCATATATTAAAGCATTACAGTTTAAAGTAAAAAATAACCGAAATTACTGTCAATCAAAACTAGTTTCGACAGCTCTTTCTCTCATAGCAAATATGGCGAACTTTGTTCGAGTAAGTTACAAAAATACAGCCGAACTAAGTTAATAACAGCCAAGGTTTCATAACTAATTCAAATACAACTCCAATTATAAAAGCTAAAAGATTTCTTCAAAAGCATTGCTATCAAACTCATTCTTCAATTACTAAATTCTTCTTCAAATGTAGTTGAAACAAAATAAAACCAAGATGACAGACCGACATTATCAATAAAGCTATTAACTGACAAAGGCAGTATTTATTTTGGTTCTTTTTAGGTTTTTTACTTCACACTATTCTACTTATATATGTTATTAAGTCTAAAAGCGTTTTAATTACAATACTCACCAAAGAAATCCATGTTCTTTTTTAATGAACGCTGCTGTTGAACTAATTAAAATGTAGCCTACTATCTGTCAGTTACACACATTATGCTATACTCATGCAAAATGAAAACTTATATACTCGAGAAAAAAAGGATTAAGAATTAAGATCATACTAAAAAACAGGAAGAGGATATTATTTCAGGCTATAATAATAATCACTGCCATAATCTGCCTCAGTCTTCAGTTTCTAAGTTAGTTTTGTATTATTTGTAAGTAGACCGAGAATTATAAGACTTCTGAGCGTGGTCCTCCTGTTCGGGGGTCTAAATCTAAAAATATTTATGACATGTAAACGAAAATGTATTTAATTAATTCCTGAAGTACAGATTTACAAACTAGAACAACTTAATTTTAGGAGTATTTATATCTTTAGAAGTATCCGTTATCTGTTTTTCATAAGTGGTGATCAACGCTTTATTAACTAAAAATTTAAATACTTTTTACAACTGGCATTCAGCCTGTCTAGTCGTGTATATAATATTAGACATCAACTACTATATCTAAGCCAAAAACCTCACGATACCATACTAGTTTTTCGCAATACAGTGAGGGATTTGAAATCATAAATATGGATGGAAATATGAGAGGAAACTGCAACCTTTTTCAGTCGTAGGAAATTGAGACTGAATTGGTTATCTCATATTTTATCAGATACAAAGATTACGTTCACAGTAAAACTTTTAAATTATATATTCATAAGACTTATATATGCACGCAATCTGTAAAGATTACCTATCCCCTTCTTTTTGCCCACTAATGGCAGACTGACTTTTTATAAAATGATATGAAATAAAATTTCGATGTCCTAAATGAGAAATCAACACAAATTAAATTAGGATCTTCGTAGCATGTTACAAAATAATAAGTAAAACTAAAGTATTTTCCAAAGATTTTACCAAACTTATCAACACCAGTCGCGTAAAATATAATCTTATTCCTGTAACTAGCGAAATATCAGAATGAAATTGACGTTAAAAAGGGTTACAAAAATGAGGCGTATTCAGTTAAATGTTGTAAGCGCATGAAAGCTACCGCCAGTTTTTTAAATACAATCATACTTAACAGAAATTTGTTACACTTACATGACAGATACACTTGCAACTGGAACAAAAAACTCGCATTTTAAAACAAAAATCTCATTAACGCAACACTTCAATTTACAACGACCAGTATGTTTGCAATACATTGCATATGCCCATCGACATCTTCCCTAGAGGCCGAATTATTTTCACATTTAGCTCATACTTCGGACTAATGATCGTTAAGCTTCGTCTTGAACAGAAAATTGGTAGCGCACTAGAGTTAGCAATGGGGATGAATTTATGATTCGGTTTTCCTCACCGTGTTTAAGCGCAGCAACAGTTGGAAATCCACCACACTGCGCACAACTGGATGAAACGAGAACAATTCCTCTGGTCAAAAAAGGATGATTGACTATTAAAAAATTGCATTTTTGGTTCGTCTCCTCAGCTCTACATTTTCATATGATTCAATTCATATTAGACCGCGTATATAAATCATCCTATGTATTTTGTACACGAATACCAGATTTTATTATTCTTCAGCAATTCTATTTTCGTTGTATCTTTTATCTCAATACGCGACAGCCTTCTAACCAAGTTTCAATAAATTATAGTCTGGGTTAACTAGTGATGAATGAATCGCATTATAAGTCAATAATAATACCAATGATCGACCCTATTATACTTGTTATGGTTGAGCGATAAGCGAGATGCTTGGATAGTTCACGTTAACAAAATATCATGAAAAATACACGTTAGTTTCAGAACATCTCCGATGCTGTTTCGTTGCAATGGCTCGTTGTAAAAACGTTGTAAAGTGTGTTTACTTTTATTAAAAAAAATATCGTACAGCAACCATGATCAAATTGTAAATATCATTCTTATATGCAACGCAAGCGATGACGCCTCACAGGCAGAAACGCTCACATAATGTATTGTCGGCCTTTGGGGTATATGGCCAATGAATTCATTACCAAGCTTACCTTGAGTTCAAATCAAAAACAATTAGAACCTACTTCTTGAACAAAGTCCAACACGGTCTAAGGTAGTCTATCTTCCTCCAAAAATATTGAGCTCAATGTATAAAAACATTACTTTCAAGAATTGTACTTGTATTTTATAACAAGTTCGGGTCGTATATGCGAGAAGATAACTATTTAAATGAAAGTGGCTGACGGTGGAGGCAACCGCCCGGCGGTTTGGTGAAGAGCTCTTGTTACGTATACCATCTTGCGCTACAAAGTTACTAACGGCAGTCCTCCAAAATATTCATTCACAGACACATTATTCAGCAAGCCAATAATAGAAATTCAAAATGCTTATATTATACTGTTTAACGGGACAATATCTTATCATGTTCTTCGTAAATAAGAAAATCGATTTTTCAATGACAACAAAGCAACCAGGTAATTATTAATCCTACACGAATATAATTTTGTCTTACAAGCTTTCGTCTGGATGAAAAAATCGATAGTGATGAACAGACGGTGTAAATAGAGAGGATTACCCATTATCCATGAATACCTTTGAAATTATTCAAGATATAGGTACAAATTTCAACGGTTATTTGTGGCAGATGTTTGTTTGCGAGCATGTTACGGAAAAGTCCTTATTAATTGGCGATTCATCATTTTAGAATTAGAGAAAGATAGTTAGTTATCTTACCTCATATTGCATTAAAATCATACTAAATTTAGTGGGAGTTTATATTAATTAAATATCATTAGATCACCACAAAAGTTGAGTGGAATTAGGGATGCCGAAGCTCAGTTCAGTTTGGATAAGTAATACGAACAATTAAAAAGAATCAAAGTATTATATTGCGGATCTTTTTTACAAGGCCTCACCCCCATAAAAAAACGGCCAACGCTCAAAATAATATGAAACTTAGTAATTATTCATTCAGGTTTTAGGTTAGGGCTAGGAATGCAGATATTACTTCTTGACTGTGCGGCGTGAAATTCAACAACAACTATCTAATTAACAATTAGGTAATGCGGCATATTGTGATATATAAGATAGTTCAGTTATCGTTTGCTGTTGAGTTTGTAGCTGATGAGTTTCGGAACCATATTTTATCACAGACGCCAATCAATAAGCCAATATTCAGTAAGCCAATCACCAGCATTAATTGTGTTGTATTGGGAAATGTTCAAACTGTTTATACTTTATAGAGTTACGTTTGAATTTTAATCATTTATCTGTAATTGTACCGGATATATTTACCATACTAGCAAACTTCCTTCAAATAGAAGTACGGATACGAATGGGCATAGAATAGGTATTACTGGTACATTTTTATAGATGATTTTGCCGGATCAAACCCCTTTCACTCTACTCGGTTACTACATTTTTTTGAAAAAATTTCTAACGAGTTTTGCATAACGATCAGCTGTGGTTACACAAATACATTTCTCTAACTAACTTAATTTGACCTGACTTCTATATACAGTCATATTTTTGACAAATAAATAACGGAGATCACATTGGTGAATTTGTTTTTATACGATTGTGTTATAGTGTGCAGCAGGACTCCTGGATCACAAACAATCTTTCTTGTTATTTATTTTTATGAAAATATTTCCTGGAATATATATTAGTTATTTCCAGGCTTGTCCACGTTTTTCTGTCCTATTCCCATTCCATCGCAATTCTGCCTGTCCCGTCCCACCCCAGGCTTAGCGTCTACTAAAAAAGGACTACATGTACGAATAGACATGCAAAACAACAAAATTTACGGACTTTTTAAGTTTATATTCATAAATATGATACGTGTGTTCATCAGCCCCTTCACGAAGTATATTTTTAATGCTGGATATATTTTGCTCTTTATAACTAACAAGAGAGCTATGCTCAAATATATGGACACGAAGTCCATAACGAAATGTTTTATCATCGTTTTCCCGAAAATCATTCGTGTCCCATGGGAAATACAAATGTGTGCTGTCCCATCCCATTGGACAAGCCTGGTTATTTCTGTATAATTCAGCGGCCCTATATACCACTCGTTTACATATCTAATGAACATCCATATCTTGAGATCTTTTTCACTTCGAGAATATTTGCATTCATTTCCACTTCTTTCCTTTTAGTGGACTTTTTGTTTTTGCAACATATTTCGTAATATATTTTGTGTCAGTTTAATACATATATATACCAAATACATGTCATGAAAATTCCGGATATACATATATAATAAATGCTGGAAATTCAACTGTAACAGTTTGAGGTTTGTTACTTTGTTAACCAATTTTGGAAATTCAACCAATCTCTATTTCAAATTTATCTGTTTAGATTGTTTGAATCTTTTATATCTAACTCGTCAATTTATCTACGTGGAAACGTAGTGATTTTTATTTCACGTAGGAAAATCAACTCCATGTTTTAGTCTGACTAAGTTGGCTTGTAGTAGATACTTGGGTCGAACAGTACGATCAGAAAAAGCTACTCCAGGCGTAGCAAAGTAATACGGATAGATTAATAGTGGTTGGTATCTTTACTGTTTCTTGTCGGATGCGAACAATACCCTTTGCAAAATAATTCTATAATAGTATTTTGTGACTTTTTTTCTCGAGCGCAAGGATCTAACATTCAGATAAGAGAAAAACCCACACCCGGATAGAAAAATGTGATAAAATAGCATGGATTTTAGTTGTTGTCCATATTTTCCTTAACGGATAAGCTTTTAATATTTTGCATTATCTGTTTTAGATTTATTTTATAATTAGAATCTCAGTATATAGTATTGTTTGATGGCGCTTGAAAAATAAACTTTCTTTGCCATATATCGGTAGTTCGCTTCTAATCGTACTCCTTACCAATGTGTAATGTCAGTGCAGTAAATAGTGATTAATAAGAAAAATTCCTGAGGACTAGCAGTGTGGTCACATTCTTCTACGTATATACATATATATTACATTTTATAGTATGTATATATGATTTATCTTACATATTATATTTTCTATACATCCATGTGGCGATGTTCGCGATAGTTCTATGTGTCCACTTTCGGCGCTGTTGTGCGATTAGTTAGCGTACCATTTGATGCTGGGAGCTATCATCTACATTCTACGTCACACAGGTATTTCTGCTTACTAAATAAGAGACAAAAAACTTTACAAGATAAAGAAAAAAGCTATTAAGTACCACCTGTAGTCCACTTCTTCTGTTGTTATTCGCTTACAAACTAACCTGCGAATGAAGTCCGCTTTTGTAGACGGCGCTCTGAGGGTTAGATGGGTAATCAGATGTTTTGCGCCGTTAGGATGCCGTTGTTGTTGCCTGGGAAATCTTATACAGCTTATATCAAGCCTAGTAAATGCTTTTGAAAGTCAATTTAAATCTTGATCAGTTTAACTCAATTAGAGTCGATTTATTTTGCGTCTTTCAAACATCGGCGAGAGAGTAAATCAATTATGACGATATTTTTGGACCGGTAGTAAGGTTGAGGTTTTTGAAAGCTCCTATATGAGGTGATATTTTTGAAAGCGTCTATATGAGTTGATATTTTTCCTCTCAGATAATTTTTTTTGTGAAATCAAATGAGGGTGGATCGTGAGAACATAAAAAAATGAATATATTGTGCTCACATCTAAAATACATGTCCTAACTGAGAGAACGGGATACAGTAGACAGATGCCATTATTCGGACTGAATACTGTTTGAGGCTTGGATGCTGAAGCAGACAAAAATAACGTGACCTTTGCAACATCTTGGTGATGGATTAAAAATGAGAGCCATATGAAGAATTCTGACATTCTTTTTATTCCGCGGTACTAGTTCGGAATCGTTTTATGCAGTAGAAAATATGGAAATAAAACCGCTATAAGCACCAGTGAAGGTCACCGACAAGACAGGAACTTTTTAAGCATAATGATTTCTGATACCTGAAGAGTCCGCTCAAAGGCGATTTACTGAATGCTGTGCCGAATTATATACTGTATTATATAAATCAACTATGTATTTTAACTGGGCGACTGTGTCTTCCACCTGCAACCAGGTACTCACAGCACTATATAGTGTTGTAAAAAACTACCAAAAATAATATTAAATTATGCGATTATTATTAATAATTGTGATATTCAGCTAGTGTAGACTCATATTATTGCATCACTGAACATGTGTTCATATTGCGTGAGCGTGATTTGACTTAAACTGTTCAGATTGATAATGAAATCAGAAAGACGCAGTGTAGACTAATAAAAACGGATGTAGACGTCCGAGCTGTGAATATGCTATTGAGCTTGCTGCAGCGACAGAAATGTGGGCGATAAAAATCGAATCCTTGATGATCGTTTAACATTATTTGGTACTAGGGCCTACAAATTATACGAAGTGAATGCTAAAATAATTTTTGAAAGGAATTTAATAAAATGTTTGACCAAAGGCAGTATTATAGGTTTCATGCGAGTTTATGAGTGTGGTATTTGTTACCAGGCGTAGATCAGTAATGCAGAGATACAAGAACATTTTCCGTACGCCGGTACGTGATAAATGAAAAAACTAAAGGGTATTCAATCTTGTTCGACATAATTCTTCTCAAAATAAACCTCCAATTTTCCCAAAATACACCTCCATTAATACCATCTATTTGATGTCTATTTTAGCAATACGCATGTGCGTGCTCTCCTTAAATTATTCTACTCATACCTGCGATATTGCTGTCGTTTTTCAGATGAATTTTAAACAAAGTTAAAATAAATTCACATGTTAGTGGGAAGTACGTACACCCTTTCTGTGACCCTAAAATAGTCTTTATTTAGTCTGTAATTTGTTTGTTCATTTCAGTTTATTCATTGTTTGTTTGATTTTTTAAATTGAGTTGTTAATCAACAGTTTTTGTCAAGTTTAAAAATATACTAAGATATATATTATAATTTAGATTATATTAAAATATTCTATTATCACAATCCGGACTTGTTGAAAGGCCGTTGCCAGCCAACTCTAAATTGCCACTTGGTGGAGATGGAGTTCTACAGTAAGTATAAGTTTAACATAAGCAACCATCAACCTTCTATAAAGTCCAATCATAAAATTGCAAATTTTCAGATTCTGTGTAAAACGGGACGTTGTTTTCTTAGTGATCTTTTCACCTTATCGACAATCTATCCAATTTGAGCTATCCATCAAGTTGAACAGATCTAGTCTTGTGCAACTACCACCAATATCTACATGATTTTTTCACTCATGAAAACAGATTAAGGAGATGGGAACCCATGGAAATAACCTAAAAATATATCTTTTTATCTATAGTGGAAAACAAAAATTCTGTCCGAGTGAAGATGCCGGAAGACGAAGTAAAAGTTATAAAAATATTAGGAAGAAACAATCTTCCCGATCGATTATTCGCACTGTACCTGATATGCCCGGAAAATGATGGGGATCAGTGGAATCAGCGTAAAACCAAAGGTAGGCTTGACTATACGATTGAATTCTTTTTTGCCGTTGCGAGATTGCCTTGTTATATTTCACGATTACAACAGTTTGAATTGTTTGCGATTTCGGTAGTAAAGCTCATTCGATTATTGCATTTGTGCACTACCGTTATATTTTACGTTTGCCTCAGCTTATTGTGAAATTTGCATTGTTTTCTTGCTATAATGGTCTCACATATGGTCGGCAGTAGCAGTCTGAGGCGTTAAAGACAGCAAATCATATGTATATTGAAAGTATTTCACAAGTGTTTGTGATTTTTTGTTTTTACCACAAGCTATAATGAGCTGTTATCTGTACTATAAAACAAAGAGTACGTTCTGATTGGGGTCAACTAGATTTAAACTTTCATTTATTTGTTTGTGCGTATCACTCCTGCCCAGTTTTCTGTGAATTTATTCAATTTTCCATTCTTTGGTTTCAGCTATCACTTCTAAAGACTGGGATCTTAATAAACTGACACCGGAAGAAAAAGAACAGCGAGCAAGTTACAGGGTACAATTCAAGTGTGGCGAGACTGTAGCTGATGCTACAAATGACAAAGTGAAAGGTTTCATTGTAGACACTGATGATGAGGATATGATGTACTTCGTGATCTCGCGAAAATAAAGACCCTTGTTGATCAACCCATTATGCTTGTATTTCATATATAATTGTGTTAAAAACTTAGTCTTCACTTATATCTGATTCAGACCAATGATATCGCCACTGTCCAGTAAGTGACCTTACATGGTGTCATACTGACTTCATGGCATCAAAACGTACAGTACTGCAAACTGTATTATATTTTATTTGATTATGTTACTATTGATACTTTTTAATATTAATACGAAACCATGATGATTCTGTCTTTATAAATTGAAAAGTATTTGTATTGTTCACAATTTAAATTTACTTCCCAATATTTCCACCATGCGTGTTCTATATTTACTGTCTTGCCTTTCACAAGACGGAACTTTCGGCGGTGTTTTTGTGAGAGCGATTCGGCCTGACAATATTAGTACGGTCTTTTATCTTGTGTGCATTCAACCATGAAGTAGCTGATAGTTATCACAATACAATTTCGTTTTAAAGTCGTGTGAATGTATTTGCGTTTTGAATTTGGGTAATATTATCGATAGAGAATGTATGTGCGCAGCTTTCGTTTTGATCTTGAACTTTTTGAGATGTTTGCTGACAGTGCTTATTCTAGGCTGCTGAAATTATGTCACTATCTGCCTAAAATGTACCAGTTGTCAGGACAATTCCCCTGGGAACTCATTTGATAAATTGAAGTCGTGAATTATGGATTGAGCGGGAACATGCGAAATGTATGCGTATCAGGAAGAAAGCGTTGTTGCCAAAGTTCCATTCGTCACTGAATCTGCCTTAATTCCTCTATTTCTAATGCAGGTGTATTGATATGACCAGTTATAGGGTAGTTATTGATTTTTACATTTGAATTTGGTCATAGAAGTTAATTAGTGCTAGCCATTTTATTATTGAGTGAGTTTCCAAACATAGGATGTTGTTTAGACCTATGTATATAGCCAGTTTGAATAAATCACCCGTTTGAAATTCTACCTGAAGTGCATATGTATGTTACAATATTGTAAGTAGGATCTCCTATTGAAGTACGTACATTATTGCGTTTGCTCAAATCAAAGTCAGCGGGAACTCATCCTCATGCACACTGGAGTTTTAGGGATATTGTCATCGCGTTCTTTTCTATCGAGTATTTGTACCCGGATGTCAATCGTCAATGTTATTTATACTGAACCTACAAATGATGACTTTTCGGGGTCAAACAATGGTATTGCTAAATTTAGGCTTAAAAATGTTTCAATTTTTTTTATTCTTGATTCTATTCCTACATACTCAACCTGCGGATACACAAATAGTAAACAGGCAAAATTTGAAGCGTCAATTATTTTCACCTATAAAACTGAAAGTTTTCTCTCGTAATTATGTCTCAATTTATGAAACCTAGATAAATGAGAACCAGCATAAATTATGTTAAGTTATATTTGGAGGGTGACCACTAACTAGTATAAAGCTTACTACACAGTGAAATTGACATTCATTCTTGGTAACTGCTACATATGCGAGATGAACAATTTAAAATTAATGTTGTCGCTAACACAGGCACAAATATGGCAATCAGGAAGTAAAAATACTGAATCACGACGTCAGTATGGCGGAAAACATTTATCTGGTCCAGGACATGTGTTTAAAAGCATTTCAAATGCAGATTTCAATTTATCATTTTGTTTGCATCTATATATATTTAGTCCGCTCTGGACAACACTATAAATTGCTGCGATGTTTATTGATTTTGAAAATCCCAACAGAAATACTGCAGTAGTATGGGCTGTTGTCTTTTTATGTTTTATTGATTTTGAAAATCCCAACAGAAATACTGCAGTAGTATGGGCTGTTGTCTTTTTATGTAACAAGTAATTGAGTTTTGGTACGCTCCACTCATATTATATCGCATGTTTTATTAGGTCTACTCTGGGAATGATATAAATGAATCTGGAACAAAAAAGAGTTTGGGTCAAGTCAAGTGTGTGCCACCGTTCAAATATAAACAACAGTAGTTACAGAATGCTGTAAAATTCAGTGTTACATTTTTGATTATCAGTATTTGCCTTCGAGGCAAAATAAATTAAATGCGTTCTACACACACCACAGTCCATTTCTTTTTTAAACGTGTCATGTTGTAATGCCTCATCAATTCAACTGTAAAATTAGATTTATGTTATGCCAGCGTAAACAATACAGCATATTAGAATGCTGTGACGAGAAATCACAACTATTATTGTTAGCTGTAAAAAAGTATGTCGAGTACATTTTGATAATGTGTAATCAGTTTCACGTGGTCCATGCGTCAATGCGTGCTTTTATCGATGGCGCAGACTTAATATTGTTTGATTTGACCGATGTTATGAACTGTTTCGCTGAATTAGAACCTATTTGTTATTAGATCAAACTTTGCCACAGGCATTTGCACAGAAGCAATGAACCGTGCGTGTGATGCAGCCAAGTCAATCAACCAAGACAAATACTTCACGATAACCGTTTTAGACAACAACAGTTTGAAATCGTTATGCAGGGCCTAATGTATGAAAAATCCTATCAAAGAGTTACGAGGGCAATTTTTAATGTGTTCCAATTCGTACGCCGTAAAATGGTTTATGAGCCTTGTATCACTTTGCAACAGGAACATACATTATATTACAATTTGCTGCATTACTGAGTTCAAGCGAAATAATCATTCACAATTTCACACACATCCTGTTGTGAATGAGCTATATATGAATGTGGCTATCAAGCCCTTTTCGAAACATTGTATATCCCAATTCTCTTGCAAACATTCCTCCATCGTGTCGCTAACTTTTTTCCGAATATACTTCTTATCTGTGTTTACATTGAGTGATATATATATGTTTGGTATTGTTCAAATTGATGGTGATGCGCGACCATTGCATTAGCTCTGACTGATACGTGTTAAACTTTTTATGCCAAACTCTCCCATTGACGGCCAACAACACGGAAATGCATGTTCCAGCAGAGGTGTGTTTTTGGTTTTGTTTTCAGTATATGTTATTTTATACATATATATATAAATACTCTACAGCTTATATGCAATTTATTTACAATATAAACGTAATCACAAATGGCCTTTTATTTTAATTTTTGTGAGTTTGGGATATGTTACTAACGCGGGTTGCTTTGCTGCGATCCAAGTAAATTCATCTTTGTTAAGATACGTTGGTTAACTTAGTAAGAATATATTATTTCAGCTGTGGATGATCTGTAAAAGATAGCTCGCAATTCGTTTTGCAGAGACTTTCCAGTCAAAACATCCTTTACGGGTTTAACGTGGTACGATCGGTATTGCTTTTATTTACTACTAGGAAATAGTAATGATATGGCACTGGCTGGAAATACGCTAGTGGTATGATTATGAGATAGCTCGATATAAAACTATACTATGTCCATTCTTTAATAGCAACTTCTATGATTATCAGATTAACTATTATTTATTGTAATCTACACGAATGGTGTGATATCAAAAACTACCATCACCATTAACTGAGTTGTTGGGGACAATGGCGAGCGCTTCTGAAGTTGCCCAAGGACTTGAAAATGCTTCTCAGAAACAAGAAAAAGAAATTGTAATCGAACTCGGATCAGATCGAATTTTGCATTACATCGGCGTTTATCTTGTACTATTTCTCGCTGCAGTATCTAAGTTATCAGAGGCCATTGGTAGGTGAATGTATGAACATTTTGGGTATTTTGAGTATGATATTTTAAAACGTTTCTAATGAACTCTGTATCTTCCAGCAATATTACTTGACCTATATTATACAGTTTTGCGCAGTTGTTTATTGTGGACTGTGTTGTCGTTTTGTTTCACAATGCGAGAACGAGTTCCCCTTACTTTTGTTTGAAGTAAACTATGCTTGATAAAACATATTCATTTCATTCTGAAAGGTCCCAATTTATCATGTTACCCTGCTGGGAATGTAACTGTGGAATCAGATTTCATTTCGTACGCAACATCATATTGTTGGGAATCATCAAATGTGTCATTGTCAGAAACCAACAGCAACGGCAACAACAACGCTTGTAATGTGGATACAAACATTTCTTCAGAAAATCTTTTAAAACATCCATCATATCTAAAGACATTTCTTCAATGGATGCCTTATGGGATGATAATCGAAGTAGGTGTAGATTTCGCCGCTCTTGGAACTGTTAATTGTTAAAATGTTCCCTGTTTGGGTAATTACCCCTTTCGATGAATTGAAATGAATAACTTCAAAAATGTATCAGAAAAGTAGACTCAAATTTACGCGTAATGACTCACATAAACTGTATTCTTTCAAAAAAAGAACAGTTTTTGATGAAAAAAAACATAAATATATGAAATCGGCTAACTAAGTATACTTCATAAAGCTTACTGAAAAATATGCTTCATTTTAATCTTTCCTAAATCATATAGTAGATAGAAATAAATCATAGGGAATAACTCACTTGGATATTATGAAGATTCTATGCATTAAATAAATCATAAAACATATTCTAAATTGTGAAATGTTTCTCAGGCTTTTCTCTTTGCGTTGCCGTCTGTTTGGTGGCATTTCCGTGTCGGTGCTAGATTGATGGGACATTTGAAATTCATGAAAATATTGATAGACGATGTCTATGAAGTTGTGAAGACAAAGAAACGAGGAACATATCGCAAGTAAGTAATATTATTTACAGGCTCGTCCATAGGACACATTTTTCTGTCCAATTCCAATCCCATAGCAATTATGCCTGTTCTATCCCATCTCATGAGATTCCCATTGGAAGAAAATTCAATAAAAAATTTTAAATCTAGGTTTAGCGTCTACTAAGTAAGGCTACATGTACGAAGGGACATGCAAAACAACAAAGTTTACGGTCTTTGTTAACTTTATATTCATAACTATCATACATGTGTCCATCAGCCCCTTCACGAAGTATATTGTTAATGCTGAATATGTTTTGCTCTTTATGACTAACAAGAGATCTATGCTCAAATATATGGACACGAAGTCCATCACGAAATGTTTTACCATCATTTCCCCAAAAATCATACGGTTTTCGTGTCCCACGTATGCCATGGGATATACAAATGTGTGCTGTCCCATCCCATCCCATGAGACGTTTTCCATGGACGAGCCTGATTATTTAAAATTATGCAGGTTTATAATAATTACTTCATAAAGATACACTCGCATTATTGTGTTCTTGAGGCTCTATCAAAATGTTTGATAATAAAATACAGTATTTCGTGGCTCATTTCTAATTAGACTGCACAGAAATCTATCAATTATTACTTTGTTTGCAGTGCAATACTCGCAAGTTTTTTTTTTCACAAACTCCTTCGTGGCTTTTCTTCGCCAATGACACAAAATTTTTCTCATAAATCCACCCAACAAATATCACACTTTTACTATTCGTCATGGCATTCTCTTTAGAGGTTCAACCTATGACAGTCGGAGCTATTATTTGGATGGATGGAGCAGCTATGATCCACAATACAAACGACAAGGATTAGACTCAGATACTGAATCTGAATCATCGGATCCAGAAGATTCGAATCCTTCTCCAAACACTGCAACAGGAATCAGACAAAGGAATGGAAGAAATGTCAATTCTGACAGTGCAGAAGACGCACCGCTCGATTCATCAAAAAAAGCTGCTGGTCAGTTAGAAGAAGTCTCAAGTCATGCTAATCCCTCAGCTTCAAGGATACAGCAACGCAAAAATACACAGAAGGTCAAAACGAAGAAGGTAGATGTATGCGGGTTTTAAATAGAACTTCAATAATTTTTAGAATTTCATTTTAATCTTAGGTGCTATAATCTTTCTGATTCATTCCTTATTTATTGAAAATCAAACTTAAGCATTATCACTGTACTGAAACTAATAATTGATATATCATAACAATTCTAATTTCTCAGAAAAGCATGGAGGACAGCTGGTACGTTCGATTATTTTTCGGTAACATGCGCGATAGAAATTTATTTTCTATGCTTTGCTTCGAAAATTTTGCTTCACTCGAGCAATATCCTTACATCTTGTCGGTGTACAAAGTCACCGATATTGAAGAAGACAAAAAGGATAAAGATTTGATAGGACCGAAGACTCAGTGTATCCTGCGACTTGTGTCAAATCAAAAGAACATGAGTGGTCGTTTCCTAATAAAAGCATATCTTCTCAAACATGTTTTTGGCTTCCTTGTTTCCTTATCTGTACTGGCTGTGACTGCGTGGGTTCTCGTGACAATTGGATCTGATGGATGGACTTCTGAAAGCTTCCAGTGAGTATAGAATGTAATTATTGTAGTTACTGTGATTTAGGAAGCTATACTGCCACCACGCAGTAGGCTACCCGTAGGATCCAAAGTAGCAATTGCTACTCAGCCATCTATTTACATTTCAGGCCGTTTTGTACTTTGTTACTTTATACGCGATATCCAATTTAGTTGTTTAGTTGCCAATCGTTTCGATCTCATACAGTGGATGAATCCTAACTTTATGTGGAAAAGTAGTGAATAAATTTCGTTGACCTTGGGGTACTGATACTTATAGTTGGAAGCTTGTTGAGTTGTTGAAAAGTTTCACAGAGGGCGAAAAAATCGAATAGCAAAATCTTGTCTCGGTGTCGACTTCTAAAATTTCATCCCGGTACCAACTCACAGTTCCGACAGAAACACGTATAAGTGAAAAAGGTAAAGGCAACGGAAATGTAACTTAGTGCGCACTTTTCCGTGCAAATATATATTGCCATTAAAAACGAAATTCACTTGAATATAATACTGTACAAAACTGTACCCTACAAAGGTTGCTAACCCCTAAAAGTACTCAATTGCTAGAAAGAATTTTACCTTATACGGCCCATCGGGCGTCTATGCCTTCCAATCAATGGCCGATATAGTGACGTTAATTATAGCTTTTTTTATATTTTGGCGTTCCTAGTGTTAAAAGTTGTTCAAATGGTAAATATGATATCTTATATTATTTTTGTTTTAGGTGTGACATCGCCTATCACGAAGACAAATGCATGATTTGTACTCTGCATCGGAAGAGAGACATGATCGCATTTCTCGTGGTTAACCTGTTAGTGAACTTCGCATATTTACTTCTCTCTGTTTCCCAATGGATATTCATCCGAAGAAGTGAGAATCGCGCAACTTGTTATTACCTGGAAGACATACGAGATCTCGGCAGTGTTGCGTTGCACCAAAAGAAATGGAAAAAGGGAGGAAACTGAGAATATATAAGATTACATGTGATTAGAAATAACTGAAGTAGAATGAAGAATATTAGTATCCATAGATAAATGAAATAGGAAATGTCAAATTTGCTTTAATGGACCTCCGAAAGCTGACTTTATTGTAATGCAATTTTATATACACAATGCACTGCTGCTGTACTTCATCCTTCACTGATTTGAATATTTTAGAGTACTTCATCCTTCACAAACTTCAAATTTTTTTACTGTTTTCATGATTTGCTAATGTAGTGCTTTATCGTTCGAGTTTTCTATACAATTCAACATCGTTCGTGTCAATCAGGAGATGAGAGGATGCAGTAAAAATGCAGATCGATCGCCCAAACGCAATTTCAAATGTCTATTTCCCATTTCAGAAAGTTGATAAATAATCTTCAAGTATGAAAAGAGAATCTCTTCACATATATGTAATGCTTTATTACTGTCTTGCTAACAGTCGTTGTGCAATGCTATCGCTGAGGTCTTTGTCGAGCACTATTACGTAACAATAAAGGGAATATTAATGGATTTGTGATTGCTGATTCGATGCGTGTCAAACATGTTAACTGCAGAGCCAGGGCATGGTTCAGAGAACGTCATCAGTACATTGAAATGACTGGAGAGACCTCAGACTACTTTGTAACCATGACTTATGTAAGAATTATCTCTATACCAGAAACATTGACTTGATTACGATAATTTAACTGATAATTCAGTCTTCAGTTAATCGAAAGACACAATATAATTATAGGCAATAAATTAAAACATTATAATTTGAACAATATTTATCGCAAGACACAATCAAAAATTCCACTTCATACTTTTACGTTAACCATTTCACCCTGCATTGCAATATATTATCTAACCTAACTCAGAACAGTTTGACAAGCATAGCACAGTGGGACATATGTGCTAAAAAGTGGACAAATGTGGGTCGCGGCATTTGGGGGACACCGATTAAATTGAAATTCCACACCCTATTATATAATCTTAACTTATCATGCTAAAAATGAAAAGAATAAATTCAAACTAAGTCTGGAAAATAGTATTCACATATACTCGAAACCACGCAGTCAAAATGCAGATGCAACCTTTTCATTTTTGTAGTGCATAAATATTTTATTGAGCCTAATCGGTGGGATTCTACTCATTTTTGTCAGTCGTCTTTTTAACTGAAACTATATCACACAAAATTTTCGAGGCAACACGCGAGAGGATAGAGACATTAGGGCATTCTAGTTCACGCATTCTTTTGACTTTATTGACGCTATGTTACGACTGGAATAGCGAGATATTTTGAACAACCTCGTTGAGGCCGAACTCTAGAACAGTGGTTCCCAAACTTTTTGTACCATCGCCCCCCTACAGTAATTTATACAACTTCATCGCCCCCCGGCACTACAGAAAAATGTAAAGTCCGAAACGAATATAATACAGACCAAATAAACAAGAAGACAAATCAAAGTTTATAGTGTTTTCAAATGAGCTTGGTGATCTCCAGCGAGTTTTTTAATATTATGTATCAAGCACAATCTCAAATCTCCCCGTTTACTGATGGAAAGACGATTTCATTGTTTTGATAGCAATAGTGTCACGGCTGAAAACCCTTTTCCACCATATAAAAGGTCGGAAATGAAAGAATCCGGGGCTCTATCTCCATAAACATCGCCCGGTATCACCTGATGACCTGCACCAAAATACATCATAACAATCTTCGGTAAAATTCCTCTTTGATTCCTCGTCATGTACCACGGCTTCCAGTCCGGTTACCAGTCCATAGAATTAATCAGCCATTTATATTTTTTTTGAAATTTATGAACTTGAAAGTGGGGGAAGCCCTAACCAACCACCGGCTATGCCAGGGTTCGACAACTTTTTGTCGCCCGCGGGACAAAATAAAGAGTTGCGAGTCCCGGCGGGCCGCACATATTTTTTGAAAGTTAAAAACAGTACAGCGTGCGAAGACTGCGACAGACAATTTGTGAACTCAACTCAGTCGTCAGAACTCAGAAAAAAATTACAAATGACATTTAATGTGACACTGTCTAGTTGATGCATCACGCTTAATAGCTTTTCGACGGCACACTAAATGAAGCCAAGATTGGAACATTTTCTAAATGGGCATCACAACCCTAGTTCTCTGCTTGTTCTTTGTAATGTTCATTTTCCAAAATAATTGTTTGCACACATATAGACTTCCAAACATCAGAGTGAATTTTTTCGCATGGTTTGTCAAATTTGATAGAGATTTTTTTAGGAAGATACATTTTTATAAAAATCAAGCAGTGATGCATTTCTCGAATAGAATATGAATTTTATTTCCTCATTGCATTTCATCTCAAGGAGCTCCATTTGAATATTTTCCGATCTATTGAAACCCTGCACTCAGCATCAACTCTTCTGCGTGTTGCCATTTGACTAAGTATAATAAAATTATAGGATCGTTAAACGAGTAGCTGTTCACTAAATTGTTAGATTATATATAATATAATTTAGTCTAAACGTGTCTCACGATAAATTCTGTTACGTAAAAAAATATAATATACTCCACGAGCGTAGATTATAAAATTAATTCATCGTCAAATTCATCGCCGCCGTTTTGTCGCAACAATTCAGTGAAGCGTCGCGGGCCGGATTATTTCGCTTCGCGGGCCGGATCCATAGGTTGTCGACCCCTGGGCTACGCGAACTACCTCACAGCGGGGAGCAGTCCAGCAGTCTTCTCGCGTGTGATTATCGCCCAAGGGATTCAAATACAGTAATCAAGTGCACGATGCGCCAGCCGCCGAACAAAATCAAGTTTCGCCAAATTGCCCCCTTCGGCTTTTTCGCCCCTGTATCGTTTTCGCCCACCGGGAGACGATATCGCCCACTTTGGGAATCACTGCTCTATAACACATTATAACCTATTCTTTTAGTTTCAATCTGATACATTCTAGCTATCAACTTAATCGATAATATTGTAGATAGTTCAATTTTATTTGTGAATGCAATGATGCTCATCAAACTCTAAGTGGGTTAAATTCAGTGTCTCGAAAATGTCGTGACCCACGTGTCCGTTTGTCACACGTGTCCAACTTTTCCACATGTCCCAAGGTTGTGAAAATTGGCAGATAGGAAAACTATACCTGATTAAACTATTGCAATTACTATTTATAGGAAATATTTTTTAATTCGAAAATTTGAATGGGAATACATGCATTAAAGATATATCGATACCACTTTTATCGCCGATGCCGATCCAATATCGTCACGCCGATATTTTAATAATATTCAAGTATCATCTTGATTGTAAGGGACAGACAGAATAGATAGGGTCAAAGTAGTTGCCTGCAAACTATATTTACGATGATCATTATTTCAGCTTGACGAACATGTATTTCAGAACACAATAAATTGATATTTGTGATTCAAATGCATATATGACGTGTCATTGGAATCAAGGCTAACAGTTTAAAGTACTTGAAATAGTACGTATGCGAACTTGCACTTCAACACTTTCATTAAACAAATTATGGTAGTTTCTGCAAACGTTTTGTTTCGTACGGGCGCAGGGAATCGCGGTGTTCGATCTTCGTAATTTATAAAGTTGTAGTTATAGGTATATATATATATAAAGCATATTTGGTAATAACATAAACTTTGAAACACTAAGAAGTTTGAAATTACAATAAAACGTCATGGTACCAGAAAACATGACGTTATTATACTAGTTTCTACCCACGAGGGTGGGAAGCGGGCGCTACTCGTTTGCCAGCACGCTCGGTACTCTTGTACACAATTATTATATACAACAACTGTGGAGAGTGTAAGATTCTCCCGGCCAAAGAAGAATTTTGGTTATCATTATCTATATAATTACTTATCTTTTAAAATATTTTAGATAAGATTAATGAGCAGAATATATATATATATATACTGCAATACCGGTTTATTTTTAGTCAATTAGAGACGTATATCCATGTTCCAACAGCAGTGATATTCATATTTTTCCAAGAGGGGAAAGTCGACGGAGGAAGTGAATTTCGAGAAAGACAAATTATTCCACATTTTGGTTATCATCACCTATAAAGTTACTTATCTTTTAAAATATTCTAATCTTTTAAAATAAATATATAACTTATCTTTTAAAATATTTTTTCAAGGGGGAGGGTCGACGGAAGAAGTGAATTTCAAGAAAGACAAATTATTTCACATACTATAACCTTGTTCTGTTTGGAATGTGGTTGTTTCGTCGTCTTTTCATATGCTCTTCTTTGTCATTGCTAAAGTTGATGTTTGCTTAAAGCAAGACGGGTGCCCTCTACGTCCAAATATGGAAATATTATTGGCCAAAATGTTTATGCTCTGCGATAACAGACGCGCCAAAGAAAGTCACACGCGGATTCATCGTTGTAATAAATTTGTACGAATATACATGACACGATTAAACTGCACAGGCAACAACGCACTAAAATTTATCGACGAAGAGCGTTATCCGCGGAAGACTTACCACGAGTTGCGTCATCTCCGTGAATTGGAAAGGAGTCAAATATCGACCACGTGTTGGTTACGCTCCACTTAACAAATATGACGACGAGCTCTCGATTTCAAATTACTTTCTTTCAAATTATCTTTCAGTATGAATGAAAAAATAATTGAATAAAAAATATTTTTTCAAATGCTTTCCACTAGACTGTAAATGGTATTAAACATTAAAATACTAAACTGAATTAAAGCTTAGTAGAAAATCAACCAATTTTCATAATATAATAAACGATCACAGTAAGCCATCCACCAACCCCCCGTATCGTGGCTAAAGATGTTAAATTGGTTCAATGCACTTTTACAATTCTATCATATCTTTCTCCAAAACGTCAGAGCGTTGTAATGTCTACCTGTCTGTGTGGATTCATGAGGAATCGTTATCGCCACAATGTTTCCTGTTGTTGTGCAGTCAGCAAGAGACGCTTCAACTCAGCATTAAATTTGTTGTATTGACGTTACGAGCATACGAAGCTGTGCCGACGTAATGCGTGATCGTACGCGTATGACATTTTTTCGAAAACTAGTTCAGACTGGCTCTGAAACGACTCGTGATGACACACGCTGTGGAACAACACAACAGCAGTCGATCGTGGTTCAATCAGTTATTAATGAGGGTTGTAGACTAGAGATACATAAAAATTATGAGTTAGTCCGATGTGAATAAATATAGCCGATATGCTTCTGACATACAGTTATCACCTTTGTGTATTTGAGCTACAGGAGATTACTTTATGTCAATCATTTTGAATATTAAGTTAAAATAACACTCTCCGTGTAAGATGAGCAGATGGCATGTTTTATCAATATATTTTCCACTATTCTAGTCTATAAACTCGAAATTAGTTCCATACATTTAGTGCTTTCTGATACGTTAGAATAAAATTCCATATTAGGAAGGCATGTGCCTAATATGGGAAATGGAAATAGATGGGTTGTGCGCAAACAATGCTCGAGGCGCACTTAACAAGAGAACTCTTTCATGTGGAACGTTAACGCGGAGGTAAATAATACAAGTTTTAACGAGTTTAAAACCATCCGGCGAGGAATATTTCGCAGGGTTAAAATGTACGAAATTTTACTCAAAGTGCGCTAAAGGCGACATTCAACACGAACACAATAGATCATACTAATATATCGAAAATATTCACTATTCCATCGTACTGGAAAGTTTTTGAAAACAATTTCTATAAGCAGGATGAATATACGTAATGATCTGCGATACTCGACAATTAGATTTCCAATATTAAATTCAAAATTTACTCATTATTCGTCAAATTGAGTCGAAAGCGTATCTGGTGCACACGGAGGAAAACTCGTATGAGTTTTGTAGAAATCAAAATTTATACTGTGTCTCTGATCGATTTTGATACTCAATTCGTGAATAATGTGAATTTAAACCATGAGATGTGCTTTTAAAATTACAAACGGTTCAAAAAAATGCGCTAAGTGATTCAATCAATTAAACGTAATGTTCTATGCCAGTTCAGACCCTTTTTCCGTACTCTACTCAAAAGAACTCACTTGCCAATGAGAGAAAACTGAGTTGCTGTCGTGATATTATTTAATAAATAAAAGTCGCAGCTTGTTGAATGAGGGTAATTAAAAAGGTTAGGTGCTCGGAAAACGGACGACTGCTGCGTGCAGAAGCGTGCGTATTTAATTTGGGTGTTAGAGTGGTGTGACCCTCTCAGTCTTAAAGAGTATCAAAAATAGAATTGGTGACACCTGGCCTTTTTGTCATCATTTTTCTTCCTGAAAGTTTAAATTCGATTCGCAAGAACAACTAATTAACAAAACGATCCATAGATCCACTTGGTTGCCAAAATATATTTATCGTCGAAATTTATGTCTCGGATAAATCCGTGTATTGGCAATTTGCTATAGCATCAGAATTTACGGCTTTGGGTGTCTTTGATAAAACAACAATAACATTTTCAGGCGAAGAAAAGCAATATTATTAACAAAATATAATTACGCAAACTAAGAGTAACTAATAATTCTCTTCACTTCGTTAATATTCGCATCACGCAACCTTAGTTACCCCCAACTTCCCAACAGTTGGAAGTTCATGATTTTTGTTATCATTTTCTTTTTTCAGTATTTGCAAATTGCAATTGTGGTAGTCTGGTTCAATTAGCACAGATTATTTGATGATGATTAATCTACTGTCTAGCGCAATTTATAATTAGACGCTCTAAAACTCACGCCTGTGTTCAGCGAAGAAGACTATGTCTGACGAATTATTCGTACGTTATCGCGGAGGTGCGATTAATGTCATTAATGATATAGTCAGCATGTATAATCGTAATTGATCAGAATAGTGAGGTTTGCTGACTGTGTGATCTCAGAAAATTAGAAGACTCTCCGTGGCCTCAATTATAACTGATCGTCATCAGTTTCGAAGCGGCAACCGTAGGCTGAAATCTTGCGGGGATAGGAGAGATCATTCTTGAAGCTAAATCTGCTAGATGGTCAAAGGTTAAAAAGCCACCAGTGAGTCGAGCAAGAATAGTCTGAAATGCATTTTGTAGACTTTCTATTACAATATCTACTTACTACCTATCTTACTCTGTTTGCTCTTCTGCGTGTTAAGTACAATTGAACCGACGTACATTTGAACCCATGTGTATATCCGCGGGTTCAATCTATATGCGGGTGCTAAAACCCATGGGTTTGGGTTAGTTTGGGTTCAAATACCCGTAAAACAAAAAAATGTCCATAGGTGCAATAGTATGCATAGATGCAATTGTCGTGGGTTCAAATGTAATGGAACCCAATGATAGGCTCTCTTCCAGCACAACATCGAGCCGGATTTTCTAGCATTCAGCGCCGTCCATGTGGTTTATTATGGTGAGGCATGTGGTGCAGTACGAATTGATGACGACATTGCGTAGTTTAGTCTACTTTAAAATGGACTTCATAAATTTGCGGAGCCAACCGTCTGTAATCGTTAACGATCTGTTACGAGTTCGCGTACTCTTATTAAATGTATCCTGGCCGATGTTGTGCAGTCATTGTTGTAAGGTTGTATTGCATTGTGCAATATATAGCCTACAGATTGTGCGTATATATTTACATATTTTATAATATTTCAAGTCATTGCAAAATTTCAAATCTTTTGAAAAGACTATAAGGTTGACTTGAAACTATTTTGGAGCTTCTGGGAATTGCTATTTCTTTGGATGGGAGGTCAGCTAAATTTAATGGAAGTACGGTGTTCTTCCTGGAATGCGCACCTCCGTATATTCACGCCCTTTATCGGTGGCAGAATACACTAGTGCGGTTTGTTTGAGTTACTCGTACCGTAGTGGCAAAGACTTTGAACTAGATTTTAGCACTGAGTTCAGTTATAGCGACCGAAACCGACAGATGTTCCTATTCAATTTATTCCTACAACGTGAAACAAGATTAAATAAGTGTGATGAAGTTAGATAGATTTGAACATCATTAGGTTATAAAATTATCCACTCCGTAAGTCTAGGATCGGATAATTTTCTCATATCACCACTGCAATAATGAACATGTGGAAGTAACGTTATATGGTTTTTAACAGTGTATCGTATAATTAGAAGGATTGTGCCGAGATGGAAAAAGAGACAAATGGTGGCACTAACTCAGCAAATGGTAAAGACAAACTTTTGAACGGAAAAGGTCCAGAGGAAAGTAATAATGAACTGGAACTGGGTGGAAGTCAAGAGTCTGTGCGTCTCAAACGAGAGGTAAGTCGAACTGACTACAAGTTAAGTAACTGAAAAGCTTCTTCATTTATTTTAGTTTCAATGATTTATCTGTGTCGATATTGTCGGCTTGAGGCAAAACTGCACGATGCATGTCGCCTGATATGAAGTAAAGAGAATTTTCAGTGGAATGACCTTCATTGACCCATGTGCAAGTTTGTCTGTATGTTTAATCGCGTGTAGTCATGGATGACTCAGGCCAATAAAATAGGCTGGAAAAGTCAATATACCTATGATTTATTATCGTTTATACTATTCTATTATACTGAAAATTTTGCTAAGCTGACGACTTTACCTATGTTTGCATTCAATCTTGGTTAGGAATTAAAATGACGTAACTACGTTTATTAACACCTGCTCGATATTAACCCTGACAACTGCTGAGATTGGTGTTTAATGAAATCTATATGTGATTCAAATGTTGTTCGTAGCAAATTTTTCACACATGTATAATTGTCATCATGTCAAAAATTTGTATTACACTCTGGCCCTTCTACCTACCTTAACTCGCATTATCATGGTCGTTTCACACCAGGTATTGAATTATCTTATCGACATTTGTATTAATAATGTTCTGTTTGCTTTAAAGGTCACGCTCTTGGGAGGAATTTCAGTCATTGTGGGTTCAATGATTGGGAGTGGAATATTCATATCACCGGTCGGAGTTCTGAAAAATGTTGGGTCGGTTGGTGCAAGTTTGATAGTATGGTTGTGTTGCGGACTTGTAGCTACATGTGGTACGTTTCGTTGGAAAATTTATACCTTTTTATAAAATACTTCCAGTAAATGATGGAGTGCTTTCGAATTCCAGGGTGTGTTCTACTTGTTATGGCTCCTCTTGAGCATGTATTGTGTATTTGGTATTAATATCACTATAACGAGCGAATGCAAGCAAAATGAAATTAGAAATAATACGTTTTGATACCGGTTAAATCTGGTTGCTGCGCGTTTGACAGAGTAAAATTTTTATGGCATTGATGTTGTCGCGTCCCCGTCTGAACTACGATAAGACGTATATTTGCTGATTTGTACAATGTTTAATGCTTCCCACATTCATTACTTTTATCAGGTTCGCTGACATATGCAGAACTAGGGACAATGATACCGAAGTCAGGTGCTGAGTATCCATATTTGCTCGAAGCATTCGGCCCAATTCCTGCATTTTTGTTTGTGTGGACCTCATCAATAGTGTTAAAACCGTCTGCGGTCGGAATCATCGGTAAGTATCTTAACGCTAAAGTTGTCGAGAAAATATGCTCTTTGCCTTGGCACCCCTATTTGGAAGCCTCGATTTAAATTATTTGAACGAAAAAGGGGAATTTTGCTAACATGTCTCTGGAGCCCCATCTTATACACTTCATCAACACAGATATGCTACCGATATTAAATATATTATTAGATTTGTTAAATTCCGGATACCAGATCAGCATCGTGGTTCTTAATTGGACACCAAAATTTATTTGAAAATTCGTTTTTCAAACAAACAAAAAAATGTGGTTTGGGTAAACGTTTACTTTGTTATTACAGGATTAGTTTTCGGGGAATACCTCATCCGACCGTTCTTTCCGAATTGTGATGAAATACCAACATTGGCAATCAAACTTGCCAGCGCGTGTTGCATTTGTAAGTATTTTTGATGTTGTTATTAATGTATATTGTTATCTATGTACTTGAAGGTAACTTTTACTAAATGTATTTCTTATAGCCAGTCAAATTTACGGAAGATAATACGGTTTATTATGCACGCTTCAAAATTTGCAAAATGTTGGGTCATAATACTATGGATTTAATAATATTCAATTAGTTAGTGTATAAGAGTTAGCTCGAATTAATCATGTAAAATGTTATCGAATATTGTTTCGCTAATCGTTGTCAAAAAGCGGCGTTTTTTTGTCGGATTAATTCCCTGCAACAGAGTTCGAAGTTTATCATTTGTCAATGTTATAACATTTGTCTTAAACTTCAGGTTTGGTTACCTTCATCAACTGCTACAGTATGAAAGTAGCGCAGGGAATGCAGATTGTTTTCACGATAGCAAAAATTGGAGCTTTGGGTGTGATTATTGTAGCTGGAGCGGTGGCTCTCGGATTGGGTAAGATAAATTATGCAATAGGTGCTCCTGAAGTATACGCACCAAGATGTCGCATAACCTCAACCCTAACCTGGTACACATACTATGTTCAGGTTGTGTGCCATTTTGGTGCGCATACTTCAGGAGGTCCATGCAATATTATTATGATACATTAATTCCCACACATTTCTGAAATTTTCCAAATATAAATAATATTTTGACCGGGGGGACCAAATCAAACCTATGTTCAAATTTGGGAGTAAAGCTTAAAAGTTTTAATGCGCGTTGCCTCGTGAAAACCCTTGGTGCAATCACTTTGGCACAGTTTGGCGAATGTTCCATTTTCCCGTGTGCATATGCATACTTTAATATCAGTTCCTAAAAGTGTTTCTGATCTTTGTCACTTTTGTTACCCTTCGAAATATAGATTATGGAATTTTTATTAACCCATATATAACCAATACAATATTGGTATAATTATACGTCCAATGTTTTTCGATATCAATCTGTTATTACATTTATAGTCGATAGGAAGATTCCGCATTTCTATTCGGTCCTGATCGGTTTCGATTGAGAAAAAATAGAATTTATTCAAATTCTATTTTTCGTATATAATTTCTTTTGTAAAATAGTGACCTTACCTATTCCAACCTATTCTTTATTAACCCTGTTCATCAAAATATTACACATTTAGGTGCTCATGTAGTATGTGAACCATACTACGGACACCGGAACGTAGTATGTGTAACAGGTTAAGGTTAGGTCATAATTTCAGGTACAAATACTACGGGAGTCACTTGGCCAATCCCCGAACTCGTAATAGAACTAAAATAAGGAAAATTAGAATGAAATTATGTCCCAATCCCAACCTATACGCTACGTTCCGATGTTCGCCATCTTGGTTCACATACTACGGAAGCACCCAAATTTGTGGGTAACTTCAAGGCATATATATCTGTCGGGGCTATATTTATCTGTGTCATCGTGATCTTGCTTTTTACTTATCGTTTTACATCAAAGTGACAAATGTTTTAGTGTGCGATAAATGTGAGCAATCAGAAACATTCATTTGGATGGGAAGCATACAGAAGTAGACCAGAGCACAACCTTCCCAATTTTATGTATTTAATTAAAATAATACATCCAAAGCCCCAACTTCGCTTATGCTGTCATTTTCATAGACAAACTATAATCGCATCGCTATACAGACGTTTCAAGTGTGCACTCAGTTAACCCTTATATATTACAGTCAAATAAGCACTCATTGTATATTTAAGAATATTCAGTTACAATCAGATCAACCTGATGTAAGCATTCGAATCGATTGTGTATTCATACTGAGCCCATCTCTGATTTCTTGGAAAGATTTTCATCAACACCTATTCGTCATAATATTATCTGTTATTCAGGGTACACAGACAACATGGAGACAGCGTTCTCGAGCGAGATGAAATTTTCAACAATAGGGACTGCTTTTTATCAAGGATTATGGGCGTTTGATGGGTGGAACCAGTTGAATTACATAACGGAAGAGCTTCAGAACCCTTATGTGTATGGAAGTTTGTTTTGATAATGTTTCTTTTTAAATGAATACATACTTATAACATTGCATCATAACCAATCAAATCAATATCATACTTATACTAATGAAGTGAAGTTAATACGATATTTTAATTTGGTCAAATATTAAACTCGCGGAAGCATTTTCTAATATATTTCGAAATCATACCTGAATGAACTGATATTTTTTTTGCCTTTTCACTTAGACACTATAGAAATGCTGAGACGGATAACCGGCCACGGACGACGCTGTGTGGTTCACTGTGTTATAATCTCCTTAATGTGTTTTTATTTCCTGATTTAATATGAAATTACGTTTTCGTTACTTACTACGTACCAGTTTAGAATCTTTGAGAGGGTAGCAAACATTTTCTTTTTTGTTTTACTCATCCTGACACATTTGTATGAATATCTAAATAATTTACCCGGTGGATATTTTGTGGTGAAAACAAAATAAAGCTTCTACAAAATTGCTTGACTTCAGTATGTCGAAATTAAACCAAATTTAATAAGACAAAGGCCTGGTAACATACTTTTATTATTATTACATATACACAGAAATCTTCCTCGTGCTATTATGATTGGAATCCCTTTTGTTACTGGAATTTATCTTCTGACGAACATTGCGTATTGTTCAGCGTTGACAATGGTTGAACTCTTGGGTTCAAGGGCAGTTGCGGTGGTAAGTCGTTGCTTCGAATAGAAATGCACTGACAATTACTTTTACTTACAGCAACTTAACAACATAGCCTTCATATATTAAATAAAATACTGGTACCGATTGCTGGTTCCCGGTTAGTAGTAATTGCGGTCGCAAATAGACTGATTTTATTGGCAAGAGTGGATTTTTCACTCCCATGTGACGGCGACCTTGTTTTATTCTCTATGTTACAATCGTGATTCGGAAAGCTCACGACAAGAATTTTGCACACAACTCGCGTTTTACACAAGTCCCGGCCTCCAGCCTTGCTAGACATTCAAAATTTCGAATATATTTGGCGAATTCTGCAAATTATTGAGGGTATTGGTCATCCCCACACATGCTTAATTTTTATACATTACTACTTTTGATTTTTGTATTCTTGCAGACGTTTGGCATAAAAATGCTCGGAGTTATGTCATGGGTAATTCCGCTTGGTGTCGCTATATCAACATTCGGCGGAGTAAATGGATACACGATAACTGGACCCAGGTAAAGCCGAACATTAGTAATTTGATTTGCTTCAAGCCTTTCCTCAAACGGCATCTACCGTGTATAGCAGGGATGGGGGAAGGTTTTTGGACCAGGGGCCAAAAAATTTGCCCATCTAGCCTGGTGGGCCATGTAATTATGACGTATAAAGTTACATTCTATTAACAAAATTTACAGTGTTTTAAAAGAAAAAGTAGATTTCAATAAGCTTTGTACCAAAATTAAATTTAATCGCAATCTCAACAAATTCCTTCAGCTATATTTTAGCTAAAACATTAAAATTTGGGTTTATTTTGGTTGTGGCAGCATCAGGCGGGCCAGTTTGAATTATACAGCGGTTCGTAGTTGCCCATTTCAGGTATATAGTTTAGTAGCAATAGGTGCCTATATTTCAGTAACTATGGGAATTTTAGTGATTTCCCCTAACTTTGTCTACAGATAAATTTATTTTACTTATGAATGAATATGTGTAACCTTGCCAAGAAATAAGAAAAATTTAATTTTTCAAATAAATCACGATTCTGGTATCTGAAAATGAAATTTGTCCGTTGATTCTCTTAAAAGTGACGACGTGTAGGTGGTATAATTCAGTTTCATATTTATTAATTTTTCGCGAATGTATTTTCGATGATGATTACAGATTTATACATATAAATGAGGTATGAACCACTCCACAAAAGCTCTTTAAGTTGAAGTACGAGCGCAGGTAGCTCAAACCTTAATTTTGGTGAGAGATATTACGAGGTGACACTTGTACATTATAAATATAAATTACATGCATTCCATAGGGCTATGTCAATGACTAGTGTAAACCAGTTATTAAACTATTTCGATCTGTTTTTCAGAATTATATACAGCGCCGCAAGGAACGGACATACTCCAGATATTTTGGCAATGGTCAACGTGAAGCGAATTACTCCAGTACCAGCAATTTTATTTAATGTATGCTATTATTATTTGTTTTATCAAGAACATTCATTTGACATACTTTATTCTGGATAGAACTGACCAAATCATTCATGTAAATTTGAGCATGGAAAATGAAAGTACAAGAAATCTATATGTAATATTGACAATCGGTATATCCATTTTCGAAGTGTCTTGTTGGCAAGGACTTTATGGCACTATTTCCGATAAAGCCGAAGTATCATAAAATGCCTTCTACTGGAATATTATAACTTTCTAATGGTGACCGTACATTTGAACCCATGTACATTTGAACCCATGCGTATATCCACGGGTTCGATCTATATGCGGGTGCTAAAACCCATGGGTTTGGGTTAGTATGGGTTTAACTATCCGTGGAACAAAAAAATTCCATAGGTGCAATAGCATGCAGGTGCAATTGTCATGGGTTCAAATGTACGTGGGTTCAAATGTAATGGAACCCTTTCTAATATGTGTTTAAAACTATTCCAAAGCAACTGCAAAATCGCATGGATTCTACGCTAATGTTTTTTTTTGTTCATTTCAATTTTCAGTCTTTGATCGCCATCTTGGTTACCATTCCTAATGACTTCGATTCTCTCGTGAATTATTTTTCGTTTGCAATGTGGCTTTTCCATGGAAGTTCTGCTGTTGCTTTACTCTACATGAGATGGAAGATGCCAGATCGCGCTCGCCCTTACAAAGTAAGTCTATTCCCTTTTTTTTGCTCGTGCTTTATGCTTAGAAATGTATTTACTTGAGAGAAAGTAAAACTCTCACTTATATCAGTGCTATTTTATTTTGGGAATCCATTTCCACCTTTACAACTACATTTGTTTTTATCATCTCAGGTTCCTGTTTTCGTCCCAATACTTGTTGTAATTTTTGCAACTTTTCTGGTTTTTTATCCTATCGTATCGAATCCTGCCTGGGAATATTTCTACGCAGCTTTGTTCATTGTCAGTGGACTAATATTCTATTTTCCATTTATTTACTATAAAGTAAAAGTACCTTGTTCAGGTAAGTTGTTGTTTGAATAATTTATAAATACTTATTCTATTTGAATAATTTTGCGTAGAGTAATCCCTCCAATACAATATACCGTGGGCCAAATATACTGTACGTTATTACCTAACATTAGTCGCCTAGGCTGGACTGCATTTCACGTGTTCAGCCTTATTCTATGGTTAAAAGGTAAATTGTTAGTGCGTTTCTATGTGTGGATTTGCTGTTTCGTACGTCACAGTGATTTTACTGATTTTCAAGCATTCTCACAAGCCATTTCTTTTTGCAGCGTACGTTACGCGATTTCTCCAGAAGATACTGATGGTTGTCCCTTCAGCCGAAACCTCAAAAATTTCGTAAAAGAATATTTCAACTAATACATATTCACATAATACAATATTGCATACCTAACTGAAGCGTTTCGTATAATGAAAAATTGCAATTACGATTGTAAACTATGCTTATTTTTGGAAAAATAGATTTCCTCCACTTAGAGCAGACACTGTGCCATGTGCTGCGTTCTGAACTCTTTTGAAGAAGTTCGTTTTAAGCCTAAATTTTTTCTACATATGTGTGTTGCATCTCATTCTGAAGCCTCATATTTTTACCACATAAATACCGCCATCGAGTGTATAAAAGTACCAGTAAAAAATATTATTCTCGGTGCTGTTTATTTTTTCTAGGCTAAGTGTATCGAATACTTTTAAGTTTTCAGTTATGCCTGGTTCAAATCGGGTACGCATGGAATTTATTTTTTGACCTACATATGTCTAGGTAATTTTTCCCCGTTATATCTGTAAAGCACTCGCAATTAGCGGATATGCAGATTCATTGGAATCCAATGGTAACTGCAATGTCCTAATCACTTTTATGCATATTGCTATTGTAGGATATTTGCTTAGCTTGCCTGCTAGTCACTGTTTGCTTGCTATTTATGTCGGTGGATTCGTACACCTAAAATTGTGTCACAGTCATGCATAAAGTGAATGTCCAAGAGGAACCAAAATCCTGCTGAACTACGTGCGTAATTGCTGGAATACGCCTGCCGCCAGTCCAAGGCGGGCGTAATTATCATCATGGAGTTGTGTTTTCAGAAATGATTCAAAACAATACTGGTCAACTGAAGCAAGACCGGATTTGTACCATATGTCACAATAAAGAAGCGATTGTACTTTTATCTTGCTGTTTTAAATATATTCGATGTTGGTGACGACTATTACTGAATGAACCAGGAGTAGTGTAAGAGTTATGCGAATATTGTGTGAGCTCCCGTTGTGTTGTTTTAAAATTTGCACATTATAATGATAGTCCGGATTGATGTCCTATATCGCGCTCATATTTCACATTTAATGTTGTTCCACATTTCTAAGCCGGAATTCCATACTCTTATAAATGGAGCTTCACGAGTTGAAATTTTCAACGAAAACTGAAAATCGTGGTTCCAATTTTTCCGACTTCAGTCACGATGTCTACATCAGGGGTCGACACGGTCAATCGGTTAATCGGTTTTGGGAACTACAATTCTTTACCCGGGGTTCTCTCAAAAGCGTGATAATTCGAAGTTGTTGAACAACATGTCATCAGATCGCCTGACAAGTGACAACCTCGTATTACTGAGATACGAGTAATCATTGAACAAATTTTTATGCCTTCCTTTCACGTGCTTGATGACTAATCTAGCCCTGGTGCCACCCTTTGTGATTCTTATATCTTTGAATATTAAAATTCTTTACTTCTAACTCGGTTGGAAATGAGAGCTTCTATGTTTTGGATGTATTAAATCTTCTGTCAAATATCTCCAATCAGCACATCCAGATGCGAGAAGCCACCCCAAATCTAGAGCCATCGTTTGAGAAAAATGCAGTTATAAAACGCAATAAATGTTATTGATCTCACCCATTAGAGTTCAGAATTTGATTCAAATATTGATTTAGGATACGGACAGACTTGAAGATTGATTTTGATGATGATATTTTGATTTCGCTCATCTATGCCTTGTTGTATTTATCGATCAATCTTGACTAGAAAATAAAAACGGATATTACGAAAATAACGCTATTTTAAACTTAAAAAAATTTGCGTTTTGGTTGTGATGGATTCATTACGAATTACTCTATTATAAACGAAGCCGATGTCAGCAATTGCGATATATTATATAGCGCCTCCAACGGTTAATATGTGGACTAGCTTTTGCTGGTCAATATGCAAAATTAAATATGTGGAGCCATTCTTTGTATTGGTATGAGAAGATCAGCTAATAATGATCCCGTAATAGGACGAAAATGAAGCTATTTTCAACTCATTCTATTTGGCATATGAAATCTATGCAAAACGAATTTTGTCGCATCTACAACATGTTCCGGATTCAGATATTTCTTTCGTCGTGCATAAAAAAATAGTATCGACAAAATTAAACAAATATAATAATAAAAAGATCACTTGAAATAAAAGGACATACAATATTTCCGCACTGGAGGGTGGGCCGCGAAAGACCACCAAAGTCATCGTGTCAGCGACACCTTGTTTGTTGCGTAAAAAAGCAGATGACGTCAAAGAAACGTCGAAAATAAGAATTAGATTATATCATCATGACTTGCTGAATGTATCCAATATAGAAAATATAAATTAAATCCAGTGCGAGTCAACCAGGAAAGAAGTGACTAGAATAATCAATTTAGCTTTGAAACGTCATGCTCGGGTGAGGGTAAATACAATGAAGAAATTGCTGTCTAATATGGCGCGATATAGCGTATTTAGCAATCACAAATGGGAAAAATACTTTTTATGTGTTTGGAGTAAGGGAGAAATTTTAATTTGGCAGGAGAGGTTATTATATCGAGTGTAGAGATAAACCACACTACAGACATTAAGATGAATAAGGCACGCATAATAATGAAAATATTCAACAATATGCTTTCAGATACCGTACAGCAACATTTCAACACGATCTACTGTTCGCTTCAGCATCCAAGCCAGCTATAGTTATCGTGTTTCCTCAAAAATAAGACAGTGTCTTATTTCAGTTTTTTTTTTTTGAAAAATAACACTGGGGCTTATTTTCGGGGGATGTCTTATAAATTTATATATCAAAAACAAAATTAGAAAGTACAGAATTAGGAGATTTTTAAATATAAAAAATATTAAAACCGATATCCATTTACCTAAATGACACATTTCTTCTGTCACACGTTTCAGATTAATCATTTAAATTTAAAACGTATGGGAGAGATTTTTTGCTATCGACCAGATAAAAAAAAAATGAGTAGGGCTTATTTTCAGGGTAGGTCTTATTTTCGGGGAAACACGGTATATGTAATCATTCAACAAGTAGAATTATTTAGAGATGACATTTTGAGCGAATTGATTGTTTTAATTTATTTAAAAATGAAGATCAACACGACCAGAAATGCATTCGCTTGCAAAAAGCTTGCCGTTGCAAACACTTGCAACTTTTAAGTAGGTTACGCTTTGCTAGAGAGCATACTCAAATGCATGGACATAAAGGATATATGTATGACTAATATGAACTAAGCGATAACGTCGATATTTGTAATGCCCAGATAAGCACCGAAATTATCAGCGGATTAGCCCGATGAAAATTTGGGATGAACTATATAGCATCATTGGAATTAAAAAATAAAAATAACAGCCTTTTACGACTTTTCTATTTGCTGAAAATTTGTATTAGTTGCGGAGAAAAGCAATTTAATTTTACAAATAACAACACAAACCCCTACAACAACAATTTTGCATAACGATACATAGGTACACTTCGAGTCAAAAAGTCTAAGTTAGGGTGTCTAAGCGCTGTAAGATGTTATTTTAACATTATCATTTTATTCATCAATCAGTTATGCAAGAGCTTTTTACCCATTGTAACGGGTATTGTACGGTATTAGTGGAAATACGAGTTAAAAATATTGTTTGCCACTAAAATATATACAAAGCCTTGCATTTGATACCGGCAACAAGACGCCAATCGCAGCGCTTACGTAAATGTAAATCAGCCAAATTTAACTAAATTATACTAAAACAAGCTATTCTCTTACCTGACTGCCTAAGACACTTATTGTGAAATGTCAACACATTGGTAACACAATTTCATTATGAAAACATTTATTAGATCCACCATACCTGTCGCACGCTGCGACCTCGTGAACTAACGCGTGTGCCATATGTACATAGTGATCATGCCATCATTATATACAAATGAATGAACCTCACTTTCCTCGTACTGTGTGCCACACAAGAATGAAAACACAAGGAAGATATGTCTCGCAAATGCTTGAAAAGATTGTAATAAACAAGAGAGAAATGCGCAACGCTGTTCAGAAATGTATCTAGGTATTTATTTTAATGCACTGTCGTGAATACTATGTTTCATGACCATCTGAATATTTTTATTTTATTTATACGTGTTTTACTGGTTGCAATAGGCTGTTATTAGTGGCATGATGATCTGCCATTTCCCGGGGCATGGGTTGGTAATTTGTATTGAGTGTCTGCCCTAGTTGAAATCAAACATTGATCGCATATTTCACAAAAAGAGAATTCCGATATTGCGTTCACTCGTAATAGTGCTATGGAACAATCACCAAAAATGTGCAGATGTGCTATCGCACGCTACATAAGTAGAATAAAATATCACGATTTGAGTAGGTTTGGGGTATTGAACGTATAATACGAACTACTTAAAATAACTTCTGGTACAATACAACGCCGATTGGCTACTTTCCATGACATCAATTCTGGTATACTTTGAGTGTTTGGAGAGGTAAAACAAACGAGATGGTGTGTGTAATATATTCCCTGAATTATGCAATTCATAAACGCTCATAAAGAAGGAACAAAAACGTTAGACTACTTATCAAGTCATGCTTGGATAACTAAAGCAACATTTGTCTCAAACGGCATTTGCTAGCGTCTGCAGCGCGGTAGACTCGCGGAAAATATTCTGTAGTTTTTTGTTGAATTATTTGTTTGATTTTCTTATACTTAATCCAAGCATTTATTGCTTTATCTTGATTTACCCATTTATCCAATATGATAAACAATTTGAATTACGAAAACCTCAAAGAAATGATTTGATATGGCGATATCATTTGACGATTGATTTTGTACATTTTTCGAGTTTATTTATTTTTTATCTTAGTCTAGAATTATATGCAACTTTCTGTATCTCTAATTGATTTGACTTTATTTTTCACAAAAACATCTAAACCTCGTTTCAAAAACGATTTCTCCAATGGCGAATATGGGTATATTAACATTTCGTTTCAAACGCAAATGATTTCTATTATTCCATCCACTTGTAATTTGGCGTATTTGCTATTACTATCGATATGTATTGTGCATATTTCAAAATATCAGTGAAACCAAAACCTGGTTTTCACAACTTTGTCCTCCTTCCATGTAAGTGAAGTATTTTTGTATTGTTGCGTATACAGGTTTAGTATTCCTAAAATTGTTTATGCGACGACAACAATTTCAACCTTTGTTTTTAGTGAAAATGCGAAAAAAAAATGGCAATTTTGTTTATTTTCCTTAGGTCCATCTAGGTGAAATAAAAAATTTGTCCAGGTTTTATTTTAAAAACACAGTTTTAATAATAAAATGTCTGCCAAAATTGTTCCCGATTCTGAATGGATGAAGCCCGCAACTGAGGATTCCGTAGAATCTATGAAAAGAGTTCAAGATATCATCGGAGATTTTGATGCAGATCATACCATGAAATATTATGATTATTGGGCGCAGCATTACGAAAAAGATTTGGAGGTGAATTCGTTTTTTTTTTTTTTTTTTTATTTAAAATAGTTTAGTGTAATAAAAGGGTTTTAATATCATTCGTTTGTCATTATCCATTGTATCTAGTTTTCATTTATTTATATCCAGCTGAATGTGGACGATCTCTGTTGAATTTTCCAGATGACTGTTTAGTGTTTTATTTTGTTGTCACATATTCTAGATTAGTGGTCCTCAACCTTTTTTGTTTGCAAATCGGTAAAATTTCAAAAATAATTCTGCCGTCCTGTGAAACTTCAAAATCAACCTATAATGTCAAAAACAGAAAACATAATTAAACGAATGTAATTACGACAAAAGTATGCAATTCAAAAGCAGACAATTCAATTTAATGAGAAATTGTGTTTTTAATATCATACGTGTTAAGCGCGGCTCTAATGAAGTTTCTGCAAAGCGAGCGTTTACTTCCACGCGATTTCTCTGTTTCGTCTTGATGAGAGATAACGATGAAAAACTTTTCTCACATATGTTTGTTGTAACAGAAATTAACTAACAGGATATTTCTTTTCGAGTCTTTATGCTTCGACATCAACGTGGCATCGATTCTTTTTCGACAGCGTTACGATTGTACGAATTAATATCTTTTGCAAAAGGATCAACAAGCCAAAAATTCCACTGACGAGGATCTGCATTTTTCGAATAATATATAATATTATGACATCATAGACTTAACAAAACATCCAGCCGTCCAGGACTTGAAATGGGCGTAGAGTCTCTGACTAAGTTTGATTTACACACCAATAGGAGCGGAAACTCACAAAATAAATGTGCAGGCCATGCCTGCGGGAATCACTGCATTTTGTAATTGAGATATAATATTGGAATATATTTGGCGGACCGGTGGGGAGGTTGATGTGGACCGGCGGCTGAGAACCTTTGTTCTAGTTTAATTTATTTTAATTCTGCACTGTCGAAATACTAATATATATAAAATAGTATCCCAGTCAGGAGACCACTCAATTGCGAAAAGTCAGAAACCTCAATTAAGTAAAATCATATCAAGGTGAACAGTAAAACACCTGGTGCAGTGAATTTTCTCGTTTTTTTTTGCTTCTACAGTTTGATCACTTTCGAAGACTGCGGCTATGTGACATTCCCTATTTTTATTTTTGGCCTATATTCATAATATGAACATTTCACATATATTACAATGCATAAACAAATAGCCAATCTACGTAAAACAATTCATTAGTCATTTCTTCAATGGTAAATTCAGGTACAAAGCTATTATATAATTTTTTATATATATATAATCGTATTCGACATGCGGGGTAAGTGCGAAGATTCTACCAGCTTTTTTCGATTTAATTTGTGGCATATGGAATCCCAACATTTCAAAAGCATAAACATTCATTTTCATAATCACAGTTATTGGGGTGATCGCTAAACGATAAATAAAACGGCGAATCAGCCAAAATATCGTTATCTTATTACACAAGGGTTGTGGTCGATCGATTCAATACGGATATGATAAAAAATTTAATCCAAGCTCACATTTCAGAAGGGAAGATATAAATGATTTGTTTGTGCAGCACGCTTGTTCAAATTTACAAGTTGTATGAATATATGTTTTCTTTTGTGTGCGAAGAAAATTTCAACACGGTATTTCAAATATTTGACAATAACTACTCATCGCAGAAGAGAAACTATGTTCAGGTTTAATTTAAATACATACTCGATAAATCAGGCCACTTCGACCAACTTCTCTGAAAATGCCGAATTTCATTATGATGAATTTGCGTATACTTTCAAAAAACTTTTCATTTGTTACTTCTATTGAGATAGTACAATATATCCCAAAAAGTACTTCTAGTTGGCGTAGCACAAACATTTTTGCATATGTTATTTCTAACCCCCACCTATCTACGTCTTTACAGAATCACGTCACTACGACGTCACAATCATGTCATAGAGCTTGTCAAAGAAAAGTTACGATCGCCCGAAATGGCATCTCCGCTGACGATCGGAATCGTTAGTCGTTACGATGAGAAAACGAGAGAAATAGCTTGATTGATTTCGGGTGATCGTCTGCGCGCTTTGGATGACAATCAGTATACTCTGATGGTACATATTTCGCCACTGTGACGTAATTTTTGGATGACGTAGTCTGGTGGGGGTTAGAAATGTCATATTTTCATATTTTCAAAAATGGTCATGCCACGCCAACTAGGAGTACTTGACGGCGTTTAGTTAACTACCCCGCGCCCCCAAATTTCCACGCAATTGAACACTATTTTTTTAGAAGGGTGCATTTATGATAGCACACACAAGTGATACAAAGAAACATTACCATGGCACTTATAGCGTTTAATAACATGTTCCATGGCTGGTACTAGAATGAATTTGTTTTCTTTCTGACACACGGGTTCAATATTCTTGAATGCTTTTAATTCCAATTATGAAGATTAAAGATTTTCCATCATGAAGGTGCCATAAATGGTTCCACATGTCAGTTATTTGCAAAACTTCTAAAAGTTTTACATTGCAGCTTAAAGTCGTACACTGAAAATAACTGGGGAAACCCAACAAATGGAAACTATGTTTTAATTGTAAACGATTTGGCATTTCAAGTGTAAGTTGACGTTACTAACATCTATGTTATATTGTTTATTTTCCATAATAGGTACTCGACTATACTGTACCGGATGAAGTTGTAGATGGTCTAATGAAGTTTGTCCCGGACAAGAAATGGCACGAGAATGGCTTTCAAGTATTGGATATAGGCTTAGGTGTGAGATTCCACTAATATTCTTAAACTATTATGTTTACTACATATTTGTTGACACAAATTGTTACATCCCAACGTTTTTCGAATGTCAACATGGGCTATTCTATAGCATTTGTATATATATACTGTATTATAAGACTATAAGACCATTGTGGATGTATGCAATACAGCATAAAGCACTACGTCAGTGATTCCCAAAGTGGGCGATATCGCCCCCCGGTGGGCGAAAACGATACAGAGGGGGGCGAAAAAGTCGAAGGGGGCGATAGGGGGGCGATTTCGCGAAACCTGGTTTTGTTCGGCGCATCGTGCACCCGATTACTGTACTCTGCGTGCTTTCGTAGGTTTGAATCACGTATGCGATTATCACACGGGAAAGGATTGCTTGACTCGTCTCCGCCGTAAGGCACAGTAGTTTGCGTATCCCAGTGATCAACAAAATACGGCCGGAGTAAAATAATCTGGCCGGGACGCTTCACTGAGTTGACGTTTCCCCAACCTTTGACCCCGCAAAACTCTTCCTATGCTTTACCAATTTAAAAATGTCGGTGCTTATTTTAAGAGTGGTTTCGCGAGTTGTCGTCTGTAAAATGGGGTATTTCAAACTATCATCCTAATTCATACCATTCAACAATCCGTTTTTTGAAATTACCGGTAAAGAATTTTAGCCTAGTCTATCACAGCTATTTCTACTCTTACTTCTATTTTTGATTACTGCAATCAAACTGAAATTCTAGGAAGACAAAGTGATCATTAAATTATTTGATTTTTTGTTAAATTTCCGAAACACAACTAAAAACAAACGAATATAATTCAAAAACCGAGAAATCGAGGTAATGTTTACGACCAAGCCTGAAAATCTGTCTGTGCGAGAAAAGCGTCTGAGCGGATGCGAAAGGGGGCATTGTTACGTTTATTTTACATCTTGCTGATTGGCCAATGTCACGAAGTAAAAAAAGGAAGTCTATGCCCGGGAAACATCCAATTTACAAACAAAAAGGCGGTTTTGACGATGAATCAATTTTATTTATAATCTACGCTCGAGGAGCAAATTCCATTTTTTACGTAACAGATCTTATCGTGAGACACGTTTAGACTAAATTATATTATATCCTCACAATTTAGTGAACAGCTGCTACTCGTTTAACAAGCCTACAATTCAATTATAATTAGACAAATGGCAACACGCAGAAAAGTTGATGCTGAGTGCAGGGGTTCAATATCGCATTAAATATTCAAATATATTGAAATGCAATAAGGAAATAAAATTCATATATTATTCGAGAGATTCATCATTGCTTAATGTTTGTAAGAATAGATCTTCTTGAGGAAAATCTATATCAAAATTTCACAAACCATGCAAAAATATTCACTTCGATGTTTGGAAGTACATATTTGTGCGAACAATTATTTTCGAAAATGAACTTTACAAAGCATAAGCAAAGAACTATAGGATTAGTGATGCCCATTTAGAAACTGTTCCTTGGCGTCGTAAAGCTATTAAGCGTGATGCAGCAACAAAGCAGTGTCACATCAAATGTCATTGTAATAATTTTTAATGGGACGGCGACGACGTTGAGTTCATGAATTGTCGCAGTTTTCGCGCGCTGTTCCGTTTTTGACTTTCAGAAAGTATATGCGACCCGCAAAAGACTAGTAACCCTTAATTTTGTCCCGCGAGCGACATAAAATTTGCCGACCTCTGGGCCGTAGCCGATAGTCGGTCACGGCTTTTTTCCCATCCGAGTCCACGAATCTAAAACAAATGGCTGATTTATTCTATGGAATGGTGATCGGACTGGAGGCCATGGTAGGATGAGGAATCGAGGGTGAATTTTACTGAAGATCGTTATATATCATGTATTTTGGTGCAGGTCATCAGGCTGTAGGGATGAATGAGATGTACAAAAATCATTATCAAAAGTTTGGGAAAATTAACTTTGTTTTCATTATTTTAATGTGAAATGGGGTGAATTTGGAGAGTTAAAGGCAATAAGGTAGGTACACGGCGGTTTTTGAGGAGGTAGAACCCTGAATTCTTCCATTTCCGACCTCTTATATGGTAAAAAAGGGGGTTTTCAGCCGTGCTATATTGCTATCAAAACAACGAAATTGCCTTTTCATCAGTAAAGATTTAGGATTGTGTCTGACGAAAATGTCACCTAATATTAAAAAAAACTCGCTGAAGAACACCAAGCTTATCAATCTCATTAAAAAACACTATAAAATATGATTTGTCTTCTTATTTGGTCTGTAATATATTCGTTTCTGACTTCACATTTTTTGTAGTGCTGGGGGGCGATGAAGTTGTATAAACTACTTTAGGGGGGCGATGGTACAAAAAGTTTGGGAACCACTGCACTACGTGATTCATACATGGGCGCACACGGTTTTTGAGAAAAAAGCATTTAAATCGTTCCTTATGTCCTTTACAACCTTGATGTCTGCATCACCTTATGTGATAATATTACAGTACAATAATATGTTGTATCGTAGATATAAACTTGATGTTTAGAAGGGGAAAAGTATTTTATCAGAAGAAATTCTCTAAAGTTGTTGCATTACATATTATTATTTTGATGACCGCCCGACTCTGCTATCCAGTTTAATATAGAGTATGTATGACTATGAAGTAAGATTGCAGTGAAATATTGTTTACCTTCTTCAGGCACTGGACAAATGGCAACAGCCCTTCAAAGAAAAGTAGGATTCTCTGGAATAATCGATGGCGTTGACGGAAACGAGAAGATGATGGAAAAAGCTCGCGTCAAAGGAATTTATAGGTGAACCTCAATATACGGAACGGACTTATTAATATACGGGGTGATTAGACCATGTGTAGACAAACGTTTATTGACTTAGGGGCTGTCCCGATTCAAACAGTTCCCGGATCGCTGCCGCTGCAGATGTCATAATAAACTAAATTCCAATAACTAGTCTGAACTGTCCTGATTCAAAAACTGTTTTTTTTTAATTAAAAATTAATATTTGTCTACACTTGGTCTAATCACTATATAGATTATAGAACAACGAATAATTTGTGATATGAATACAGCCTATTTATTGCAAATGCGAATCTCAAAATAAGGATATTTGTAAGAGGGAATTTGATGTACATTAGTCTAAATAAAAAATATGTTTTCATGTTGTTTCGTATATTATATATTAGCTATTATATATATATCTAATAAATATAACTCCGTTTTATCTAAAGCGTTTATATGAATAGCCACGTTTAGCGGGCCTTTTGAATAAACCTGAATGTGAAGAAATGTAAATACCATATATATATATATAATGCTATTCGTGTCAGGGACAAAGACCGACTGCGATTTAGACCATATTAACCATATTATTAAAAATTTATAATAAATCCCTAATTGATTTCAATGCTATATTCTCTTACCTATGCTACAAAATTCGACTACTACATCGAAACTAATTGTTTTCAATGACACCATGCATAACAGGAATCTTAATTTACACCTGCTCATGCAAGACAGCCCAATGCCAAACGAAAGTAACAAATACGACGTCGTTGTTTGCTGCTGCGCAATGGTGCCAGGATTGATCCAACCGGAATGCCTTCCTGTGAGTATATACTTGCGGAGTTTTGTTATTTCAAAGTCGATTAATAACCACTTTCATTAGCATCATATTGAAAAACTTCAAATTCAAAACATCTCTTTGCACATACTTTTTAAAGCCATAATGTTTGCCTTGCATTTCCTTCTTCAACTCTATTGGCACTACTGGTTTGAAACAAGCAATTTTTCATTAATGCGCGATTTGGTTAGCTGATATTGTTGGAAAGGCTTAGATAAAATTATGTATATATCTTGAACCACTCATAATCAAAACTGCAGAACGGAAATAGCCCACTTCTAGGAATAGATGTATCCTACGTGAAAGAAATGTTACGCCATTAACACCAAATATGTTGCTATCATTTTGCCGATTATATAGTTGTAGGACATTTTTTACACCAAATTCAAAAATCGATTTATCATGTATTGCAATAATTTTACGACAGGATATGGTGCGAGTTGTGAAACAGGGAGGTTATTTTTTCTTCACAACAAGATCTACCGATGGTAATCAGGAATTCAAAAATCGAGTGGATGAAGAGGTGAAAACATTGAAAGAAAACGGATATGTTCGTGAACTTATGACCAAAATTGTTCCACAATACAGCTGGCCAACTGAAGGAAACAAGAATGAAAAACAATGCATCTCGGCAGTCTTGTATGGCTTGACAAAACTCAGGGCTTTATAAACAAATTAAAACTTTTTCATTCTAAATAATTTATTCGTGGTACTTTTGAACGAGTGCATTGTTATTTTCTCATTGCTTCATAAAAAAATTGTTCAATATTAACAAATTATATAGTAACAGTTATGCATGACTTTACGTTTGTTAGTGATACCGACTAACTTACGATTATTACAGACTTTTAGCGAAGATATATGTTTCGGTCAACAATATCGAGACAGATATAATATGGTCCTAGGAAAATATGCCAACTTGTAACTGGGACATAATTGAACAGATTTCCGAGTGATATGAATGATTGGAAAATTTGAACTTTACTGAATACTAATTTTCTTATTTTGAGCGTTGGCGGGGGCTTTGTACAAAATATTCTGAAGCAATTGTTAGTTAATAATAAACCAGGCCAGCAGGCTGAGTTCAACGGTATAGAGTCTATAGACTATAAACAGAACGCAACTATATAGGTCCATCTTTCAAAGTATCCAACCTAAATGGTGTCTGTTACCAGAAAATATTATGTACAAATCAGGCCCATAAAAGCCCCATAACATTATAACATTAGTGAGACTCTTGTCGAGCCAAGTGCTTTGGCCATGCTCCCAATTGTGTTGGCCAAAAAAATGAGAAAAAGATAAAGGCAATGTTTTTGTCAGACAACTCAGTTTAGAGGAGAATCACCGTTATAAGTAGTGATATGAAGTAGCGGGTAGTCACTGAAGAAGAAAATAGTCGGATTGTATGCTCCTCAGCTTAATGAATCCGCAAATATATCTTCAGCATCTCAGCGTATGGTCTCTTTGTTCGTTACGTGATGGAGGAAAGAATGAAAGATGATTTGCTGTTTTCCTGTGAATTGAAAATTACCACCTGGGCAGAAGACGTAATGTCTTGAGTAGAGTAATTTTTGACCAAAGGAAACATAAGCTGGATGAATATATTATGCAGAGTGTGCGCTGATGGCGCACCGGTTATATGCTTATATCAAAGAGCGCTTTTTAGACGCTGGTGAGGAATACAATGCCTAATGTTGCCACCACTTACTGTTTGATTCACCGGGAAGCCTTGGCTTCGAAGACTTTCCCAGGCGGTTTTCTATGTGCTTTTGACTTTTTCATTAAAATCGTGAATTATATCAAAAGCAATGATTAGAAGAAACAAAACCTGAGGTCGAAGATAATTTCCAGAATGCTAAGTTTGTTCCTCGCCTGGAATATTTGGTGTATATTTTTGAAGCCCTGAATCAGCTGAATTTAAATATGCAAGGGAAGGGAGAAGATATTATTCAGTTTTTCGACTTTACGAATGCATTTGTTAAAAAACCTGCGCAACTGGGAACGTAAAGTGGAAAAGGGTAACTTTGACGCCTTTAACAGTTTCACACGTTTGTGTTTGTGAAGAGATTACGGGTGAAGTAGCAGACGACCTTGGTGCACAATAAATTCAAATCATACTTTCCGGAGCTTGGTCGAACTGAATTGTCTGTGGTAAGGAATCCATTGGAAGTGGATGATGAGTTCTAGAATGATTTAGTTGATCTAAAATGATTAGAGCTGTAGATACTTGTTTGAAACCTTCTCAGTCACTTAGTTTGGATACGGATGTCCTCATCTTATCCACTCATTCCAATGGCAGCCTTCTCATCCCTAGGAATTGTGACATCGAAGTAACGAAACCGGTTGAATGTTGGAGACGCATTTTCATCCACTGCACCCAGGATTCAGAGCATTTAGGTTGTGTAACACGATGATAAAAACTTTTGCTGTTGTGGTTCTGTGATTTGCATTTCATAAGTTTGATACCACCAATATTGTTCTGGGCAAAATGGGCCAAGATCAGTAATCGGTTAAGAACGCCTGCCCTAGGGCGTATAATCGATTAAATCCGTCTCCCATCTCTGGGGCATCGTCTTGAAGGCTGTCTAAGGGCGCTTCCTGGCATTTGCAGCCGAGGCAAATATGGACAACATGCAATGTTGCATTCAATTGTGGGTATAGCACTACGAGGATTGTATTCCTCGTACACTACTTGTTGCATCCGCCTAGAGCGGAGAACATGACCTGGTATTTCAATTTTCCTATAATTAGGCTCCAGCAATATACATTTCTATTGATCACTTGTTTGACTGTGCTACAACAGTGTTTGGTTTCTGTTCTTTTTCACACGACTCCTTTATTACCCTTCATCTAGTCTTTCTTTTTCGTCTCATTTGCTGTTTTATAATCTGGAAAATATGTTCACGGCTCACTTCAGCTTTCAGCATATTTATAACTAGCTTTATCTAAATTATAGCACATTTATCGCCCATTTTCCATTGCAAATATTTGAGTGGCAGCTCATGATTTAATTAGATGTTGTTAGCGCCGTTGTATATAAGTTATATGGCAGTTGAGACGATATGTCCGCGATAGTCCTGACTATGTAATTCGGTAGCAATTTTATTCCTTGGAACATCAAAATAATTTAATTAATTCATGTGAAGTTACCAAAAACGAAATTAATTGATATATTTGGTACCAGCCAAATCAAAAATAAAATTTTATTTTCAGTTAAAGTTGCAACTCGAATTCAAAATTTCCTTTCCAAAACTCATTATATAATTAAAACAATTTTAATTATCATGACTTCGGTTGAAACGTGATTAAAACTCTTTCCCACCGTTGTGACTCGGCACTAATAAGTTAATTACACGTAACAAGTTTTTAAGAAATCACTTATAATATTGCTTAATTACTAAAAACCGGAAAAGGCCAAGAACGTGGATGTGCCTTCGTGCCTCGTTCATTTATTATATCGATACACGTAGTTAAACCTATTTATTCTGCTATAGTTTCAATGCTAATCAGAATAAGGTTTGATCTAAATATATGAACATTGTATTCTGTATATATTGTCGGAATTGCAAAAAAACTCATAATGTGTTTCAATCGTATATTCTCTGCCGCCGGTGTCTATCGTCAGGTTGACAAACTTGAGACAAAATGCTAGCCCAGGGGTGGCCAACCAGTCAGAGACCAAGAGCAGCATTTCGAACTTTATTACCGCGGGGAGCCACATTATAAACAAGAACACACGCGAACATCAGATATATCTATATTCAGCTCTGCTAGAATGCTAGTTTATTGTAAATGTCACAAACCAACATGATTATTACAGAAATTTGCAAGCCATTTATTGTTATGCATGCTACTTATGGGGCTTCTGACTGACACATAGGTACATTCCCAACAGATCAAAGAGTTGACACGTGTTTAAGGATGGAAAACACAGATTCGCAGACGTATGTTGACCCAAACATTGATAGTATCCTACGCGCAGCTCGTTTAACATTGATGTATTTTTCATTGGCATTCTTTTCCATAACTCAACGATCCCTTCCCTTAATGCGCATCTCAGTTGGTATCACTCATAACGATCGATCATCTTCAACTCAGTTGCAGCCTCGTCTGAGACGCATCCGCTCAGGCACTTTTCTCATTCAGACAGATCTTCTGGCGTGTTTGTATAAATATTACCTCGTATTCGCATTTTTGAATTATATTTGTTAGTTTTCAGTCGTGTTTCGGAAATTTAGGTATGAATCAAATAATTCAATGATCATTTTGTATTCTTAGGAGTTTTAGTTTAATTGCAGTAATCGAAAACTAGTGTAGAAATAGATGTGATAAACTAGGCTAAAATTGTCTACATGGTACATTTAAAAAACAGATTATTGAATGGTCACAATCAAAGTGATGGTTTAAAACATATTCCCCAGTTTACAGGCGCCAACTTGCGAAACCACTCATAAAACGAGCACACAATGGTAAAGCATAGAAAGAATTATTCGGAGGCGTCTTCGATGTAGAAGAAGAATGCAGATGAAGCATGATGTTTAATCGAAACGTGATAAATCGTAGTTTGCAGGGTATTTTTATTTGAAAGAGCCGCATGAAACCGTAGCAACGGCCGCATGCGGCTCGCGATCCGCGGGTTGGCCATCTCTGCGCTAGTCAGTCATAGCTCGTGTCAGACGCTATCAATCAACTTTGAACGCGCTTGTTGCAGTGAATTATAATAACTTGACGGATATTGATAGATGGCAACATGGCTAATAAGACTGGCGCGACTACTGAAAATGAATATGGCGGAAGACTTCTCTAGAACATAGGTTCTCAAAGTGCTCCGTACGGAGCCCCAGGGCTCCGCGAGAGAAACCCAGGGGCTCCGCGAGCTATTCGATTACTCTTCGAAATACTGACTCAAAATTTTGTAACTGTTGAAAGAAGCAATAACAGCGTTGATAAAATCTGACAACAATACAGCCTCGAAATATGGTAAAGAGGCTGAATTAAAAATGACATAATTTATAAGCAGGAGCGCAGCCAGGATTCTTAAGAGGGAGGTGGTTCAAAATTGGAATCGGAAATTTCCGCGCAACATTCTTCGCCATTAAAAAAACGGATAACGAGATTTCTGTTGCTTAAATATTCAATCCATGACCGATGCGAGCATTCAACGTGGGTCTTCGTTATAATGTAATTGTGATCATCGTTACTCAAGTTTGATTCGAGATTAGTATTAGTATTACTTAAATGAAAGAATACTATTCTAAAATAACATAAAATATGTAATAAACTGCCAACAATAAATAAAGTGGAGTCGTATTTTCGCGATCTTGGGATTTGTCAAACTTGATTTGTTCTTTCGCACCTGAGATTATTTTTAAGCAGGATATCGCCGTTTAAAAAATCACAATGTCTGGGCAAAATACGAACAATTAGAATTTATTTTATTGCATTCGGCTCCGTCGGTAGTTTCAGAATGAAAAAAGGTACATCGTGGATCGCGTGCACAATTGATTGCGTGCGGCTTCGTCGGTAGTTTCAGAATGGGAAAAAAAGGTACATCGCGCGCACAATTGACTGTGTTTCGATTTCGCAGTTACTACGACGAAAACCTAACATAACACCAAATTTTGTGATTTACAATGTTATAAAAGCGTTTTCAATCTGGGGTGAGTCTGCTGAAGCCAAACGTGTGATCTTCCATTTTAAGTTTCAGTTTTAATATTTTAGAATGCCGTTTTTCAATCAAGAAATTTGAGTTGCGGATTTATCTCTTTATTAATTATAATTTTTAACATTTCGTCGCAGATGACTATTATATGGTAACATGTTTTTCACATTGAACTCATAATTTCCCACGAGAACAAAAAAGGAATTAACGTCGTCATTGTGTAACAATACATGTATATGCCGAGGGAAATTTTTGATTTAAGGAGAATAAACACCGGCGTAAAGATGTTCAAAACACGCCATGCTGACGAAAAAATCGGCGATTGTAACAAAATAAAATCGCGCACGTTATTAGCGGCCTGTTAAGTCTTCCAAAAATGTCAAAAGAGAAAAGATTCGACCCCTAATTTATTAATATGTTCGTCAAGTGTCAAATTTACAGCTTTAGTATGAAATTCAGATTCATTTATGGCTTGTGTTAATCCTATTAAAAAAGGTTCAGCATTTTAAATAAGTAAAGTACTTTTAACTTGCCCAGGAATATTAATCTGAAAGTAACAATTTTAACATTTATTTTGGGGCTCCGCGAATAATATTCAACTTTTCAAGGGCTCCGCAACACCAAAAGTTTGAGAACCCCTGCTCTAGAACACACCCTAGTGTCCATAATTAAAATGAGGGAATGTTTTTTACAGCACATGGTTCCGCCAGTATGACACTTTAACACTCAAATGCAAGAGTCTGTATTATTATATGTATATATTGCCTGAACATTATCAAATGCATGGGTATAACATAATTATAAGTGTGCTTCACTGGTGTTCTGTCAAAGAGCTCAACTGTTCCACGTCAAATTGTTGTTTCACATTTTTTGATCGGCATATTCTATGATACTATATATATTCAAATATACACGTAATCAATTGAACATGGGTTTCTCGGGTCTCTGAAATGTTTATTGTTGTTTGGCTTCACCAAAAGAGTTGAATACTACTGATATAGGGTGACAACTGGCGGTCGTCAGCCATCGATTTTTGGTATTGTTAGGTGACGCTCTATGAGGCAACTACTTTTCTAACAAATTTGCATTTGCGCAAAAATTTATTTGTGCAAAATTACACTATTGTCTATTTTCTAAAACCTTCATACTAGAACAATTCTTGCCAGAGTGTCCGTTATCCCAGCGGTATACTCATGTAAACCTACCTTTCTTTTTCTGTCGTTTTTATTCATGCTCCTGTCAAAACGAGTTTTTTTGTGTGTAGATTTATTTGTTAGTATGAATGTACATTCACACTTTGTATCGCTTTCTCTGTTTCAATGCTTAGTGTCGCCAAAGGTACACTCAGCACTGGATAGTAACCCTTAAGTTGTGTGTCATATTGCCACCAAAGCAAAAGTGGTCGACATATTTTCAGCCTCAGTCTATTTAGCACGCTTGTGCATATTTTTAAAGTTCGGAAATGATAATTTTAAACTTTGTAAACTTTGAACGCGCCTGTTGCAGTGAATTATAATAACTTGACGGATATTGATAGATGGCAACATGGCCAATAAACGAATAAATTGTAAACTCGTTCCATACAGCGACGGTACACTCCAGACTGTGATATGGCATATTGGATAATTTTACCTCTGTTCTTGATTTTGAACGTCTCGCCGCTAAGTTTTATTCAGTGGTGACGGCATTACGCGTATGCTCACATAAAATGTTGACGTATTCCTTGTCTAAAATAACATACATAAGGTTATTTGGATTTCTTGTACAAGGCCCACGCCAAAAGAACACCCCAGCCATCGCTTAAAATAAAATAATTAGTAATTACTCAGTTAGAGCTAGGAATGCAGATTGCGCTGGAACTATTCAAATTATTTTTAATCCGAACCCTAACCGGATCATTACTAATTTGTTATTTGATCTGTTTATACAACCGTAATCGGTCACATTTCTGACGTTGAACGCATTCCATACCGCATCTAGATGCTTAGCAGATTGTACAAGCGTACAAGACTGCTTGGTAAAATAAATTATATTGAACGCGTTCCAACAAAAGGACGAGAGCGGATAAAGAGAGGAAATAAGAAAAAAAATTCTCTCGTTTTTGAAAATTATAAATACCCGCCGAGAGACTCTACTAGAAAGCAATTGTTTCCGTGTAATAAAGAAGCGCTTAGTTTTAACCTTTGGTGATTTTGTTTTGTGAGTTTGATAATATACGCCATAATGTCAGCTCAAATTGTTCCCGATTCTCAATGGAAAGCACCAGCTACGCTTGATTCAAAAGAGTCTATGAAAAGAGTGCAAGACATCATAGGTGATTTTGATCCAGATCACACTATGAAATATTATGACTATTGGTCACAACATTATGAAAAGGATTTAGAGGTGAGACGATTTATTGCATATTACATTATTTGAGTGTGTTTGTTTTGATGGAAAGTGTTATCGGCTCGCTTTTCTCATCGTCAAACGAACCATACACTGCGACAAGAACAATCTTTGATAACCGTTGTATTTGGTTTAACAATACCCGAAATTCCAGCTTTTGGTATCGGATTTATTGTAGGTATTATTTGAGTATTTCCAAAAATAGCATTTGTTTTGCTGGAAAGTGTTATCGACTGCCTTTTCACATGGTCAAACGAACCATATAAATACGACAAGTCTACTGGAACCTTCGTTAACCATTGTATTGGGTTTGACAATAGTCGGAGTTTTCGGTATCGGATTACTGGCTTTATTTAGCATTGCACTTAGTTCGTATTCGACTTTTAGGAGATTTCAACAGATAATAATAAATCTGATTGATATTAATAATACATGTAGGTTCTTGACTACACGGTTCCCGATGAAATTGTGGATGGACTTTTGAAATTTGTCCCGAACGAGAAATGGAGGGAAAGTGGATTTCAGGTTCTGGATATTGGTTTAGGTATGAACTCATCTTCCATACTTTGGTTATTGCAATTTTGCGATGAATCAGGTGTAAAGTGCCTGAAATGTCAATATCTGAGTTGTCTTTAATTCAATCACACGATTTTCAACTCAAAATATATAACTTTTCAGTACGATTTTGAATCTTCGGTGTAACAAATCACTTTTAATCTTCATCTTTGACTATATGTTTTAATGATTATACTCTAAACATTTAGGAATACTTCCAAGAAGCAGTTATTTACCCAGAATTTATTTTTTGTTCAATTTATATAGAAAATGCAACTTAACTCTCGGGTCGATTTAATTGTAAGCTAAATAGCAATCTAGCAAAAATAATGATGTTTTTTGAATCAATTTAGGCGGTGACCGTGCATTTGAACCCCCGTCCATTTGAACCCATACATTTGCACCCGCATATCCGCGGGTTCAATCTATATGAAAGTGCTAAAATCCATGGGTTAGGGTTAGTATGGGTTCAAATATCCGTAAAAAAATTCATAGGTGCAATAGTATGCAGGTGTAATTGTCGTGGGTTCAAAAGTAATGGAACCAATTTAGGCACGTTTTCGACTGGGGTTTCAAATCAGAAATGCACGTTCTAGGTATTTTCTCAAACCGGACGAATAGAGCACTATTCGAATAAACCACCCTTGTTCTTATACCATATAGGCACTGGACAAATGGCTATAGCTTTACACAAGAAGACCGGATACTCTGGGCCAATAGATGGTGTGGACGGAAACGAAAAAATGATGGAAAAAGCTCGGGTAAAAGGAATGTACAGGTTAGTCGGTCTGTATTTAATATAAAAATTCGAAATCGTAATTATTTATATTCTATGTTAAAACGTGGTGGTCTGACGATGATTTCATTTTATATATGGGTATTCAAAACTGAAAATGGCTTATTTCATGACGTCACTTTGTTACCAAAAATATTCCATGCACATTTTTTTATTCCCCCATTTGATGGGTAGAGAAAATACCATATGCTACATTCTGAGATTTCGTTACTATTAAGGATTATTCAAAATATCGCATTGGTTTCAAAACGTCGGTTCATCTGTTTAGCATGTAAGTTGATTTGCGCATGTAGTACTCAATGCTTATTACATTACAGGGATCTTAAATTGCATTTGCTGATGGAAGACAGTCCTATGCCAAATGAAAGCAACAAATACGATGTTGTTGTTTGCTGTTGTGCAATGGTGCCTGGACTGATTCAACCCGAATGCCTTCCGGTAAAATTGATATTTTGTTATATTTGTGGAGTCAGAAATTTAAATACAAACTAAATCATGCTTTCACAGGACATGGTACGGGTCGTAAAACCTGGAGGTTACTTCTTTTTCACAACCCGATCGACTGACGGGAACCAAGGGTTCAAAAACCGAGTTGACAACCAGATAAAGAAATTGCAGGACAGTGGGCACGTCCGTGAGTTGATGACCAAAATTGTGCCTCAGTACAGTTGGCCAACAGCGGAAGACAAAAGTGAAAAACAATGCATATCTGCGATTTTATATGGCATGGAGAAGCTTAAAGCAACAGAGTAGTGACATTTTGCCGTCTCTAGCAGTGTACTTGTTAGTTGCCCTATATGCAAAATATCCAGTTATCCCAATATCAAATTTCAGTTATCCCAATATCAAACTTCAGCTTTTAGCATATTTATAACTAGCTTCATCTAAATTATAGCACATTTATCCCCCATTTTCCATTGCAAATATTTGAGTGGCAGCTCATGATTTAATTAGATGTTGTTAGCGCCGTTATATATAAGTTATATGGCAGTTGAGATGAAGTTATCCGCGATAGTCCTGACTATGTAATTCGGTAGCAATTTTATTCCTTGGAACATCAAAATAATTTAATTAATTCATGTGAAGTTACCAAAAACGAAATTAATTGATATATTTGGTACCAGCCAAATCAAAAATAAAATTTTATTTTCAGTTAAAGTTGCAACTCGAATTCAAAATTTCCTTTCCAAAACTCATTATATAATTAAAACAATTTTAATTATCATGACTTCGGTTGAAACGTGATTAAAACTCTTTCCCACCGTTGTGACTCGGCACTAATAAGTTAATTACACGTAACAAGTTTTTAAGAAATCACTTATAATATTGCTTAATTACTAAAAACCGGAAAAGGCCAAGAACGTGGATGTGCCTTCGTGCCTCGTTCATTTATTTATATATCGATACACGTAGTTAAACCTATTTATTCTGCTATAGTTTCAATGCTAATCAGAATAAGGTTTGATCTAAATATATGAACATTGTATTCTGTATATATTGTCGGAATTGCAATAAAACTCATAATGTGTTTCAATCGTATATTCTCTGCCGCCGGTGTCTATCGTCAGGTTGACAAACTTGAGACAAAATGCTAGCCCAGGGGTGGCCAACCAGTCAGAGACCAAGAGCCGCATTTCGAACTTTATTACCGCGGGGAGCCACATTATAAACAAGAACACACGCGAACATCAGATATATCTATATTCAGCTCTGCTAGAATGCTAGTTTATTGTAAATGTCACAAACCAACATGATTATTACAGAAATTTGCAAGCCATTTATTGTTATGCATGCTACTTATGGGGCTTCTGACTGACACATAGGTACATTCCCAACAGATCAAAGAGTTGACACGTGTTTAAGGATGGAAAACACAGATTCGCAGACGTATGTTGACCCAAACATTGATAGTATCCTACGCGCAGCTCGTTTAACATTGATGTATTTTTCATTGGCATTCTTTTCCATAACTCAACGATCCCTTCCCTTAATGCGCATCTCAGTTGGTATCACTCATAACGATCGATCATCTTCAACTCAGTTGCAGCCTCGTCTGAGACGCATCCGCTCAGGCACTTTTCTCATTCAGACAGATCTTCTGGCGTGTTTGTATAAATATTACCTCGTATTCGCATTTTTGAATTATATTTGTTAGTTTTCAGTCGTGTTTCGGAAATTTAGGTATGAATCAAATAATTCAATGATCATTTTGTATTCTTAGGAGTTTTAGTTTAATTGCAGTAATCGAAAACTAGTGTAGAAATAGATGTGATAAACTAGGCTAAAATTGTCTACATGGTACATTTAAAAAACAGATTATTGAATGGTTACAATCAAAGTGATGGTTTAAAACATATTCCCCAGTTTACAGGCGCCAACTTGCGAAACCACTCATAAAACGAGCACACAATGGTAAAGCATAGAAAGAATTATTCGGAGGCGTCTTCGATGTAGAAGAAGAATGCAGATGAAGCATGATGTTTAATCGAAACGTGATAAATCGTAGTTTGCAGGGTATTTTTATTTGAAAGAGCCGCATGAAACCGTAGCAACGGCCGCATGCGGCTCGCGATCCGCGGGTTGGCCATCTCTGCGCTAGTCAGTCATAGCTCGTGTCAGACGCTATCAATCAACTTTGAACGCGCTTGTTGCAGTGAATTATAATAACTTGACGGATATTGATAGATGGCAACATGGCTAATAAGACTGGCGCGACTACTGAAAATGAATATGGCGGAAGACTTCTCTAGAACATAGCCCCAGGGCTCCGCGAGAGAAACCCAGGGGCTCCGCGAGCTATTCGATTACTCTTCGAAATACTGACTCAAAATTTTGTAACTGTTGAAAGAAGCAATAACAGCGTTGATAAAATCTGACAACAATACAGCCTCGAAATATGGTAAAGAGGCTGAATTAAAAATGACATTATTTATAAGCAGGAGCGCAGCCAGGATTCTTAAGAGGGAGGTGGTTCAAAATTGGAATCGGAATTTCCGCGCAACATTCTTCGCCATTAAAAAAACGGATAACGAGATTTCTGTTGCTTAAATATTCAATCCATGACCGATGCGAGCATTCAACGTGGGTCTTCGTTATAATGTAATTGTGATCATCGTTACTCAAGTTTGATTCGAGATTAGTATTAGTATTACTTAAATGAAAGAATACTATTCTAAAATAACATAAAATATGTAATAAACTGCCAACAATAAATAAAGTGGAGTCGTATTTTCGCGATCTTGGGATTTGTCAAACTTGATTTGTTCTTTCGCACCTGAGATTATTTTTAAGCAGGATATCGCCGTTTAAAAAATCACAATGTCTGGGCAAATTACGAACAATTAGAATTTATTTTATTGCATTCGGCTCCGTCGGTAGTTTCAGAATGAAAAAAGGTACATCGTGGATCGCGTGCACAATTGATTGCGTGCGGCTTCGTCGGTAGTTTCAGAATGGGAAAAAAAGGTACATCGCGCGCACAATTGACTGTGTTTCGATTTCGCAGTTACTACGACGAAAACCTAACATAACACCAAATTTTGTGATTTACAATGTTATAAAAGCGTTTTCAATCTGAGGTGAGTCTGCTGAAGCCAAACGTGTGATCTTCCATTTTAAGTTTCAGTTTTAATATTTTAGAATGCCGTTTTTCAATCAAGAAATTTGAGTTGCGGATTTATCTCTTTATTAATTATAATTTTTAACATTTCGTCGCAGATGACTATTATATGGTAACATGTTTTTCACATTGAACTCATAATTTCCCACGAGAACAAAAAAGGAATTAACGTCGTCATTGTGTAACAATACATGTATATGCCGAGGGAAATTTTTGATTTAAGGAGAATAAACACCGGCGTAAAGATGTTCAAAACACGCCATGCTGACGAAAAAATCGGCGATTGTAACAAAATAAAATCGCGCACGTTATTAGCGGCCTGTTAAGTCTTCCAAAAATGTCAAAAGAGAAAAGATTCGACCCCTAATTTATTAATATGTTCGTCAAGTGTCAAATTTACAGCTTTAGTATGAAATTCAGATTCATTTATGGCTTGTGTTAATCCTATTAAAAAAAGTTCAGCATTTTAAATAAGTAAAGTACTTTTAACTTGCCCAGGAATATTAATCTGAAAGTAACAATTTTAACATTTATTTTGGGGCTCCGCGAATAATATTCAACTTTTCAAGGGCTCCGCAACACCAAAAGTTTGAGAACCCCTGCTCTAGAACACACCCTAGTGTCCATAATTAAAACGAGGGAATGTTTTTTACAGCACATGGTTCCGCCAGTATGACACTTTAACACTCAAATGCAAGAGTCTGTATTATTATATGTATATATTGCCTGAACATTATCAAATGCATGGGTATAACATAATTATAAGTGTGCTTCACTGGTGTTCTGTCAAAGAGCTCAACTGTTCCACGTCAAATTGTTGTTTCACATTTTTTGATCGGCATATTCTATGATACTATATATATTCAAATATACACGTAATCAATTGAACATGGGTTTCTCGGGTCTCTGAAATGTTTATTGTTGTTTGGCTTCACCAAAAGAGTTGAATACTACTGATATAGGGTGACAACTGGCGGTCGTCAGCCATCGATTTTTGGTATTGTTAGGTGACGCTCTATGAGGCAACTACTTTTCTAACAAATTTGCATTTGCGCAAAAATTCATTTGTGCAAAATTACACTATTGTCTATTTTCTAAAACCTTCATACTAGAACAATTCTTGCCAGAGTGTCCGTTATCCCAGCGGTATACTCATGTAAACCTACCTTTCTTTTTCTGTCGTTTTTATTCATGCTCCTGTCAAAACGAGTTTTTTTGTGTGTAGATTTATTTGTTAGTATGAATGTACATTCACACTTTGTATCGCTTTCTCTGTTTCAATGCTTAGTGTCGCCAAAGGTACACTCAGCACTGGATAGTAACCCTTAAGTTGTGTGTCATATTGCCACCAAAGCAAAAGTGGTCGACATATTTTCAGCCTCAGTCTATTTAGCACGCTTGTGCATATTTTTAAAGTTCGGAAATGATAATTTTAAACTTTGTAAACTTTGAACGCGCCTGTTGCAGTGAATTATAATAACTTGACGGATATTGATAGATGGCAACATGGCCAATAAACGAATAAATTGTAAACTCGTTCCATACAGCGACGGTACACTCCAGACTGTGATATGGCATATTGGATAATTTTACCTCTGTTCTTGATTTTGAACGTCTCGCCGCTAAGTTTTATTCAGTGGTGACGGCATTACGCGTATGCTCACATAAAATGTTGACGTATTCCTTGTCTAAAATAACATACATAAGGTTATTTGGATTTCTTGTACAAGGCCCACGCCAAAAGAACACCCCAGCCATCGCTTAAAATAAAATAATTAGTAATTACTCAGTTAGAGCTAGGAATGCAGATTGCGCTGGAACTATTCAAATTATTTTTAATCCGAACCCTAACCGGATCATTACTAATTTGTTATTTGATCTGTTTATACAACCGTAATCGGTCACATTTCTGACGTTGAACGCATTCCATACCGCATCTAGATGCTTAGCAGATTGTACAAGCGTACAAGACTGCTTGGTAAAATAAATTATATTGAACGCGTTCCAACAAAAGGACGAGAGCGGATAAAGAGAGGAAATAAGAAAAAAAATTCTCTCGTTTTTGAAAATTATAAATACCCGCCGAGAGACTCTACTAGAAAGCAATTGTTTCCGTGTAATAAAGAAGCGCTTAGTTTTAACCTTTGGTGATTTTGTTTTGTGAGTTTGATAATATACGCCATAATGTCAGCTCAAATTGTTCCCGATTCTCAATGGAAAGCACCAGCTACGCTTGATTCAAAAGAGTCTATGAAAAGAGTGCAAGACATCATAGGTGATTTTGATCCAGATCACACTATGAAATATTATGACTATTGGTCACAACATTATGAAAAGGATTTAGAGGTGAGACGATTTATTGCATATTACATTATTTGAGTGTGTTTGTTTTGATGGAAAGTGTTATCGGCTCGCTTTTCTCATCGTCAAACGAACCATACACTGCGACAAGAACAATCTTTGATAACCGTTGTATTTGGTTTAACAATACCCGAAATTCCAGCTTTTGGTATCGGATTTATTGTAGGTATTATTTGAGTATTTCCAAAAATAGCATTTGTTTTGCTGGAAAGTGTTATCGACTGCCTTTTCACATGGTCAAACGAACCATATAAATACGACAAGTCTACTGGAACCTTCGTTAACCATTGTATTGGGTTTGACAATAGTCGGAGTTTTCGGTATCGGATTACTGGCTTTATTTAGCATTGCACTTAGTTCGTATTCGACTTTTAGGAGATTTCAACAGATAATAATAAATCTGATTGATATTAATAATACATGTAGGTTCTTGACTACACGGTTCCCGATGAAATTGTGGATGGACTTTTGAAATTTGTCCCGAACGAGAAATGGAGGGAAAGTGGATTTCAGGTTCTGGATATTGGTTTAGGTATGAACTCATCTTCCATACTTTGGTTATTGCAATTTTGCGATGAATCAGGTGTAAAGTGCCTGAAATGTCAATATCTGAGTTGTCTTTAATTCAATCACACGATTTTCAACTCAAAATATATAACTTTTCAGTACGATTTTGAATCTTCGGTGTAACAAATCACTTTTAATCTTCATCTTTGACTATATGTTTTAATGATTATACTCTAAACATTTAGGAATACTTCCAAGAAGCAGTTATTTACCCAGAATTTATTTTTTGTTCAATTTATATAGAAAATGCAACTTAACTCTCGGGTCGATTTAATTGTAAGCTAAATAGCAATCTAGCAAAAATAATGATGTTTTTTGAATCAATTTAGGCGGTGACCGTGCATTTGAACCCCCGTCCATTTGAACCCATACATTTGCACCCGTATATCCGCGGGTTCAATCTATATGAAAGTGCTAAAATCCATGGGTTAGGGTTAGTATGGGTTCAAATATCCGTAAAAAAATTCATAGGTGCAATAGTATGCAGGTGTAATTGTCGTGGGTTCAAAAGTAATGGAACCAATTTAGGCACGTTTTCGACTGGGGTTTCAAATCAGAAATGCACGTTCTAGGTATTTTCTCAAACCGGACGAATAGAGCACTATTCGAATAAACCACCCTTGTTCTTATACCATATAGGCACTGGACAAATGGCTATAGCTTTACACAAGAAGACCGGATACTCTGGGCCAATAGATGGTGTGGACGGAAACGAAAAAATGATGGAAAAAGCTCGGGTAAAAGGAATGTACAGGTTAGTCGGTCTGTATTTAATATAAAAATTCGAAATCGTAATTATTTATATTCTATGTTAAAACGTGGTGGTCTGACGATGATTTCATTTTATATATGGGTATTCAAAACTGAAAATGGCTTATTTCATGACGTCACTTTGTTACCAAAAATATTCCATGCACATTTTTTTATTCCCCCATTTGATGGGTAGTGAAAATAACATATGCTACATTCTGAGATTTCGTTACTATTAAGGATTATTCAAAATATCGCATTGGTTTCAAAACGTCGGTTCATCTGTTTAGCATGTAAGTTGATTTGCGCATGTAGTACTCAATGCTTATTACATTACAGGGATCTTAAATTGCATTTGCTGATGGAAGACAGTCCCATGCCAAATGAAAGCAACAAATACGATGTTGTTGTTTGCTGTTGTGCAATGGTGCCTGGACTGATTCAACCCGAATGCCTTCCGGTAAAATTGATATTTTGTTATATTTGTGGAGTCAGAAATTTAAATACAAACTAAATCATGCTTTCACAGGACATGGTACGGGTCGTAAAACCTGGAGGTTACTTCTTTTTCACAACCCGATCGACTGACGGGAACCAAGGGTTCAAAAACCGAGTTGACAACCAGATAAAGAAATTGCAGGACAGTGGGCACGTCCGTGAGTTGATGACCAAAATTGTGCCTCAGTACAGTTGGCCAACAGCGGAAGACAAAAGTGAAAAACAATGCATATCTGCGATTTTATATGGCATGGAGAAGCTTAAAGCAACAGAGTAGTGACATTTTGCCGTCTCTAGCAGTGTACTTGTTAGTTGCCCTATATGCAAAATATCCAGTTATCCCAATATCAAATTTCTGAGAATGAACTCATAGCGGGAAAAGATACTTGCCAACTTTTTTTTTATGTATATACAGCAATTTTGAGGCAAAAAAAATTATTTAGTATTTTGTTATTGCAAAATGATTATCAATGTTCTTGGCATAATATTTGAAAATATGAAATGAATAATGAAATACAGCCTTTTATTGTTGTACGGAGACATGGTAAGAAAAGGAAAAGCGGTCATAAACAATTTTCAAAATACTCGACAGAACTTGTTTGGAGTGAATTCGCAAACCCAACATTTGAATCAATCCTTGTTGGTTCTATTTGTCATTGATACCTACATGAGCGTGCGTGAAGAAAATGCCTTCTGGCATAATTTTAAATATCGTCTGACTAAACATATAATCTTCTACCGATACCGTGTTTGCCTTGTGTTTATCATTGATGCCTATAGTATAGAGATCAAACTTGGAAACCAGATTGGGACAGACTCACAAGTAGAAAAGTAGTATAAGGTATGACGATTGATAACAGTTTTTGGGGGAATCATTTTGAGGATAATCCGTTCCCTGCAAGGCATATCCAGTAACAATATGAATTAGTGTGATAATGGTTGTGATCGATAAGGTTGATCACTCGAAAAGAATTCGACTCTGGGTTAACAAACATAACGCGTAATAGTTTTGTCTTTGGATCTTTCATATCCACTTCATTGCAATCCCCTGCATTATGAAAATGCATGATGAATTAATCTCATTTTTAAAATACATTAAAACTACCAGAACTTCGGTGACTTGCACATATATTTCGAATTTCCCATCCTTTCTTTAGTGATTGAACATGGCATTTTATATGCGCATACTAGTTTTTTTCACACGTCGCAACTTTGATTAATGAAGCGCACATCACTCAACCGGTCATAACCACCATCTTGTGAAAACATCTCCACTTCTTAAAAACACATCGCGCAACTGATTGCTCTTCAAGTATTGTCCCCCATGCCCAAGCGCCACGACGAGTGCAAATTCTTAATCAAATGGCTAAATTTTTTATATGTTTTTCCACAAAGGATATTCATCACCCACAATACGCTTGTTCATGGTGTAAATTTTCCTGATTGTCCCACACAAATATGAAAAGTATATTTATGATCTGTATTCAGAATATAATAAATATGAATCACAAACTTCCGCCAAATCCCAGATCGTTTGCGGCGTCAGATGTAAGACTTAAACGGAGAATTACGAAGTGTGGTGGAGTTCTCTGTAGTAGTGTTTTATAGATTTTATGTTACGAAGTTGTTTCAGTGCGTAAACTGTTTATTCCTCTACTTCATTTCATTTCAGAGAAATATATCCCCAGTCTGGGATTGTTCCCTCTTAACGTCTATATCCACGTTTCATTCAACCACGAGATATAATATTCGATATAGGGTCTTCCGGAAAATGTTACGTGGCCTGAGTAAATGGTAAGAGTAAGCCTTCTGCAGTACAATATTAGCATATATGTGAATGGTTATCCTTGGTCCTTCAAACTTAGGATTATGTGGTGATTAAACTAATGTGCTTAAATATAGTCGCTAAAATTAAGGCTTGGATTCCCAATATCCTGGGGTCATTTCTACAACGTGTCGCTTTAACGCTTTATTTACATCGCCAAAGCTCAGAATGATGCAATGTTGTGTTCGTGTATATTTCCGATCCAATTAAAAAATTCACAAACTTATGGTTATGTGACGATTAAACTAATGTGCTTAAAATATAGTCGCTAAAATTAAGGCTTGGATTCCCAATATCCTGGGGTCATTTCTACAACGCGTCGCTTTAACGCTTTAATGACATCGCCAAAGCTCAGAATGATGCAATGTTGTGTTCATGTATATTTTTGATACCAATTAAAAAAGAGTAAAATTTACGTGCATAACTGCGATATTTTTGCGCTTGATTTAAAGTGTCTATAATAGCGTTTAGATAACAATTTGCATCTGTCGCGTCCGAATTTCAGCAATTATTTCAATTTTTTCTATGTTAATATTGATTAATGTATTTTTGCGATCACAGCCGACATGAAAGATTTAAATCAGTGCCAACTTGAAGAACTTATAATACTCCTTCGTGAGCAGTAGGTATATACTTGCGAGATAGGAGAAAGCTAGGGATGCAATTAAAATGGAAAGAATAAAGTAGCTTTTATACATCGTTAGGGAGAAATGAAGTTTCAAAATAGGTGAAGGGAGCAATATAACGACAAAAGTTGGGAACCACTGCTTCAGTCAATCCTCCTCATTATCAATCCATAACATTAAAAGTTTTCTAGTGAACTCAATGCAAAGATCAAGCACAACTTGTCTGTATATAGGTATGTCAAACAGAGGGGAGGTTTCCTGCACTCTTGATCAACCAATCGTGTTGAAGTATTCACGAAAAACAACTCGTGTTGAGTGCCCCGTGGCTAAAGTGCTATTGAGTGCATATAACTAATATAGAAAGAGATAATAAATATATTACACAGCATATTTTCATACACGGTGACTCAAGTGGGCGATGATATCGTTGGTGTTGTTTTTCACTCTGAATCAGCCAATCACATTTGAGTTCACGGAAAAACAACTCACGATGAGTGCCCTAAGGCTAAAGTACCAACGTGCGTAAGTAAATAAGAACCGGCAAAAACTGGTTTGGAGTATATAGACTCGGGGCGTTGTTGTTACCTCACCAACGATAAGTGTTTGAGTATTAAGACAAACAACTCACGTTGAGTGCCTTAAGGCTGGAGAGACTCCGCGTACCAGGCACGACATATTACGAAAAGCGACACTCTTATTTATTCAAACTATAGGTTTCCTGGAACTCTCCGATCAATCCGTTTATCATAAAGTTTTAACTTCCAAATCACTTTTGCAGAGCATTTGGAGACATAGAAAGCGTCTCTTCATCTTAATAGTTTCATTAATCATTCCCCCATTTATGAATTAATCCGTGATCACTATATGTACTAGTGACAAGAAAAGGAAATATCCGACGTACGACAGAAAGGATGATAACCACTTGGGAAGATATCGCGCCCTGTTTCCCTAATTTCGTGATAAGTAATTCACAGTGTTTTATTATACTTCGTAAGAAAATACACCCGCGTAGCGGATATGAACGACAGCATAAAACTACACTCAATTCAAATACGATTTGATCTTTTTATTTTTAATAGGTCACTGGAGCACAGTTTGCACTCAAATTTCACGTGCGAGAGTGCTGATGCTTTCGCATGTCTGTCTAATCACCCTGACTCACTCTGTCTTAAGCAAACATACTCTTTGTCAATTCAATATAATCCGGTTTGAACCGTCTGGTGACGATATATGACGAAGGAAACAAAAGCAAATGTCGGGAAAATGTAAACAAAACACTCCGTTTTGTTCAAGTCACACCAACTCAGTAATATCACTCAGCTTCGTTTTATACATTGACACTCGTAATTTAGCATTTCACTCTTATTCTCTTTCGTAAATTTAACATTCGTTCTTTATGGACAATGCGAGCAAATATTTGCAAACGAAATACAAATTTGAGCGACCGTGACGCCGTAAACGTGTGTAATTTAAATTTATTCCAATATGGTAATAAAATGGTAAAACATACTCAGGTATATCGCTGATTTTTTTATGAATATAAGTTTATTTGCCGAGTCATGCGATATTTCTGAAGTTACACATTAATTCCAACGCTAAAATTTTGTCGAAGTAATGTGCTTAAATCACCTTTTAAAAACAAACAAACTCAAAAACGAAGTAAGACAGAAAAAGCAGTGAAAATTATTTTGAATCAAGTTTTATGTTGTAGTCATCAAACTGTGTCACAAGTTGTAACTACACCTTCATGAGCAATATAAACAAATTCATCTCATTCCAAATGCAAAGTGGCATCAGAATTGATGCAATTACAGGACTTATCGTAAATTTTCTCAGTTGTACAAATATAAATACATGTTAGATTCCGATGATTTCCTATAACTTGGCTCACGCACTGAAAACTTAAAAAAACATCAAAATAAATATTTTTATTAAATCAAGTAAGGCATAGGTATTGAGTTCAATGAGTTAGTTTAGATTTGGCATCCGTTGTATATTTAAGCACAAATTAGTCTTCCTAAATCATACGAGAATGTGGATATAATATTATTTTGAAAAAACTGCAATTTGGTGTTCCCTATATCGCAAAATCGCTTCGATCGATACTTCGGAAATCGTGCAAAATATACAAATGTACTCATATTTCGACACGATTCCCTGTCTTATAGAATGGCTTCCTGATCGATGGTAACAAACGAGAATATCGGTCGGAGACCGAAGACTTATCGATCGAAAGTGAGGGGGATCCCCAAAAAAAAAACTGCGGATTCGATTCATCCGCTCTTACTCCATAGCGACACCGTGTGTCCCGTCACTAATTAATTAATGACTCGCTAATTATACGACATAATTCATCCAAAATCAATAGACTTCTGGTCCGAGATATGATAAATGCACATGCAAAATTTGGAGCAGATTCAACCTCGCTTTCGTGAGATATCGTGTGAATCTGACATACAGACAAACAAACAAACACGGTCTCCGACCGATAATCTCGTTTGTTACCATCGATCAGGAAGCCATTCTATAAGGCAGGGAATCGTGTCGAAATATGAGTACATTTGTATATTTTGCACGATTTCCAAAGTATCGATCGAAGCGATTTTGCGATATAGGGAACACCAAATTGCAGTTTAATAAGTAAAAAAAACAATGTCTGGCATACTTTCCATGCAAAGTATGTAACAGCTGCACATACACTCTTAAATTTGTAGATTTAGTCCACGCCTCAGGGCCGTTGATTAAATTATAGTATTGGATAATATATACCGTTCTTTAGTTTGAATTTAAGCACTTATGTACTTGTATACTAGCCCTCAATTTCTATCTGATGTCTATATTGGACCGCCATTGGTGGATCTCGAAAAAGTGATTGAAGACCATAATGTATTTTTTTATTGATAGTGTTTTCGAAGTAGCAGGTGATACTATGCACATCAAAATGGTTAAGTACCCAACTACTTAGACTACTTGTCTACATGTTTTGCGAATTACAATGCTAGATTGTAATTCGCAATCGCCATTCTCTTGTTAGCACGCACTTGGCAATAACGACTCATGTCACTAAATTTGAGCGCGATGTCGCCAAGTGCATACCATATTCGGTTTATGTGTTTATTCGGACAATTTCAATGTTAAAAAATTCTCTAGTATGTCAAATAGCCTTTCTTACGCCCTCCGGTCGGTGAGTGATATTGGCTTTATACGAACCCTGCTCTAGTTGTAAAAATAACATTTTCCAGAGCAGGTTAACAAACACTCATCGTATACGACAAGCACACAAAAGAATAGTCGTAACTGGTCTCGACTAGTTTGAGCAAGTTTATTTGAGTGAGGTGATCCGAGGTAACAAACAACTCAACTCCGAAACATGCTTTGCCATACCTTGCCATGGTAGTGTTTCGATTTTTTAGCAAATGGGAGGTGACCTGGTGTGTATGGAAATAGCCAATCATGCTTTAAGGCCAAATCGATAGAGATGATGCAAATAACACGCTCGACCCCTTTCTCAGTTCAACCGGAATATAAAGTCATACGACACCGAATGTCGCTAGTGAACAACTTATTGAAAACTTGCTGGTAAACATCAAACGTCCACTCGATGGCGTTCTGATCCCGATTACGCGTAGATTCCGAAGGGTTTTATGGCTAGAGATTTTAGTACATGATTAATCAATGAACTTTCTTTGTCTTTTTCTGATTAGAGTTGTGTCGTTGTGACTATTTTTAGGTAATTATTTTTTAATATCGAGAGCATCGTCTATTACCCTTACCCCGGGTTCATGGCACGATAGGAAACCACGTCCATATTTGGCAAATTTGGCAGGTCCGGTCAGAAAGCGGACTACACTTCTGAATATATTAGACACCGTAAAATTATCCTTAGCCAAGCAGGCGGGCGATTACAGCAAGCTTTCATTTTAATATTGTTAATCAATAATATGATCCTGTCAAAAATTGCTAGCGGCGAAGATCACTTGCAGTTGTATATTATTCCCAGCTAGTTGGCTAATCAATATGATTTAGTATTTTTCACGATTGGGTGTATGGTAACATGAGCATGTGTCAGACTTTAATCATTACTAAAGAAAAGCACTGAAGGCACGAAAAGAATAATAAAAAACATGAATTTCATATGCGCACACAAGAGAGAAGATTCACACCATAAAATTTTAGTTATACAAAAACATCCAACATTCAACAACGAAAAATTTCGTCGAGCTACGAGTTAGATAACAATATAGCAATATTCTAGGTAGACACGAATATTGGTGAAAATCCAAATAGAGATGTAAGGCAAGCTTTTGATTCGTTCACCTGATTGTGATAAGTATGTCATGTAGCATGTACTTAAGGATACGACGAATGGGAGAGGCAATTACAAGAGCAGTAGTATCCAAAAACTTCAGGAGTAGGGTCATGCGTTACGACTGAATACCTGTTTAATTTATTTCGATATATATTTTACTATAAATACCTAGGACTTCTAAAAGTATCACCATCCTATATGTAGTTTCAGTATAAATTCAAATGAAACGTTTTTGATCTTAACCACAATCAATTATAGAGTAAGTACACTGTCAACATTTATATACCATTTTGTAACTTATTCTATTTTAAGCCCGTTGATTTTTCTTAGGTTCAGTAGCCGCAATGAAAAGTCTCCAATTTACAGAAATGGATTAATCCGAAGTCTATCGAACTAGGTATCAAAAAAAGAGATGGCATCAAATCTTTTGTTGGTTAGAAATGCTTCGACGATGTAATGAATATTGCAATACATCCGGCAGTTTCTACTTTCGCACGAGACAGGAACAGTAGTGAGACACTATTCCGCGGACGGCATAGGGACACGGTGGACGAAACTTACTTCATGAGTACTTGATTTAGACGTCGTCCAACAGTTATGGTGCGCTCTTGCATTTCGAATACAAGAAGCGATTACAGTTAGACTGTCTGTGACTCATTGGTTTTCAACCAGGGTTCGGCGACACTCCAGAATTTTGCCAGCACACTACAAGGGTTTCAAACTTTTACGTTCAAATCCAAAGGTCCGTATTATTATATGTACTGTATATATATTATTTGAATATAATAAAATACCTTAGGTTATTAGGTTTGCCACCATTATTAAATTTTTGGCACTTTAAAGGTCAATTTGTTTTGCCAGTATTGGGTTTGCTTTTTTATATATATACGAGTATTTCATTTTATTTAATTATGAAATGAAAATGATGATTTTTGAATGAGAAAATAAAAGTATTACGCAGAGGTTCCTCACGTCTACGGAATGTTTCATTGGGGTTGCGCTCTAGTATTAAGGTTAAAAACCACCTCTACAATCACACTACGAAATCTTGACCCACTCGAGGGCATTCAGTTGTGATTATGGTCGAATTGAAATTCAGATTTATGTTCCCTCTTCGGAACATCCGTCTCATCTACCGTTTTTCAAATATATTTTTTGTTGTTTTGAATATCAGTTCGAATTACATATAGCTTTTTCATGTAAATCACCATGTACCTTCTGTGAGTCCAAACTGTTGACAAGCACCAACGTGTTAGTCGAATATTTTTCATGTAAAACGCAAAACCACACTGAATAATCTTCGTCACGGTTGGTCAAGTAGGCGTGCGTAAACCATCAAATACAATGATGTGATTCATCTCCCAGATGAGATAACAGAGTGGGAGGAAAACAATAAATAATCTCAGCTGTTATATTGTTGAATCTTCAAATCGTGAAGTGAAATAAAGATATGTTTGTTGTGTGCAAGTAAGCATTCTTTTGCCATTTACTCAGCAACAATGCTCGTACTGTACAAGGAATTTACATGAAAAATCCCTATGTAAACCCAGGCTTCAACTGTGATCTATCATAGGAATAAGAAAATCTGTCACTGAAATCAATTCACTTCAGAAGAATTGACCATTCAATAAATTTCGAATCGTTTTGTGTATCTCGATTTGTCATCAAGTTGAATTCGTGTTGAGACGAGTGATTCGCTTGTCTTTCAACCAATCGATGAATCACTATTTATAATGGTAAAACGTGAAAATTAATTCAAAAAACGAACAAGCGGTGATTTTTATCATTCAATAGAAGATAATATCAAGTTCACAATGGACATAAAACGTTTCTCATTTAAACGAAAATTTCGGTCTCTGTGCAGCGGGGGAGAACTGCACTGTATTTAGCAAGTAAGTTGGATGAAGTTCGTTGACCTTTAATATGAAGACAATATTTATTTTCCATCCACCCGTGGCGTTTGAGTCCGGTCAAAATATTTTGCTCAAATTAATACCCTCATTTGTTGAAAGCTCAAATGAGACGCGCAAAAATATAGGCAGGAACTATCTTGAATATTTGTTAAATTACGGTAATATGCGCGTGTCCTAACCTGTACAATACAGGGATAAATCGAAAAATATTGATATTTTGTTCGAATATTAGAATAGGTATGAGTGTACCATCATAATCATCAACAATTTACAAATCGAAGCATTCAATTCACAACAAAATATACTTGTCACATTACTGCTGACTTCGTAAGTTCGATAGCAAAAAGGGATTTCTATTACTGCATAGTAAAGCATCGTCTCAATTCTCGCTTTGTGTGAGGAGCCATGTTTTGATCACTATTCGCAAATAAGGGTAATCACTAAGTAAATTTGAAAACGTACCGAAAATCATGAATTCGGCAGAGACGGTTTCAGTACCTTCTCCCACGCAACGTCACCGTTCTGGCGGTATCGACAGACGAATCACCAAGACCAACAAACAAGACGTAAACAAACGTGCGTCGTATTTTCGACGCAATGAGACGATTTTTAGCATGCATCATCGGTTTCGGATTTTTTCGCTAGTTGTCGGAATAAACAGTCGTGAACATTCGATATTAAATAAAAATCGGACGGAAATGATTTAATTCCACTTCTGGAAAATTGTGCAGCCAATTTGGCCGTTACTGCACATGCGTTAAGATTGGCTGATAATATAGATCGAAGTAGTACTCATCCACGATACGCTGTTTGGTGATGTATTCCATTATTGTGCATCATATGATGTCCATGCGTTTTCAATAATTCAAGATTTCCATTTCTAGAGCATTTAGAAAAAAAATAAAAGTGTTTAAAATATCGCTATCAATACCTGTATTGCGATAAATGCTTTGTCCAAAAGAGTTGGATACATAATGATGACCGAGAGGCGAAATACGACAGGGATCGCTCCTACGAATTTCGAAAGATTAGAAGCTGGATTAAGGTGTAATGACCAAGTTTTCTGGGAAAAATTCAAATCACCAAGAAGTTTTCAAGTTCAAGACTGTGGATATTTAGGAATAAAGGACATAAGCAGTGAAATACAATCAAGCGATCAAAAGATTCCTGAGAAGTTATTTCAAAGTTCTTTGACAGTTGGTACGTTAATTTACATTGTGTATAAGTTAATGTTATAAGCCCATTCATTTTGCTGTACGTTGGGTTAGTTAATGATGTGTACTATATCACGGTTCTATTAGTTTGATGGAATCATGTTTTGATAATTAAATGTAATTCTATCAATTCTGTGATCATAATTGTGATTGTCTCAATATGGTTTGTTTAAATTTGGCCTGGGATCACTACTGATCGTTTCTTAAAATGAGTTGAATCCCTTCACCTGTATTTATTATGGTGACAAAATGATCAACGATTAGTAAAGAGTCATTCGTGAAACTAATATTATTGTTTAATGTTTAAGTATTAATCTAATTCATGAGTAATATATTAGGCCCTTTAATCTTTTTCTTGTTGATTGTTTTGCGTTTCATTGATACAAAATCGCAATACCGTCATAGCACATGACTTATAACTTCGTTGCGTTTAGAATTTGGTTTATTGCGTTAAAGTATGAAATTAATTATTGCAATAATAACCATGTGTGTATTCAGTAACAATGGTTGTACACCATGTCTTATTAGATTGTTTTGAAAATCAAAATGTAAATGCATGTGACTTTTTAGCGCATTTACTACTAGTCCAAGTTCGAAAATAGCAACGCAATTATTGTAATACGTTATAGTTGGTTATCAACAAATGCCGGTTGACAAGCGTATTCTGTATTCCATACATTTCCAAATCGGGGACATCTGATGCAGAATTAAAATAAAATTACTGGTATCCTAAAAACTGCATAGATATAAAATGAAACAATCAAAAGACACTGCCTATATATTGAAAAAAAATGTATTTGTCGCGTATGCATATAATTTGAATATCATAATTTTCAGGCAAATCTTTTCAAGTTTTATAAACATCATAGTATTTCTTGATATTTTATTAAATCCATTAATGTGGCCGGTAATTAATTACAGGTGAAATGTCATTAAATGCTGCTGAACGCAACGCGCGCCGATTTACAATAAAATATACTGCAGATTCTTGTATTTTCCCTTGGGGTTGCGCAATTTCGTCACGTATCTGGCGAGTTATCGACGACACGGACAGTGCCTCACATATTTATTTAGTATTCGTACTCTAGACACGCTTCATCGCATCAGAAAACAGGCGACCGAAGGTACCGATGTGATGGCTTCGTATCATTTGCCTGGACGTATTTCTTATTCACTCTTGAGCGATACAAGGAGTTCATTGTACGGTAAAATTATTTGACTAGTGTTTTCTTTGAAAGTACAGCATAAAGATATCATAGCGATTTGTTTCATATCAATTAAGTAAGTTAGATTTCAGTGTCAAAAGTAAAGGAAGTACTGTCAATGTTGCCATAGACCAATGTTCAGAAGTTTTGGTCAGGTGGAAAAATACATGAGCGTGCTGCTTTGAATATTTTTATCAATTGAATGTATGACACTTCTCAGAGAAGATTCCATTCGACTCAATTTCTCGCGTAATTGTATTGTACATTCAGACACTAGAGTTGAAAAATTAATATTTATCCTTATTCGCCTTTTATTGCCCTTTTTGTAAATACTTCAGTGTGTCAGTGTAGTAATATCAGAATATACTATAGTAATATCATTCCCATCGGCTTCAGTTAGATAGCGTTATAGGCAGGACAAGGTAAGCTTAAATACCATAACATTTAACTTGCTCAAAAAATATGTTTGGTTTATGAATGCAGGGTCGGCCAAGGTCAAGTATTCAATTCTGGGTTGGCGATATCAGAAATTCCTTTTCTTTATATAACGTTTGCTGATCGTTATCAATAAATTGAGGTTGTTGTTTCTTTCCATCCATCATTGAACCCGTACCGTATAGCTTTGTTACCTAGGTTGAATTATAAGCATATATAATCGTTGCATTTTGGATTTTGATCTCAGGAGTTATGCTGCTGTTTTTTCAGCTATTATTTTCATCAAATTGTCATTCAGGAAGCGTTGCCATATTACAAATGCGACCTCTGACCTTAGTTAAAGCACAATAACATATGTTCACGCCCGAGGCTCCGTTCTGCGGAGATCTCGAACTGAAATAATTTACCACATAGTTGCGTATTTAGATATAAAACATGATAGATTCCAGCGTTAGGTAGAAAAAAAACATATTTCGTTTCAATAATGCCGCCAAATATATTCAATGGATATGACGTGACACGCGAATGGGGTTTTAGGAATGGCATGGAAATACTGTAGCCTACATACATGTCTCTGTTACATAAGTTACTTTTTGCAATATCTTCGGGGCATGGTTCAAATTTAGTAGTCTGGCATTATGAAATTTTGATAATATACGACACCAAAAAATTTTAATGTGAAAATGCAGCAATTAAAAATGCAGTGAGGCAGCATCCAAACAGGCTATTGTATAAACATGTTATGCCATTCAGTCTTAAATGTTTACACTTGGAACGTTCTTTGAAACTGACAAATGTCGCCACTCGTGGGGAAAATTTCGTTTTATTTTCAAGAAGTGTTGATCGCCTGGATTTAATTAATACTGTACAAAAAGCTAATATTCGAAAAGACAGAAACTAAAGTCCCATGTAAGAATATAATTATGTAAAGGCTAATACCTATGGCATGATAAACATTTCGAAAGCGCTGCATTTTTGAGGGATTTACCTAATCATGCGGTTCCTGTACAGGAACTGTTTACCGACGAAATTTTACCTAAATCCAATCATGTACGGTGGTTTTCAAAAAAAAAAAAGGGGGGCTTGGGAGTGCTTAAATAATGGCGTCAAATATATTTCTTTACCGTACGAACCATATTATCCCATTCGTACTATTCAGTCAACACATTCAAACTTGTTGTTTTTATTTTTATGAATCACATTCGATGACTAAAGCTCGCTGTGCCTCTCGCACTAACAGCGTTTTGTATGTGAGGTTTGGCCCCAGCTGTAAACAGTACTCAAAAACCTACTCAACCTGACTCTGTCGCTATTTTGTGGTAGGATTTTCAACACTTGATATGTTGTTGACAGTTTTTCTGAATTTCCATCCTAATGATTCCTTATAAAAAATATTATTCATTCCCCATAGTCTAGTACTCTGGTAGTGACGCTGGAAATTTGATAAAGATAAAGCGATATATGTTTTCCATGATACAAATCAAAAATAAATCATGGTAATTCTCATTAGTTGTGGCTATGAAACCATGAATATCTCTTGCCTAGGATTATAAAATCTCCACTCTCACTGTAATCAGAAGTACTTCCTGATACGATATCTAAGATCCTAGTAGTCATGAGTCTCTATTTTGCCTATGAGTCTTATATAGTGTAAATAATCGTGTAAATGTTTTTAGTTTATACTATCAGACCATATGGTGGCATAAGGACAGGGCTGATCGGTCGAGCAAATACAGTTCGGGAATAGGACAGAGTAATTTTTTGACCAGATAAATAATATCTCAGCTGACCGTGTAGTACTTCTTTACTCATCATGTAAATTACCACTGTGGTGATATAAACATTTATACAGTTTCGTGTTGGGCGGAGATACAGACAATAGAAACAATAATATTTATATTCGAATTTTTATTTATAAATGTCAGATTTTAATAGTCCGCCACATACAGATAGTGCATCTTTGGCATAAGCCGGGCCATTGATAAATTTGAAAGGAAACTCAGACGGACATGACTGAGTCACTTTAGTCCGGAACGTAAATCCGTTGATATCTTTTCGTCATAGGTCAAAAGTTTGATTGAATACGTTTTAGAGAGTAATTATCCAATGACGCCATGTTTTGTCTTGTAGCAAAACAATATGGTATCCGACAATCAGCCGCCTGGGATCATCAACGCTTTGTATTTACTTTTCTCTCATTGTGAATGGAATAGAATATAATTTCCGGAGGAAATCAATGATGAATTAGTGATAATTTAGTAAATACTATTATGTGAAGAGAGGTTTGAATAAAATAAGTCGTAAAATCTATATTTCAGGTCTAAATTACGTCGATCTGGTCAATCTTTTATTTCCAGGACAGTCCAAACTTTGTTGAATTTTATATTAGTAATTGACAAGCCAGAAGGACCGAATCGACCGAAAATAAACTAACCAGAGATTTGTGTTGCACACTCTTCTGTGCTGTTGTCTGAAAAATGTATTGTTTATATATATGTGATACCAAGTTCTTATTTAGAATTAAATTGTAAGTTATAACTGATATTCAATAACCTAAACTTTTTTAAGTATTTGGATTCCGTGTGGACAGTTGTTGTATTAGATGTTGTACTCGTAAAAAATTTATTCTCCGGATTTTTATATCGTCAAAAAAAGGTATATATTAAAGAGAAAATAAAATTTGAGGAACCTCGTTTATTGCTCCTGGTAGAATGTTTATATTCAAATAAAATTTATATTCATGATTGATTTACATTTGGACAACTTGAGCAATAGATAAATCAAAACTCGTACCTCATGCCTTGGGTACATATATTTGCAATAGTTTTCATATTCCAATTCTGGCATCGATTTCTGCATCGGTTGCAATACGAAGGAAGCGATGCTCAAGAATACATTGTGGTACAGAACATGCGGTTCCAAGTTACGCAGTGCCACTCATAGCTGACGACAATTCTCGATTTTTTATTGTTACATAATGCTTGGTCCGACTTGTGTGATATATTGGCTTGATTACTGATTGTCGCTGTGTTTTACGCCTAATTTGGGGATATCGGATTTCCTTTACGACACGGCGGTCATAGAAATTCGTGATGTCGTTCGTAAGTATTGAAAATTATATATAGCATATCAGCAAACGAATAACGCAATATGCGATCCGATTGCATTGCAATTTATTTGACGCTGGCTTGTGCACGATTTGTCGGACGTACTGGCGCCCATTGATCTCACCGCAATATAAAATGGATATGATATGCTTTAGTGGGCAAGAGGTATTTTCATACTTTACGATTGAAAATGCCTAGTTCAATTTTAAAAGTAGAAATTATGCAGTGCCTTGACTTTTTTTTTTAAGTTTATATCTACGTGTATATTGATGTTGAATCGACAATTTAAAAATTTACATTGTTCTGAATGATTTTCGTGAGAAATTTAATAGGTTGCAGAACAAGTAACAAATTGTGGTTAACTCAAAGAATACCAGTCGAGTGGGCGGTATGCAAAGAATCCAAATATTTGCGAGATATATAAAACCTGGTTAGTTTACTTTAACTCTGTTCTGCTCTATTTATTTCACAGCGTGAAAATATCTTAGCTGCTGTACGATTGGTTTTTGTTTGGGTAAATCCAGTATTATGTTTTAGTGTGACATATACAAAGAACTCTCTCCGCCCAAGCTTGGAGTAATGGAATGACTTGGGAGGGCAGCACATAGAAGGCAAAGAAGCGTAAAATTCCTCGCCAATATTTATGTAGCGCAGTGTGCCAGATCATTATTTATGTATATGTGGGGTGGTCTGAGTTGTCTGTTACTTATGTAATGTACTAGTTTTAGAAGGTTGGCCGGGCAGATAAGAACAGAAAATACAATGAATTCGATTCACAGGGTAAAACTTGGCAATTGCATAATTCTCTGGAACAGCGAGAGTTGTAATTCAGAATTATCCGCAAAGTTAGCCCGTTGCAGCATCCAAGACGACAAAGCTGCAGGGAAAGTTCTTCAATGAATTCACAGCCAATGAATATTTCGTATCTTATATGGAAGCATGACCTAGTAGTGGTTAGCGCGTTGATCCCAAATTAGCCCTGTCAGTGATGAGCCTATGACCATCGCGTTAAACAGGATATACCAGCGTGTGTAAACTTTGTCGAACCACAATGATAACGGCGATTTCGATCGTCAATCGCTTAGCCATATCGTGAACTGAACTTCATTTTGTGATGGTAGGACCTTATCGCAGGTTTTTAATTATTAATTATTTAATTTCTAGAAGATTTGGATTTCCATGTTAACATTTGATTGATTATGCAGATTTAAATGTCGCTATTATGCTAGTCGTTTAGCGCTGTCTTGGAGTACATCGGGCATCGGATTTCATCCTGGTAATGATGATAAAGTTCATGCTGGAACAGCTAATAAAATATTTACGATTTGTGCGAGGTTACTGCACTTAAGCATTGTATAATCGAATATTTAATAATTTAAAATACATAATGGTCGTTTCATTTAGTTCCGCTTGAATACGGTATTTTCCAATGTTATCATCGATCCTGAAGTTTCTTACATCGATGATAATTTTACTATTTTCTATCCGCCGATCCATGTAGTTCCGAATGGAAATAGGTAGAAACATCCCGCATTGAATAATCTTTGAATGTGTTCTTCTCTTCTCCCAGTATTTCGTTTCCCTAAAAACCACTGTGCTTTGTATAGGAATATATTAATATGAAATAAATGTAACGAAATTTTCTTACTGTGACGTTATCAGACACCGGAACTTCGCCATCTCACCCGGAACCGCAATCGAATTCAATAGACTTTGAGGATTTCGAAGTTCATCTGCATGAACAGAGCTTTGAGAATACCAGAGACTACAAAAAAGGATTTTTTAACCCGAGCGATACCGGAACTGTTGGGGCTTTCACAAGAAGTGAACCAATCCCTATTCTCGACCACAGGGAGCCCTTACTACCTCGGATAGGTCGACCCCAAATTTCAGGCAATCTATGGCGGGAAACGACTTTGTCTAATTTGAAAAGAAAAGCGTATTCCATAACCCAGAGTTCATCGGCTTTTGGAAATAGAAGCTCCTTCGAGGAATTTGACTTTATTCTTTCTAACTCCTACGGTGGTATGAAGCGTAATGGTTCGACGGAAAGCTTAGACAGCGCCGAAGAGTCCGACGCCAAGAGGTGAGTACATTTTGTATTCTTTGTTTTCCAACCTACCAAGCTTAAATACATGACTCTCAAGGCAATCTTAGGCCGTCATAATGCGTTGTGCCCTGCCGTGTGCATGACCAAGGGCTATTTATTTGCGTTATGATACCGCAAATTAGAAGTCCTATGGTATTGTAAAAATAAAATGAAATAAATTTTGACAAAGATTTCAGTCCCGGATGCGTAGTACTAATTTTCCCGAGTGCTTAAATTATTATGAATGTGTAAAGTATGCTTCAAATTATGACATAATGGGGATTGCGGCTATACATGTTGGTGTCGAATTACTGGTTTATGATAGAATAGTCCTTCGAAAAAATCGAATAATCCTTACACTCGAGTTCACACTTGTATATATTTTTGAACGCGAAAATTACGTTCCGGAAATCTTCGTGGTATGCCATTTGCAAATCAAATAGCGTTTTCACAAACGGCGAACCGACCTAAAAGCCTAAAAGGTTTACATTTTTATTTCGTTGCTTAATGCCCCGCATTACAAGTCGAACCTTAATTCTCATTTAAGATAATATAACACAAATGATGTATCAATCCTGTAGTAATAATTTCTCTGCAATATTTTCACGCCGCTCAAAAAGTATTGATTCGTTTCTGTAATTCGGGTATCAAATAACTTGTCTTTTTCCCACACACCGCGGTGAGAAGTAGCAGAACGGTTTTGTAAATATGGAAGGTGTATTCATTACAATTGGCTGAATGATGAACATTGCTTTTTAAATACATGGGTATGGATAACTATCATGTGAGCAAGATACTCCACGAGATACATGTAACGTGACTTACGTGAGGGATATGGTATGAGAAGCGGTACACTGCGCTTTTAGGCTATATTTATTTATGATCAATTTAGAAATCATTTAGTTTGATGGTAGTAATTGTGAGATTATATTCAACATGCTATTGTCGGAAGACAAAATTTCATAGCCCATTTGATTTTTCGTTAGCGCTGATAGCTTACGACTGTGTGTGTTCTGTTCTGGCGAAGGCTCATTTTCCTGCGTGTGAATCATAATCCATTCATGTCGCATCTTAAAAATAATAACAGTGTTTTGTTATGTTTATGTAGTTTCCTTCGGCTCGAGTCTAGTTTTATGTTAAAGATTCTCAGAGGAAACCATCTTGAATTTTATTGCGGATTAAATGTATTGGGGGTTCCCAAGTGAAAATTAATGGAAGACGCATGATTATACATTTTGTGAATTACTGATGTAATATACTAGCTGTAAGTAAGCTATTGTTTTGATAAGTCAGAATGAAAGCGCTGCCTGTCGTTAGTCTCAAGATCACACTCTCATGCCATAAGGTTCATTGCTTGCTTATGTAATCGGTATTGTAAATTACCTTTCATCATATCTCCCACTCTATTGATGACGATGATGAGCAGGATAATTATAGTTTATCAAAGATTTCGGTGGATTACGAATTATTCGCCTTTAAGAAAGCGGCATGTTTCCTGTCATCTACGTTGTCATGGGCGACAATATCTTAGCTTTATGCATTCTATTAGATCTTATAAAAAAACGGTAAATTGTTTTGAATTCGCTGTGTTTGGACTATAAGTCAAATCGTATTTTAGCATACACCGATTTTGCCGAAAGCCCACACTATTTGTGGACACCGGCATGGGTGTATATGGCTATGCTATAACAAATATTTCTCCCTGACAAAATACTTTTCTTGTACAACAATTAAATGCTGATTTGTAGTTACTGTGAAGTATTTATCATTTTTCTGTGTTTTCATACACTTCGTATACAAGTGATACAAGACTCTGACTCACCGATGTTATTAAGGCGATGCAGGTACGCGTCTGCGACTTTTTCGCCTTGGTGTTCCCTCAGACGATTTCATAGTAAGGTGCATTTGAAACTGGGAACTATAACGTACCCGCTTCAAAACCCAAGAGAAAGCAACAATGGACCCCAGGAGAAAAAAGATTTATACAAATATGTAACCTTTTAATAACTTTCGTGAGTACCTTCCTAAGTTTTCATTAGGGAACCCCTCATGTATCAACGAGACGTTGTCGTAACTTTGGCGGGTTTTTTGACGCGTTCGGCAAATGAATACAGACTTTGAAAACAAACTTTGTTTTATCGCCAAACATCTAAAACCAAGTAACGTAACTTGAAACGCTGAATTAGCTTACAAGAGAACCTTTTATTTGAAGATAGTTGTACCGTGGTATATTGCTGAGACGTCGAGTGTTAAATTGGTCTCACAATTTGTAGAGCTTTGTCTGGGTGGTAGGGTCAGTGAAAGTTGATAATGCTCGTAACTATATGGCGTTGAAATAGAAAGAGTTCAGCTCTCAAGAGGAATAGGATACAGGCGTAAAGTTAATCTTCTGCAGTTGTTGAATAGGAAAACTTGTCAATCATTGTGTCGTAATAATTCTTAAAATAGTCGTAGTGAATATTGCGTATTCTGCTTCATCTAGGATGAGAATTAGAATGATACAAAATATAGCAGAGGTTCTTCGAGAATTTCATTGCTTTTATAAAAGTTTTGCTGAAATCAAAACACATTAGCGATGCTGAAATTCAATGCTTCTGGTTCTGCGCCAGTGACACATTATTTTGAAACAAGTACAATATAATTGACGTCGTAAATTTATGCTTTCGTGACTGTCTACTTTACGGATGACATAACATCAATGGCATATATTCGTGCGGCGAAATAGAAAGTTCACGCGCAATTACAGTTGCTGTGGTATATAATTCGTTTTCAGAACGGGATTTGAGGCAACAAATTAGGATAAAACAGCTTCGAATACTTTATAGATATTTCCGCCAAGGTGAAAGAACATACCCAGAACTAAAGGCGCGAGTGACCCTGGCGCGCCGGGGATGTTCCATGCACGATTATTGATTATCCGCGTCTCAAATAAAGTTATTTTTAACTCAGCCCTGGTGGGCTCTATTCATCGGTCATTATGTGTCACAAAATAAACGTGCCTCGCCACAGCTGTACTAACATAATTAAGTTATCTATTGAAGGGGTGTTCGGATTTAAATAAAATCAACATTACCTCACACTTACTAATCAGGGTGGTGAACTCCGAAAGTTAGATTTACTAGTTTGTACCATTTTTGGACTGAAAAGTACAAAAAGCTTGATTACACGATCGGTTAAGACAAATGGTTTTAAGCTTGTGCCGACTATTTGAGCTATTGAAGTATCAATATGGGCATGAGGGGTTGGAGCCTCCGGGAAAGGTGCCATTTAATTTTAGAGCATATATGGTGTCGGAAACTTCCATTCTTTGTGACTAGTTAAATGTTTTTTTATCTATAATTTCTTCCGCTTATGATGCCGAAACCACTAATAGACAATTTCGAATACAATTTTGTAGAGCGATAAAAATGTTTTAATTTCAGTGTTTGCTGCACTATCCTTTTTACATTAGTTGTAAAATGGTCGCCTTGACAACAGCAAAGACGTCTCCACAGACACAACACCAATCATCGTGGTTAACGCACTAGCTTCATCCGTTTATTGTACTAATCCATATTATCCAGCTCTCATTATAACTGCCAAGATCATTATGGTTAACAATATGCTTTATCCCTTTTTGAAGATTTAACCCTGGCAAAACGTGTAGTATATGATAAGCCATTCCGCCATTGTGTGACTGTGTCTTACTAATTTTCATCTCTTTTTTGTTCCAGATTTCAGCCATTTGTATCTTGTGGGTTTTCTGGAAAGAAGATCGTAAATTCATTGAATTTGATTCCCACTACCAGTTCAATGTCTTCTTCAACACTGGGACTTAATATAATGGATCTTTCATCTTCCCCTGGTCCAAATATATTTGAAGGTGTAGCAGCTAATATTGCTAACTTTGGCAATGATACGTCGTTTTTGGATTTGCATCTAGAGTCCTGTAGTAAAGCGGAATCTGCAATAAAAACTTCGTTGTCGTCGACAGAGAAGTCGACTTTGGGATTCGATAGAATTCCTAGTTCGTCTTCCTCTCCTTTAGAGTATCCACCAAATGTTGCAATATCACCAGGATCATGCAAAAGTCCGTATTCCTGTACGTCACCAGGATTTTGCAACTTTCCTTATCATAATCACGACAATGTATTCAGGTGAAAAACATTCACATCTTTATTTTTTATTTTATTTATATTTTTTTATATCTATAGTTTATCACAAAATTTTCGAATGGCAAATGTCTTTACATCAAGTTGTGTTAAGAGACGGAAGCCTATGGGCAGGGTGTATATTCACTTGGCTAACACAGACGATCCCCGAACTCGTAATAGAACTTAAAAGAGGAAAATCGGAATAAAATTATGGTGACCGTACATTTGAACCCATGTGTATATCCGCGGGTTCAATCTATATGCGGGTGCTAAAACCCATGGGTTACAGTTAGTATGGGTTCTAATATCCGCAAAACAAAAAAAAATCATAGGTGCAATAGTATGCAGGTGCAATTGTCGTGGGTTCAAATGTATGGGAACCTAAAATTATAGCCTAACCCTAACCTGGTACACATACTACGGGAGTACAAATACCTGAATATAAATAGGTTAAAATATGGAGATGTAGCAAATTATAACTTCACACATTTTCAGATCCTCACAAACATGTGGTCACGGGATTAGTGAGCCTCCGAAAGCGCAATTTCATCGCCAAATGAGTGAAGAAGCTGCAAGACTATTTTCTCTGGGCAAAGAGGGAAATACAAAAGGCGCTGGAACTACCTCTAATTCTTCAGACAGTGCCATGTTTAGCACGGACCAAGTTTTTGTTCGAGATTCAGCACCGGACTCGGAGTTGGTAGAAACGAATACTACACATGGAATTAAAATTGAAGAAGGTTCTCGTGGAGTATTTGAAATTGTAGAAAACGAAAGAGTGAGGCATGCCAGCACACATAGTGCTTCATCATCAAGGGACTCGCTGTACAACGTTTACTCGGAGTCAATAAACGTTACCGGATCCATTGCCGGATCGTCCGAAGACTTTGATGATGTTTCGCCTAATATTAACTCTGCATCGCTTTTAAACGATCCTATGATGGCGGGATTTCCGCCGTCGTCCAGCTCGGAAAATTCCGGACCCTCAACGTCAAATGTATCTATGGAGCCAATGGAAACTGGGAACTCTCTCGACTCGCCCCTCTTAAACGCTGGGCCTATGCAATACGGAAATAATGAAAGAGGGATGAAATCCCCACTGGACTTTTCAGCAGTTCGTCGCAGTCCTCCTCCGCCAAATGTGACGCTAAATCCGGAAAAATATAAAAGGAACTCAATGCCGTTAGGTAAATTATTTGCTCACAGATGCAGTCTAAAACTCTTTGTATTTCATACTTAGTATATTTTAATATTTATCTATTAAAGCAAAAACGGATACAGGTTAAGTTACTGCTTTCAAAAAGGAGTGTATCCAAACTTAACCAACTCCCAAGCATATTCTTCTTTCTTTCGAATCAATATTCTTGATATCACTCGGCTGTTCAAACTTATGTTTCCGCACGTAGTAACTAGTAATTTACCCTCACGTATGGCGACTAATAGATCACAACCAAATCAAAAACATTTCGCTGTACGTCATCCCTCTCTACGTTTAGCAAATTCTTCTTCAACTGAAAGATATATATAGCTGGTGTTTGATGTCAACTCCATTAACTTCTTCTGAAATGCTATGTATTTACTGATTACTAATCCAAAATAAATTGTAATTATTTACCACACATGTATGCTGCTTCACATATTATTTATATTTTATTGCAATGACATTTTCAGATCCTAGTTCGTGGTCAAAAGCACAAGTTAAAGAATGGCTGGCGTGGGCTATCAAAGAATATAACCTCAATGACGTAGATATAAAGAAATTTGCATCTACAGACGGTTACAAACTATGCCAAATGACTATGCGAGATATGTGTCGTCTCACAAGCAAAGCCAGTTCCGACCTTCTCATAGCTAATTTAACATATCTCAAACAAAGTGAGTAAAGAATTGAGTGATGCTCAAAACGAATTGACTAAATTTTATATTTGATATGATTCGTTTTGATTATAAAATTCATTCATTTTATACATTTGAAAAAGTGATACTTGTAACTGAGAAAAAGTATTTGGTACTTGTTTCAATTTTCCACATTGTCATATTAAAATTCTTGCGCAAAATCACCAGCTCAACCTAACCCAGTTGCCAGTATTTTTGAGAATACGTTTTCGACGATTTTGTTCCATAGTCTGATCAGTATAGTGAATCTTTCTAATTCAGCCTTACCGAGTATACAATAGATTTATAATTTATTTCAAATAAAGAGATTTCACTTCTTAGCAAATATTATTTGTATGTTATATGTTACCTTGGTAATATAGGGATTATGAACATTTAATTGTAGTATACGATTAGTACTATTGGTTACATAAATTTATGATAAAAACCACGAAGTGAAGTAAAATATGACTGAAGTCCCAAGAGTGAGCTCTTAAGACTTGAATTATTTCGAACTCAGATCAGAACGGATTTGGGCCATACAAAGGAATCGTTGACCCATTTCAAGCAGCACAAGCACGTCAACCTCACATCAAAGACCCGTATCGGTTGTTTGGACCAATTTGTCTGGAACTTTCCAACCCAGGTATTTAACATTGTTTTCAAAACAAAGTTGGAAGTTTTTGCAAGTCTGCACTTAGAGAAAGACTCCTTTTTTAGTCCTTCAACTCCTTTGTCTGCACAGAACTTTATAAGAGGGTTAAATTGACTAATAAGGTGGTATTGTTTCGCAGTATGTTCTTCATGTTGCTATATTCATATTTTCTAATTTTGACCGTTATTTTTTCAATGAAAATTGCAGCCATTTTTATTTTTGATTTTGCTGATTTTTTCAATTTTAAGAGAATTTTTTAAACTTCCAGTTTCGAGTTCTTAATTAACGTATTAAACACTACACGCTAATTTTTAAGATATTTTGAAACTATATTTATATAATTCCGTACGATCGATTCAAATCCATATCCTACCACACGTTGACTCATGACATTTTTGTGATCGCATCATCACTGATTTGAACTTAAACAATAAACTGATGAGGTTTTGATAGATTTAGCTTGCTGAGTGTTGAACGGCATACTGTTTTTATTTGTAGCCTATTCAAAGTAACTGGGCCTTTACCTCGATACAAAAAACTGTTACACAAGGAGCCTTTATGTTTGGAAGGAAGAAAATTTCTGCGTCGTCATTGCCTATCCATTTTATTTCACCATTATTTTGCAACAAGGTTCATACCTTTTTTAAATCGTATTATAAATGATAATGACATTTAATCACTCAGGTTCGGGCCAAATACAACTATGGCAATTTTTAATGGAACTTTTAACCGTACCTTCGAACGCGCCTTGTATATCATGGGAAGGAGTTACGGGTCAATTCAAGATGGTCGATCCGGATGAAGTAGCAAGAAGATGGGGTGAAAGGAAAACCAAACCTAACATGAACTACGATAAACTCAGCAGAGCGTTGAGGTAAAGAATTCTTGGTTTTATATTGTATGAATATATGAAGGTTGCGGCACTTTTGTTCGTATAAAAAAATACCGTGTAATTTTCTGAGATGTCTCACAAAGTATTAGTTTTTAGGATTCTATACGTACCTTTTATGTACTTACGACCGAGGTAAAGATGGTCTACAAACATTTTCTATAACACAGTATGAATAATATTGTCTGGTCTCAAAGGATACTTGATGTCAGTTGCTCATAGCAAGAAAAAGGAGACGCCACTGCTACGCCATGAGCTGAAAATACCTAAATCGAAACATGCGTCTTTTTAATGTATCATCATTTGATACGTTTTAACTGGCGTTCTCATTGAATTATTATCAGAATCAAAAAATTTATCGAAATGTAAAATCGAACTTCTGCGTATTCATATGGAGCTCGCTTGGTCAATTTTAGGTACTCTCGTAGTGTATGTATCAGGTTAGGGTTAGGCCATAATTTTATTCTGATTTTAGTTCTATTACGAGTTCGGGGACTGTCTGTTTCAGGAAAATACATATACCCCCTGTCCATAGGTTTCATTCCCTTTATACAACTTGATGTAAAGTAGGCGAACAAAGTTAGTTACCTCCATATTGGTACATACACTTCTGGAGCGCCCAATGTTATTTAAGTCGTCAATGTTCGATGTGACAGTTGTGAATCAATGGTATAATATTTAATTAAAGGGTAATAATACTTGAATGTATTTTTTACAAACCAAACTGAAATTACTAAATTTCACGCCCTTTGAGTAGGGCAATTTAAGCTATATAATGCGGCAAGCCTTTATGTGGTTTAGTCAGTTTTGTTCGTGAGTCGTCACGATTTTTACGGTAAAGCAATCGAAACACTCCTTGGAGAATTAAACGGATTTTGTCTTTCTGAACTATTTTTAACTGTGCGTTTCATACTTGACAAGATGAGATTTTAATTTTGTATAATGTAATGGATTAATACATTTGGTTCAACTATAACACACTCGCTGAGTGTTGTTGTCAGGCTCGCAGATGTTGTAAAATCAGTTTCAATAAAATTACTTTCCCATTCCCATTTATTAATTCAAATAACGAGATTTTTGGTGATATGTTTTTATATCACATGTATGTACTGATATGTTTGATTCATATCATTGTGACTTTAGACGTTATAACATTGGTTCCAAACCTTTTTTGATATGTTCTTCCTTTATGTTCTCTTTTATTCCTCCCTCACCATTCATTGAACCTCAGTTTTTGTTATGTGGTCCGTCTTTAAAAAATATTTGCTTGTGTAGTTGTGTTCCACACAACAAGCACTTTGGTTAATTAAACACAGTTTGAATAGTTTATTTTGGGCGATACTGAAGTATTTTTACCAAGATGACGCACAACCTGAACAACGCTAACCTGTTACCCATACCAAGCTCAGGTTGTGCGCCATCTTGGTACGAATACTTCGGGAGCACCTTATTTTGTGTCCATAAATGTGTAATTCAATAATGCTAAATATCTAATCAATTTTAGTACACTACATAGAATACAAAGTAACATTGATGTTATGTATCCCCCCAGAAAAAATATAACAAAAATCTTCCTGGGCGGGAATTTCTCTCCGGTTCGGAAACGCTGGGGTATATTTACCTCATTCGTCTCTCAATGACGAGAGAAATAAAACCGTCCACGTCCACTTATATTTTATTTGCAGCCGGTGCATAACCATGCCTCAGATGAGATATTATAATTTCGTACTTGAATTTCAATTTTAAAATGTCACGGCTTTAAATATTACCTCCAGACAATGTAAATAATATGATAAAAGAGTGATGAATAACATAAATGGGGCAAGTTGAGGTCATTCTTCAAGTTGTCTGCCATTAAATGATCTTCATCTTTCCACATTTGTCAACTGAAATTGTTGTCAACTATTGTACCTATATTTGATATGATATAGTATCAAAAAGCTGTTTAAATATAAAAATACCAGTAACTGTACTGGATAGCTTCATTAGAATTACGTGGTTTTGTTTTATTTACAGTACCGTAATAAAGGTGGAACAGCTGTGAATTTGCTATTTTACGATGCCGTTAAGTTGTTAACTACAGTTTACTTTCCTTTTCGTGTTATTTACCATGGAGTTACACAATGTTTTTAGGTATTACTACGACAAAAACATAATGACAAAAGTACACGGCAAAAGATATGCATATAAGTTTGACTTTAACGGAATATACCAGACACTCCAAATGAACGCCAACCCACCGACCAATCAACCAAGTTTATTTTACAGGCAAGAATACTTATTTTGAGTAAACTGTTATCATAAAGTTCGAAGACAGCGATAATATTATATTGCTCGTAAACTTTTATTATCATAGCACTGTTAGGCATAATGCAATACTAATTAATAACTTGTAACCATGTACAAATCTTTACCAAGAGTTTTATACCCAATCTGGACCAGTAACGAAATGAGAAACTGTGGTTTGCCGCATTAGTTAATTTTCTACTGCTGAAATCTCCTTTGGCTGAATCGGATTTCACATTGAATTTATATGCACAGAATTATGGCTGTGACTTTAGAATACCACTATATTATATTTCAAATAAACATACTTCAAAGCCAAGTGTGTACGCACGACATCCGATTTGGCAGAATTTACACAGTCTTTCCGACACAGTCTTTACAATCAATGTACGTATTTGAAACTTTTCAGTTCGCCTAAATGTTTTCAGTTTCTGGCCTGAATTATCTTCTTCTTTATATTAACAAATATTGCTGTTTTAAACAATCCTGCTTTCGCTCATGTGCAAAAATTGTCACGATATTGTCACGCTACAGTTAAAGAATAAAATTTCAAGGTCATAGGAAATGAAATGCCCATAATGTAGTTCATCAAATGTCATTCTACAGAATGCACAAAAAAAGCAGCAGCAAAATTCTATTTAAATTTATTATTTTCTTTTATAAACAGTTCTCGTCAATCACGTGTCCGTCAACAGGCTCGAATATCGTTAAGTCAGTTGAGAAAATTGTCACAAGCGGGTATGATACCTCCTGGTATGACCGATCCTGTTTCGACAAACTCTTGAAATCGTGTCTTTTTACCATGGAGACGAAACAGCACAGATGATACTCTGCTTTCGGTGGGATGAGTGGAAAGAGAAAATCGCTTATCCAGTGCTGAAGGAAGCGGGCATTTCAAATACTGGAATTCAGCGACTATGGAGTAAACATTCTAACTGTCAATTTAGCTATACATACCGAGCTGTTGAATTATTGGATTCCGACTTAGGACTTTTCAAAAACAGACACCGACTGATTCCGGATCATGGTACAGTCTCAAAATCTTGACTCCAATGTAACAAAAAGTCTGGCTCTTGTAATTCGCAAGTCTTCTTTATTTCCACATTTAAATGAATATTTTACTTCTAACATTTAATAGATTTAATTTGCGATTCTTAATTCTGATAAGTATAAAATGTTGGCTCCTTGTCCGGAGTTTTACTATACGACTCTGTCTTCAACACCGATACTAATAAACTGCAAACTGGAATTGTTTCAGACGACGAAAACTATGACTTTGTCGGTCTTTAGTTTCCATGAAAATTTCAACTCCGTTTCCCGATATATAGATACTTGAAATTTCGTCTGTCATCGTTTAAAATTTCTCTTATACCAGTGGTTCTCAATCTTTTTTTCAAGTGACCCAATTACAAAAAAGAAATCTCACGACCCAAGGATATACTCGCATACTGAACAGTATATGTAGTGCTTTCGTGGCCGCAAAATGAAATGGCTACTAAAAAACAGTCATTTTTACATATATAATATTCACTTCAACAATTCAAAGTTTCTTCGCACCACTGGTGTATCTAGGAATTCAGCAGAATAATATTTATTTTTTATTTTTAACGCTTATTTTATAAATTGCCCTTGTTTGTTGAAGTCTATGCGCGGAATACGCAAAATATTGTTAAACAATTGAGCCAGGCGAGAAAATCGGAATATACCTGAAATAGGAGCTGTATATTATTAAAATTGCTCCCCAAAGTATTAAAGAATTACCCTACATACTCGTTGATTTTGGGCCTCGCCAACTTTGATTTTTCTGGGGATTTTTATGAGAATGAAATTAGGATTTATGTAAAAAAATTGCACAAGCCCGGTTATCTTTCAAATTTATGTTTTCAATATATAGATTCACCACTGCTTCTCACTTGTATATACCTAAAACACTGCGATGGGAATGAAAAACAACTTTACACAGCAAGCCATATTCTATCGTTGTCTTTACTTTGATAATGAATATTTGATTATTCTTCAAAAAATTATCTATTTAAAGCCAAAACGTTCAATGAAATATCCTCCCATAATACAAATACATGTGGAATTGAATATCGTTGGACATCGAACTGTAAACGCTTATATTTTGCTTTGAAAAATAGACCAAGCATTAATAATAGTTACACCTGCTTAGGTTAAAATGATAAATACCAGCATATGCTATCTACATTAGAGCGCCCCTTGGTGACGAGAAACGTACCCATTGTCTCATGACAAGATTATGATCAACAACAAGAACGAAACGGTCAGAGACCGATCCCAAAAACAGCGCTCTTATTCCATAGTGACACCTTGTGTCCCATCACTAATTAATTAATAACTCGCTAATTATACGACATAAATCATCCAAAATCAATAGGCTTCTGGTCCGACATATGATGAATGCACATGCAAAATCTGGAGCAGATTCAATCTCGCTTTCGTGAGATATCGCGTGCATCTAACAAACATACAGACAGACAAATACCTATCAACATACTTACCGATTAAAATCGATAAGTAATAATGGTATACCAACATTCTCCTTTATTCTGCGTGAAACGAACTCTCTCCCTTCAGACAGATTGTTAGGAGGACTAAACCAAAAGTGGAAAAAGTTTTTTATGTTATAAATTTTTATTTTTATACCTCAGACGCCGTGGTTTCTAAACGTCTTTTGGTTTTTTCTTGCAATAAAATTTTACTGAATTCGGGAATATTGGGCTTGTATGTGGAAATTTCTTACAGGGTATCAAGGGACACGAACGATGTCCGACTTGTTTCAGTCAGCCAATTTGCGCTTGTAAGGCGTCAATTTGACGCATTGGTTATAGAAACTTTCATATAATATTTCCTTTTTAATATAGAGGTTAACACAGTATCAAAGATTCACCGGTATACAGCAAAAAACATATTCCGCCACGATGTCGTTAAAAAACTATGGCGTCTTCTGCTGTTACTTCGTGCAAAATCGCACTGAATGTTTTTGAAATGTCAGACCACGATGGGGCCACCCATTTTCTCGGCATGTCGTTATATTACTGAATTGTACTAAAACTAAAAAAAAAAGTATTTTTCTTTAGTTAAAATATTTCAAGATTTAGTTAAACGCGGAGCTATTTTCGATATCTACTAAACCTCGTCAAAGAATATCTGTAACAAACAGTTACAATTCAGTTATACGCTTCCTCTAAGGCAGAGGTCGGGAACCCATGGCTCGTGAGAGCCATTTATGGCTCTTTTGGTGACGGCATAAGGCTCCCAGAAAAATCAAATATTTTAAGGCTAAGCGTACTATTGTTACCCGATTTCGCTTTTATTGCAAATTTGCCCACACGTTATAGATCGAACGCTCAGCGCATGCTTATGTTATGTGAGAGAATTGCCAGACAGGCATTGAGACAAAACGGGGAATTCTGGAACATATTTTGTGATATCGCGAAGCGATAGTCGTGGGTCGCGAAGCTATAAAGGAATAAAAGTATTCCGTCTGTTTGTACTGTTTATTAGTAATATTCAGATTGGACTAGCAAAACTAGTTTTTAAGGCATTACGGAGATGCCCGAAAGACAGCAAGGTGATCGTGGATTGTGCTGCATGTGAGCATTCGTTCTAGGCACTAGCGACAACATACAGCACCAGAAGACACCTTAATTGTATACACTATACAGTATTGAAATTGTATGTTTTGACTTTTTGAGTAAAAATTCAAGACATGATTGGGTGATGAAAAATATATGACTCGCACCGAAAAGCAATTGAAAATATGTACATTTCATGACTCTTTGCCCAAAGAGGTTCCCGACCACTGCCCTAAGCTAAGGAAAAGAGTTCATAACTCATTATCAGTTCCAACCACAATAACATTGACCAATGTGAAACCGTAGGTGACCGTACATTTGAACCCATGTACATTTGAACCCGTGCGTATATCCACGGGTTCCATCTATATGCGGGTGCTAAAACCCATGGGTTAGGGTTAGTATGGGTTTAACTATCCGTGAAACAAAAAAAATTCCATAGGTGCAATAGCATACAGGTGCAATTGTCATGGGTTCAAATGTAATGGAACCGAAACCGTATGATCCGGAAACTTGCTTTAACTTAGTTTCGCGCCCCATGCCAAGCTTTAGATGAAAAAATGAAAACGAAACCTTCAGTAAATTTAACATCGACATCAATTCGAATCGATTCGAAGCAATTAGGAAAAAGAGACTTGATTCTATTTAAAAAAATAATTACATAGATAACACAGGGCAATTGTACGACGCAGAGGCGCTGTCTCGGTATTTTACGTTTACAGCTTTCCAAAGTCGTAACGCTCCCAGAGTTGTTATATTTCATATTGGTAGCAGCTTGAGAAGGACCAATTGTTTCTCTCAATTTTGATCGATCACTTAAAATATTACGAAGTTTCACAATTAATTTAGTATAATAAACGTTCATCTAGCTAGATAATATTATTATAATAAAACATCATTGTCCTAATTAAAGTTGGCCAACACAAATTGCCTCCAACCTGTTGTGTTTTTACAACAGGAAGGATGCAGTACTTTACACGCGCAAAATGCAATATACACATACAGTATTTGAGTCTGGGCAATCCCGATGAAGCATAATACTACGTAACGAATGCGCGTTTTTCCGCTGCCAAGGTTTAAGGAAAGTACCGAATATCGCGTGTCTAGAGTCTAGCTAGACTGACAAACGATCCTACAATAACTTCTGCAGTAGGTGAAAGTTATTGTCGCATTCCAAGAGACGTGTGATAAATTTTATTCCCAATGGTAGCAGTGGCATCCAAATGCCCAATTTGTTCTAATTCCAAGCAAGCGAAGAAGCGCATTTGGAGGAAATTGTAAGTTAGATAATTTAGTATATTATATCTGAATTGTACGGTTTAAATAAATCCTAAATAAATGATGAAACAAGTACTGTGGTTATAATTAAATAATCAAATCAATAACTTAAATGGAACATGGAAAATACAACTTTTGTGTCGATTTTAATAACAATGTGCCCACAAAGCCTTCTTATTGGTAGCGGTGGAATTTTTTGTATGTGCGTGCGTGCAGTTATCTGCATATTCAGTACCCATTCGTTTTTCCAAGATTTTAGTCGATCGCGGTCGAAAGCAGGTTGGCCACCCCTGACCTACACCTTATTAAAAACTAATCTGCGATGAATCCCTCGTTATCATTACTTCTTTCAAAAGCATGGCGCAAACGGTACTAATTAGCGTACCGTTAAACAATCGACAATGTATGTAAATAAATATGTAACAAACAATGGCACTCCCGAATTATGTGCACCAAGATGGCGCACAACCTGAACCCTAACCTGGTACAACTACTACTAAGTTCAGGTTGTGCGCCATCTTGGTGACTATACTTTTGGAGGTCCCAAAAAATAAATCCCAGTCGAATATATTTGGTAGTCGATAAATTCAAGCTATATGTTTCTCTGGTAACTTTAGAATTAGATTCGAAAATATTCGAATCGGAACATTGTGATTCGAAATTCGATTCGAAAAAAAAAATTTGAAACTTACCCTAGTTTCGAGCGCCAATATTATTCCCCTTTTTATAGTTTTTTTGATCATGTTACATTCGAGTGATTATTTGACCTTAGTCTTCATCATATTCATTAGTAATAATCATGAGTAAGATTCTGATGACCGTTTGGTCGTATCACTCCCTCCTGTCTATACCAAACTAATTCATTGCTTGTTATTGTTTTTAATATTACGGTTACTGTTATTTTATTTTGGTTGACGGAAAAATAAATCTCTCTCTCCCTCTCAGTAACTGCCGGCTAAATCATTGTCGCGCACTTTGTTCTTTTTTACCAGTGTAGCCGCTTGGTTATCGATTACACAAAGCTGCTTTTCTTGGCGATTGGCCCTTAATTATTGTTTGACAAGTTTGATATTGATTGCCAGACTGTGTCTTGGCCGAGAAATCACACTTTAGGTTTTGATCAGTTGAGAAAGCGCTTTGTGAAATCGCGCACGTGTTTAAAACCTACGAGTACGCTGTGTATTTTGTCCACATCGCCTCTTTCCAATATTACGTATTTATACGATTTATACATAATTTCGAAGCGTTTCGGGCAGTCAAACACAAAACAACAACAAGTTCTAGCATAATAAAAGGCACTTAAATGATGGGATTACATACACGCTTTTTCCTATTTTACTTTCACGCTCTGTTCTACTTTTGAATTAATAATGGAGTAATCTGTAATATGTTTCTCCAAAGAACCGATATAATTCTGATTTAGGAGATTTTTATACCGTGGTTTTCATACGATGCCATGAGTTATCAAATTTTCTGTGGTTTTACGGCGCATTGCGGACTCGTTCATGTATATATATTTGGGACAATGTTTACCGTCAACCTCCACTTGCAGTCGATATACAGGAACATTGTTCCAATTAAGATAATTAACTGTATTTTGAAGTTGCTGAACGTTTCTAGTTGTGGGGTGGCGAGTATCTGTAGGCTATGGTTTTATGTAAATTGGGGTCGCGAAAATAAAGTTTGGGAACCACTGGCCTAGTAGCCTCTCATCGTCTAAATCCGGTCCTGGTCTTACCTCTTCTGTTCTCCATTTACACGATACCCCTACGTGCAGAAGTGTAAGAAGAGGGACTACGCATCCACGTTCCAATCGAGTAAAATTTAATTTTGCGTTTTTTCGCGTAAAATTATTCACGACTCTTGTTCCGCAATGCAAGTAAGATTTGTTGTTGACATTAATATTAGACAAATCAAATATCTTTCAAGTACATTCCGAGACGATTATGTTGACAGCATCGACTCATACTCGAAGTACGTTTTTTTATTTGGTTTTACTGGTGGGTTGTATTCATTGCGTGCGAAAAACGTGTTGTTTGCTTGGTCAAGGATGTAGAATTGGAGAAAGTTTCCATCGGCCCCTACTTCCGACCCGAGCCATTAAAAACCGACTTGTGCTCCAATTCTGAGCTAAAGAAGGTTTATCTTTGACTCCAAAAACATTTAGCTCCAATTACTTGAAAAAAAATTACAACCGATACCAAATATTATGCAAGCTTTTTGTTTGGTTGAGTTGAATTACTTTGAAAAGTCCCGACTCTCACGTTTAGAAGTCTGGGATACCGGTTGTCGTCTAGTCTGAAATCCCAATTCTAGAAAACTCAATTTTTCATCGGACCCAGGCCTGATCTCTCTTCTGTCATGTTTTCAGCAATTTTAATTATTCTGTGCTCTTTAGCATCACCTACCGTTGACATGTATTAGAAATATCGAACCTCAAAAATAATGAGTGCTTGCGAGTTGTGAGCAAACCTATAATTACAGCATCTCGCTTCACTCTCATTCGTACCGATCAGGTAAACAACGTCAAACAAAACTCGGCTTCTAAGTTCATTCGATTCATATGGTGTTATTACTTTTGCAAGGAGATTCAACTTAATGCAAATTCAATCTAATAATAGATTTTGAATAATAATGTGAAAGCATAACAAAAAGGTGAGTGTGCGAGATATCTAATCTTCGGCGTTACCAAGATTGGTTGGCAGCCGAGAATAACAAAAAGGTGTGTGTGCAAGATACCCAAATCTTCGGCGTTACCAAGATTGGTTGACAGCACAGCATGTAGTAAGGAAAGAGATATAGTGATAAAACCAGCAATGTGCTTTATACGGAGTGTGCAGTCAGTAAGGTTTAGTTTATACCGGAAAGGCTTTATCGAACAGGGTTACCTATTCTGATTGCTTTTAAATTTTTAGCTTCAGAATGCCTTCAGGTCAAATTTACTGCAAATAGACAAGCATATCACGCCGCTACTAATCGAGACCGATAAATAAAATTATGATTTCTTTGAATCGAGACCACCGCCTATATTTGAACATTATTAGTTACATATCAGTTTATTAAACTATATACTATCTAGTAACTAAATCTTATAAGCGCACAGCTTTACTGACAGCACAGTGCTGCTTTGTTCGTCCCACTCACAAAGGCAACCGTTTGTAAACATAAATTTTGATCAATTTGACTTTTTAAGCGCCGTTCCTAGTTCCCGCTTTTATATATGCCATTTCGTTGGCTATATATACTTGTATAAATGAATAAGCATCTGCTAATTTTAAATATTACATTAGATTACCAAAAACAATTTACCAAGTGCTAATTCGAATGCTGGATAATTTCATTTCGGATATATTTATGAATCATTATAGCTCGTTCTTATCTGAAACGCTGCTGCCTGAAACAGCGTATACTCGTATATTTCCGGTGCAAGCATGCTGATTATTATGTTAGTCATACAGATTGCAGGAACTTAACGAATTTTCCGTGATTTTGCGGTCGATGCGCTATTTTTAGTGTTTATCCATAAAACAAATGACGTAAAACTGGTAGATATAATGTAATTTTGTATGATCGTTACATCTAATTGTTTCAATTGCTTTATTTGTAATCCAGGCGAGTATGCGTTTGTTAAACTTCAGACGGTCTGCCTTTGCCTGCAGTGCACTGATAAAACCAAAGCAGCTGTATTTGGCAAGGGCTTGTATCCGTGGAGCACAGACGTCAACTACCAATTGGGCAAAATCGACTCAAGAATTTCCCACGGAGGCAGACGTTGTAGTTATTGGGGGTGGAAGCATAGGATGCAGCACAGCATATCATTTATCAAAACTAACCAAAGGAAATATAGTTTTACTGGAAAAAGACAAATTAACATCAGGGACAACTTGGCACACAGCAGGTAAGATAGGCGCGGAAATGACTTTTATTTATCGCAGACAAGTGCAATATATGTGTGATTATTTTCAATGGGGTAAACATTACGGCTGGACTGTGCACGGTCAAAATTATGTCTGTGAAGTATACAACAGGTTAGTATCCGGAGCTTGGGAGCATGTTAGCTTGGTGGAAACGACACTTTGCCACTACATCGTCTAAATATTAATAATCACGTAGGATATTGTTCTTCCAACTTACAGAATCTCTATATCAGGGATAGTGAGCCTTTTTTACTGGACGGGCCACAGCATTATATTTAATCTTATAACTCTGGGTTGATATTGCGTAGACTCACACATGCAGACCATCAGGACTGATACAATTTCTGGTAATCGGCTTTGTGAAATTCTTGCGTGAAAACGTGGATTCGCATTAATATGAACAAACGAAAGGTTTCAGCCGCATTAAAGTTCACTATCACCAATCTCGATTTCTGTTTCAGATTTATGTAAGCATTCATTTGACTCTATAAATTTTGCCCTCCAAGCGCACTGTTAGTTTAAAATTTTTATTTTCAAAAACAAATGGAAATGCGTAGCCATTCGAATATTGTAAATTCAAAATTCTTGTATTCGAGGAAAGAATGAGTTGCAAAGTTTTTGCAATATTACGTCACTTGGCGCTTCACCGATATAACGTAACGGGTAACTTTGCGACCGGCGAGCCATTCCTGCTCTATTTATAACGCCACTTCCATTAATATGAGTGAATGACTTTCAATTACCTTGTTCTCAATAACTCTAAAGAAAATGAATTATGTAGGTCGCTTTCAAATACGAAACTCCGCTAATTGCTTGAAAAGGTGAACTCGCGTGACCCGAGCTATACACAGAAGAACTTTGTTCAGTTGTATGTTTTTATCAATAAGACATCAAGCGCGAAAGTGACTTTCTCCCTTACCATGGTATTCACGTGATTCCCATAACACTGAGAATGGTAAGATTAGTGCCTTTTTACCCCGACCAGACTAATTAGAAGTGTAGAACAATTTATTCGGGAGTTGTATTTAGGGTGACATTATCCCATGGGGCTACATTTAATAAAGGTCGTCAGATAAACAGTTATTACTTTTTAACAGGACTTCTTTGGAAATTATGGGCACATGATACAATGATAGAACTTGTAGATCACACTCGAGAACTAATGACTAAAACATTGAAGGAGGAAACTGGAATGGAAACAGGATGGGTGCCAACTGGTGGAATGTTCACCGCGGCCAATAAGGAAAGATTGGATGAATACCAAGTAATGAGCACGGTACGGTAATTAGGTGTTTTCATTTACTCCGACGGTAATTATTGATCTATTAGTACTATGAAAGTCCTGGAAAATATTCTGCGGGCATCCACTACTTGACATACCTTAGATGAATTTATATGTCTGTTTAAAAACTCAATAGTTGCTCATAGCCTTTTTTTTTGCGTATTTGTGAGAGCTTAAATACCCTTATTCAGATTTGAGTGCTATAGTGCTAAGTTCTAAATATCCACCATAATGATAGTGTAATCTTCCAAGTTGGAAATATATATTTTCACACTTTTTTTGTATTTAGCTTGGACAAGTTTATGGCATAGAATCCTACGTTCTAAGTCCAGAAGAATCGCTGAAGGTACATCCTCTATTGAACGTTGATGACCTTTACGGAACTTTATACAGTCCGTTAGATGGCACCATGGACCCAGCAGGAACTTGTACAACGTATACCAAAGCAGCAGCTAAATACGGCGCAAAGGTACGTTTTTGAAAAAAGGATGATTGCATTACAAATTAAGTCTCTCTTCTTGTTTCTATTTCTGATTGGTATTGTCATATATGATGTTGGTTGCTTTTGTTTAATATGTTTTGTATTAAATATTCATTTAATAAAGACGCGTGTATATATATTCAGGTGTTTGAAGGCTGCGAAATATTGGGTTTGCAAGTCGAGGAAAACGATATGGGTACGAGACAGATAAAATCTGTGACTACCGACCTCGGTACCATAAAAACAAGCAAAGTTGTCAACTGTACTGGCGTATGGGCTCCTTACATAGGAAAAGTGAGTACATATCTTCAACTACTTTTTCATCTTCTTTTCATTAGTCAACTGGAATAATTATCAAATTGTATTTTTTAGATGGCTGGTGTCCGAGTACCTCAAGTTGCTTATAAGCATGCATATGTTGTAACAGAAATCATTGACGGCATCAAAACATGCCCAAACGTTCGAGACCACGATGGCTCTGTATATTTGAAAAGACAAGGAGACACAATACAAATTGGTGGATATGAACCTAATCCTATACCATGGGAAAAGGTTATATGTTTTCACATCATTCAAATCTAATTTAGCTATTTAGGTTAGTTTTTGTCTTATTCTCCATTTTCGCAAGATCTATAAAGTGGGTTACTCATTTCGGTCTTTTTGAATTCTATGCAAGACAGAGTAACCGCTGCATACTGACACAAATATATTTTTGTGAACTTTCGTCTTATCAAAGACCAACTATTTCGGAGACAAACACAATTCAACTTTATATGTATATCCGAGGAAATGTGATCCCGCAGTCGATAGTGTAAATTTTATTGTCCCCACATTTAGTCACAAATTCTATATGGCTCAAAATATAACTTTTGGACTCTTTGGCATATTTAGGTAGAAAAGAATTTTGCTTTCGGTTTATTCGACTTGGATTGGGATGTTTTTGGACAACATATTGAAGCTGCTTGCAATCGAATTCCTCAAATTTTGCACACAGGGATACGAACTACTGTTTGTGGACCAGGCAAGTTTGCACTCGTGTGTATTCAACTCTAAATACTCAAAGTAGTAACTTCATTTCTTAAATCATCCTTATTACGATTTAGAATCATTCACTCCTGATGGCCATCCTTTAATGGGAGAAGCACCCGAAGTTCGTGGATTTTATCATGGTAGTGCATTCAACAGTGGGGGTATGTTGCTCGGAGGAGGGGCAGGGAGAGAACTGGCACATTGGGTCATTAATGGCCGCCCACAGCTTGACATGTTTTCCATGGATATCAGGTAGTAATTTGGTTGTTGAAGTTGAACGAAAAAACTCAAGTTTTTTAAATTAGAGTGAAATTAAAACCATTATTACGAGTGGCCGTTCGACACAAAATGTTCCTCAGGGTGGTTTTGGAAATTGTTGTTGTTGTTAGTATTGTGTTAACGAGTGGGATCGATATTTCACCTCTAATTTAGTTAATTTACCCAAACTGCGCCACCACGTGTCGGTCAGGCTAGTCCGCCAGCTTTCCGACAAACCCGATATTCAGACAATGCTTTATCAGTACCGATTCATATGCTACAGTCGCTGGGACCTTATAGCTCCATTGGATAGTCATTTAATCTCAATGTCTATATATTTGAGCATTGTTCTCTTGTCTTTTCCCCACTTTTTTATGGGCTACAGAGGATGTGTGTCAAGGTATTCAGATTATTAGATGATATTCATATTATATATACCTTTCAGGCGATTTCCCACTAATCTGGTAAATGAAAAAACTTGGTTGAAGGAAAGAAGTCATGAAACATATGCAAAACATTACAGTATTGCATTCCATCACGACCAACCCCTGGGCGGAAGAAACCAAAGAGCAGATCCGTTGCACCAGGTTACTTTTGGATAAAATGTTCGAACTACTATTCTATCTGATATCTACTCGGTTAATAATGGCATGGATTAGCGTACTTTGAACACTCTCTATTTAGTCAATTAAAGGCATGAGTAACTAATTCCTGATGCAAAAAGCTTTGGCTCAGTAGACTACCGTGAATATTTGGGGAAGGCTGTGGTGATATTCGCTGGTTAACATTACGTCAGTCCCGTTATATTCAACGTGATTTTTAACTTTTCAGTCGATTTTTTCAGCATTGTTTGTCGGGATGTAATCCGTCCGCATTTGCTACCATCATATACTACTTTATTCTTATTTTTTATAGGAATTATTAAATCGTGGATGTTTTTATGAAGAAAGACATGGTTGGGAAAGACCAGCCTATTTTCCTGGTGCATCTCAAGACTTGAATTTTCCGGTGAAGAAATATGATTATTACGGAAATTATGGGAATGACAAACACAGAAATTATGAGTACAATGAAAAATTAAAGGAAGACTATTGCTTTGATTTTCCTGGAGAAGTGCATAGACAGGTACCATCCTCATGATAATAGTTTACAAAAACGTTTACGTATTTAGTATAGGATTGTATCGTTAACGTTACTATGAAAGCAACTTAGCATTGTATATGTGTAGTTTACAAAAACGTTTACGTATTTAGTATAGGATTGTACGTTAACGCTACTATGAAAACAACTTAGCATTGTAGATGTGTTATGCAGTTTTTGGTTTAAAAAACTGTTATTTGGATTACTCAGATCGCTCGTGAATGTCTCACATGTCGAACTTCCGGCGCCATATTCAACACTTCTTACATGGGTAAATTGTTTTTGTCTGGACCTGGAGCAAGTGATGTAGCAAGGCATTTATTTAGTCGTGACGTCACAAAGAGAATGAACAAGTGTACATACACACTCATGCTCAATCGGAAGGGTGGAGTCGAAGCTGATCTAGTGGTAGCGACAATGAAAGATGCCAATGGAGGTAAGCAATATATCAGGCGTGGGCAAGGTTTTTGGACCAGGGTAAATGATTTTGCCCACCTAGACTGGCGGGCCATGTGAGTGTGACGTAAAAAGTTACATTTTATTAACAATATCTGCACTGTTACAAATGCAAAAGCGAAAAACAATGAGCCCCGTGCCAAAATTTCAACAAATTCCTCGAGCTGCTATTTTTTAGCTAAAAAAAAGGTTTTTAGTTTGGTTGTGGCAGCATCAGGCGGGCCAGATTGAATTGCCCAACGGGCCGGATTTGGCCAGCGGGACGTAGTTTGCCCATGCCAGATCTATATTCATGTAAAGAAAATACAGCTTTACTAGTCGAAAGCCCGCTGTATAAATTGTATTTTTGTTGAATATGTTGCTTTATTATTTTAGAACCTGTATACTATATGACTGTTGGAGGGGCCACTACTGAATACTGCAAAGCACATGTTAATAAAGTAATGCAAGATTACAACGTCAGTTGCAAAATAGAGGATAAAACTGACGAAATGGGAATCATAAGCGTTCAAGGACCAAACAGGTGCTTGAATTTGATTAAGTATAAATAGAAAATAAGACACACGCATGGCAACCCACCACTGAAACGGCGAACGCGAAGAAAGTCGGAGATCTTTCATAAATAGTTTCACCTCGAGATACAACTCATATGTGGAATACCATTCTGTAGCGTAGCTTTTTCATGATATACATGAAACAGTGTTTACGAATGTGTGATTGGAATCTACAAATACAGAGCAACTGCAGAGTGCTGCCAAAGTTCACGATAGGAAGCGCTGTTACCGATATCACATTTTTGTAAATACGGATAAACGAGTGATGTGCCTCTTCAGTTGTTCTCGGTGTATTACTTTTTTATTTAACTTTTAGTCGATTGCTGATGAAGTCGATTTTGGACAGCGATCCAAAAGTTATCGACAAAATGAAATTCAGCACCTGGAAAAACATAACTATTGCAGGATGTCCTGTTACTTTGATGAGGTATGTTTCAGTGATTGCCGATTTTCATTCGACATGAAAAAAGTCTGAGAATGCAAGACGAGCAAACATTAAAAATTGTAACGATTTGAGCTTCCAGTACACAGGTCTTGATCGAGGCGCTCTATTGTCTATTTTCTACTCAACGAGTAATTCTCGCCTGAGATAGAATGTCTTAAAATTAACTACAAAATTCATTACTAACCCCACAAGTTACCAAGCTAAGTTAACATTTGGCAATTTCAAACTCTTACTTGTAACATGTTATTCAAGAATTTCTTTCGTTGGAGAACTTGGATTCGAATTACATTGTTCCAACAAACATCTTCTACAAGTATATAAACATCTTCGAGAAAATGCTGATAGTTTTGGATTTTGTGATTCTGGATACAGAGCAATGGAATCGATGAGTTCTGAAATAGGTAAGAATTCAACATGTACGTGAGAATCAGTAACGCACAGTGTATATATATAATGAATTACATGGGTTTTGGATGTTTGATTCTAATCAGCATCCCGGGAGGGTCGTCGCTGGTATCTCACCTTCTGCGTATAAAAGTAGTTAGATATTATTGAGAAAATCACAAATGCGCTTAACAGTGAAATGTGTTTCAAGTTTTCTGCCGGCATCAAGCTTTTTCGAGTCGGTTCCGTTTCCTATGTCGGAAATTGTCCCACAGACATTACATTTGTTACATTCCAAACTTGATTTCATCAATATGTTTCAATGAGTGAAATGCTAATTTTCAGAATATACAAATTAAAATTAGTAAAATTTATTTTCGTTTGCATTTGTGGCGTTTATATTATTGCTTTTGATTTACTGCTCGTCATTGAACTCTCATTTTTATTATTTTATGAAGGATTCCATCACTGGCCTCACACTATTCGTTCCGATGATTCAGTATTTGAATCTGGACTTGACCATCTTTGCGATCTTGACGATCAGGATTCAATATTTGTTGGCAAAAATAACTTGCTTGAAACTAGAGAATCACTGCCGAAGAAGAAGCTTGCTGTATTTACGTTGAATGAGTAAGCACATTAAATAATAATACATTTTTTACGAAAAAAAAAATTTCATTTTTGTAGAATTCTATAGTCTTTTCCCACCAATTCCAAATACATTATTTTGAATTTTTACTGTTAAACTATTATATTGCACTATTTCCATCAGTAATTACAGGGCAGTAATTACAAGTAGGCATTTTGATATATGTTGCAAAAAGTAGCATGGCAAGTATTTCTTTGCTAATAAGGTTGCTAAATTGGATCAAGTTGGTACTATCACAATTTTCTACTCCAGATATGAATCACTAACCTAATTTAACTTTCAATTTACAGCCAGGTACAATTATCAGGACACGAAGCAATCTGGAGAAACGGAAAACCTGTTGGTTACATTAGAAGTGCAGTGTACGCATTTGCCCTGGGTAAAAGTATTGCTTATGGGTAAGGATGCTAAGTATGAGTACTTACAAGTATTCGATTCTTATCCGATTCCTAAATTTTTGATTCCGATACTCGATTCCGAATCTTGAATCCTCGACATAGCAGACCGAGAAAACTTATCCGCTTTAACAATACTATCAAATCAAAAAAGTGATCGATGTTCGAATTTATGGACACAAAAGGCTAAACTAAGTAGCATGGGTTTTCAATCTGTCACAGTAGACAAAATCGCACACAAAAAAACGATTCCCTTATAGCCCACAAAAGATCTTGAAATAAATGAACGTAATAGCCTTCTAGCGAAAATTACAACTTTTGAAAATTTCCTAGAAATTGGTGTAGTAGGTAATGATAAAAGATATTTTTTCATAACAAGAACAAAAAAATGAATTCTAATAAAAATATAATAACAAAACGAATTGAATGTTCACTTGTGTCCAACAATTACTGTCATAGTAAAAAGTTCAATTCGTCTTCCTGTAGTTTGCGGCGTTGTAGCAAATACCCATATCAGTTTATACATATGTGTGAAGGATTTGCAACAAAACAATACGTATACCTTGTTTTCCAGGCTTGTCCATGGGACATATTTTTCTGTCCCATTCTCATCCCATGGGATTCCCATTGGAATACAATTCAATAAAAATTGTTAGATTTAGGTTTAGCGTCTACTAAATAGGACTACATGTACGAAGATACATACAAAACAACAAAATTTACGGACTTCTTTAACTTTATATTGATAAATATTATAAATGTGTCCATCAGCCCCTTCACGAAGTATATTATTAATGCTGAATGTATTTTGCTCTTTATAGCTAAGACGAGAGATATCCTCAAATATATGATTAAAAAGTCCACAACGAAATGTTTTACCATCATTTCCCAAAAAGCATACGGTTTTCGTGTCCCATGGGAAATACAAATTTGTGCTGTCCCATCCCATGGGAATCCCATTCCCATGGACAAGCCTGTTGTTTGCAATACAAGTTTTAACCCTAAGAATCGATTCTGGAATCGAATCCGGAGTCGATTCCCCCATCCCTAATCTAACTTTGGTAGGAGGCTACCTTGATATTTACTCACCTATTGCATTCATAACCATGCAGCAACTCGTGGCAAAATGTCAACTTATCACATCGTATACTGACTAAACATAATATGTTCTGGGTCCGTGCTCTCGAGTTCGGCTACATTCCCCATAAGGATCAATGCTAACTTTTTGGTCCAACAGATGTCATATACTTTCACAATTCTGAGTAATAAGACCGCAACAAAGCAAAATGAAATGATAACAAAATAAATGATTCTTCAACATCCAGAATTGGAATGGTTACAGGGAAGTTGACTTTCAATTGTAACTAATTCTTCTAAGCTTTTTCGAAGAAAACAAAACATGCAATAATGTGATTGGAACAGACAGTGCGGTCATTGGGTGTATTTTCTACTGGGGAGGTCAATTAGCAACTAAAATAAACCTAAATGCTAACAGTATAAACTCCAGCAGCATAGAAGAACAGAAAGTTGTTTACGAAGCAGGGAATAGGAATTAATGTGTGTATTCATCTACAGCGAATTTTAATCACAATTCGGAGCCGAACTATGACCATCGAAAGAACAATTGAATGTTTGTTTCCGCACACATTGCACAATTCTTGGCAGGTACAAACTAAGAAATATTTACGTATATTTGTCCATTCTCAGATACATCGCTCGAGACGGCTCTGGCGTTAACAATGAATACATCAGCAATGCAGAATACGCGATCAAACGAATGGGTGTGATGCACACAGCTAATGTTCACCTGGTCGGTCCGTTTGATCCAAAATTCAAACGAATGATGGGGAAATATGACGAGGCGAAACAAGAACAACTGCTAGAACTTTTGCGTTCGAAATATGAGAATGGTAAACCAGTTGAAGTTCAAAAACAAGAACATAGTTTTGCTCAAAAAACATAAATTTAATTAAAATTGGTGAAAAGTGCAATCGCGTGAAATGATTAATAATACACGGACTGCTCATCTAGTTAGACAGAAATGGGTAAATGTACCACATGAGTGCTTTTCAAACGATAGGTTTTCGGCAATAGATTTAATCCTGCTAGATCGAAATTAAACATTTTAAAAATATATTTAGACTCACAAAAATGCTACAAAAACGCTTACGCTTTAGTTCGACGTAGAATAAATTCAACTCCATAAATATTTTTTCACTCCTGTTTGCATCGCAATAAAAAATTTCTTTCTGATTTACTTGGTTTGTAACCAACCATTATACGTGTACTGAACTGTTTCAAAATGACACCGATCTATGTAATTCCTCAACAAGTTTTTGTTATCCGGTATTGCTCTCCATAGCTGTTGAAATATAAAGTCTAATATAATATCATATTTACTGAAGAAAGAAGATGAAGATAAAACCAAGCTGATTTGTGCTTAGAAATATCATAAAATTTAAATATTGGTATATTCATGAAATACTATTGTAATTTCAATTACTAGCTTATTGATTAAGCTTTGGGAGTTGCTTAGTTTTTTGTAAAAAATTATCCAAATCGAGTTCTTTATTATTCCTCCCCAAACTTTTATCTGCTGATAAACGTAGAAAACCTATATATATATATATTTTTTTTTTCAAATAGTTTGACGTTTTTGTTGTTAATACTTTTGGTGTTAATACTTATTTTTGCGGTAATTTAGTCTCAAACTGCTAACTTTAATTTCATTGTTTTTTATTATCATTACTGTAATATAAATAAGTATAATGGAAATTGTAATTTTAGTATCAAAAATTTAATGATGTTTTACTATAAAGTCTCCTTTTCGCTATATATATATTTTTGTCATCATTTTTTTTATTTAGCATGGAATGAAACTATTCAATCATGCATCAATGAAATGTTTTAGGTTATTTTTAGATTTTGCGCTTTGTCACTAGCAAACCTACATCTAGACTTTTTGATCAATGATTGTTACCTTTGCCGTGAACGAGTTTACATATATGCAACTGTGGCTATGTTTCAATGTAGTTTTTCAATTGCAAAAAAGACTACATTACTGATTGGTTGCAAAGGGGGGAGTCTGATAGCTTTGTGGCCTCGCCGAAGTGCCTCTTATGAGGTTCGTTTTTAAGTTAAAAAAGGTTTTTTTTTGCTTGATTTTGACAGTTTATTAGCGGCCAGTAACGAGCATAATACAACAAATTTTTGCACAAACGCAGCTTTGAATGATCAGAATATTTTTTCTTATTATCCTAGTCACATCAATTTGGTAAGATAGGAAAGATGGAACTCCAAAGCTGGTGGATATGTTCGTTTTATCACCTATTCCAGGGATGGCGAACCACTGACCCGCGGGTCACAAACTGACCCACGGCGTTTTGTTCGTTGTCCGCCAAGGCACAAATAAAATAAAATGCTAACATATCAATGATAAAACCGGCCTTAAATTAATCTAACAATTACTAAACTATTATAATGTGCCATCAGTTGGGCAGTCAGGGCTGGGATGGCTTATATTCAAATTATTAATTTCCGGTGAGGTAATTTTCAAAATCCTAATATTGGACGAATGTCTGCACCGCTGTGTGCCCTTATTCAGCTATTAGCTCTGACATCGTTTACGACATAACAATGCAATTGATGATCATTTCTCGCAACGTCTTGTCTCTTTCAGAAGTGCATCTGCAGACTGTTTTAGGGGTTATACGAGAACTAGATGCTACATTGCATTTTATTAGTTTCTCGCCTACAATGCCGTTGAGAACACTGAAATAGAGAGACTTGAAATAAAAACCTAGAAATCTGGATTAACAATGGGACAATGTAAAAGTGCTTTTAATAGGGTTAAAGCTGATAGAAAAATATAACACTATCAGAGGGGAATTCCTCCAAACTCTTTGGAACCGTAAAATAATTTACCGCATTATCCTAAACGTCATTCATATGCGTGTTTTCGTACTCTAATGTCATAAAATCGAGTACCATAAAAAGTCCCTGATACAAGTGCTGTATAAGTAAAGACCTAAACTACACTAACACAAACAGAACTGTTGTATCGTGATTTGTTTCAGAAGTTTTTTATAGATACAAACATTGATTAAACATCTGTGACCCACTCTCTTCTGTTCCGCGATAAAAATATATTTTTTGACCCATTCATTGAAAAAGGTTCGCCATCCCTGACCTATACCCTGATGCAATTCGAGTTTGAACAACCAATAATAACAAGATTTTGACACATCGAAATTGCCATCTGGAGATGATAAAAGTCATATTGCGCACCGAAACTTGTATCGTTTGGTGAGCGTACATCACGATTGCGAAATATTATAAATTGTTGTTCTTTTTAGTTCAGTAGTAATGCCTAAGCTAGTTAAAGCCTACAAAATACTCTATATAAGTTTTTCTTGAATGGTTTTTCTACAAAAAGATTCCAGGTTGATATTCACGGAGTCATCAACTAGTATCTCGAATACTTGTCTGTACTAGGCAATTATTTTCTAGTCAATTTCATTCCTATTTCAACAACACTCGATTTAATACACTGGGTGTCGCATTTCTATATTTTATTTTCAGTAACTTCTAACGTCCCTTGTCAAGAAAAGGCAGATAAAAAACAACAGATAATAATAAAATGATCTATTTACAAACAAATGTCCTAATCTTATGCGCAAATAAACACAAAAACAACAATAACAACAGGAAGTGACGTAATAAAACCGCTACAAATAAGTTTACTCATGAAATCGCAAAATTCCAAAAGAAAAATAACAACTGGTCGCTGAATAAATATGAAGATAGCAAAAAGGTAAAATAAAGAAAAAATGAATAAAATATTGACAGTTTCCTAATTTTTTTAGTTTAGGTTGCAGATACTGAATTTGTTACAAATAATAGTCAAGTTTTTTTTATTGATCAGGTGGTGCGTTTTATATAAAAATGACAATGAAAATTGTTAAAAATTTTAAAAATACTGAAAATTGGTAATAAACATATAATCAAACCATGGAATGCACTCTAAATGTAATTGATCGATGATTACCTGAACTAAATTACAGCAAAATATGAATAAATTCTGCTGCTTTTCAGCAGTACAAAGTATGAATTGGCATAGATTGCCATCTTGGCAGTGTATTTTCCATAAAAGGCAAGTATTTGAATATTTCGCTATTTTTTTTTTTTGAAAAATTTTTCGGGTTTTGTTAAAATTTAGAAGCATGATGGGTTCCATACCCTTAGCTTAGATGAGTGCTTAAGCGTTTTGTATTGTAGTTTTTATGCTGATTATAGTCCCGATGCAATCGGTGTTTAGCGTAGATTTACTCAGAAGTGCATGGTGTGTGCAATCGGCGCTGAGACTTGCACAGACAGTTAGCAAGCTATAGCAGACTTCTTCCTTTTAGATTTTGTTTCACTGTTCTTGTGTCGTCTCTTAAATAGTTTCCGAACTTCATTTGTAGTTAATTTTAGAGTCTGAAATGAAATAAAATTCTTTAAGTATACTGTAGAATGTAGATATCATTTTACACAATGTTCAAAACAAGCAGTCATTTTTTGTCATTTTGTAGTAATTGTAATTATACCATTCCAGGCGTACTTTATAAAGCGAATTCGCTCTTATCCACTGGAATCATATTTGTGTATGTTAGAATAAATGAGGCGTCAGGTTAATATACACTTTGTATATATTGGTATTCAAATATAATGCAGGGTTGTTATTAAAATGTTTATTGGAATTATTATTAATTTTTTTACTATTTAATTGAAGTAATTCAAATTGAGCATACTATTGAAATATTCATGTAAAATCCATGAATTTTTCATGTATTGTCAATAATTGAAATAACGCAAAAATGCAGGGTAAACCTCACATATTTTATAAAATTCTTTGGAAGTGATCTTGTTTCATGGTTTGACCGAGTTTTAAGGGCAGACGATAAAAAACAAAAGAGCATTGTTAAAAATTCGCCCGCCCATACGATGCTACATATTTGAGGGATTTTTGCAGTTTTTTTTTTCTCATTATTTTAGCGCTTTTAAGAATTTTAATAAAGTTGTTTCTATGTTATTGTTTGTTGTGCATTTTTGATACTTTCATGCGTACGAAATTAAAATAATCAGTAATGAAACAACTCTATGTTTTTAGTGTTCTGCAGTTGCATGTTTCCCTGTTGTGCAGTTAATTCATTAGAGCAGTAGCCCTAATTGTTTATTTATTTTCGAAATCCAGTTTCGTAAACATTCTTTTTTCGAAAAAATTTTACAATCCAACATGTTACAACTAGAAATGATATATGGAGAAAATAAATTTAATTTTGTTATTAAATTATTTTTTTATTATTAATTCATTCATGTAACAAAGTAATTGAAATATAACTTACCACTACATTTGTATTTCATATCGGAGTAGAAAACCATTTCTTGTGAAAATATAAACATTCCCATGCGACCTCCAGCATACGTTCTATCGATGATGCGACCGGAATCCGTTAGCAATTTCTTTCCGTTGTACATCGTTACTCTGAAAAATATTTGAAATTCATGAATTCTTTATAAAAAAATTAAAAAAAAATTATACAATTTTTTGTAAGCTGACTCTAAACCAACATACAAAAAATCCTTGGTGAATTGTAACAAAAGTACAAGCCTTCTTACCTGATTTCTCCAGTTTCTGGGCGATGATTCAATGTCCACCTATACGCGGAATGATCTTGCCATCCTTGGTGCATGGAATCAGTCCAAAGAGTTCGTACCTAGAGAAAAAAATATTATCGTATATTAAAGCGAAAAATAAGTAAAAGATTGGAAATCAAGAAATAAAACAGGGCTATCATTTTGTCCTTTCATTTGCTTATTTTCTTAAAACGTAAATTTTGAGTTGTATTTCGTTTGAACTCAACTACATCGCGACGTGGGGTCTTTCATCGCACATTCCGAATTATAATAATAAACACCATTGCGTTTGAAAAATTTGGAATGTCAAAAAGGTGCGAAGTATAAATATGCGACATGGGCTAATAAGGTAAGTCTGGGAAAACTAAAGATATTTGCATAATAGTCATTGCCATCGATGATAGTATAACTACCAAGTATGATAACTATATACTGGTAGTCTATTTGTATATTTTTCGTAATTGTATATCTATAAAATATTTAACTTTCCCGGTAAATTAGTTTTTTGTTTACTAAAATATAGTTGTTGTTTATAGGCGGTCTTGCTATTATTTGTGCATTCTCAGAGTAGTACCAAGTGCAAATGTTGTAAACAGAATACGAAAATATGATTAAAAAAGCAAAAAAGATTCATTTTTGGCGAACGAGTTGATGCTAAAATAAAATCGCACTACAAGGTAATGCTAAATTTTTTTATTATTTTATTCCGCCTAAATTCAGAGAAACGACAATTTTTCACGGTATGGGCGGAATCTGCTAGTTTATGCCGTCACGCTATTACTTTTAGTTACTTTACCTTTCTGGCCTATTACGCACGATTACCAACATGCGTCACAAGAGCGGATAAGGTTCATTGCGTTCGTGACAACGAAAAGCGAAACGACGTGACCTGGGAAGACTGCTTCGCACAAGATTGAATAGACTAGCAAAATAGAAAACGACTTTAATCCTTGAAAACTACAGAAAACTACAGCAATCTTCTTAATTTATCAGAATTTATCATACTATCTCTGCAGTAGAATAAAAACAAATGAATTGAAAATTACCTGTCCTGGTGTATCTCCTGTATGCCACAAAGCATTTCTTAGATATTCTCCTGGACCTGTAGTCGACTCAACGACCTGTAAAAAAGTATATATAATGAATATGTGTTCAAATGACAGGTCCAGCTCTTTGCTCTATAGAAGGATCCACGCGAGCAATTCCTCACATGCAAATAGCAAAAAATTAAACCTTTTTTAATCCTGGCCAAATCTGTGATATTTAATCATATAAAATTAGTCGCGATCATCTATGGTGAATACGTGATTACGTTCACTAACATCGCATATATGACTTGAAAGATATTAATACCTTCAATTGCAGTCCAGCCTCGGCATTAGCTTGTCGTGGGTAAGCCCTCCAGTAACTTTGTGTCTTTTGCTTCCACATAAGAACGTAGAATCTGCTTGAGGATTGATAACCGAACACGAATCCTGCGTAATCGTCGTCATTTCCAGTGTTGACGTAAAACGTTCCCTCGAAATCGACTCCATTGAACATATCTTTGCCTGTTGTAATCATGAACCAAAATTTATATTTCGATTTTCGAACCATACATTTTGGACCCACAATGGTGAACATGGTTACACAAAAAATGATTTCGTATAACTCTGTTGTTTAGATTTAGAAGGAACGAAAAGTAACTGGAGATATACTTTCCCAGAAAATGTCTATATTACTATTCTATGGGATAGCCTACTATACGACAAAAAAAAAATTGGTGACCAGTTTATTACATACCTACAGCAAGCCCTGGATCACAGTTTTTAGTTTGGATAATTTCTTTTCCTTTGTTTCTGATCACCCAGTTGGGGTCAATTTGTGCTGTTCCTGTTGGGTCCAATTTGACCATATCGAAATGGGTGAAATCGGTTTTTGTGATCAATGCGTTATCCATGCATGCGTCCTAAAATTCAAATATATTAAATTTTTGTTTTTTGAATCAGACTTTTATGACGCCAGTATGACGTCATAATTGAACAGAACTTACCTCGAAATCTTTAATATTGTCGCCATCGAAGTCTTCTTCGCATACGTCACCACGTCCGTTGCCTGATAAAAATTAATATTCATATGATAAGTGATAAGAAACTTATTGTTAATTTTGCAAGTAAGAGAATTCAAATAAAAGGTTGGTCGTTATGATGAATATCTCCTTAAAAACTGTAATGAGTGATTTTGCATGATCTACAGTAGACTGGATTTTTATGCTCTAAATTGGCGCGGCGTTTTACAAAGCGCGCATTGCGCTTATAATGCCCAAATGAACTAATCTTCGAGGTGAATATAGAAAAGCCAATTTTACATACCGTCACTATCCTTCTGATCGGGGTTGTGGATGAGTCTACAATTGTCATCTTTGTCTAATATTCCATCATTATCGTCATCATTGTCACATTCATCGCCTGAAAATTGAATTTTTTTTTTCATTTAAACGATGTATATTTGCGGTTGCAAATTATTTGCGATTGCGATTGCAAATTATCTGCTTCAACTGTGAATGCCAGAATACTCACCAATTCGATCTTTATCGTGGTCAGCTTGTCCACTGTTTGGGACAAATGGGCAGTTGTCAAGGTCATCTTGAACGCCATCCTTGTCCCTGTCAAGATCTGTGTCGCAAGCATCACCAACGAGATCTGAATCGGCGTCGGATTGATCTTTGTTAATTACGTTAGGACAGTTGTCGCATGCGTCGCCGACTCCGTCTTTATCCGTGTCGCGTTGGTTCGGATTGTGAACATACGGACAATTGTCGTCACTGTTCAAAATTTCTGAATAATTGAAGAGGAGATATGATGAGACAAAGTGGTGATCATTAGTTAAAATATTTTTGTGAATAAAAAATGGTTAAACAGAATAATAGCTTAGGTCAAAAAGTACAAATCGCGTACCATCTCCGTCAATATCGGGGTCGCACTCATCACCAAGTCCGTCATTGTCGGTATCAATTTGTCCGGGGTTTCTCACGAAAGGACAATTGTCGCAAACGTCGCCGAATCCGTCTCTGTCTGAGTCGTGTTGTGTCGGGTTGTGAATAAGTGGGCAGTTATCCTGCAAATAATGAAGAGAATTTTGAAATGAAAATAATGCATATTTAGCTACAGACAATAAACTGTCGTGTAAAACTGTAATTTTTTACATTGCTCAGTCTAAACGGAAATGCATTAGTCTTTTAATTCTATTATAGTATATTACATACTAATAAGTGGTTATTTAAAAAACTATAAGTGCATTTCTAACAGCTTTTTGTTTTGACGAAATCGCTAATATAAGGCTTAAACAGATTTAGATCAGACCTATACCTAGCGAATATAATGAGCCGCTGTTTGCCAATTTTGAAAATGACCTCGTCACCACAAGAATTTAACGCTCCATAGATCCATTTCGGATAATATAAGCCTTATAGTTGACTAATACTCAAAAATGAGGCAAATCTCGAAACAAAATATTTTTCGATATACGCTTCGCAATTCGCAAAATCGGATTTATTTGTGAGAGTTCAAATAAGATTTTAGTGCAAAGTTCAAAATAGAAAGTTAAAAGGCCGAAAACGATGTACAAATTGTTCAATTTTTGGTCTAAAAATGTAAAGTGATTTTCAGTACACACTTATGTGTTTGCACTAAGGACTTGATTTAGACCTGATATATTTTACCAGCTGTTTCCATCAATAGGATTATGGCTTAGATAAAAAAGCAAACGGAAATTCTAAAAGTAGTAAATTAGGTTGAACGCAAATTCACGTTACGCCGCATGAAGCACTTAAATCAGTTTCCAAAACATATCGTTTCAACGTGTATTCGAATTTACTTAATATTTGATTATGTGAATTACATATAGATTCGTTATATTATGAACATCTCTTACCCTTTCATTAACAATGCCATCGTTGTCAGCATCTCTATCACAGGCGTCGCCAAATTCATCTCCATCAGCATTTTCTTGTCCGCTGTTTGGTAAATTCAAGCAGTTGTCCCCTTTTAGAGTAATCTAAATATAAGAGGACAAGTTGTAAAGTTTTCAAACCACAATCAAACTCACAATTATACATATAGGTATAGGAGAAAGAGGTTTGGTAATAAAGGACCTTTACTTACGTTTACACCATCTTTCATACAAGAAGAATCGACGTCGGGAATTCCGTCCAAATCCGCATCTTCGAGACACACAAATCCACGGCATTCCGGGAAGGATGAATAACCTGGATGACACTGAAAAATAGAAAACAAACGGTTTATCCTAATGATCATTTAAATTGTCACTATTGATAATACCAATCTACTGAAAATGGTAAAAAACATTAACTTTTTGTACAACAGGGCCATTAAAGTTTTTTGTTGCTGCAATCGAATATCTATGTTCGCAAATTTGAACGCGAAAATAATTTTCATTTGCACGTATTGCGCATCTTTTGGTCAAAAAATATGTTAGATTCAAGAAATGCTCTTTGAGGGCAAGTTTGGCTACTACATAACATAACACATAAGTAACACATGATTAAATTTACTTGCATGCTGTTTACATTGGAAGACAATAAAAATTCCTGCACGACTCAACTTTTTATTTTTTTAGTTTCAGGTTCTGCAAAGTCACGATAGAGGTTTCGAGTTCGGCGCGTAAACAACATTAATTGAAAACACGCACAGCGTTGGTCAACCGCGGACACTCCGTTTATGGTCAGACCCGATCCGAATTGATCGTAGTTTAGTCGCACTCTTGTTAAGATAATGCCTGTTTCCACAACAATACACTTCTAGCATTCGAAGAAATGAAATTCCAGAAATCGTTGAAGACCAAATTGAGCCATGCGGGGGGTGCGCACACCACAACCTGATACCCAGTTTCAAATGTTTCTACGGTGCACAGGTTATATCTCGGCGGCGTGATACATTAAAAAAGCCGATGACAGTGAAAATAAAAATAACTAAACAAATATCCTTTGTCTGGGTTTAAAATCTCAGAAAATAAATCCTTTTGTTATTGACAGTCTTTATACGTAATACCTAGATAAATCTGAAAAAAACCACGCGCCAAGGATTTACGAAATCATATTGGGTTCCTGGTTCTAACACAACCGCATGATAAACATTTATATATTGCTATTGGAAACAAAAAGTAAAGAAAAATGATCGCGGATTGGGGCATATCTTAATTTATGTACACTCAATGATAACAGAATGTAATATGAAAGTATGTGTTGTGTGTGAGACGAGTTTTATGACCCAGGCGGTCGGGTATTAGTTTGTTTCTCCCTAATACGATTTTGACCTTGTCTTTGTCATTAATGTCGTACTTTATGGGCGTCAATTGCCTGATGCAAACATATTGTACTTTCCAACAAAGAAGGTTTTGTTAGTCACCAATGCCTTGCTATTTATTAGGACTACGTGTTTAAACTGTTACCGCGTTTTTGCTAGACTTGTCTGATAGACATCGAGGTTACGACTAAACCAGAGTACTGCCACTCAATTCTTTAATTAGCTTTCGTCCGTGACGAAACTGGGAGTGTCGAGGATATATTATTAAAGCGACGGCACGCGAAAACCCTTGAAAATCGCTTTTCAGGTCAAAGATTACCACGATATTTGATAGTCTGTTAAAACCACAAACGGCTATTTGGCTAGAACTTTCGGCGTTTAGAAAAAATTACTTAAGAGTCGTTCAATTTTAGTTGGCCTTAAATGGAGCGCTGGTAAATTCGATTATATTAGTCTAAAATTCCGAAAAATATCACGTTCGAAATTTATGGATGCTGACAAGCACGACGCTTAAAATTTTATCCAGTGATAATTCTATATTAGGTTGTAATTTTTCTTTTTACAACAGTCATACACCTTGGAGAAAATTTTAATCCTCTTGTTGTTATAATAATCGTGACTTGTCGCTAGGAATTAATAACATTCTTAACGTATGTTTGCAAACAATGAAATTCTTGAAATTCACTCAGCTGGGTATGCTTGTATATCAAGAATTAATCACTCTACAGAAAAAAATTTATAATTTTTATGCATACCTTGCACATAAATGGTGGTGTGATGGTCGGATCCAAAAAGATACATTCAGCGTTTTCGGAACATGGATTTGTACCATCGGTACATGGGTTTGAAACTACGCATTCTTGTTTGTGAGCAATAGCATATTCAACACCGGTACCGGTAGGAATGTCACCTGTAAAAAGAAATGGATTCAATAAAATGAATGAATTCAGTAGGCAATGTCAAGCCAGAAAATGCCGCAACACACCTTTACAGCTGCCGTGTGTTTCAAATAAATTCCATTTTAAATTTAAATTTATTACATTCTTCCAGATTTCAAATGACAATTCAGATTGATACGAACATTATATACGATAATGTAAATAATAACAATCTTAATACAATACACATCATGTCGTATGAACAATATTTACCCACCTTTGTGTCCCATAGGGCACGGCATACAGGAATAACCACCCGGATAGTTTTGACATCTGTGTTTACCTTCATAATGGAAGCAGGCGTCGGGTACAAGCTTACACTGAAAAGATAATAAAATCGATGATAAAAGATGAGCGATTGTGGTTATTGTGAAATATTTCTAAAAAATTTATTGAAACATAGTTTTGGAATTTGCGTGAAGAAATATTCGTGATTTACCTGATTTTTGATAAGAATGGAATGGGTGATATCTACTACAAGAATTTTGTACAAAATAAGAAAAAAGGGGATTTTTTTTTTATCTTTTCAGACCTCCACAAAAAGCAAGTCTCTGAACAATTACCATTTTAATCCAATGAGAAATTGTAAAATCGCAAAATTTGACATATTTTAAGTTTTCGAGTGCATGGGTTGTTAACTTATCAATACTGGTTTTAGTTCGTCTAATACAATTTTTTTTTTTCAAAAATCGCCAAATTTTACTTATTTTAATTTTATGAGTGCACGAGTTGTTTACTTGTCAATACTGGTTTTGGTAATACAATTGGGTTTAATACAACTTTGTTTTTACATTTTTTTTTATAAAAATTTTCCAAGTTTTACACACTTTAATTTTTCAAGTGGATAAGTTGTTGTCTTGTCAAAACCTTGTCAAAGCTGACACGAGACATGTTTTTTTTTCTAATTTTTGGTAAATCTAATCTAACACAAACTTTAATTAGTACATTTGTTTAGTCTGATAAAACGAGACACACAACATGTATACACGATATTATGGAGAATGATTAATAATTCGTTGAATCACGGATTGACATTTTTGAAAGAATTTGGTAGATTTTATCTTTGATGTGAAACTTGTGATTCAGCCAGTTCTCGGTAGATTGGTGACACCAAATAATTTGTACTTAAATGGTGAAAAATATGACAAGAATGTGAATTTTTATCTATTATATCGTCAAAATTGTCAAATATGGTGAAAACTGAAAAAACATCTAAAATAATATCAAATGAAAAAAATACGAATTGACACGATCTGTTTGTTGTTCTGTTACTATGGTAAAAATCATGTGATACGATTAAGAAAAATTTTATTCGTGCTGGTCTCAAATTCAATTTTAAATTAAAATAAAAATCATTTCGAAAATATATTTTGGGTATTGAGGCAAAGTATCGAATATTACCATATTGAATATTGAATACTTTTTTGCGTTTTTTGTTTTGTCAAGTTTCTAACAATAAATATGACCCTAAACCTGATAAGACTTGTTGTGGTCAGCGCACCTTTTTTCTATACAATCCGGAGGCAGCCTGATCCTATCATTGTGGGTTACTTTTCATGTACACCTGATTATATTTGGAGATTAGAAATACTGCGGGAAGTTGTTGTTCAGCCAAACCAATAAAGTTTGATGTTTATTAAACTTGATTGAATTATGGTAAACCATTCACGGGCCACAATAAATTTTTGACTGAATTTCTGTTAAAATCGCTGAGTTTATCAGTAACTTCCAAAAATACATTTTTTGTACATTGAAAATCGGAAACCGTCTTGAGTTTTGCCCCGAAGGACTCGCTGTGTAGAAGTTCGTTAGGTTAAATTTGAATATAAAAAATTTATCATTAAAATTTCAAGAACAAATTAGAAAAAGAGTTTAATTAATGTACCGGGTATGGTTTTAAAGATAGCATAGAAAACCTAGGTTCGGCAATTTGACAAAACGAAAAAGTCCTCTTTTTTCCTACTGTATAAAAAGAGCGATTTTATCGAGTTCTTAATGTAAATATTTTACCCAATTGAAGGGGGTATGCTTTTTATATTATCCTTTTTATGTCATTTATGACTTCCAGTTCAAATAATGGTTATATCACATTTTAGTTGAACTTGAAGAATTTTATCAAAATAGCTAACGAACTACATCGTAAAAAATTGGAAATATGTTTAATCCAATTTAAAAGAATTAGATGAAGGTAGGAATTCAATTCTGCTCTTCTCCTAAAGAGATTGGTTTGTGTATTCGTTATTTGTCGTCTAAGCACAAAATATCGGCACGATAATTGCTTTTAAACTTAAAGATTAGTTATACTCAGCAGCCTAATCCATGTTTATAATCCAATTTCCGAGGTATAATAATACTAATAAAAAGCCACTGTCTTCAAGTAGAGTGTTCTCTTAAAGATTCCAAATATTTTGATCCTACACAGCAGTTCAAGACCCCGCTTCCAACTTATTTCAGTAAATTTCAATGTATTTTTAAAGTTACTCGGTATAATTTCAAGATACGTATAGAGTTGGTACATATGCGTTATGTGTCAGCGCCAAATTGAATTACTATGAAATCAAATATATTTGCTTCAGTCTGAACAATTACGAATTAAAGCACCCCGCTTCCCTTTGTACTTGAAGTTAGTCACTCAACCGAGGCGCCCATAAATATAATCTAATTATTCAAAATATTTCGGGCGGTAATCTACCACGGAATGTATCCCCTTAAACACTATCATGCAACATTTAAAATAATGGCCTATATTGAGGTTGGTATGGTACGGTAGTCGAAAGGGGTGAAGTCATCATTTTAAGTGCAAATTTTTATTTTCAAGATTGGAAAAATCAAAAGAATACATTGTATATCTTGACTTTCACAGAGTCATAAAAACATGACTGACCTCGTCAATATCTTCGCACTGTCCGCCATCACCTTGCATTCCTTCCGGACAAGTTCCGCATTCGTATGAACCGTCATCATGAGGGGTACATGTCACTCCCGGGTAGCAAGGATTTCTCAGACAATTGTCTACAGAAAAAAAGGTTAAATTTCAATACCTTCCAGAAACGAAGAATTGAAAAAAAATGCTAATTTTAGCTAACTTACTAATAGGACAGGTCTTTTCGCTACAGCTTTCAATGTTTGTTTTGTCGCCAACACAATATTTTCCGCCGAATAGAGGAGCCGGATTGTTGCATTCGCGAGTTCTCTTCTTGAATCCTCCACCACAAGTGGCGCTGCATCGCGAAAATGGCGTGTATGGTCCCCACCCTCCGTCAACTAAAATTGATGATAAGAAAAAAAAAATCAATTTTTGCGCCGCCAAGCATTACCGTGTAAATTTTATCCGTACGTTTGTAGACAACTGAAATTTTACTATTCTAGTGTTTTATTCTAAGTTTTTGAAATTGTAGCCAAACCGCGTGATGTTTTCTGTTCTTAGCCATTTGACACTAAAATTAACTTTCATAAACAACCACAGACAGTACTTCATGATGGATGTGTTTGCATAACCATTTTCAGAATTTAAGCATCAACACCCTTTGCCACAACACAGCATAGGAAATCTCAAGAAATAAATATATGACAAGATGAACTATTTATAAAAAATCAGGGCTCCATCAAAATAAATTCTCATTTACATAACGTTAATGAAGTAAAATAAAAGCAATAGGAATGAAATACTTATTACTGGGATATATATTAGAAATGGTTATCTTACTCGGACATGGATCGCCTTTACAGTCTCTAACTTCACTTGAGTCTCCTTCGCAATATTCTCCGCCGTGTTCAGGTGCTGGATTATTGCACGATCGAACTCTTGTTTTTTGTCCTCGTCCACAACTTGCGGTACAGGGACCGTATTTGGACCATGGTGACCATTTGCCATCTAAAAATATCAAATTTTTAGAAATTTGCAAATTAGAATAACTACTTACTTTAAGCTTAGTGAAGGAAAGGCACTTACGAATTGGGCATGGTTTGTCGTTGCATGTAACAGTGTCCGTTTCTTTGCCTGAACAGTATTTCCCGCCGTACATTGGTGCCGGATTATCACAAGTCCTTGTTCTTTCCTTGGTGCCTTCGCCACATGTTGCACTACAAAGTGAGTATGGGGAATATGGCCCCCATTCTCCATCAACTGTAATTAGAGAGGTGGAATTAGCGTGAATTAGAATAGAGTGAATTAAAATTGAAACAAAGAGCAGGTAAACAGACAAATATGTCTTTAAAAGATCATCTAGTATCAATTACGTATGAGTCAACTTCATTATCATGGTTAAGCATTCATCATTTGTCTCGAATTGGTTTGCGCATAGTTATATACTAAACACAAAACATTGAACCAGGTGTTCTTTGTTGTTGTGTTGAAGTTCTTATGTTATAGTCTGATCCGAGATTAGAAAAATGAACAATGTGAAACGCGAGATATTCATCTTACTGTGGCGTGATGCGTGAATCTTTCCAATTACTATCGCCTGTACAAACACACGAAGGATACTGGTAGCTAAACACCACTTAACATTTGAAATATTTTTCCAGTGACTGAACTGATTCGTCATTTATAAATTGGGCTATAAGGTATTATTTGCCATGTAATTGGTTGCCAAAGAAAAGCAATTCATCTTTTTCTACTTACTTGGGCAATGTGGTTGTGAACAAACTCTGTTTTCCCTGCTTGCGCCTTCGCAATCTTTTCCACCGAGTTGAGGTGCCGGTGCGTTGCATTCTCTTATCCTTGTATTGACTCCCTCTCCACACGAAACGCTGCATGGACCCCATGGAGACCAATAGGACCAACCACCATCAAGTTTGACTGAAAAAATATGAAAATATATAAATAAAAAAAGAATAAAAATATATAAATATTTGTATGTTAACTACAGACTACTCTTAATTAATCGAAATGAAAAATAATCTTTTTCTATATTGTCGGTGGAGTTCATATCTATCTTTATGGGAAGTGTGTTAATCACCTTTTCTGTCGCAAGGCTCCAAAACACAATTTCTAGATTCTTTCGTTTTTAAGTCACAAGTGAAATGAACTTTATCACAAGCTCGTCCTCTCTGTTGTTGTCCAATTCCACATGTTACAGAACATGCTGTCCATTCTGACCATTGTGAGTAACCAATTGCTTCGCCTGGGAAGGAATAAATTTTTTGTTGAAATTTGAGAAAATTTTAAATAAAATGTGATTAAAGATTAAAAATATGATTAGTAAGATTAAAACCGTGTATCTACTCAAGCCATGAACGGTTAGTATTCATTTATTTTTCATTTTTAAAGTGAATTTCATAGTTAGAAGTTCTGTTCAATATAATCTACTTTCTTCAACGCCATATTACAGTGAGTCAGCCGCCATACCGGCACCATTTTCAACTTTCGTAATATTAACCATTTCAGAAGCTTAACCGGTTCATTTGATCTCAAAAATATAATATCAGCAAGTTTGTATTTGGTGGATATAATTAAGTGTTTCTTTTTGTTCTATTTTATGTAAAATCAGCGCGGTTCAGAAGCGTAGCGATACACTTCAAACGTATTTGAAATGTACCGAAAACCAAATTCCAAAAATGCAAGAAAATTTGATATTTCTAAGAACGAATACATATTTTGTTTCGTAACAAAATAGCTCGAAGTTAATTTTCCATTGATACAAATAAATACAATTATGACGTAATAAACCCATGGTTTGATTCACGTATAAGGGTACCTCTTGTCATGGCTGATTAATTGCAAAGTTTAAAGTCAAAGAATACGAATCAAAATAATGTGACATTTTAGCTTTTGAAGTCGTTATGTTAAATACCTTTCTCGTGATTATGATAAACCTCAACTATCAAATTCCTAATTCCAAGAAATGTAAAGTATTTATTATTTGCGAAATACTATATGATGTTGAAAAACGGTTGCTTAATTGTGGGTATACTATTCCGGAAAACGTGCCGTCTGTTTGGTACAAAACGTCGATTCAAATTAAACAAATGGAGTGAAAACTTGAAATATCTGTTTATCGTCTATATATGTTAAATTTTAGATAAAATATTATAATAAGAGCATTGTAGAATCTGGTCTTTTGGCGCCGAAAAGATTATGTCATACACAAAAGTGGATATTCAAAATATTTGAAAAAAATTATATAAATTACATTTAGCATTCATTATCCCAAAATTGGACGAAATTTCAAACTAAAAATAATGAACAAATGATTTTCTTTTGTGCGTAATAAAGAACATTCCACCGCAAATTGTATATAATTGTTGCTATGTACAACATGTTATAACAAATCTCCACACTGAGGGAATGAGTAATCTAACTGAACTTAAGAGTGTGGGTGGTTATGACTCACGATAGAAAAATTTTCTGATAAATATGAGATGTTGAAATTTGGTTAAATGGCTCCAGGAATGCCATTTTTAACCCAAAATCGGTTTATTTGTGGTCAGGTATGATATTATTTTTAAAAAAAAGTTAGAATAATTTGCTAAATTGTTAAAAAAAAAAAGATTTTTTGAATCGTGTCTTATGTATGGGGCGGCTTTAGAAAACGATTATATTCCTTTTTAAGTCAGTTTGATGTTATGTATGCATTTGACCCACAGCGAACTAAAAGGCACCATTAGGTCGGATTATAAGGCTCTGTCTTATTTGTTTAGTATATTCATGGAGTTGAAATTTCAAAGACGATTCGTTATATTATGACGTTTATTATTATTATTTTTGTTACCAACTATTTTGGTGAAAATACAACAATTGGATTCATTTTTGTGATGGTAACAGTTTAAAAATGAGGTAATATAGTATAGAGACGAAATAAAAGTTAACTCAATTTTCCGACGTACCAAATGCCTATTATATTTAAATTTTGAATTGTATTAGATGAATATAGAAACAAAATACCGAAATCTTAATATAAGATAACGATAGCATTTCTTTTATCATTCCTAACTCCGCGTCTACGAGCTTTTGTGGGATTTTATAACGCACGCTTGTCTCACGGTAGGTAGCAATTTCCCTCTATATTCGGAAACGCACAAACTCCCTTTCTGTATAACTACAAGACAACTCTGCAGTCTTTATGCGGTTTTTTGAATAAGATAGCGTGCGTATTATGTCACCGAACGCACGTCAATGCCATAATTATCTGAGTTTTCGTGCCGGTATATATTTTTACAAGCCAGAATATATTTAATCTAAAATGAGGTGTCAAAAAGTACGTAATTGTCCCCAACTATTGCCGCACTTTGAAAGATTAAATGAGATGAAAATACGACCATGTGCGCATTTTTCGATCTTTTTAGGAATGTAACAGTCTTCTTATCCAGATAGACTCAAAGCACGTTGTAAGCGCGATTTGTTTAAACTATATATTTTGACGACACAAAGTCGTAATTGACGTCACAGTGCATATTTTCAACAACTTTTCGCGTATTTATTTTTGTTAAAAACCTTTACATGCAAATTTATGGTGTTGCCTTCAGAACCTAATTGCACAATTCCTGTCGTTACTTTTTATTTGAAGTGAATTTACATTTAAGATTAGAAATGTGAAAAAATAGATACTGCTTTGTTAATGGCGCTTTAAGTTTCAATTTGCATAGATCAGCAAAACGTGACATGTTATGTAAAAATACATAAATATCAAAATATCTTTTTACACAAAAAATCGCAGGCAAGTTTAAATTCTCTTTTGTGACGGGAGAACGTGTTCAGGAAAGCACTGGTAAACATTAAACAAATAGAAAGTATGTCAGCAAGGATAACAAGGTAATTTCACATACTTCACATTGCTAAGACACGAAAATAACTTTTTATCGGCGTAATTGATAACATTTGTATCGGATAATACGAGGGATTGGCACGTAATAACCACGATGCAATTTTATCTTTCATAATTTAAATTTTACAAAATGCCCGGCGCTAACATTCCAACAATCTAATTTCTTAGAAACATTTAAAATTGCTTACAGATTTGAAACTTAAAATTTCATCTATATTGAAATATTACGGTATTTACCATAATTTATTAGTTATATAAATGTAATTTTCTGTTAAACACATACCTTCATAGGGACATGAGGGATATGATTTGCTGTAAAAGCAAATGGCTTATAAACTAAAGCAACATCAGATGAGACCTGAAAGCGTGAGAAAAGACAATAACGTGTTTTGCCAGGATTTCTCTCCGACGGAAATAAAATATCAACAAATAAAGTTTAAATATATTGTATGAAATGCATTTGCGCGGTGGGAAATTTGTAAACCGCGCGATATTGGAACCTCTCGGAGTGGAAAAACAACAAAAACAAAGTAGTTAGATCAAGGGTATAGTAGCGGTATATGATCATCCATCTTCTAGTAAAAGGTTTATGTTTTTTCGTGATTGTATTTTTGTGGGTCAAAAACTTTTTCATAAGACCGCTACAAGGTTAAAAGATTTTAGACAAATTAATGGAACATTTATCAGACTCGATAATAACTAAATATCTAATGCTAATAGCAAGACTATCTTAACGCTTCAAAAGAATCTTTAATGGAATAAAAGTTAATCACAAAGAGTTTCCGGTTCTGGTTGAAAGGTCAGACAGGTGATTTTCATTGCGAGATAAACATCAGTTAGTTGGACACAACCAATTATCTTGTTTTTATAGCATTGACATTCTTTCGTGTTGTATTTAAAAAAGGAAATTTCATCTCGATGTCTGTTGTAAAGGAAGTATTACCCTCTAATGGGGCTCGTATTACCAAACCCCCACGTCTACAAATTGTCGCATGCACTGTCACTTGTGATGTGATTCACCCCAAACGGGATGCACACCTGACATGGACACCCATCATCAAAACGCCCCGGCTTTCAACACAATCTCCCAAAATAGAGGTATCTTCCCATCAAACACTTGAAATATGACCCGTTTTCACCCATTAGGAATTTTCAATTGGGCGATTCGAATCGCACTTTAGGAATTGCATAGGATCAATTGCAAATGCCACACGCCGCCAATAACATCCGGATTTTTATGGTAAAGATAAAATGATAGGATTCTATTTACATCCTTGCCCACAAAACACCTGCACGACAACTTGAAAAATTCAGAGGAATCCATTTCGATTACCACAAAAACAAAATAAATCCTTACTTGCACATTCTGGGCAGCATTGGCCTTCGACTTCAACAACATCGATGCAAGGAAGGGCGTTGCATTTTTCAACTACGCACGTCACTTTGCCAGCCTATAAATATACATAAAAGTTCGGAATTGAAACATCATATTTTGGATGCAAAACATCAAGATTTGTAAACTGGAAATTTGCGTTTAGACGTTGTTCCATGATCAAGGCAATTAATTTTTTTTATCATATGTAGAATGAGGGGAAAGTATACTCACAGTGCAGTTACAGACTTGGCAATCATCTCTTTTCCATTGTTCGCCATCATCGTATCGGACTGTGTCATCCCAGCATGATTTGCGCGGAAAATCCATGACCTCGACTGGCTTTCCTTCCTACAAAACGGAAAATTTCAGTTTACAAAACGCGCCAAAGAAAAATGACTAAAGGTATATAATACAGCACATTAATAACACTTACATAGTAATCAGATGGAGGTCTCACACTCGCCAATTTTCGAATATCGTCGCACGATAGATCGCAGACCATATTATTGCTAGATTTTGAATCTGTATCCGATAGAAGGCTGACTGAACTAGATTTTGGTTGAACTCCTGGAGCACCAATATCTTCAAAAGTATCTGAAAAATTTTCAAAATAATTGCTGTTTATCAAACAAATTTTGTGAAATTTCAAAACTCATGTATGTAAGGTGGTTGATAGTAAGCCATGTAGTACCAAACCTCATTTGCTGGAAGGTTCCATCACAAGATATTTATCTTACAACCAACCACAAACACGGGGTAGTATGAACATGGTATCAAATTCATTAATTTAGCTTAAATAAAATTCTTCTAAACTTCGTGCACAAAGAAAAAACGTCCTAGTGAAGAACTTGAACCCGGTACCATGTTTGCGTGGGGAATATAAGAGACAGCTTTTGATATCGTTCGGAGAAAATAATTCCAATACCGATTAAATTTCGACCGCATCCTTTTCTGTTCATTGTCGACTGAATAAACCTTGATAGGGTCGGTTTAACATCAACGGAAGTTGTTATATCTCATGGCAGCCGCAGCTTTGAGTAAAGGAACAGTTCATGAAAGAACATGCAAAAACATAGTCTATAACGCGAAATCTTTCAACAATCAGTCATATGGTTTACCTAAGGAATTTGTACCCTTGCCTGAACTGCCATTATAATCGGTGACACTTATGGTGAATAATTTTTTTTTTCAACCTAACAGTATAGATTACGAGAATGATGGGGGGGGGGGGAAGCTGTATAAACGAAACGGATAACATTATTGTCAACGCACACCATCTCGAGAGTTTTCTTAACGCCCTATTAGTCTTCTGTAGCGTAATTTTACCACGTACATAATGCCTTTCTCTTTGTTTTCTTTGAGTGGTTTTAAATGGGCCTCAAGTGGGAGTGTAATGGGCAGGGTTGTGGCTACTGTATTTAACAATATAAGTATTGCGTCTTTATAACCAACCAAGCAAATACGAAGCTTTGAGACAATTGCCTCGTGGTATGGAATGTACGGAATTTTACTCCGTAGGGTTACTTACAACTTACAAGTAAATAAAAACACGTTGTCGCAATAAGCAATGAATTTTTCAAAATCGTGGGGTAGCGTTATAATATCAATACCGGAGACTACTTCCAAAAAGGGTAAGGTACTTGTGAATAAAATGTGTGAAAGTAAATTTTGTGATAAAATACATCTCGTGGTCAAATTTATCATTCACTTCAGTTGAGCAACGCAATAAAGAACACTTAGCGACGACACAAGAGAAAAATAAACATTTTCGAGACTATAATCCAACACAAGCTTTTCCAAACAAAGGGAGGCTGTCGTGTTTTTGACGGTGTGCAAACATTTAAAAAAAGAAAACTGATCCAGTCTTTATTTTAGGTAGTGGAGAGAACAATGACCAATTCTTGTCTTGGGTAGAATTAATTGTGCTTATAAAAATGTAGATCGGGTCAGAAGATAAAATCCGGAAGTATCAGTGAGAAGAGGGTGGAAGTAAATATTTTAGCCGACTAAGTAGGTCTGACAGACGAACAAAGATTCGATTTTGTTAGAATTAAAGTGGCTAAGATACTCCTAAAATAAAATAAAAGTGTTGGAGTGAAGGATATGGTTGAAGTACGGCTATTTGAACGGTATTGTTCGGCTGAAGTATTGTGACGTCATACGGCACTTTAAGTCATTCAAATGAACCCACTATTGTGACGTCACGTTTTCATATTTTGAAACAAGTGCAATAATATTTTGCAAAAAAAGAGTTTACTAAGAAATTCATTTTATGAACATACTAAATTTGTTTATTGTCTCCAGGCTGTTTGACATGGTTTTTACGCCAGACATTAAAAATAGATAACACCAAATTTCATATTAAAAAATGACAAACCTCGTAAATTAAAATTCAAATTCAAAACCTTTACATGGTCCATACGTAATACGCACTCGTAACCAATATATATATATTTCCCAAGCTTGAAATGGAATCACCACTTTTTTAGTTATTAAGGGTGATGACCTCATGTAAAATACACCACAAAGAAGATAATCATGATGTATCGACGATACGGGTATCGGGTGGCAAATTCCGGAGATTATTATTTAACATCTAATACACGTTTGTAATATCAATACGACATTGTTCAAATATGATACCTCTGTTTACTAAATGTCATAAATGATGCAGAAGAAATCGACGAGGTATTCCACTTATTTCGATTTTATTGAGTACCGTATTTTATTGTTTACCGTTCGCTGTACAAATCATATTATGGGAATATCAAAGAGATTGTCATATTGGTATTTTATAAAAATATAATTGAAATCAAAAATCAAATATTTTGAAAGTCACAATCAGCTCTTAGTTATACTAGCAAATAGGTCTTCCCGACATACTTGAAAATACATAGAAAGGCTACCGTTAGCAATAAGAGCTTCTTACCTCGGGATAATTTTGTGTGTTCGTCCCTCGTACATCTTGTCTCTTGGGCGAGAACTTCAGCTACAGTTGCACCGACGTAGAATCGTATTCTTGCCAGCGAACCCTGTCGAAGTTAATATTTCAATAATAACGTTATTCTTTTAATTTTGACTTACGCTTCCCAAAAAAATAGAACCCATTACGAATTTCTGTCGTCGGAATTCTAACCATATATATTCTAAGATAATTTAATGTTGTTGTCCAGAAATAGTATTGGACTGTATATGAGCAATGCATGAAGCACGAAAAAACGGATATCAGGTATGTTTCACGTTTCGTAAACAAGTGGATATTAGTGTCAAAACTGTTTACGAGGTCTCCAGCCTAATATAGTGCTATACAACTAAAACAAGCATTTTATCTTAATATACATATATGTAAATACATGTACGTGACAACATGCATATTTTAGTATCATTTAGCAAGCCCTACATGGCCCCGACATCCATTTTGATTGAAACACCCTGTGTCCCTCAAAAACCCGTTTCTTCAAACCGATAAAACAAACTGTCAGGGCGATAACAACGCGATGTAAATATCCCATGCACAGTAACGGTTTGCGTTTAACTATGCGCTGTTTATCTGCTTCACATAACTTTGATATGTGTTGATTTAAACATAAGTGTATTCAGTATGTTTGCTAATTAAGATACACGGGGATTATTAGTGTATTTCGTAAATTAGCCGAACGGATGTATTCTATTGGGAAACCGAGATATAGACCGTACGTGCATATTCAGACAGCGCCATTTTCGATAGTACATTGAGCAAATTGATTTGAAAAAGTTGCGACCGAAAGCACGATTATATTTACGGTAAATGAATGGAAGCTATTTCAGTTCAGATCATATTTCCAACCGGTAGTTGGCCATGTAGTAGATCTAATATCCAACACTTTTTTTTTCATTTATTTTGGTAATGAAAAAATTGTTCTATTCATATACCACGACGATACAAAAGCGTGAGAGCCGGTTTGACGTACTTCCCAACTCGTTACTTTTCCGGATTATATACTTTCCCCATTCATAATTCGATAGTATTAATAAACTCAGGCCGGTATTTTCTTGTTTTTTTTTTTCATCACAACTGTCGTGACATGCCAATAAGTCAATTTTAGTTTGACATCCCACTCAATTCTTTTTATTATCAAAATTCAATTGAATTTGGCTTGCTAAAACGAGTAAAAGGTACCCGTATTTCGATGTAATATAATTTACTCAATAAGGAGTTTGGTACACGGTAGTTTAAATTACATTTAAAAGACGATAAATGAATGACATTTCAACACCTTTCGATTGATCGTGAATGTGTTTTTAACGTTGAATGGTGTTGATAGTGAACATTTCTTGAATAAGCAAATTTTGCACCATTCTATATACATTCAACTGATCGTGACATGGCTCACAGATCGGGTTTTAGCATAAATTGCGTGAAATTCGAATCTATCATAATTGAACCAAGCCGAGATAAGTTCATTGCTTTTATTTTATCCATTTTTGTATCTTCGCAATGGCTACAAATTAATGTATCGCCGGAATTGTTGGCGACAAAATTTGCGGACCTTACGTACCACATTATTTTTACGTACTGCTACCAACAAAACAAGTCAATTTCAGTGTACATAGTGGTTTAATTCTAAAATCAAATTAAACAAAAAATCTTACCCTAAAACTCTTTGCTTTCTTGAACCCCGTTGCCAGATGGAGAGCGTTCTTATTCACATCGAACATCGGGATAAGTGTGTCGTTGTGACTGAATTGGCCGACGTAGTCACAGTTGTGATAAAGTGTCATCTTTGTGGTTGTCACCCAGAGTGAAAAATTTGTCCACGCTCCTTCTTGTTGCAAGTCCCCTGTTTCGAACGCGTGTACGAATTTTTTGTTTTGCGAAAAGCCGAACACTGAGAGATGACCTTTGACAGGATCGGTGACAATTTCCAGAAAGTCTCCACTGGTGTCAATTTCGTCCTTGGGTGTGACAGAAAGCAGTGTACCTTTCTTGGTAAAGTCGTTTCGTAATGACATCAGCAATACAAATTCCTGATTTTGTGAGATGTCTTCGGCGAGTGATCGAAATTGAGAATCCACAGCGGTCAAGTCTAGGGTTGTTGTTGGCCGCCTGAATCTGTAAGCTGGTAGAAAATTGTTGTAGCTGTCTGTTTGTCTGACGTATTTACTTATGCCATGTTCCCTCATTTTGCTCAAAAAGTTTGTCATTGTAAAAACATCATGTACTTTGTCGCCCAGTTCGGCAGCTATAAAAAATATTTAAAATAGACGATTAATGTCAGTCTAATGCTAGTCCTAGATTTGACGGTAATGGTGACTTTTTCATAAGTCAGAAAATTATCCGACAAAGCGACATTCTATTATTTCATAGTCATAGCATAGCAGTTTTTCGAACGACGCTAATAACGCATCATATTTTTATATATTTTTGTTACATTTCAGCGTGTGAATTGCTTTATTAAACTTTCAGTTTATGCGCCCTTTTCAAATATCAGCGAACTCTAAACTTGAGCTGAGAAACTCGTTCAAACGGATCTATGAGACAACCCTAAGTTGTCATTATCGCTCCATAACCCAAATCCTATAATCCTAGTTTAATACCACATAGATCAGATAGATCAACGCCGTTAAATGTAGATTTAAAGTAATACAGATGACATTCCGTGTCCAAAATTCTCAGCGACTTTTGGTTGTTTATTTGTTTTGCCAAATAGGCGTAAGGAAAAGCTGAAGCGCGCGGTCGGGCGAAAACTTAAAATACGAGCGTAACCAGGCGCCATGCGGTTAAAATATGGATTACCAATTCGCAGGAATTGATACTTTGACATTGGTATGTTAAAGCTGTCAACAATGAGATGTCACTTCGCTTTAGTTCGTTTTATGTTTTATAACATATTTCAGCAGTGAAAAAAAATATTTCGTCTTTCAAGAATACCAGTTTTGTCACAAAGCGCCCCTTTCCCGGCATATTCGTACCTGCCGTTTACTTCCATTAGGTCACAAAAATTATAGGGCAGAAATTTCGCAGACCATACTCTGCGGCATTCGCACGTTTGTTTCGAGCTTCAACATTTCCATAATTTGTCACGTCCACGTCTAACCTAGACGAAGCGACTTTTGGCAACAAATAAGTTCTTTCCATTCAACTTAAAATTGGCTCAAAAAAGCGGAGGTCGGTCGGTGGTTTCTGAATTAATAGGCGCCAAAACTTTTGTCATGATACTCGTTTTTTCAGGCTATCATTTCCAATTCACGGGACACGGCACATTAAAACGGTAACTATTTTTTTAACATGACTAGTATTAGAGATTTGTACTCATCTATATTTACAGTCCCCACATTATATTACAAAATTTTACCTTGAAAAAAATTATCCCTAGAGTTTCTAAGAATGCAATTATATTAAGTTGAATTGTCTATTGATGGATGTACCACAAATCCTGCAAGTGTATCCATAAACTAATAAATGTATTCTACAAGTGAATTTTGATACTCATAACACAATATGAAGAGTTATAAATATTAAAATATGAAATGTGATACAATCATGACGCAGAACGAATAGCTAACAAACAACATTTGTCCCGAGACATATTTGCGGACGGCTTTGATCCGTCGTTAGAATACACAGACCCGTTACTTTGTGTAACGACAACAGTTACAGTCAACTTGATACAGTGTTTAACATCTGGCGGTATATTCATATAATTTCGTAACGCCAATTGTAGTAAAAATAACCGGCAGTATTACCTAGTATGAAAACTCATTACCGAGCTTCAAGCCTCAAATTTGCCATAGAACGAAACTAAAATCACTAACGTTACAACCCCGTATTTACTCGCGAAAACGACAGACGGCTCAATAAAATTTGTTTTATGGCTTTAAACACATCAGTGCCACTTATCTTAGAATTCACTATATTGGACTAGGCCTACATGTCGAATCGGTCGGGGTAGTAAGGCTTTTTATCGTGGAAATTTAGCACTCTTAGCGTCTTGTTGAAATCCTTGATCACAATAGGCAACCGGAAAACGTAAACAACGTTAGTGTACTTTCGTCCGCCCAATCTAAACCTAATTCAGAAGATATTTAGAAGCCCAATGTGTTTTCATCAAATATTCAAAGAACTTGATTTTGTAAGAAAAGCTTACCTGCAGCTGTACACGCCAACGCCGCTAGTAAAACCTGTAGAATCTTCATTTTATTAGGCAACTAATATTGTTTGCTTCTTGATCGTATCTCCGACTAAGAAAATTTTCAAAGTTTGGCTGACGAAGGATGCTTGTCCCAGTAGTGGCGAATTACACGACCGGCAAACGTATATAAATGATTTTCCGTTGTTGGACGTTATAATTAACGAACTAACTAGCTGTACGAGAAAAAAGAAATTTATTAGTCATCAAGTCGCTTGCTCATATAATATCCATACAGTTTTTCTATCACAGGTGTCACATGACCGCGAAATTTCCATTAGTTTGTGCTAAAAGCATATAGTGCTTTGCGCGTTTCCTTGCTGCCGTATTTGCATATATAAGCTAATATCCATATGAGAACTTGCAAGTTACAACAAAACAGTCCCCTAATTGCCAAAATTGACTCATTACGATTTTACACGTTTATGAACAGACTCAGGTGAAAATGGTGATTCGCGCACGACCGATAATGAAAGAAATCAACCTATTTGCTTACGCTCGTTGGATAAAGCCCTTATAGCTAAACACGCAACACAACAAATGTATTTGTACTTCGAAATTGTGATAATAGACTTCAGACCTTGTCCTATTGACATTGGTGTTGCTCTGACAGTCTGAAGAGAAATGGCGATTACTCAAGCGAGTCTGCTATCCTCAGCCGACGCTCGAAGCGAACTATTGTGTCGGCGATAACGTAATTTCTCTCCTTATATACACGCTGAATCTCGAAAGGTATTTTGCTTTGAGACCTTGCGGCTCAAGAGTTTTAACAAAACTTGATGGGTAAATTTCCCTTTTTCCATTTTTTCTTCATAAAACACGTTGCCGACTGAAGAAGGATATCACGATATGCTAAATTGACTTGAAAATAGGGTTTTCTTTTTTCAGCACCGGAAATCGTTTAATAGTTTGCATTAAGGTAGTCTACTTGAACATTATTTTCATGGAGCATGGCATAACTAAACCTTTACAATTTTATCATTACTGAAGAAGTTAAATATGGTAAAACTATAAATATGGAATATGTTCCTAATCATTTAGGAAAAATATCAACAACTAATATTACCATCAAATTGTGAAAAACATTGATTGTAACTTGATGTAAGGTGGACATAATTTTCACACCATCAAAATTTTGAGTTACGTGATCACTGTTCCACACTAATTAATATTACATATAAATTTATTCATAGAACATCTTGAATAGCATTCTAAAGTGCGACTGAAGAGAATTTCCATGCTCTAGTTTATTGATGCAGACAGATGGAAAAGTATTTGCAATTATCCTTCCCGCATTAGAAAATTCTGGAAACATGTCGACATACATTTTCTCTTTAGGCGTATCTGGCATGCAATCTTTTCTTCGAGTCTCCAGTATAAAACTTTTGCGTGACGCAGTTAATGTGAGAGATCTTTCTTGTTTGCGTCGTTGTTGTTTGTTTGCGTCATTTTTGTGGATGGCACAATACTGTATTTGTCTGTATATTAGTGGAGGCGATGCTAATAAAATACTACTTATGAAGTTTTGTCAATCTACGCTCCATAACTACGTACTACGTACATAATAAATAAAACTAAAACATGTTCGTAAATAATTTAAAAACTTATCGCCGGCACCACAAATAAAAAACTCTGAAGTAGAATCCTATAAACGTTGATTAGGAGACCTAACAAAATTGTCAGTATTTTTTAAAATGGTTGTAGGTCTAAAGATGCGGCTAATATGGGTGACTGTCACTTTAAATACTTAGTCAGAACTTAGACATTTCCTTGCACGGATCAGCGGTATATCTACGCTATTGAGGGCGTGCAACATCTATCAATCGGTTAATGATTCATCCAGGAGAATGATTCACTACTGACTTTTATCGTAGCCTTATCTAACTTTGGTGAAACAGAATCCAAATAATGGAGTAATACTCTAAACCGCAACCTAGCGCGGATCCAAAAGATTCTGAATTTTTTTTTTAAATTGCCCTTACAAGAGGGTTGGTCATTTAAAAAAAGCATTAACGTGACGGCCCGGATACACCCACATTGGTGGTTTCCTTGGAAGTTATATTTCGTACTCGGAGTGTTAATCACAAATTTATGTTTTTGCATTCATTGGTGTAATATTTCAACATGTAGCAATTACTAGGAATACAATTTTTCACATTTTAAACTAAAAGAATTAAACATAAAAAGAATTTTTTATTTTGTTCTGTATTATACTGTAAGTGGTACTAAGAATTGTGAATGCCTCAAACACGCTTAAAAACAATTCGTTCTTTATCAACGTCACAGCCAATCATTTAGAATTATATTTGTGGCTTTAGAGTAACAGTAATTAGGAAAGGTTTTCATATTTCAAACTCCTTGTGTGTCTTTGGACTTAACAACACAAAATTTTGCAACAAATGTGTGGTAGAGTAGATATTATCAGAAGGTGACGCTAAATATTTATTTGGGTATGGATTCGTGGAATTGAAAAATACATCGATGTCACTTATTTGAAATTGGTATTGTAAATTGGTAATTAATTAATAATTATCAATCGCGAAGATGGCATTGTAAAAATTAATATGTAAACACACATTAACAGATTCAAAAATTAAAATTTTTATTCGGGCAAAATCTTATTTTTCTGCAAAACATTAAAAAGCTTGTTGTTGACTGAGAAACCTAATATGAAAAATGGATTTATTATCGTGGAAGATTTAAATATATTATAAAGCGGATACACTATCACGTGGAGAAAAATGAAATCAATTTATATTAATCTTTCAGTATAGTTTGGTATGTGTTGGTATTCTTCTTAGCATTCAATTTTGCCAAATGCTCGAAATTTCCGGGAAACAGTATATTATGAAGCCTTTAAAGTGGAAAATACTCACTTTAACGCATGTCTATCGCATCAGAGAAATATTGCTTGTTTATGTACGTCGCTTGTCTGCGGATAATCCCTGAAGCAATTTACGCAAAAACTGTTCGTGCGTCAACAAAAATTGGGTTACATCCAAGTACACGCCAAATGTGTTTGCTACGTCGAATAATTTGTGACGTAGAAGCACGTCATAAAGAATGTGCAAGGTTTCTTTGACAACGAGAAAAAAAAAACAGTGATGCATTGTTTTTATCAATACATCGCTTTGTTGCTACAGCAAAGCTATCTGAGTTATGGAGAAAATCAGCGGTCGGTCAACTAAGGTGGGTTCATAACATGATAACGATGCCGTATTTGGTGATATTGTGCAGATCATGTATCGGGAGATAGACGAGATTAATTTGTCGTGTTGGAATCTTCTTGTCGGGAATCTGTTGATGGACATAAATATTTTGTTGCCGACAAATTTGTATATCTTTTGAAGGAATTCACCAATTAAAATTTTTTATTGTAGCCTTTTTAATCCGCAGAATCTTTTGCAACTTAATGAAATTATAATTGATGTGGGTTATCAGTGATCACCCGCGCATAGGACAAAAGAGTGAAATATTAGTGTTATTGCTAAAACTTTATAAATATAACGTAAATGAAGATTGAAGATGTGTTGTAAACGCAATTTAATTTTGTAACAAGAATTTACTTGTACACGGCTCATTGCACGCTATGATGAAGGATGGTGGTCAATTTTCTATTAAAGTAATTCGGGTATATCGTATAGTACCTACACACGGGCCTAAAAAATCATGTTTCCATAACTGCGATTCTTTAAGTCTTTTAATTTATTCGTTGATACAATTCGTATCCCGCTGCTCATATAAATAATTCTAATAACGAAAATTCAACAATATAACCATCCAAAAATCTTTTTGCGCTCCATAGAATTCCCAGATTATTTATTTCGGGAGGGTTAAGAACATCGTTCTCATTCGTTGTGGGGGACAGCCCACGCGAAGCAGATTGTACTTTCGGCAATTTTAAATTTCGACCACCTGGTCTAATTCTGGTCGCTGACGTATTGGCAAAAGAAAGGTCAAACGATTGTGCATTGTTGATTATTGCACATATTTGACAAATCTTGCATCCTGAGCAGTTTATGACTTGTTCATGCTCAAAATGTACATTATTGCGGAACATGGCGAGGCAACAAAATGCATAATATGATGTATTTTAATGGAAAATTATCAATAATTCAATTGCAAAAATTTTATAAAAAATTCCATATGACTTGAACATTCATTTAAAATGGAACTATTTTTAATCCCATTATTTTTATAAATACATATGCTCTGATCAAGTGATGAACAAGGGTGTTTTTATTTAAGATCTCCTCAAGTACATGTAATTTGTAATTGGAGTATTGGCTCAGATTAAAGATACATTACAAACGTGTGGTCTCAAAATCAACATGCTGCTGTCTGGCTGACGGGCTTTATCACCACCTATTTCATAATATTCAACTTATATGATATGACTGTATATCCAATGGTTGGTATGAGCTATCATTTCAGCTTATAGTAACAACATATGGTCGCAATCATAGATAATCATATTTCATATATAATCATGAGGACTAGTAGGCGATTTCCTAACTCCAACAAGGTCAAAGCGAACGTATAGTGTAGCATTCCAATGTCATAATATTTAATTATACATATGTTCGTAGTTACAATAAACCACAACTCACATAGGACTCAACCACACGCTGAGATGCGATAATAAAATATAACTAATAAAGTTGTGGTTTTTACGTCATTCATGCAGTGATCCATATGACGTTTTGGATTGAAATAAATCATTATAAATACAACACGTGCAAGCTATAGTAACCGCATTGACTGAATATGAACGATAATGAAGAATCTATTTGAATCAACATAGATTGTGCTTGGCCGCCCTTAATTCGAACCTTCACACAGTTGCATTCGATTTCGAGAAATAATCCATATATTGGTTATCACAATATATAGGTAAATATATTGTAGAAAAAAATCTTGATACCGTTTACGAATAAACCAAATAATTTCAGATCTTCCTTCTTTAAGTTTTTATGTGATTAATTCTTGCGTTTTATTACATGCAGATTTGCTCAAAAATATATGTCTCATATTCATCTCGTAAAAATTTGGAGGAAATATTCCATCTTCTTTTATGAGCTTCATAATTATGTAACGAACGATAGCTTTATTCGAATTATGTGACTTTTTATGTGTGAACAAGCAGATGTAATTTTCCAAGTAATTTTGTAA